AAACGACTTTTTTGCTTCAGTAATGCCCCAGCTCAGGGGTGCGGGGAAAGCTGTTCAGTAGTCAAACTAGTCGAGATTATCAATCCACAAAACGGTCGATTGACGGACGAGTTGCGGAGGGTCCAGGAAACGGTTAATCAAATGACTTCTTAGCTATTTTACAAGGAGACTGAATGCGCCAGTGCCATGCTTGATCGGCCTTCCGACCACAATATTGGCACTTGGACTTTCCATGCGATCATCCGATCCTGTAAGTGCAGCTTGAGTCAAAAATTGTGCTGTTGTTTCAAAACTCATTTGCAGGAAAGGACTACTCATTTCACGCATTCCCGTTCGGTTCATGGCTGTGTAGCCACCCGAGAAAGTCATGTAATCGGCGATCAAACTCAAGTGACGAGGGTCCACCTCAATACCGTATACCCCGAAAACGGAACGGATTTGCTCGACAATTGTGTTCCGAGCAGCTTCCACACCATAGGAGCAGCGGATCGCCCAAATATCATTTGACATGAGACGTGAATGATCAATCTTCTCAAGACGCCAGAGCTCTGAAAAGTTGATTCCTGCAGTCTGCAGACAACGTCCACGCCCTTCCTCATCGTTGATAAAAGCCGAGTCAATATTCTTTCTGGAACGCACCAACGTTTTGCTGGCAGCTTTTTCAACCAAACCAACCATCAATAGCGGCCGGGCTGTGGGGTCAATTCTGAGAGGGCGAAGTTGGATCGAATTATTCTTCGCATCAACCTTTAAAGATGACATAGAAGTCGAAACTGGCAAATCCGACTCGGAGCTGGTCTTGGTCGATTGTGATGATTTTGGAGCATTCTCGTTATCGTCGTCACTATCACTGCCATTAGAGCTGTCTGTGCTCGAAGTCGACTTTTCATCGTCATCCTTGTCACCGTATGACTGTTGTTGTGACTTGGAAGCATTCACACCATCTTCAGCATCATTGCCGTCAGAACTGACATCATCGTCGTCCGCTTCATCGTCAAACAGGGAGGCAATTTCTTCGCTCCCCGGGCTATCGTCCATGCCTTCTTCGTTGTCTTGACCTGCTGCAGCAGCATATGGTGAACCCTCTCCACCTTGGACAGAAATTGTCCCGTCTCCGTCTGTCGCGGATCGTCTCAACTCTAGTTTCATTTCCCTGGCCAGCGCTGGGACGAAGTTCGTTGCAACGATTTTTGCAATATCATTCAAGTCGATGCCAAACGCAGTCTTGATGCGTTCGGCTGGGTGGAATTTGATAGTGACAAAGTATGACCGCTGCCATTGGCCGCCGTCATCTTGCAGCAGAGTCTCTTGCACCGAAATTCCCTTGCGTCCAGCAACCAACTCTCCAAGCGATAGCTTTTTGAAGGAACGAGTAAGCTTGAGCGCTTCTGAATCTGAGACTGAGTCGTTCAGCGGGACGGACATGGTAGGTGTCTTCAGTTGTCTTGAAGCTGTCATAATGATCTCTCGCAATCGTGGAATTCCAAGCGTTACATTTGCACCGGCTCCAGCTGTTTATAGAAAAGGTTAGTAAAAGGATAAAAAGGCGAGGGACACAGGACAACCTTGCTGAACTTACCCAAGTGGAAAGTGTTGAGAGTCATCTGAGTAGATGGCTCTCCAATCGATTGAGCTGCGATGGCGCCGACTGCTTCGCCTGGAGCGCAAAGGGCTGCACCGTATTTTGCTGCAACTAATGACCCGAAATCCTTCGGAGTGACCTTGGTGCTCTCAAGAGCTTTCTTCAACACAGTGCTGTTTCTCAAGTGTGACGACGTTGCACCAGCCAGACGCTCTGACACACAAGCTCCGCTGGTTCCGAGGCGATGAGAGCGCGTCGAAGAAATTATTGGATCAGGAGTTGCAGCCGTGACAATAACACAAGTGCTAGATGCTGTGTTATTTCTGCCGAAATCTACCTGGAAGGGAACAGACTTGACAATTTGTCCGTCATCAAGGTACTTCAAGTCGGCCTTGTGTTTCTTGTGTTTCTTGATTATCGTCGCGTCATGCCATCCCTCACACAGCGCTCCTCTTCTCCATTCAGAGCCAATCCGCAGTCTTCGTGCGCGGACGTGGTCGCCAACTTGGAACTCGAGGGTACTGTTTTCCTTCAGACTTTCACTTCTGTCAACATCTTTCGAAACAAGGTCGATCGAAGCATTATCCAGCGCCCTTTGTCGACGTGAAAGAGATTCATGGTTTCTGGCCATATACTCAAACGACTTTTCTGTACAATCAAGGTATGAGCTTTTGGTGGGGTCAAGGCCGTCCTCGCCATACAAGAATTGTACAACGCCACCTTCTCCATTGCGTACTGTATAATCGTAGCAAACTTTCAATTCTTCCAAATGCTTCACCAAACAACGTTGCAAGTACCCAGATCGAGAGGTCTTCACAGCAGTGTCGACTAATCCCTCTCGTCCCGCCATACAATGAAAGTAATACTCTTGCGGTCTTACACCAGTAAGGAAACGATCCATAACGAAACCGTCGGCTCGTGGATTCACATCATAAGGGGCAAATGATGGGAGCGTTCTTCCGCTACTCATTCTTGGGACACGACGGCCTTCCAACGCTTGCTGGCCCAGCGAACAGGACACTTGAGACTGGTTCACAATTGACCCCTTCGCACCTGTGGTTACCATGATTCCAAATGTCTGGGATAATGTTTTGAGCCATAATTCTACACTGCTCTGGACATGGCACTATTTCAACTTACATTGATCGGGAAGGGAACGGCAAGTCCATCTGGAAGACATGCTTTGACAATATCGGATGCCAATGGATTCAGTTTCGACATCATGAATCCGTCAAATGCTGCTGAGTTACCCTGGCCCTCGCTTCCAGAAAGCAATTGCCTAACTTTAGAAGCTGCTGCGGCCGCTTCAACAGGCTTCAGCGGATCTTCAGCTTTCAGTTCATCAAACTCAATTGCCACCTTTCCACCCTCTGAGTCAGCCCAAGCTTTCGCTGCCCGAGAACCAACGTTGAATGCTCTCTGTATGTTTTGTAGGAATAAGACAAAGTGTTAGCTAAATCGATTTGTGACCAATCAAAGTGAGAACAGCGAAAACTTGCCTTGACAAGGTCACGTCGTGTTTGATCTGAAACCGATGTCAGAACGAGATCCTCCATTCGACAAGAGTGACCAGAGAAGTACTGAATATAAGCGGTGAACAGTCTGCCTAGAGAGTTCAGAAGCAATCCTGCTTTTTCAGGTCCATAAGCTTCGAATACTGCATGGACTAAGCAAAAATCTGTTGCTCCAAAAGCTGCTTTGTCAAGAACACCTCGCAGCAATTCTCCGTCTCGGATTATCACGAGGTGCTCCTCTGCAGCTATACCAAATGCAGTACCTGGGGTCTTAGCCTTGCGCTCTGTGGATATCCCAGGAAGTACTTCTGAACCTTCAACGTCCCGATCATTTCCTTTTCGGAGATGATTTAAGAGTGTTGAGATGACCTGCTTTCCTGTCCACAACGGTTTTGGTTTCAAAATCGCAGGAGGCAACATTTCGATGTTGCTATCCGAACGGATCAGTTCTAGCCGTGGGAGACTCGCAAGTGCAGCAAAAAGCAACTGCTGATACTCCCACTTCTCCAGAAAGGTGTCCCGTTTTGTCAATTTGACCCCAGCGATTACATGATCTTGAATCAATCCCCTCAAGGGAGAACCATCAGTTGGAACAATGAACTGCAAGTCTGTCTTGGCAATGTATTCGGCCTCTGCCCGTGCTAGATCACTCTGTGGAAAGTGACAGTTCATCTCATCGCCATCGAAATCCGCATTGTATGTGTTACAATCTGGAAAGAAAACGTAAGCTACATGCAAAGCAATTAGGATTGGGTATCCCTGTTGTAACTTACTCGCGTAGTGCATTCTGATTGTCTTTTGGGTAGGATTGTGCAGCACCCGGACTTCATGAGCCATAATGGATGGTTTGTGAAGAGAAGGCTGAGGAACAGAGTTAGTATCGAACTTTAAATGATAATCGCAACAAAGTCGAAAGAAAGAAGTCCTCGGTACGGCACGGGGCAACATTTCTGCTACTACCCGCACCGATGAAATGGTCATAATCTAACATATACTCATTCAGAGTGGTGCATGACAAAATATCTCATCACAGGGCCAGATGATCAATAACAAGCAAAAGCAAGAGCAAAAGAGAAACCTACCTGCCTATTCATGAGAACCATGTCCCCATCTTTCATTTGACGACCAACGATTGCTGGTTTTCCACCTTTTCTTGCATGGCTCAATAGTCGAGCTGCAGTTGCTTCCCTTTGATGACTATCCATTTTGCTCAAGTCAACCCGGCGATCAGGAAATTCGACCCATCTAGCACCTGGATACTTTTTGGGGCCCCGCTCGACGATTCGTCGCATCTCTTCGATATTGATATCTGTCACAGGTGTGGGGTATGTTAATGTTTCAACGAAGTGTCGTGGGATCCCGATTTCGTTGGTTCCTATATAGGGATCTGGCGAAATGACTGAACGGCAACAGAAATTTACTCGTTTTCCCATCATATGCTTTCGGAACATTCCCTCTTTCCTTTCCAACAGCTGCCTAATACCTGGTGCTGTATTCTTATTCAATGATGGATCCTTTGCTGAATCCATGTAGCAGTTAACATGGGTTTGTAGGTCGATCCAAAATTTGTAGGCCAAGGCTTCACTATTACTTGCGAAGTTGGATCGCACAAGCTCATTACTTTGCAAAATTTTTGTTAGGTACTGGTTTTGCCCGTGCTCTACAACCATCCCACCTAGATGCATTGGTGGACGAAACCGATTTGGGGGCACTGCGACTGCTTGCAGAAAAAAAACTTCGCGACCTTGCACTGAAAACAAAGCATTGCACATTTCTGGAGACGATTCCCAAGTTCGACTGACCTGAGCCTGAACTTCGGATGCATGCATGTATGTATCGCGACTGCTGGATACTGCCTCATCTACCGATTCCGAAGACGGGTTTCCCTCTTCCATGTCATCATCAATATTTTGTTCCTTCCCATTCGTCAATGCTGGTTGAATTGAAATACCCTCAGCATCGTTCATTCGCTTCGCGTATGCAGGTAGCGCAGCCTGGAAAACTTTGTTGCTAGAATCCTGACGGATTTTCGGAGAGTAGGCACCGCAATGGGAACAGCTTTTGTTTCCTTTACAATCGGCCACCACTTGTCTGACAAGATCTCGCAGTTTGCCTTCCTCCAGCGTCGAGAGCTTGTGACTGTTGTCAGACATCGACGGCAATGAAACCATGGTTTCGTCCAGCAAGTTATCGACTGCTACGCCGGCAGATTGGATTGATACACCTCCTTTTCCGCTGCTGCCTTTAGCGCTGATTTTCTTCATTGCTGCAGCCATGCGATCATCAAGCTCAAGGGCATCAATATATCTGCCAGCTTTCAGCAGTCTGAATTTGGCTTCGTAGACTTTCATTTGCCTTTTCGGTATTCGCAATTTGTGACAATTGAAGCATTTGACCCGCAAAAGTTCGAGCATCTTTCCGAACAAAAGAGGATGATATACTGGGACACACATTTCAATATGCCCAAAGTGACCAGGGCATTCGAGATATCCGAGAGCACAAGTTTGACAAGGTGGGCTATCTGCAGTCGTTGGCCCCATCCTCGGGTCGTACAAACCATTCGGAATGGATGTTCCAAGTGTATCAATTGACACACTAGATGTCACTTCACAAACACTTCTTGCCCTTACATCATCATCCGTATAGAAGCTGGGAGGCCAAATATCAGTGAATTCGGATGCATCGAAGGCAAAACATAAATTATGCATTGTGCAACTTACCCAAAGTCTATCTTTTCTATTTGTTTCCGGATGACACGATTTGAATAAGGAGATGTCATGGTATCCCACCTTCTTCAATTCACTTCGCCGATACAAGAGACGGGAAATGGCAGTAAAATGCTTTTTTTTGAAGAGGAAATCTGATGGATTTTTTTGGCCAATGGTTGGATTTCATGGGCGTCTGGACATCGCCAGTCAAATCATTGCTCCAAATACATTACTACACTGTACCAAGATGAAAGACTGACGATTGTGGCAAATGCGAATGCATAATAATGCAACTCTTCAAGCGTTCGTTACTCTAAAGTAAAGTGTACAATGTATCTCAGAAGAAGCCCGACATAAAATCGACAATGCACTAATGCCCAATAAGCAGTCGCTTCAAGCGTCGTTGGACACCATCACCTCCTTCCATGCCATCAGCGACCATGGATGCATTGTCCTCGTCAGAAGCAACTTCATAGACAGACTCCACGAATGTGATCAACAGCGTTACTATCATCACAAAAATGAAGACGACCCCGGCAGAGTAGCTCCTTGTTTCGTCCTTTTGTAGCTTCTGCTGATCCTCCTTGTTCTTTGGAATCAATTTCAACAGCACAAGTGGTAGAGGCCCCAGCAATCCACACAGCAAGCTCAATTTCCAAACACCGGAAAAGTCACCCTCAGAGATGGTTTCCGAGCTAACATCCCAAATTGCCGTCAATGCTGTCGAAATGTCAAAGGCTAAGGACCCTGCCAGGTTGCTCCAAGTTGTGAGCAATGCATAAGTTGTCCCTTCCGAGCCCGGAGGGCAAAGGCCGAGGTACATGATACACATGGGAAGGAACTGAACTGCAATCACAAATTCAACCAATACATCGTCACCCATCGAAAACACAATATCAGGAATCATTATTGGCCTGTTCATACCAAAGACCAATATCAGTTGACCCAAAGCAATAGCCGACGCAAGTGTCGTACACCAAAAGTACACTACCCTCCAGTTACTTGCAAAGAAGAATTTTTTGTATGTGATAATTCCGACCCAAGCCATAATAGAGCCAACAACTGAGACGAGCCCGATCATCCATGGCTTGAAGTCCAGTCCTTCCACCAAGAAGTTCATCCACGCAGCGTTTGTCAATTGCAAGGCGTTATATACATAAACAAAAGTCATCGGTTGCCATACTGATCGAAGTTGAACTGTTTCGAATAGCTCTTCACATTGTTTCCAAAACTGTTTGGGTTTGCAATGGTTTTCAAGTTCAAGCAAGTAAGGTACAAAGGGCAATAGAATAACCAGAGGAACGGCTCCATTGATAAAGAAAATCAAGGGCATTGGCAGAAACCATTCCCATGTATCCTTGTTGTATACAACTGCACCGATTGCAGCGCCAATCATGCTTCCAAAAAAGCGAACAATGTATCCTCTTGATTGCTATGTTAACAAGATATCAGCGTGAGATGAAATTCAGTAAAGCAAAGACTGTACAAGCGAACGTTGGCGTCTCACCATGGTCCCTCGAGCGGCTTCTGACTCATATCTCGACCTCTCCACTATCAATGCATCTGTCATGACATCAGCCAACATATACCCGGCTGTTTGCACAAAGACAAGGGATATACACATGCCAATAGATGGCTGTGTTGCAGCAGAGAGAGCAAAGTTTGATGCGATATATACGACCCAGCCAGCCATGAAATAGGGCTTCCGCCTCAATCCCGAAATTGGAAGACAATCTGAAAGAAAACCGTAAAGAACCTTAAAGCACCACGGTACAGCCACTGGAAACGTGGGTAGAATGTGAGATGATGTCTGATAGTAACGAATGACCAGGCAAAGCAGGAACGTACTGACTGTGAACAACACATTCACCTCGGCTGCAGATGCTCCAAGATCTTGAATAAAGTACACAATTAGAGGTGTCCGTAGTAGCTGTAGTGCGACACCGATGCAGAAGTAGGAAATGGGGATTGCTAGATTTGGTAGAGAAGTAAAGTATTCCATCCAATCAGGTATGAACTCATTTTGCCTCATCTTTTCCTCTTCCTTCTCTGTTAATGGAGTATAGATTGTAAATCCAAAATTTTCATGCAGGAATATCGACGACCATGCCAAATAGCCATCCTCAAGTCGTCCATCTGAAAGAAGAAACATGTTGAGATCACGCTCGGTTGTGATTTGAAAACAAAAGAAAAGCTTACACCATCGCCGTTTGATCTGTCGGCCATAATAATCATGATGAATATCATAAGGACCGTCTCGATACGGCGCCAAATTTCCATTGGCGTCAAATGCAGCAAGCTCTCCAGTCTCGACGCTGAAAGTTCTAGTCCTGACACTATGCTCATCAGCTTTGTTATGAACCTCATCCTCAGTACCACACTTTACTCTTGGCGGGGGAGAATACACCGAAGCAAGACTGGGTTGCGACTTACGCTCGGAATTGGCTGTTGTCACACCGGAGGGGTTGGTGTCTGGAGAGAGAGCTTGATAGTCCTCAGTAACACCCTGCTCGACCACTACGTTCGATTTCTTCCCAAATAGTCTTATACCGAACCCTCTTCGTTGGGTCACCATTGGAGTAGAAACTTTCGATGCAATCGGGGACGCATTGTCTCGGAGGAAGGGGGGTCCGCGTTTCGATGTGGAAGATACTCCATAGAGATCTGCTAGTCTGGAAGCTTCTGCATTTGCGGCTGCAGTTTCTAAAGGTTCCTGTGTGGTTCTTCTTGGGCCAGAGATTCCTGTAGCCATGTCATGGTGTTCGTCCTTCATAGTTTGCACAGAGATTGTGCTACTTGTAGGGACGAACTTTGTTTTTGATTTGTGTATCTTTCTTTCTGATGTGTGCCGTTTTGACTCCTAATTAAACTAAAATTTTCGCACACAATGTAAGAGACTGCGTGCCAGCCGATGTTTGAAATTTCGCGAATGTAACTTCGGAATTTGTGTCGAAGCGTTGAACCAAACTAAGTGTTACATGTCAGACACATTATTGAAGTCTGCATTTCCGACTTGAGATGTTCACACTTCGCTACCGCACCCCAATATTTGTACACTTTCAGAGCTTCGTTCAGAAATTTGCTTGCTTTGCCCTTATCTCCGATGGAAGCGCAAAATTTACCAGCTCTTTCGTTCGCGAGAGCTTCATATAGCAGACAACGGGAGTCTCGGAATTGAATGATTGCAAGGTAGAATTTCGCACACGCTTTTTCTACCTTGTTTTGGACGCCAGCTAATTCTGCTTCCACAAGGAATTGCCTCCCCAAGAAGTTCTCTGGACAAGATTTGGACCATTTTCGAAATCTTTTTAGCAGCCATTTGACCTTCCGAATCCGTCTCCAGTTGCTCTTTTTGGTCGTTGCCAAAAGAATTAATGCATGATACATTCGGGCATTCGCAGCACTTATAGTGCTCACATTGTTGTAGAGTAGGACTGCGCAAGGTAATCGAGCTTCTGCCATTGCATAATCGGAAAAATGATACGCCATTACCATTTCATCTGCGCCTATAGAACTTCGGAGTTCATAATGGTTATCGATATAGACCGAATCAGCAAGATCCTCCCGTGTCAAGGCCTCGCCCAGCAGATACTTTGGATTATGGTTGCGTCCGAGGAAGTTTTGACACATTTGCCAAGCCGGTTTCAGTGATAGCAAAGATCTTTCCTGATTTAGCACAGCCATTCGTTCAAACAGATTACGAATAGCGAGCTCGAGCTGGTCAACGGACATGTATTCGAAGATATTCCAGATGTATAAGGAAGCATTTAGAACTGCGTATTCGATATCTCCACTGCCAAGGCCAAGGAGATAAGCTTTCTTCAATTCGTCGAGACATGGCTGCAATGGCTCTTTCCAAAGATTGATGCATCCATAAACGGCAGCCGCAACCCTGCATTCCCAGACGTCCCCTCCAAATTTCTGAGAAAACGCAAGTGCATTCTTCCCGAATTTGTAACCCTCTTCGATATTGATGCCACCACTGAACGAGATCATGAGACCGATAGGTGTTTGCCATGAGGTTTTTTCAATCAAACTTACCGTGCCACAACAACTGAATACCCAGCAAAGCCAACACTTGAGACTGCACATGCTCCATGTTTCAGTGTGATATCGATGATGCGACAACATATGAGGACAGCTAGAGACGGTCTCGCGAAGTAAGCATTCAGAAACAAGATTTGCAACGCCATCATTACTTCAATCTTCTTCTTGTCGGCCAGTGTAGGTATCCTTAGCAGGGCTGCATCCGATTTTTTCTTCAGGCGACGTTTTGTACGTGCAACGGCTAACCCAATTTGCACATTTGTTGGAAAAGCTGGAATGGGATCCCCAAGGAGTGTCAATGTCTCCAAACCATATTCTAAAGCTTCAACGAGCTGCTTTCTTGTACCCAGTGTGTAAACCTTCATCATCCTCGCTTGAACCGTATCTTCAAAGCACATAGCGTTTTCAAGTACCTCACCCACAAGCTCTTCTACTTTGTCGAATTGCCCAACGCCATAATGGATATCCACTGCGTTGTTATGTAACGACAGGCATAAGTCGTAGTTGTCCTTCCATTTCCCGGCGTGCTCTAAAAGCTCAATCCCAAAATCGACAAAGAAAATTGAAGAATGAAAGCCTATAGATGTTGCTGCCGCTTTCGACGCTTGAAGGCATAGTGTGGCTACAGATGCTATATCTGACGAAGAAGAGGTTCCGGTAAGCTCGTCTCGTCCCCTGTAAAACAAGCTGATGATATCAGCAGTGTATTTGTTGATCCCTTTCTCCCCTGCTTTCCTCAATAGTCTTCGCCCCAGTGCCAGCGCGACAATCGACTTCTCGTTATCCGGGATAAGGCTGTATGTTGCAGTGTGGATACTGTCGTGCCGAAATGAAAGGATTCCGTCGCTTTTTTTGATCACAAGTCCCACTTTGGTTGCCATCACGAGTGAATCAGCGGCTTGTGAGTGTTTTGAAACTTTGTCTACAATCTTCTTCGAAAACGAAGGACCCAGGATAGATGCAATTTTCAGTGTTTCCTGTGCTGGCTGGGGCAGTTCTGCTATCTTCGTTTGGTAAAACTCACCCAGGGAGTTTATTTGCATCGATGGATGGTGAGAGAGCAAATGATTATCACAAATCCACTGGCCACTTCCGCTGTCGTATTTCAAAATGCCATCATCCTGAAAGGATCGAAGCAGCTCAAGAAGGAACAAAGCATTGCCTCCAGTCAAGTAGAAAAGGTCGGAGCTAAAGTTGTCAAGCTTTGGGAGTTCCAAGGAGATTTTATCAGCCATGAGTTCATGGACGGCTTGTGGAGTCAAACCATTTACTTCCCAATGATGTAAATTGACCGCGTCTTGGCTTAGAGCCGATGTCAGCTGATCGAACGACAAAGAGCTTGTACCAAGACCAGTACGATATGTAGCGATGAAGAATAAACCCTCTCGGTGGTCCACCAAATCCGTCAGGAAGTCTCGAAATGCAACTGGGGACGAAGCATATTGGACATCATCCAGTAGCACCACCAGCGGATACTCTTTGCAGACTGTTGATTTCAATATCTTTGAAAAGCAGAACTTCAATCGCGCACTTGAATAGGATACATGCACTGGCACCTGCTGCTTTTGCTTTTCATCTTTTTCGTCACCAGAGATACTTTCATGGATGGAAGACAATTCCGAATGTTGATATTTTGCCGAATTGCTGGCAAGTTTGAGAACCTCACCGAGTGCCGGAACAACAGATACCGCAATGCTATCTTCAAGGAGGTACTCCATCAAGTTGGTAATTTTCTCGACATGCATCCTTTGTATTCTTTTGTCGTTCATATCCAGGATACTTTGGCAAAAATCGCCAAATACAGAGATGTATGCAGCCAGAGAGTCGTCAACTGTTAGTTGCTCAAACTTCGCCTGCACGAAGAAACCATTGTTCTCGACGACAGTTGGTTGCAACGATTGTGCCAGAGCCGTTTTCCCAATGCCAGGTTCTCCAGAAAGAACCAAGAAGTTGGAAAGACCATCCATCCGTGTCACTGATTGTTCGTACAGAACGTTTAGATTACTTTGCTCTTGTGCTCGGCCGTAGAGGCGATCCTTCGATTTTGGATTTATTTCTATACACCTAAACTCCTGTCTGTTTTGGTCCTCAGCTTCTGCGGATGCCAATGGGGCTACTGGCATCAAGGAGGAACCCTTAAGATTGGATGATTGTGACGAAGTCTCGGTTGCCGCTGTATCTTCACTTGTGCATGATGTTGTTCCCTCGATGACGTCTCTGTCAGTGTTGTCGGAAACTTTTGAATTAGATTTTGAGATTTGCTTCAGCGCCTTGGTAATGTATTGCCTAGCTTTCTTGTCCCCAATATCATGCCAAAGGCGCCTTTCTTCGTCATTCTTGACAAAGCGGCCATTTTTTTCTCGTCGCCAGGATTCTAAAATCTCTAAGGAAACGATGGGTTGTTCAATCTTGGAAGCCTCCTCAAAATGATCAATGTATCTCTTCAAGAATTCATTGAATGCCTCGTTGTTGATCAGAGATTTGTACCCATCTTCACACACTACGTCGGAGATAGGCTCCAGTTCGCAGATATTACGCAGCGGCAATGTACACGTTGCCATCTTCGGCATAAAGTCTTGGCAACCAAAGTTCAGCAATGGGACTAATGGTTTTTTTTCGTATTTTCGTCTCTTCATCTTGGCCTCTCGAAAATTGTATCAATCGATCGGGTCAATGCAATCACGGGAATGAAATTAAAATTTCACCTCAAAAACAATCAAAATCAATCAATCGATCAATGGATCGGAAGACCACCAAAAAATGCGTATTTGCTTTGAGTCGTTTAACACACAAGAAAAACGTACGTTTTAAGCTCGCGGATATGCATTTTATATAAATCTAAAAACACAGACGCACTTCGATTGTCCAATCAAAATAGTAAAGAACATTACGTCATACCGCGTAAAACTCGTTTGTGGACTTACGATACAAAAACCCATCGATGGTAAAGAAAAATGTACATTCAAAACAGCAACAACATGGAAAACACAAGAGGTGGTGAAGACGAAACCGATTCACAAGTGAAGAAGGAATCGAAAGCCGAGGACAATGTCGAATCGTCGAGCTCTTCTAGTGAGAATGGCAAAGGGAGTGGGAGTGGTGGGTATAATGCAGACTGTTCCTCTTCCGATACATCTTCGCTAGAAGCCGTAAAAGGCTCTGTTCCAGAGAAAGAGATGAAAAACATGTCAATAGGCGCCGATGGTAATGAAGAAACGACAAAGAACAGTGGGAAAACTGGTCCGAAGCATGCCAAGAAAAGAAAATCATCAAAAGCATCAAAGACAACCACGAACGACGAAGAAGACAGCGATGCAGCAGCCAAGGAAGGAATAGTTGTGCAGAGTTCCCAAGAATCGACAGCATCATCAGCTCCACAGTGGAAGGGGTTTAGAGTACACCATCCAATGGATCCTCGAATAGACCTCAGCACAGTGGCCCATGTCCAAACCTCCGCCATAGCACTTCCCAACAATGTTGATGTTCCTTACCAACATCTTGATCTGTATAAATCTCTGAATGAGCAGAATCCAGTGCAGCTGGACTGGTTAACGATACATGCCCCTCCGACTGCAGACCAATACCACAATCTGATGAAGGTAAATATTTGTGTCTGTGTATGCACTGTCATACATGAATCAGTTTCTCATCGTGGTTCTTCAGGTTGTCCATCCATTTTACAATGCACATGGAATAATTCAGGATTTTGGTGATGCGACCGTTGCCACCGAGACTTCAAAGAAGCCAGCCGGATCACTACAGGACTCCTCAGATAACAGCAGTGATCAAAAGTCTTCTGGTGAAGACAAAAAGACGGACAAAGCAGGTGCAAGGGAGAAGAGAAACACGACTATTCCTTCGCTTTCGAAAAGGGAAGCTGGAGAAAGCGATGCTTCCTCAATGGTGGTTCTTGCTAGAGCGAAGAAGAAGAAGAACACGAAGAAACCGTCTGACGATCAGGCCAACGATGGATCAAACACCTCCTCGAACGCTGGATCAAATGCATCGTCAGTGTCATCAGAAAAGAAAGTAAGAATACACCATCCTAATAATCCAGAAGCAAGGAATCATCCCGATGGAGCCAATGATCGAAATGATGATCAATATGATGGTGATGCTGGAGAAGAAAGTCCTCAGGTCGAACCTATTGATCATCAAGAGAGTTCGTCTTCGGCATCTGTTGAGGAACGGAATGCCCCAGTGATACCTCAGGCTGCGCCACAAATGCATTTTCAAGGACCGGCAGTTGTTTCTGAGTACTCGTCTTCAAGAACGGGAGGCAGCGGTGAAAGCAACGGAAATGGCTTGTCAACTTCTGGTTCTGGAAGTGGAGCCAACACAGGAAGTGGAACAGGTAGCGGGTCAAATCAAGGAGGAAGTTCTGGTAGTGGAAATGATCACGGAGTAATATCATCAAACGGCAACGGCTCTTCCGGGAGCGGAAACGATGTAAAGGGAAGTAGTGAAGATACCATGGAGAACAGTGGCGAGAACAACAGCGGAGGTAACTCCGATGAATCCAACACAAAGAAGAAGAGCCTGGCCAATCCACCAAACATTGCAGGGGACGAATCGCTTCGACAAAATACTGGAAAAGGCGATTCAAAGGATGTTATGAACCAGTCGTTTTCCGAGCGATCAATTGGTTCGAAAGAACATGATGCTGTCAGAGAAAAGAAACTCCAGGACAAGAAGAGGAAGAGAATGAACATGAGACGAGAGTACGAGGAAAAAGTACAACAGGAGATGGAATCATCAGAAGACAGTAACGGGGGTGAAGACGTTGCAATCAAAGCAGGGCGTCCAATTACACTTGACAGAGTTCTATCGTTTTCCAGTGTGCCTCGGTGAGTTATCATGCTTGATTTTCTCTGGATTGCGACTATTTCTAACACCTTGCCCAGTATTGTGATGAAGGCATTTCCCCCTTTCCTCGTTGTTCACACAAACGCAGCATACAGTCGACTTTCGGGTATTGACTCCCATTCGGCTGTAGGCAAACCTGTTTCATCCTTGCTGTCTCTTCCTGAGCAAGATGCAGCGAGGGAACAAGGCACAAACGAGGAGTCTCAAATTGAGAATTCTTCTGTCGCCGTTGCGACCAGTGCCACTATTCTGAATCGAGAGGCACAAGCATCCAATCACCAGGAAGCGGAGGCGGCTGGACGCGCCCGAGCTGCTTCTGCAGAAGATAATACTACGGAGATGTCGCTTGAGAGGCTAGTTGCAGCAAGTGGGTATGGAAAACACCATCCTATTAGCGTTCTTTCGAAACCCCAAAACATGGTTGGTCGAAACGTGACTGCATCCAACCCTTCAACTCCTTCGAAGAAACGAAGTCGTGAAGAAGGAAGCAATGGTAGCAGTATTACCAGCAACAATGAAGGATCTCTCCAGTTTTTGAAACACAATATGAGCATTTCTCCAATCGTGTCGTCGCCAGAATCTTTCAACGTTGACACAACAACAGAGAAAGACCTCGACGGCCATCACCACAAGACAAAGAGAAGGAAGCATCACCCCTCAAATGATGCGCTACAGACTGGTCATAGAAAGCGCCAGTTCGTTACACATTTCGTCATCCAACTTGAGAAGTTTGATGACAGTGGAAAGTTTCCGGGAAACGCATCTCAGTCATCTGCCTCGACAAAACCAGAGAACAAGCGACAACGCCAAAGGCAGTCGCAACAAAATTCTGCCGCAGAGAGTGGCGCTCCCTCAGCAAACAACGACGAAGATAATGAGCCAGAATCTGAAAGTGATCAAAGCGAACCTATAGTGGCAGTCGCTTGATCCAATTCCATGTCTCCAATAGTACCAGCAGCATTGAAGCACTTGGAACCACTCTGCTGTCGCCAGCCTCTCGATTGGAGCAAATTAGAGCAAAAGCATAGCCTAGAGTTTCACCTATTTAGTGGATCGTCTCCAGACAACGAGTCTCTCAATTCAGGAAAGACTTCGATCCAAAGCAGATCGACGACTGAATGAGGTGTTAGAACGTTTATGAAGACAATGAAGACAGCAACATCCAATCCGGGCAATACTTACGCATATAAAATAGACTCTTGACTACCACTCTGTTTTGAAGCATTTCGTGCACCATGTCAAGGCCATCCTTTGTGAGGTCATCTCCCAACACAGCACTAATCTGCTCTGGGAAAATTTCCAGAAGTTTTGTCTGCGCCGCCTTCTTCATTTCTACTTCCTCGGCCGCCGTGAGTGGCGTTCGTGCTGCCATGAAAACACCGTCGGGCCAAATGATGTCGATCAATAGCTGAACTAGACGTGCTAGGGCCTCAGGATTTAGGTGTCTTGTGTGCAGGTCATGCATAAGACTTCTGAAAGTGCTCGTTTTTGTCATCGCTACAAAAGAAGCTGTTTCCAAAGCAGCAAGCAATTGACTCCGAAAAAACGATGCATTCTCGAAGCCAAATTGACTTCTGACAAGCTCAACTATACGGTTCCGAACTTCAGCCAAAGGAACCTGATCTACTTTGTTGAGGATTGCTGGAATTTGGTCGACTTTATCCTCCTGTTCTGTAACGCCCTCAAACCCCCCTCCTGTGTCGATTGACTCGGTTGAGGTACTAGATGGGATGTCATATGCGGTTGACGAGACAGAGACCCTTCCTCTTGGAATAGACCGGGCCGCGGAAATTATTTCATTACCAACAGCTTTTCTTTCGAAACAAGAGCGTCCAAGAGGATCGATATAATTTGACGGAGTCTGCATGACTTTGACCTCCGGGGGAAATGGATGGGCTGCACCCAAGAAGAGCAGCAACTCCATGCATCCATTTATTAGGTTTTCCGACAGCAATAGGTCGCCAAGATACTCACTCAGGAGTTCTCCTCTCTGTATTACGGCATTCTTGGTCAAAGCAAGTCCACCTGTTTTGCTCAATGATGGCACCAGCACATTCCTTGCACGACGGCCCTGAGTGGTAGCCACAAAAGCCGCTGTCGCTGCACCAACAAGACGGGACCCCGTACCTGCCGATGTTTCCTTGAGGGCAACTTGCGTCTTAATGTGCTTGTGGAATGACTGAAAGTCCTTGATTGTTCGATAGACAACCCAAGACTCGCGAAACTGCGCAGGCAATTGACCCTCATCAAGATATGATTCAATGTCATCTTCTTCGTCGTCGTCACCAGAGTATGCGACAAGTGCATTACACCTTACCTTGTACAGTATCGTCGCTGGTGGCATTTTTCCTCCAATCGGATAGGGGACGTCTTTTGCTTCAACGGCCTCCTCAACCTCTGCTTTCAGCTCGAGAAGCGTTGTTGGATTCCTCGGAGACAGCAATCCATTTCGACGGAGTTGCTCACGATCGATATGATAAACGCCCAATTTCAAGTCGCGAAGCAGGCTGGAAATTCTCGATCTGTCTGAACCGCGATCATTTGCGAAACTCAAAATTTTGAGCGTGGGCTTAAGATACAACTCAATCCGACCTCGTGTAGCACTTTTTGCAGATCCAGCGAGAACACAGGCCTTCAAACACTACAGAAAGGAAAACTTAGCTTTAAAAAGAACAACATCGAAAACGGTCAACAAAAAGAACGTACCTGTAGTTGAGCTTCTTGCCTCGCTGATGTAACCATCAATGCTGCCCGTACAAACGATGCTCTATATGGCTTCATCTCTGTACTGACTTGGTCCCCTTGCTTTTTATTACTCTTCATAAAGACCATAGGATAACCATCGGGACCCCACTCGACATCGTGCTTGAATCCTTCCGAACTTTGGTCGTCGCGACTATGGAATTGGTACTCCCTACCAAGCAAAAGTAACAGTGCACTCAAAGAAGCATCAGTAATCTCCATCGCACTCGCATCTGCTCTGTGCGCACCCCTGGAAGCAGAATCTTGAACAAGGAATCGTTTCCCAGCAATAGAAATTGCTGGCTGGTCGAACAGGGACATACGGTAGATGAAGTCAATTGCCTTTCCAGTCCTGGGGACTGCGTTGAAATCGGCCACTTCCATCACTGTACTCGAGAAGAAACTTGAAACTGAAGTCTCTTTCTTTTCTGCCCACTTTTGGCATAAGTGTCTCTTGCGCAACATTTCGGGCGAAATAAATGGAACAGGCCTACCGCTTTTGCTTCCACCGGCATCGGGGAAACGTGATTTACCTTTCCGCTTGTCGATCTTTCGGGCGTCGTTATGCACGGCGATGGAAGCAGTTCTGTCTGTCGGATAGTATTGCAAAAAACACTGCCTTAGATATCGTCCATTGTTATATCTAGCTGCTCCTGATGAAAGCTCTTCATATGTTGCCGAGAAACATTTGTAGCTCAAGTCATGGTTTCTATCATCGCGATGAACGCTGACTGGGCTCAGTGCTCGGGGCTAGAAACAGTGATCAATGCAACATTAGAGTTGGTTGACAATAGAATAGAATAAAAAATAATTTCATTGCAAAAACTTCACATACCTGTGCTCTAAGCAGAAAAGAAGAGTCATCATCAGGTACTTCAATTCGACGCTTATTGGAAACAACCTCAACTGTCATCAGAGCAACTTTATCTCCGTTCTTGCGTACAGCATCTCGCACACACATGTAGTTCGTTCCGTTGTAGAAATTTCGTGCTAGATTGTGGAGTTCCTGATGAAGCTCAATCTCTGTATTGGAGGATGTTTTCCGATGAACACACTGTATTGAGTCGTCCCATTTACGAGTTACCCACGATCTCGTCCGTCTCTCCCGTTCCTCCCGCAAACTCGAAGCAAATCCTAGATTTTTGTGGAAATCAAGATATCTTGGCGTAGTCATTGTGTTGAAATGGGACGTGGGATCCATAGACCATTGATCGCCATCTGGTCCCACTCTTGAGCTTGCAGATTTTACCACACTCCACGCCTTTGGCGTGCGCTTACTTGCAGATGATGCAAGTAGGTTTGACGATTCAATCTCAAGGTCCAATCGCGGACTTGATAATACAGCCATTGTCTCAACCATGATCTCAACTCCATTTAAGGCATCAAACATACTTGCAAACACTTCAGCATTCTCTGGACTAGAGAGAAATGCGTCAGTGCTATAGAAAGGAGCAAAAATGGAATGGAACCCCTTGACCAACAACGAAAGTGCTCTCGATAGTTGACCAGAATGCAACCATGTTGACACAAGTGTTCTGAGGGTCGAAACCTCATCTTGTGCTGGTTCAAAATCCATGTCCGAATTCTCCATGAGTTCTTGAATATTCTTCTCATTAGTTTGATTAATCTTGGCTTCGAAGGACGCCATATTTGAGGTCATCTCCATTAGTAGCTGGGGCAAGGACTCGCCAAAGCTGAGATCTTCTTTGCTGGATAGTTCACTGTCGGTTTCAGTAGACCGCTCAACTTCCTCACCTTTCGCAGGCATCGGCTTACGGAACTGACATCGTCCATGCAACAAGATTGCTTCGACTAGCATCACCAGTTTCAAAACAGCTGCTTGACAATCAGAGTTATCCCAATCTACTCGATTCTCGTCGTTGCCTTCTTGAATTCCTTGACGTGAATCAACGTTGATATGTTTCTGCATTTTATCAAGCGCGGATGAGACCAATTTGAGAATAAGATCACCCACTGGATCTTCCACAAAGTGCGAGTTGGATTCATCCGCGTCCTGACTTTTGGTGGGAGTTACCAAAGAGGTTCTTGTCATTGAACTTCTTGACGGCCGTACATCGTCCGATTGTGTAGTCGCTGTGTCAATTTCTAATTGTGAACGTCCTCCGTCTTTCGTCGTTTCATTTTCAACAGAGACATTAGCACGTGAAGATTTTGCTTCTGGTTTGGACTGAGCGGTTCCTTTCGCCTCCTCGGCGGCATTTTTGGACGGTTCCTCATCGTGAAAAGACCCTATATTTGTTTCGTCAGTTGTGTTTGTGTTTTCTATGCCTTGCAATCTATCGCAGAGTTGAACGACCAGTGTGTTCAGAAACAGCGGTGAAAAAATATTCATGATTGGAAGCAATACAAAATTGCCAAAGAGTTCCACCAACAAGGCTATTGTTACTGGAGAGGAACAATCCCCTTTGGGTAGCAATGCGCGGACTAGACGGTTTGCCAGCATTCGATTGTAGTCCAACTCGCACTCTCGGAGAAGGGGAGTATTGTAAAGTCTTTCCTCCAGTACTTGCATTGGATTCTCTGCTGCCTGATTTGTACCCGTTCCGCACTCTTCTCCAGAAGCGTCAGCAAACAGCAACGATGGGACATCAAGTCCGAACGTAATAGCACGATGCAATTTCCCAGAAAGCAAAAACTCGCGGGTGATCTGGACCTCGGTGGGATTCGCTGTCTCATTCTTCTCTTTGGCACTTGTTCGCAAGGCTCGGTATACCCGAAACGTCCGGGCCAGGACTTGGGTCCATTTCAAGAGGACCAAAGAAAAGACGTTGACGTGTTCCGCTCGAGTGGCCAAATTTCCAAAAACTTGGGTCATTAGTCGATAGGTTTGGTCCAACATGGGTATTCTACGATGTGTCATTGTAGAAAATACCATTTTGCGTTGCATTGGATTCGCCTGAGACTCTTTTTCATTCTCAAGCTCCTGAAACTCCTTTGATCTTCGGCCATCACTAAGAATGCCCTCTTTTCGTTTCTCGCTTTCTTCTCGAAAGACACACCCACCATCTACTTTACTGTACCATCCTGCGATAAAGTCCCTCATGATATGCTCTATGAAGCGCCCCAGCTCCGTAGCAATCTGTGGTGGCAAGCTTGGCCAGTCCTGTTTCATCATGGTGGGCGCCCTTTGTTCTGAGATTTCCACATCAGTGAATTTATATTCTACGTCCCAAAACGGCGAATTTTCCCGCAATACTTGCCCACGGAGAACTTTATCTTCAACTGGATAGCCTGCCAGAAACATCAACGAAACATAAGAAGCGCTGTCTTCCAACGATGGTTCTCGAACTGCATTGGAGCTGGATTGTGGCAATCGAGGTAGCTTGCTCTTCCGCTTCTTCTTCCGTCGCTTTTCCAACTCATATTTAACTCTTATATCTTCTAGTTGCTGGTATACATGCATTGCTAACCCCAGTCCAATGCCAAGGCCGAGTGCCACTCCCAAAGCTGTAGCTGCAACGTGCCACGCAGTGGAAAGAACCTTGAGGGGAGCAACCAACACAGCTGCAACCAAAACGACTGCCACCGCCTGAAGGTACTCTTTATATTCCTCTGCTATGCGTCGATGCAGAGGCATTTTAACCTGATTCTCTTCCTCGCTCGCAGTGGAGGAGGTCATGGTTCTGTTTGTCGTGGTTTCTGTGGATCGATCGTTGATCGAAAAGCAGAAAGGACTGAGAAAGTGTTTCTTGGATTGGCCGACCAAATGGACTAAATTTGGTGTGGAAAAATAGCGCACATGTTTTCTGATAGCAAAACAACTTGAATCCTGATACTGTAGTGTCAATAAACCCAACAATTCGTCATGGAAACCTTGATATTTGCACCAAAATCTATTCCATCAATGTGCTGCAAATATATAATTTGCAGTGATGAAATTTTCTGGGAAGTTTTTGGCAACGACTCAAAATATTTGTTGTCAATAACAGGATAATATTCCATTGTGGAATCCTCCTTGATTGATTGCTTTACCTATGCTCTTGTTTTTCGGGTGTAAAAGTACAAGCCTGCTAGCATCATACCGGTGTAGCATCGTTTCGTCCGACAAAATATATCCGCTGTCTTACGCGCAATGACATTATGCTCTCTCTCTCAACTATTTTCAATTTTGAAAAATTGGCGTAATGGATGTGTCGACGGGCGAAGTAATTTTACAAAATTGTAGAAAGACCGCTCGCACCCATGCCACAATTATGCCGATTGATGATATCAAACATCTCTTCTTGATGAGGGACCATCGTATCTGGCCCTAGCATGGTCTCCAAGCTGTTGTTTTGCCGATTGATCATGTAATACACGTTGACAGAACACCTGCTCATTGTGATCTATCGACTTAAAGCTCTTTGCATAGCAGACTCGTTATTTCAGAATTTCATGACATAGAACTTACGAAATTATTGTTGTAGTGATTTTTGAACTGCCATGATCATTGTTCTTGGATTGCAGCTCAACCAAAGCTCATCAATCAATAGCAAGCAAAGGGGATGAATGAAAGCTGGCCTATTTAGTGACGTTTCCAACACCGGCATAACTGATTGGGACATTGTGAATGCTCATTGGCTGTACATGTGGTTCTTAGGTTGAATTCAAAGATTATTGATCATTCTCCAGCTCCAGTAATATTCAAGCAGTACTTGAGTGCTAGCAATATACTTTTGCAGTTTGTCCAAAGGCAAGCAATCGTCTTGGAGGATGCAAAACTGCGACCTGAATGAATTCCAAGGCAAAGAGCCTTCCAGACAAGAAGATGAATTTACATCCAACAGTCCCACCATCAAGTTCAAGCAAGTCCTTGGTCCAAGACGAACACTGTGAAAATTTTCGATATTTGAATATTGCCGTCGATGTGGTAACAAATGACCACTTAGATCATGTACCTATGTAAATGATAGCAAGTGAAAAGATTGGAGATCCAAAAGTGGCATTACTACAGCGCAACTTTCCTGGTACCGGTACCGTACAGTACGCCTGATTGGATTTTGCCGGCGTAAAAGAAAATTTCAAAAATGGCACATTCGTCCTACCCAGATTCGAACTGGGGTTACTGGAATCAGAACCCAGGGTGATAACCAACTACACTATAGGACGGACTGCTTGGCGTTGAAATAGTTAATCTAAATATATTTTTATGATGAGAATATGATTTGAAATGAAATCATTGCATAGGTTTTCACAACCGAGACGGCATGAGAATAAAAAAGGGACCAAAAGGAGGAAAGAAACTACCTCTTTCCCTTGTAATACCAATCGTTCTTGGGATATGTATGATCTTGGATTTATTTCTCATAGGGGAGGTTACCGGTACCTCTAAGGATGAAACAAAGCCTGTAGTTCAGGATGTTTCACCAACGAAAACAACAACGACAGCAAATATCTTGAACTCCAAGGCACCAATTGTCGCACACGTCGTTTCGCTGATAAAGTGCTCCAAGCAAGCTTCTGTTACAGGATTTCTCGATGCCGCTGCCGTCTTGAGACATTCCATTCACAAACAGTCCGTCCATGAGGGAACCTCGAAATACTCCTACAAAATGTATGCCATTGTGCACGAGAACTGCAAGCACCATGCACACGTCCTTGACAGACTTGGTTATACATCACTGGTAAAGCCATCACCTGTACAGCTAGACGAGATTACTCCCGGATGGTACCGAGATCATGTTGAAGGAGAAAACTGCTGTGGTTCGTCAGAGTTCATCAAGCTTCATGCCTACACCCTCATGGATCATCCAGTGACAGTTCACTGGGATTTGGATGTAGCGGTATTTCAGCCAATGGACGACTTGTTTGATAGTATTATCTATCCACACGATTCACCCGAAGGAGTCGCCGCGAGGGCTCGATTAGAAGTCCAGCATCCAGAACGAACACTTCCAAGACATATCGATGCCTTTATTACACGGGATATTACTTCGTCGCAACCATGGGAAATGCACCAAGGTGTACAAGGAGGGTTCTTGGTGGCAAAACCATCCATGGAAAATTTTGAAAAGTATCTCGAGTTCATCAGAGAAGGAAACTACGTCCGAGGTCGTGGCAATGACAGAGGCTGGTATGGCCTCGGATATGGTGGTTTCCAAGGTGCCATGGCCTATCAGGGTGTTGTGGCTTATTTTTACGATCAAATAGCTGTAAACACAGCAGTGGAACTGGACGTATGCGTTTGGAATCAGGTGGTGGCAGATGTCATTTGGCGAGGGCCACAAAAAATGGATCATGCTAATCAATGTAGAGAGCATCCGAGGGATGGCGAGACGTTTGAACAGAACACTCCCGAAAATAAGCGGTGTCAGGACTGCAGAATATTTCCTGTCGACAAAACCAAGAGCGCCCATTACACCGCGTGTAAGAAACCATGGGAATGCTTGATTGCTCATCCAAGGCATGCTGCAGACAAGTCACAACAAACCCGTCTCAACAACTTGACAAACATTACTACTTGTGGTTTGCTGATGCGTAAGTGGTTTGATTTGCGATCGGACTTTGAAGAAAAGCTACATAAAACAGCAGGAGTCGTTCCTGCCACTCGGGATGGAAGTTTCAAGCCAGAATCCTTTGGTGGATACTGCAAAGGACGAGGAGCATATATTGCGATGAATGTGCCGCCAGAGAATTTTGATATTTCAAAAATGTATGGACTGTAAAATTGGTAGGAGGAATATGCAAAATGGCTCTGGGAGGAATGAAACGAGAATGGTGTTATCAACTATCGTGGCACCAAACTTAAGCTCAAGGATCCTTACACCAACTGAAACCGTAATTAACGCTCTTTAACGTGTGGGTCACGCGCATGACTTTTACGCCCTGCCACCAGGGTGCAGTAGAACCGGTAACTCGCCGTGGTTGTCATTCTCACAACATCACGTTTCATCGTTGGTCAAATGGACTTGAAAGCCTTGATCATTGACCAGAGGACCACCCGTATCCTCATTTTGTTGCAGCTATATAAATCCGGTTGACAACCTTGAAAAAAAGCCAGGGGCTCAAGTTTCCTCATTGATTGATTCATTCACTCCGAGAAAACGAAAATCAAATATTGAGCAAATCCACGTTCCTCTGGTACGTCTACTGTTAGCGATGCCTGATTCGCAGACGCATCGCCCTGGGGTATCACTGAAGCGGTCTCCAGATGCCTACATCTCAACAAAGCTCAAGGAAGCTGCTGACCTCGAGCATAAATTGAAGGCTAGTTCGGATGATAATGAGTCTGTCGCACTCCAACATAGTCTTTGTGAAGTCTTTGGCGACATTCTCATGTCTGATCCAGTGGCAGCGAAAAAGAATGAGATTAGTGGACGCCTTTGGAATGTATGCTTCTACAGCGATATTAGCCAATTGCGGAGTAAGATTAGTCGTGCAAAACGCAAGAAAGATCATGACGATCTGAAACGCTTGACCCGTGAGTTTAAGCGACGTTGTGAAGGGGGTGTAGCACTATACGACTACTTGGGGCGTCACTTTAAGACTAAGCTACTAATTCAAGCCGACCAGAGTCAGACGCAGGATATTGGAACTCAAGAATCCTCGGTTGATGATTCAGTTGAAGGAATTTCCAAATCTCTTGAGGGAGTTGTAGAAAGTTTCTTCAAAGTTTACATCTACTTGGGAGATTTGCATCGATATGGAGAGAACTTCAGTAAAGCCGAGGACTGCTATTATAATGCTGTCAAGCTTGCGCCAGGAAAGGGAAACCCGTACAACCAGCTGGCCGTAGTAACCCAAACGAAAGATCCAAAGATGTCATGCAACGCACTTCATTGGTACTGCAGGTCAATCCTTGCAACTCATCAAGCTTTTGGAACTTCGCCTGACAATCTTGAGCGGCTGTTCGTTGCAAATAAAGGATATTTGAATGAACACTCCCGAAACCCGAAACCTCCAATCTACATGCCTGAGAAACGCAAAAGTTCATCTGAACTTGTAAGGGCACAACAACAAGCTGCAACGAAGTCGTGCTTGGCTCATTTCGTCGAGTTGCTTCACGAGATCATCGAAAGCAGGAAACCTGGCGACGCAGATGACAAGGACGTGGATGAGGAAGCAACGCGCTCCAGGATGTCAGATGTTATGGCTTCTTTTGAGTCATTGCTTCAGGCTACTGCGTTTAGCGATGCACTGCTGTTCAAAATCGTCCAAATATGCGCATTTGTATGCGAAATCTGCAGGACCACGACCCCCATCAGTAAGGAGTTGTCCCGGGATTTCCTTCTTATGACTGGTGCGACGCTTGCAACTCGTTTGAACTCTATCCTGACACGAATGCTGGAAAAGGCCAAAGCTGGTTCCGTTCGATTTTTGTTGCCATACCAGATTCTCTGTGAATACTTGAGGCAAATTGAAGAAAGTGAAGGAAAGGAGCACGACATCTTTTGGAAGAGCTTTTCCGAGATTGCAAACCTCGTTTTGAAATTTTCGATACGAGCCAAGGTTGCCCCAAACTCTTACGTCCTTAACGGAGACATTAATGTACCACTCAAGGAGTACCAGCAACTGCGAGGTTATCGCCCCTTCAATTTTCTCTACAAGAACTATGCAGCAGGAAATCCATTCATCAGTGCAGAAGATGCTGTTGATGCCCTTGATCTCAATCCTTCGCAAGAGCACGCTCGGAACAGTGCAGCTGATATAAATACAACCAAGATTGCCCGGTTCTTGGCAATTTGTAAAGAATACGCGGACAATGATCGTTTTCCCATCACCTTCTCGGATGATGCGTACTCGTTCGTTGAAAAAGTTGCACAAGACGAAGACCAGGACGAACATATCGACGGTGCTGATTTCACAGGCTCTGCTCCGGAAGTATGTGATGAAGACGACGCTGGTGATGTTGTTGTATTTAGAGCCGTGGAGGAAAATGTTTCTGACGCATTTACGTCAAAGCAAGCTCAGCCACCACTGGCAATTCCACGAAATCCCAATGTCGCAAACGAAGGTGAGAGTGAAACCACTCATATGGCCCCACCTCCCGAGGTACTTCCACCCCCAGCAGCGTTGTTGCCACCTCCTGGATTTACTGCTCCAATGCATAATCCAGTGAGCAACCAAGGTCGCAATCTATTGCCTCCCATGCCACCACAGCAATATCCACACCCTGGTGTATATGGTCACGTGGTTCAGGGTTACCATATGGCGCCTACTCCACCACCACCACCTGGCATGGCACCATTGCAAGGAGTGCCTGCAGCAGAAATCAATGGACACGTCCCCTTTGGACAAGCATGGCAAGTTTTTGGAGGGCCATCAAACAGCACCCAGTCAGCAAATCCATTTGCAGCTACAATGCCTATTGGATCATTTGGGCATGCAAAACCTGCATCCCCGATGTTTGAAGATCAACACATGACAACCGACGGCACTTCTTTGCTCGACTCGGCGCTGATCGACAGTCTATTCATGGATGACACCAAGACGAATAATCCCTGGAAGTAAATTTTCATCATTTGTTATTTTGGAGACCTGCCTGATGAATTGTGAGTGGTTTTCTCGCTCCGCTCTTCACAAACGCAAATTAAATTATTGTTACAAGATTTCCGAAATCATGAGGAATCACAGACTTTAACAGTTTTTCGTCTTGCTGTAATGGTGAATGGGTAAAAGCCTAGCCCGATGAGAAAAGAGACAGAGTTCATGACCGACCTACAGTACCTGGTACTAGTTTTAAAATGTAGCACTTTCTTTCCCTAGAATTTACCTTTATTTTTCCAGATGTTGCGGACAATGGCCGGGGTCATCTCGATGAAACTTGACAGTCTTCGAAAAGTGAAAATACTGGAATTGAAACAAACTCGAACTGAGAAGGAGAAAAAATTACATGGCTAAGGCCAAAAAGCTGCAGCAAATCTTCAGCTAAACCGATGAATCAAAGATTTTGGGCCGAATAAGTGTCAAATATTAAAATACATAGAAAATAAAAGCTTATTATACAAAGCTGTAGCATTTCAAATTCCAGAATACTAAAGCCCCTTCTTCTTTTCTTCCTTTCTCTTCTTCTTCTTGTCCTTGCGCTTTTGTTTTTGATTTTCGTCATCTTCATCACGTTCGCGCTTCTTGCTCTTCCTCTTTTTCTTTTTCTCTGAAACATCGGTTTGAGCCGTGAGAACTGGAAAATCTGTGTTCCCAAAAATGCAAGCCATATCTTCTGCGCTCTTGGCACCAAATTTGGCTTCTCGCATTTTCGAGGCGTGGCCAGCAGTCACCTTGTTCTGTGGCAAAGTAATTCCCTTCCTCTTCTTTCGAGATTTCTTGGTTGTGGGTTCATGGTGCTCTTGCAAGTTCGACAAGACTGTCGAGAAATGATTCGCAGATTCAGAGTTTCCACCTTCGCTTTGGATTTTCGCACCCAGGCCAAGGCCTTCCTTCCGCTTCAAAGCTCGCAACGCTGTGTTATTTTGGTTTCTCTTTCCTATTCCTTCACCATCCTTATATCCCATCTTCTCAAGAAGCTTCAGACCGACATTACTTTTCCTCCATTCTACATTTCGTGTATCTTCAGTAGCAACGATGGTCATGATGCAATCTTGAACAGGAGTGGGATTTGCAACTATACTGATTTGCTTGCAGTATGAGTGAGTCTTCAGCTGTTGGTTCAGGGCAAGTCACAATGGTGGTGGAGACTGAATCGGCGTCTGGCCGGCGGGCGAGTGACGATTACCGAGCTTTTTTTAACCGATCGGGGGTCAGATACCTCTACCGGTAGGGGGCTATCCCCCGAAAATTCAACTTCAAGCAATGAGAGATTGCATAAAAATGTACCGGTACAGGGTACCGTAGGGTGTGCGTAACATGCCGTAAAGGCTAAAACAGGAACGGCCGGGAAATAGAAATTTAGCATACAATTCTGCAGAGTAAATATTGATTTTCCCGGCCGTTCCCAGAAGAAACAACAAAAGTCGAAACGTTAGGTCGATTGAGTCGGCGGAAAAACGACGATGAATATAATATATGTTGTCAACTGCGGCATGATGCGACATGGAGCTACACAAAAATGTGTGCTAAATAAATACTATAATTGTTCCAAATCCCACCGTACATCTCGTACCGGTACACCCGCCCGTGGGAAAAGAAGACACTGGCCAATTTGCAGAAAAGACGAATTATTTACCAACGCAGCTTTGAATAATTGATACTCTGGTTCTCGTCATGGATAGTTAGCTTCTCATAATATGTATTCGTATATTGAATCTATGTAAATGAAGTTAAACGGCATGGCGTTGCTGCCGTCGTATCCAGTGTCTTGACTGTAATGTTGTTCAAACTCCTTTTTCGTTGCTCTCTGACTTTTTCATTAACTCGACTAGCCAAGAACATTTCCATTTTGGAGTGACCCCATTCACAAAGAAGGCTCTTTCGAGTATTGCTTGAAAGCAGAAAATCTTTCCTGTTGCGTGACGTTGCTTTGGCGGGCTCGCTGCCAAGCGGCACTGACGCCTTGTTTTCGTACTTCCATCCCAAGCCAATGCTGGGGCCAGATCGAGTGGCTGGATGCATCTCTAGCGTCCTTTCATAGACTCGCTCTTCCACGGAACCGAAAGTAACAGCTCGACCCTCCTGCTTCAATTTGGAGCTACTATGTGCCAATCTTAAGCTAGAGCGTAGAGGCGTCCTTCGTAGCGAGGAAGAATACATATGCATTGGCTTCATTTCATTGCTTCCCGTGCTTCTCTTTTGAAGTGCCATAAGCAACGATCCCATGGAAGTCGAGGAAGCATCGTCGCTGGTTGTAGAAGAAGAATCACACTCGCATCTTCTGGAAAAGCGGTAGAAAATATGTTCATCCTTGAATTGATGCGAATGTGTCACATGGTGGAACAAATTGAAATCCTCCAAAAGACGCTGTCCAAGGAAGACGGCATGATTTCTGCATCTCGCAAGCCCGGAATTCACCAAATAGTCGACAGCTTGGCTTCCAATAAATGTGCGTTTGTACATCACGAAATGATGGAAATGGCTCGACACTTTGACATCTCTCTCAAATGCCTCAGCAATCTTAAGAAGTTCGAGTGAAGAGATTCTAGGATGTTCTGAAACACATTTCTCAGTGACATCAGTAAATCTGTAAAAGTAGTTTCCATCTTTGAGGCTGTGATCCCAAGACACGTGATAAAAGAGGTTGAGCTCCTTTTGTAATCGCTGTCCGAGGAAGACTGCATCTTCTCTGCAGCATGCGAATCCTTTCTCCAGAATGAAATCAACTGCATCACGGCCAACAAATGTATCATCATACTTTTTCAGTCGATAATAATTGGTGCCCACAGTGACTCCTTGAAGAAACTCGATTGCAAGTCTCGTCAGCGCAGATGGTAGCTGTTTTGGGTTAGTTGGATTTACGATGGAGCTTCCCGTTGATGAATCATCCAGATCCAGATCTGCGTCTAGGGCAAGATCTTCGATCGTATGTGATTCTGTCAGTCTTCGCGAGAATGGACGCGGTGGAATGTCATTGTCTGGTACTTCATCACGATCTCCTGTGGTTGGGCTTGCTTGACTTGGGGGGGAAATGTTTTGTGCTGGTGAAAATGGCCGAGGTGCCGGCGGCATCGGTGGAGGTGAGGTGGGGGCGTTTTCATCACTTGGCTCGAAGTCCTGTGAGGAAATTGTTAACTCTCGAGCCACAGGCTGAGGAGGCAGATCCTTGCTTCCTGAGGAAGAGCTGAGCCGATGGTACTGAGTTTCTGGTGTGCATGTCTCTGATGAGTATGTATCGACGGAATACATGGACTCTGTCCTCTCAACGGAAAGGAAAACTGTTGGATTTGTTATGTCTGATACCACAGATGATGATTCCATTGTGTTTTCGTCATCGAAATCATCTTGGATCGACTCGTCAAACTGAAGCAAGTCAGCAAGGAAACTGGGCCTCACAAGCACATCTTTTGCAGTCTCACTGTTGTGCTTTGAGAACCTTCGAACTGGGACTATAGGCCTCGAATCATGATTTCTGTTGTGGCTTTCGAAAAACGGATTCCCATCAAGCCCATCAAACTGATCTGGTGCACTTGATCTCTTGGACACATCCGTGTGAATCGGTGTATCGCTTACTGTGATAGCGTGATGGCATATCTTCGAATCTTCGATAATCATTGTGGTTGATGATCCATGCAGATGCATTTGATTTTTGGTGTTTTTCAGCGTTTGATTGTGAGAGACTGATTTGGATTGAAATAGGTCGTGTCAGCACCAACGAATTCACACGTGTTCCAAGAAGGCTCATGTTTGAGGTTCGACAGGTGAAAAAGGTCTTTGCGTCGAATTATGGAAATATTTTGACAAAGAAGGCCCGTGTCGTAGGTTCGTTCCATTGTGTTCGAAGCTAGTGCAACAATAAATGGAGCACGCCCGAAAGTGTTCCAAAATCTAAAATTCCTCGGATTGGTTTTACACCACGAAAACCCGGAAGTTTTAAAATCACTGAGCTGCTCGACTACTTGCTTTGATTCGATCTAATCATTCTCCCCCAAAACAACACCTCAGTCAGATAAATATCACAATCTACTGTAGATGGAGAAGGCTTTATACAGGTACAGTGGCCGATGGCTGAAAAATATGGTGGGGGCTAGCCAAAAACAATAAATATATAAATACTGGCAACAAGCTATTACCCCTAGTAGATGTGTTCACAAAGTGTTGGTACATCAGCATGAATCAATTTGACATGCTGTGCTGCTGGAAATATAGCTATATTCGTATTGCATACATAGTAACGAGTGATTACATTGTTAGCAATGCTACTACAGGAGTATGAATCAGGTTGACTTGTAACATGTGTAGCCTTTTGTTTTTTGCGTCCATTACAGATCTGTCATCATTAGTATTAAGCGATTCAGGAGTGCCAATGGATACTTACCAGTGCCTCTTCCTGCTCCTCTTACCATGATAAAAAAGAAATTTCATCAGACTGTTCGTTGATTGTTGTGTCAAAATTTCATCTGATTGGTGCCGTGGTCCCATCTAAATTTCATCCTTTTCTTACAGCCTTTCTCTGACCATAGTAGTTGTTTCCGGCAGAAGCTGCAGAAGCTGGATGAGACTGCAATCTCCCTTGCGATTGAGGTCCAGTAACAATTCCTTCCGTCTTATAATTGACCGTTCGTGACATCGGATGCAAGCCTCCAATCTATAACCGCACGTAACGTGACTGACTGGACTGCCGAGTCCCGAGCAGATATATTAGAGCGATCAAAGGCCAACGGTCGTCGCCAATCTCAAGCCCAAGATCAATCATCTATCACTACTCACAGCTGCTTCAGACCCCCGTAAATACACCCCAATAGCAATATCAATCACCGTCTATCATGTCCAACAGTAGCTACATCAATGCACTAGTACGCTCTCTCTACGATGAGAGTCAGGAGCACAACAATAGCACGTTAAGTGGAAGCCAGCCCGAGATTGGAAGCCCGAACGCATTCGATTGGCAGTCAGAGCCACCAAGTTTGTTCACACGATCAGCTAACAGATGGGGAGGACAGTTCAACCCTGATCATTTCCAGCGCAACGCGTTCGCGATGATGTCAGCAAGCCCTGTCAATATGGAGAACGCAGCGTTCGCCGCGATGACTGTTGCGTCACATCACAAATATGAAAAAAACAAAAACAGAAGCGATCGTGTCAACGAGAAATCGTATTGGGTCAACGGAAGCCACGTAGACGAAACCATCACCTACAACCAGTATACCATCGATACTGCCATTTTGGCTCCAACTACAGAGTCTCTGGAAATCAAGCAAGCGATCCTACAACAGTCTGTGAACTCCATCAAGCAGACAAAGACAATAATGGAACACAAGGTGGATTTCTTGATGAAGCGCTACACATCAGTATGCCCAGACGTCCGCTCGCGAGTCAACGCCGCCACCAGCGAATTGTTTGACGTGACTAGTGACGTGTACGAATTCACAAGCCTACACGTCATCGACAACACGGGACAAGCGATCGTTACAGGACCGGGACCAGGACTTCCAGCCCCATTTAGAGCCGCCGCCACATACTTCAGAATCGAGCTTCGATTGGTCCCACGGCTCTGCTCCCTACAAACTGACATTGGAATCAACCCAACAAAGTTCCCACCATCTTCCAACAGAGCCGTCTACGTTCCAGTGCCAAGAGTCCAGAACCAGATGGACGTATCCATTACTCGCCAAATGGTAATGGACCAAGCACATCACAAGGAAATCATCGCAGCAATGGCAGCATTGGGAGAAGAGTTCTTGATGAGAGCCGCGACCAGAGACGGAGAACCCGATAACGAAGCCTACGAAAAGTGGTCCAAGCAACAGATTGCAAAGACCCAATTCCAAGCGCTCGAAGAAGCACTCACGGCCACCTACGTCGGACTACAACAAGGAATGGAGACGCCAAACCAACAACTGGCAAAGCTCAACATGATCCGATACGAAGGAGGCACAATGATGTACGACAGCGTGGCTACTTTATTTGGCAGAATTGCCACGATTCTAAATGGGTTCAACCACGAGAATCCCCCGCCAACCAACCTATCAGACTTGGCAGGAGTAGCGTTCCAAGCCTTCACACAAGAAATCAAGGACATTGTGGCTGAACACCTAGAGACGGGAGCAGCGGGACCACTACTTATGGACTACCCCAGCAACCTGTCTCGAATGCACTGCCTACGCGAATGAGCAGAGAAGAAGAGAAGCGCATCAAGCAACTTGTGGGAATTGCAAACAGCGCAGGACTAGTCAGACCAAACAGAAGCTGCGTTCCAGGACCATCTGCACCAAAGAGACCAGGAGGAAGAGCTTTTGCGGGATTCCACCAACAAGGATTCCAAGGATTCCAAGCCAACTGCTCCTTCCAAACTCCAAAGATTGCGACCGCTGGAACCTTCCACACCGCATTGACAACCCCTCCAGCACCAGAGCGAAATGTTCGAGTCACTGACGGACAAGGAAGACAATTGTTGGTCCCGACATCCGACAGCAAACTATGCTGCCCACAAGCTGCCCTAACAATGCTAGTATGCATGAGTGCCGCCGAAGAAGCATTCAACATCGAAGAAGAAAGCGACAAAACATCCTCGATCCATTGTTGGGGATGCCAAAAGATAGGCCACACATTCCGAGAATGCCCCCACAAAGGAGATCAGGGAGTTATCAGCCAGTTTGAAAAAAGCCTAGAGGACTACAGACTAAAGAGAGAGCAGAGAACAAAAAAGCGAGATAACAAGTTACAAGGACAGCGGTTACATTAATCACATAGTTTATGAAACAATTCAAAAGATTGAGCACCCAGAAACGCGGGAAAACTTTGGACCTGGACGCAACTGTCAGACACTTGAAGCCGCTCGCCAGCAACCTGGACGTCAGAGAGAATCCTGCAGCCCAATTTGCAATTGAAGGTTAGATGGCGATTTTTCTTGGGCTACCTTGTTTGGTGCCAGCAGCCATTCATCAAGAAGAGGGAGGTGAAAACAGACCAAGATGAGACGTTACAACAGAGTCGCCTAAATGGAAGAAGTGGGGACGTAACGTGACTGACTGGACTGCCAAGTCCCGAGCAGATATATTAGAGCGATCGAAGGCCAACGGTCGTCGCCAATCTCAAGCCCAAGATCAATCATCTATCATCTACTCACAGCTGCTTCAGACCCCCGTAAATACACCCCAATAGCAATATCAATCACCGTCTATCATGTCCAACAGTAGCTACATCAATGCACTAGTACGCTCTCTCTACAATGAGAGTCAGGAGCACAACGATAGCACGTTAAGCGCATGGTCGTTTCCGGGAGAAGCTGGAGGAAATGCAATCTTCCTTCCGATTGCCTTGCTCCAATAAAAACTTCTCCAAAAAACACTTCTGCCATCTTCTGCCGGTGACACATGCTGAAATCCTCCGATCTGTAACCCTACTCGTTTGCGGCAGAAGCTGGAGGATAGTGCAATCTTCAGGAGTTGTTGGGATGAAGAAAACAAATCAAGAACCCTCCGATCTTCATGCATAGTTGGATCTACCAAGATCTTGAAAGAGTTAATTGAGGGTCAATCAACTCTCATCTCCTTCGGTGACTTGGTCAGACTTGAAGCTGTTAGCTGCTGCAGTTCGTATCAACTTTGCACAGCATCATACAGTATCGTTATTGCTTCTTGAAATTTCAGCAGAGGGATCCCCAAAAAGCACTGACCCAAAGCCAAATATAGAACTTTTCCAAATCTAAAATTTGTAAACGTCCATTTTGAGGTTTTACAAATCGTAAAATAAATCGAATCTAAAACGTTGTTTGATTAGTTTGACTAACCCTAAATGGGGCGAATTTGGATAATGGAACACTTTTGGGCGTGCTCCAATAAAAGTGATCAAAACTGCAGGAGAAAAATTCTTTTCTCATTTGTTCTTCATCATTCCAGGTTTCTCCGAACCATCTGGTCAAAATCCAATGGGTTGTACCACCGTACGAGTATGGACAGTCGGTTGGTGTACGGCAAAAAAGCTGCGGTCTTGACCGAGCAGCTAAACTCCTTCTATCGCCTCCATCATCCCACAAGCTCCCATTGCGAACAATGTCTTCTCCAAATCTTCCGCCCTCTTCGTCGACACTCTTCGCTCCGTCCGCCAACCGTGTACTTCACTGAAGCGACGCGCCGTAATCGACACGACGGAAATTGAGACTAAGGAAGAGCTAGAAACGCCCATACGTCTCCCGTCTTGCCGATCAATTACCGGTACCAACGAGCGTGCAAGAGTAAACAACTATTGTAAGCTTCATCTACAGAGTCATATACTCGGTTGCATATGATTTGGCTAGTTCCTAAAGTTGTGACATGTGTGTCTCATGAATGAATCAACTGTGGGGGTGATGTAAAAGTGCTGGCTTCTGCTTCGTCGAAGTAGAACACTCAATCTTCATTTTTCTGCCGATACCAGCCAATAATGAGAGGCATCAGTCACTTCTTGTTCCAAGTTCCAACCGAGTGTTCCAACAGATGAGTTTTTCGAATCAAAAACATATGTTGCAAACGGTCTTTAATATAAATGTTTGCTAGAAAGAAGCATGCATTTGGGGTACCATACTATCTGAAAAGAGATCAGACGTGACGTGTTAGCGGCGTTACCGTCACTGACTCACACTCCACTTGACTCTCTCATCTCCGTACAAAGGATTTCACAACGTCTGCTCGTCTCACCAAACATATTGTAACCGTTGTTTCCAGAAAACCGTTATTGCATACAGTATACAGTATTCGCTGAGTGAGACATCCAATCGGATCTGAGGACTGCTTCCGCTCGAAAACCAGTACGATACACACCGCAAGTCATTGCCACACCAATTCACCAGGTGAACAATTCAATTTTTGACAATGGGAAAGGTTGCACTTATCACAGGAATTACAGGACAAGACGGCTCGTACCTCGCTGAATTCCTTCTGGAGAAGGGATACACGGTAAGTTTTGTTTTCTTGGGTCCCACCATGGTTTCAGTTTCAAATTCAAATGGTCATTTCCTCATGACTTGATTATAATGTACGTTTAGGTCCACGGTATCATCCGCCGTTCATCTAGTTTCAACACTGGAAGAATTGAACACATCTACAAGGATCGTCATGACACTGGTGTCAAGATGTACTTGCACTATGGTGACTTGTGCGATGCCACAAACCTCATCGGCATCATCTCCAAGGTCAAGCCTGAAGAAATTTACAACTTGGGAGCCATGAGTCACGTCAAGGTCTCTTTCGATATGCCAGAGTACGCAGCTGATGCTGATGGCTTGGGAGTCCTTCGTATGTTGGATGCCATCCGTGCCGCTGGTATGGAAAAGACCTGCAGATTCTACCAGGCATCAACCAGTGAACTCTACGGAAAGGTTCAAGAAGTCCCTCAATCGGAGACCACTCCGTTCTACCCACGTTCTCCTTATGCTGGTATGTCGACTTTGTTGTATCTGAGAACTGTGATTTTTATTTCAGCAGCGTCTAACCAATCGTTTCCTGTTTTGTCTCTTCCTGACAGTTGCAAAGCAATACGCCTATTGGATCCTCGTCAACTATCGCGAGGCATATGGAATGCACTTGACAAACGGAATCCTTTTCAACCACGAATCTCCTCGTCGTGGACGCACATTCGTGACGCGAAAGATTACTGTCGCTGTTGCCAGGATCGTCGAAAACATGCAGAAGACCTTGTACCTTGGAAACCTTGATGCCAAGCGTGATTGGGGGCATGCTCGTGATTACATTGAGGGAATGTGGATGATGCTGCAACAAGACGAGCCTGATGATTACGTCTTGGCCACTGGTGAGACCCACTCTGTCCGTGAATTCGTGGAGAAGGCATTCAAGTACGCTGGAGTTGAAATCAAATGGAAGGGCCCAGCTGGAACAGTCGACGAAATCGGCGTTGACGCTTCCAACGAAGAAAGAGTGCTTGTCAAGATTGACCCTGCGTACTTCCGTCCTACTGAAGTCGATCTTCTTCTTGGAGACCCAACCAAGGCCAAGACCAAGCTTGGTTGGGAATCCAAGACTCCTTTTGTCAAGTTGGTGGAAGAAATGGTCAAGGAGGATCTTGCCATTGTCCGAGGAGAGATTGATGATGCGGAATCTCGAGAGCAATAAATGTAATTTGAATTCTGTTCCATATTTGACGAACATAGAAACGAAGAAAATCCAATGCTTTTTTTGAGCTGCCATTCCGCATTGGTGGGCACACCTATTCGGAAGTTTTTGGTACGATAACATAGCCTTGGTGATGAATATGTATTGATTGATACTAAGCAATGTATCCATTGCATATGAATCATTGATACTATACTAGGCAATTATCCATAGGATGTGAATCCTTTATACTTTTAACTGTTGTGATTGTCGTTCAACTCCATGGAACCACCAGCAATACTACACTTTCTTGGTTACGGATGCATGTTTTAAAAAAAAAAGGGGAGCCAAATATTGGGTGCCTACCTGGTACGTTCAAGGGGATTTGGCGGTCTACTGACAATTTGTACTGGCTTAACACGTGGAATTTGTCAGCCATCAATCAAAAGATTTGAAAAATCGAAAGACAAAGAAAACTATCGGTTGTTGACGACATCCATTTCATCCAACTATCAGATCAATACCGGTACCTATTGACACAGCACAATGATTCGACAATACGCTCTCTCGATATTCCTATTGCTAGCTGCTATGGAAAACATCTCTGCCTTTGCACCAGTTGCCTCTACTCGCACCTTGGGAAGTGTGTCACGACCCATTGCCCAACCACTCTACATGTCCGAGGAACCAGAAGCCAGTGCCGAGGAGCCAGCTGCTGAAGAGCCCGTTGAAGCAGTACCAGAAGATCCCGAGGTTACCGCGCTCAAACAAGAGATTGCCAACTTGGAATCCGACCTCAAGGCCAAACAATCGACACTGTCATATACCCAAAATCAAGTAGATGAATATTCCAAGGGTGGATATGCCCGTAAGGTTGCTGAGATGGAAACCATGAGACGCGCTCGCAGTGTAAGTAGTGGTCTTGTAGTATTCGCGGATGGAATAGACAAATCAATGTCTACGCAATGGAGGAATTCAGCAAAAATTCAAGATTGAGCGCATTGCATCAGGTTTCACATCATGGCAGCAATATCTCACATATCTGTTCTACCTATATTTGAAACTTTCGGAATCTACAGAGCATGAACTCGTCAAACAAATCCAGTGCTACTGCTAGTGTCCTGTCTGAATTCCTTCCACTTTACGACAAATTCGTATCAATGAGAGAGCAGTATGCCGACACTGAATTTGGCAGCAAATACGGATATCTCACCATCGTGGATGCCTTTGACAAGATGGGAGTTACAGAATACAGCTTGGAAACGGGCCAAGATGTTGATGCCTACAGAATGGCGGCGGTTGAATCCGAATACTCGACTGAAATTGCCAAGGATAAGGTGATCCGTCCAGTTGCTGCAGGTCTTGAATTGAAAGGAAATGTCATTCGTCCCGCCCAATGCGTGGTCAGCGCTGGACCAGAAGAGGAAGCAGCCGCCGCGGAATCTGCTCCCGAGGCTGATGGGGAATAAGAATAGAAGCAACATCAGTAGAGAACTAACTAGCAGCTCAGCCATACTCCTGTCCTCTAGAGAGCAATCCAATCATAACTAAGAACTTCTTGCATTCAAGCACAATCAAAGAGGAAGCTGTGACTACTTGCGCTGTATCTTCATCCAAAGTATATACTCGTTGTATCCACAGTATCTTACTAATATCGGTGTGGTGCTCTGGAAAAGCTCTGGGACACATGTGACAAGAGCGCAATTATTAGGGGTCACTTGAAAATGACCGTACCATGGACAGAATGTACAAGAATTTCTGAAACCTTGCGTCAGTCACGCCATTATTCCTAGTGACAGGTTGTTGCAGAGCAAAGCATACGGTAGTCACTAAATTGCAAAGCCACAAGACTGTTTCGCTCTTGAAACTTATTCCCCCCATTGAATAGAAGCACTGTGAGAAAACACACGCACAAGATGGCCAGCAGTCGGGTCTCCAAGGCCAATATTGCAGATATGCGGGCAACGGACAAGATTGGAAAGAGAATTTCCACTGTTGATAAATTCGTTCCGCCAGACATCAAATTAAATCTAAAGACAGCTGGTATTGATCGTGAAAAAATGAAGAAAGCAATGGCTCCCAGAGTCCGCCCGAAAGGCGGCAGGGGTGCGAAACCAACTCGAAAAAAGACAGATATTTTTGCACTGATTGATCATGGAATTGAAATGGATCCCACTGAAGAGGCTAAGGCTAAACTGGCAGCTGAGAAAGCAGCAAGAGAGGCTCCAATTCCTGATCTTTTGTTCAAGCCAAAGCCTAAGGAGCCAGATCCTGAACCAGAGCCTGAACCAGAGCCTGAACCAGAGCCTGAACCAGAGCCTGAACCAGAGCCTGAGCCTGAACCAACTCCAACACCCAAAGTGAAAGACCTTGGAAGACCACCCAAACCAAGCCGCAGATCAATAAAACTAGAATTGGAAGAACCAGTCAAGGAAAGTAAGTCCAGGAAGACACCAAAAAGAAGTAAGAGTACTGATATACCAGATGATGTGAAAAAGAATAAGAGGATTTCCGTGAGAAATCTACCTCCGAAACGAAACAAGAGTGTTGATCTGGATCTCCTAGAAGATAAGAAGAAAGAACGGAAACCTAGGAAAAACAAAAGTGTTGAGGTCGGCGATGACGATCGTTCAAAGAAATCGAAGAAGAAAAAGAAGAAGGAAAAGAGACAAAGCATTGATATTAACGATGATGCGTTTTCCAAGAGTTCGAAAAAGAAGGAAAAAAGAAAAAGTCGTAGCATGAGCAATGATTCGAAATCTTCGTTGCACAGCTTCAAGAGCAATGATTCTGGACCCAGTATGCATGATTCTGTACCTGATTTTGACGCTATTAATGCGATTAAGGAACGTAGGCAGAAGGAAAGGGCAAACAAGGACGAACCAAAAGCAGAACCAGTTATTGATTCCATGTTTTCTTCTGATAGCTCGAAAGATGCTCAAGAACTCAAGAACGAAATCGACTCTGTTAACGACCAAATCGAAAAGGCAGAATCGCAAAACGAAAAGGAGATTGCGATTCTGAAGAAGGAGATGGAAGCAAAAAAGAAGGAGCTGGACGAGGAGTTCGGTCCACAGATTGAAGAAATAAAACAGCAAATCGCAAAGAGCGAAAGAACCAATGACAACCTACAGTCAGGAGCGCAGAAAATTATTGAGAAATTGCGAGCTGAGAACAAAAAACTTCGGGCTGAAGCAGACAAGTATCCCCCGCAGATATTGGATTTTCGGCAGAAGAACTACGACTTGGAGAAAACCAACAGAAACGTAGCTCACACGACTGAAGAATTGAAGAAAATGGCCAAGAAGCTAGAAGGAGATCACGAGAAGCTTCATGCACAAAACGAAAAGTGCAGAGATGAGTACCTGCCAAAATATAGATCTGAGTTGAGAATGAGACAGAAGCATATTGAGACAGAACAAGCGATTAAGGAAGTCTATCGTGAGACTGCAGTCAAAATCTCCAGTCGCGTGACCCAGACACGAGATGCCGACTTGATTGAGGCAGTCACCAACATGATCATTGACATTGAAGGTGAATTGAATCCCAAATTCGATCCGATGATCTTGTTCGCCAATGATAGTGATGATTCCTCTAGTGACGACGACAGTGACGACGACAGTGATAGTGATGGCGATTAGAGAACATTTAGAACTGTAAAGTGTAATAGTTATTGGTTGAGGTAATCGGTTAATTTGTGCCAGCTAGAATACTAATATATCACATCTCCCATCTACAACAATATCAGAGTAATGCATTTGAGTATTAATGGTTGCACATCCGTACACTTGTACGGACGATCCCCCAAATTCAGAACATTTTTGGCGGGTTACAGTTACTGGCATTTGTTGGTATTTGCGGGATTACCGCGTATTCCTGGATACAAAATATGAATGATCATGAAGTCCATTGATTTGGGTTTTTCGCAACGGAGAATACTGATTTCTTTGGATTTCCCCCTGTTGCAGCTGTTTCAACAGACTTTTTGCCCAAACATGGCGGTCTTGGCTCCGAATTATACTGTTATGCCTACCTCCTTCTATTGAACCTCAAATTACACATTACTGGAAATCAATTGAGTCTTTCAAGCTTTGTTGTGAATTTCTTTTAACAGCAGAACTCTCGTCGTGTAGAAGTCGAAGCTGTGTACAAGGGGTCTTTGATTCGGAAGCTAGTGCCATACATTAAAAAGTGGATGCAAAAAGAGAGACCATAATCACAACAACGACGAACAACGCAAGCAACGCAAACATGGGGTCCTCTAACCCGGCAGATGATACCCGGCGAGACAAAAAGAAATCCAATAAGAGCCCACATCGCAATAAAAGTATAGATGAACTTCGAGAGCGACGAAATCGGAAAAAAGCAAAAGAGGCAGAAAGGAAGAAACAAGAAGAAGAGGAGATGTCAACGATGTTTGACGAACCTCCTCCCAAAAGCCCTGAAGAACTGCGACAGGAGTTGGATGAAATTAAAAGGAAACTGAAGGAGTCGAAAGAAAGTAAAGTGCAAAAGCTCGCCGAAATGGAGAAAAATATGAAAGAAACAAAGAAGGAATTGGCCAGTACATTCGGAACGGAGATTGATGGTAAAATAAAGGAGAAACAAAGACACGATAAGCATCACAATGAAATACAGGCTGGGGCACAAAAGATAATGGCTAAATTACGAGAGGAAAATCACGGGTTGCGAGCAACTGCCACCAAGTTTCCGAAGCAGAATAAGGAACTGAAGAGAACTAATAATGCCTATGACAGAACCACTCAGCAGATTTTGATGCAAAATGACGCATTGCAGCAGTTTTGTGACAAATTGCAATTCGACCAAGATAAACTTCAAATGTCTAGCGATATCCACAGAGATGAGTACATTCCTTTCTACAGAGTTGAAATAAGGGAGAAACAACGGGAGGTAGATCTTGAGAAGAAAATCAGGAATATCTATCGGGAAGCGATGGTTAAGGTTTGTAAACGGATTATGAACACAAGAGAGCTCGATTTGATTGAAATAGTGAGTGAACTAATCGCAGAAGTCGAAGGGGAGTTCAATCCATCGTTCGATCCATCAGTTTTGTTTGTCAGGGAAGATGGTACCAAGGCCAAAGACAAAGATTCGGATTCTGATGACGATTCTGATGACGATTCTGACGACAGCAGCTCATCCTCTAGTGATGATTCGTCTGCATTGGAGTCAAAAAGTGATCCTGAAGACGATTAGGGTCCTGTATTTATGGAAGTGTAAAGGTGCAGCTTTTGATGTTTCTACACGTTCAATCAAATTTGTTAAGAATATTTACGTGTCCAATCCAATTCTTCCAGTAGTTCTATCAAGTCTGCTGGTTTTTCTAAGACAGGGAGTTTGGAAAGCTCCCGGTTGACCTCTCTCGTCGCCCTTTTGGCGTCCTTGCGGAGTTCTCGCTCCTTGGCTACAGTACTGACTTCATCCAGGATCCTATCCAGTCGTTTCTGGTACAAATCCTTTATTCGCATCTCTATGACACAGTGCAGGTTCCGGTTGGCAAGTTCCTTCCGATGATTTGGGAGGTACTTATGCCTGCACTTTTGTAGAACAGTTTCAGTCTTCTGAAGTGACTCGTTCTTGTGCGCCACAAACTTTTTAAGGCTGTTGAATCTTTTATCAATCTCGGCAGACTTCGTATCCAACATCCCAAACTGTTTTTGTAACAAGCTGTGATCCGCTTGCATTGACTGTCTTAATTCTCTGAGTTTTCTGTTCTCTTCTCTGAGATATTCAATCAAGTTTTGGTTCTGTTGTTCTGCATCCGTGACTTTCAGTTTCTTCATTTCTCTCTTCATTTCCTTCTTTTTCTTTAAATGTTCCTTTTTCAATGTCTTCAGTTCAGCTGATGCCTCCTTCGGGATCTTGGCAAGCCTTTTTTCTATCTTTTTGATCTGCTTACTATTCTTCGCTCTCCTCCGCCGGCAATCAATCAAATGCAGATATCGTTTTCGTTTAACATACATTCTGTATCTTGTCTGCACCCTCAGAGCAGACCGGTACCTTAGCTCCATGGCAGATTTCTCCTTTGCGATCTTCGCTAGTTTCTTGTCTCTTTCTCGTCTCATATTCTTATACCTGGTTCTAGCTGCCCATCCATAAATGTAGGCGATTGCCAGTTCTCGCTGTTGATATTCCTTTTCCTCAGCTGCTGTCTTTACCCGTTCTTCTCGCTCACGGTACTTTCGGATGTGTTCAGGAACGGAATATTCTAGTGCCTTTTTTTGTTGCTCTTTACGAGCCAGGATTTTCAATTCGATATCTGGAATTGTCACCTGAATACTAATATCTTCGGGAGTATCATCCAAATTTTGAGGCATAACCATGGCCATTTTCGATATAGACAATCTGGAAAGGCTTCCTGGCGACATCGACACGCGGCTGTTGAATCCTCCTGGCGACTTTTCCATATACGAGCCGCTCAATTGGCCAAGTGCAACAGGGGACATCTCTTTTTTATTCTTCTTCACTGCTCCTCTGGGACCGCCCATTGGCTTGTCTAAATAGGTCGATGTCCATTTCTTGCTCGCCTGCATCTTCTGTCCACGAGGAGAGGCAAAAGAAGGAATTTCTTTTTCATTGATCATTCCAAGCCCTTTCCTACCCAATTGTGTTGGAGTTACCAAAGCGTTGAGAGAACCTCCGCCATCATGAGACGAAAGAGAAGACAAGTTGCCAATGATTGCGATGGACTGCCTTGTTCGCCGTGGTCCGTGAGCTGAAAGAGATGATAGGTCACCTGGTACCGCAAATGACCTCCTTGATGACGGTGGAGTTGTAAGACCTTTTGATGAATTGTGTTGTGATCCCCTTTGACCGAACCCTTCTTTGATTCCACCTTGATCTGAACCAGGAGACAAAAAAGTAGACATCGATTTTGGTTTCCATCTTTCTGGTGACACAGAGGGCGAAATAGAATTCTCGCGAGATGATAAGGCACCTGAAACTGCAACCGATCTCCTTCCTTGAAGCGATCCCGGAGATGTGGCACCTGGGCCATCATGAGATGAAGCCGACAATAAACTACCTTGTACTCCAACCGATCTCCTTCCTCGCAACGACCCCGGAGATACGGCACCTGGGCGATCATGAGATGAAGTCGACAACAAGCCGCCTGATACTGCGATCGATCTCCTTCCTCGCAACGACCCCGGAGACATAGCACCTGGGCTAGCACCTGGGCCATCATGAGATGAAACCGACAACAAGAAGCCACCACGCGCTGCAATAGATGCCGGAGATTCTGACAGGGACTCTCGCCTGCGGAATTTCGCTCCTGGACCATCATGAGATGATACAGACGACAGGCCATCTGGTACTACAACCGATCTCCTTCCTCTCGACGACCCATCTGGGCCATCATGAGATGAAGCCGACAATAGCCCACCCGGTACTGCAACCGATCTCCTTCCTCGCAACGACCCCGGAGATAGTGCTGCAGCTCGAAAAGAGGGCGGGGCACCTGGAGACATGGATTCTCTTTTTCGAAATGTTGCGCCTGGGCCACCATGACCTGAGACTGACGACAAGCCATCTGGCACTGCGATCGACTTCCTTCCTCGCATCGACTCAGGAGATACCAAATGTTTGAAAGAGGGCGGTGGCCCTGAGGAAACGGATTCTCTTCGCCGGAATTCTGCACCAGCTCCAGTCGGCGATGACAAAGATGAGAAGAAATTAGCCGCCATCGATTGTGCTTTTCGTCCATCTGGTGAAACTGATGGTGACTCGGATCGAGATGATCGAGATACGGATGGTGATATCGATCGCGACACGGACCGTGAACTGGAGCCAGACGTAGTCTTTCTGAAAGTCAATGGAAGGTCTGGGGCGAGCACTTTTAGTTTCCTTCCCCGTTCTGGTAAATTGGAATCCACTTCAGGTGACAAAGGTGGAGGGGATAAACTCCTCTTCATCATCGCCGCTTGTTGTTCTGAGTCGCTATTTTTCGCTTTTCGTCCTCGTCCAGACGAGGGGCTTTCTGGACTATTCATCAGAGGGGGCGAAGAGATGCTACAATGCATTCGCTGATGAAAGCTCGACTCCTCCACCTTCTCAGCCACTGAAACCTTCTCAGCCTCTTCAACGTCCTCTAATCCGCAAGTATCCGACGATGGAAAATCATCGTTGGACGCATTGCCTTCAACTTTCCTTCCTTCCTTTCTGCCATCAGGTGATGGCGAAGACTCATAGAATGTTTCAGGTGGCGGTGGGGCTGGATATCGAGCTCGACTTTTCTTCTTGCGAAACAATGAAGCTGCTTGTCCAGGAGATGCGAAGGAAGGAATTTTTGGTGTAACTGCAATTGAATTTCTGAGTCGTCTCGGTGGGGATACCAACGCTTCGAAAGACGATGGTGGCGCTAAACCATGGGACTGTCTCTTGCGGAGGTCGGTCAAATCAGGAGATGCTGAAGAAACTTCCCCTGTCATTGATATCATCTTTCTTGCAGATTTGAGATTTTTTTCGACTGGTGTAGATGTTTGAGCTCCATTCTTCTCGCTAGATGTTCCCTTCTCTTTTCTCCGAAAACGGGGCGATGATCTTTCTGATTGAGAGGGCATGTTGGAAATGAGCGTACATGTAGCAGGATTACTGTTAGGTCTTTAGCTTGTTGTTTCCTCGTCGTTGTTGATCGTTCTCAGAGTTGGAATTTACATGAAGAACCATACAAAAAAAGTCCGATCGCCACATAAATTCGATCGAAAAGTCCGTATAAAAATAATAATGATCGCATTTTCTGATTTTATAAAATTTTAAAAAAGTTTGTCCAAAAGTGAAAATTGGGTTGACACATGATTCCACCTCCTGTATCCACTCCCCTCCCCCATGTTCAAATTCACAAAAGTGCCACATCCAAATCATCAACCAAAACAAAACAAACGTCAACAACTCTATTATTTCCAGTGACAACAAAATGAACCTTGCCGGAATGTGTCGCGGCCAATCATGGACTCTAACATTTTGTATGATAGCCTTATTTTTCAGTTCAGCTTCCTCATTTGCTCCCACTCAGTCGCATCGGAAGGTTTCGTATCGGCAGGAACAAGCGTCATCGGAGAAATCATCTGATGGGTCCTCCGTCTTTACCGACTTTGTGGAATTTCTCAAGGAAACTCAGGCATCCATTATTGAGCAAGTGGAAGAGCTAGATGGTGGGGGAGAAAAATTTTCTAACGACAAGTGGGGTGTATTTGAAGACGATTTTGATGGGGGGTCTCTCTCGGGAGGTATGACAAGGGTGATTCAAGGTGGTGACATTGTGGAAAAAGGAGCCTGCTCCTTGACCCTGATTCGTCGCGGAATTCTATCAGCTGAACGAGCAGCTGCCATCCGTTCTCGACAAGATTTGAACATTCAGCCAGGAGATGTGTATTCGGCAGCTGCCTTAAGTATCGTCTTGCACAGTCGGAGTCCTATGATCCCTACCTTTCGTTCTGATGTCCGCATTTTCTTGGTGGAATCTGAATCCGAGAAGGCAACGATGGCGTGGTTTGGAGGAGGTGCTGATTTAACCCCGTACTTTCTGTTTGACGAAGATGTCACATTTTTTCACAACATGGTACGTATTGCGGATGAAAGTGTACTATTGAGTAGTCACGCCCTCCTGAACCTTGTCATTGAATGCCATACGACCCCAAACAGTATCGCGACCTATGTGCACATAATCCAGAAGAATTTTCATATGAAGCACTAAAGAAGCATTGCGACGACTACTTTTATCTTCCAGCCAGATCAGAGCATCGTGGAACCGGTGGTATTTTCTTTGATGATATGGAGGCAACCCCGGAAGCAATGAATTTTGTAAAGGGAGTGGCCGAGTCTTGGGTGCCATCTTGGCGTCCCATTGTAGAGAAACGAAGAAAGACAAAGTTCACGCAGCAACAAAAGCAGTGGCAACTACTTCGTCGTGGACGATACCTAGAGTTCAACCTATTGTACGATCGTGGGGTCAAATTTGGCTTGGCCAATGCAAATCCTAGGGTGGAAGGTGTAATGGTATCGGCACCACCATTGATTGCTTGGGAATACAATCATGACATTAAAGATGGTAGTGAGGAGGCTCGGTTGGTGGCAATTCTAAAGAAACCGAAGGATTGGGCCACCACTGAGTAGCTACTCCAATTCTCGCATGTGATTAATGATTGATCTATTCGAACTTTTGTCGACGAAACATTTTTTTATTTAAGGATCACCGCAGCACTTAACGCGTTTTTGCATGTCAACGATCAAAATTTTAGGCGAAGATTACCGCTTGGTATCAGTATGACCAACCTTGACTACGAAGCCTCCTTTCAACCTGGCATTCGAAGCTGGTGGTCACTCTAAACCTCAACAACGATCATCTATCCACGTCTCAGGAAACCGGTAGACTCGAGCTATTCCACTTGAGATATTGCGCTTGAGCTAGCAGCAAGTGTAGAAATCATGGGGCTCACAGAAGTAGAAGCAGCGATAAAGCTGCAGGCATTCACTCGAGGTGTAATGAGTAGGATAAAAGTCGCCGGTATGCTTGGTTCCGTTATCGAGGGTATGCTGGAGGAGCAAGCGCCACCAGATTCGAGAGATGATGGTAGTCATTTTGGCAGTGTGGTCGACATCGGTGATGATATGAGTTTGGCATCTGATGATTTCAACGCTGATGAGTTGCAAGAATACCTCGAGAGAAAGTATGACGCACCAGCTGAAGAACCGTTGGCACCCGACGATGAAGCAGAGAGGATTGTTCGTCCATCTGAGCGAAAAGAGTCCTGGATTGTTCACAGTCCATCGCAGGAGAAAACAAAACTTGGGACTCAGCCTTCAACTGAACGACGCGGTAGTGTGGGTGGTGTGAAGGAACGAGCGAGCATTTTCAATAGCTCGACTAGCAACATGGAAACTGGAGATGATCTTGACTTCAATCATGGTACGCCTCCGGCGCAAGATAAACAAAAGGTGAAGAAAATCGGTGAAACCGTGACCAAACTCCTTAGTCCCAAGCGCATGTCGGATTTACCTTCTCCATCAAGCAGACTAAAGAATGCAATACCCACGTCTGTTAGGCGAAACTCGTCGGCCATACTAGACAAGGTATCAGATTACAAGACGTCCTTGTCGCCAAAAATGGAGAGAAAGAAGAGGAACTTCCAAGTTCCCCGACGCAACTCTGACGCTTTCATGGACAAGGTGACAGTATTCAAGGACTTTGGTGACAAGATGAAAACCGCGAAAGATGCAATGTCACAAAAAAAAAAATTCAACAAGAAAAATAAGTCGAATTACGATATTGACACCCACAGCACTCCGAGGGCCAAAGACCTGCGAAAGAGCATTGAAGCGGGTCTCTTCTTTCAGAACATGGAGCTCCCAAAGATTCAACCTTTGGATGAACCAGAAGTTGAAGGTATCAAAGCAAAGATTGCACAACTAGGATTCGACAAAGCCCGAACCGATCCTGTCGAAGAGCTAATCAATAAGGAGCGAAAGGTGGATGTTGCTGCTCGCCAATACCTCCTGCATAGTGCTGCGACAAAAATTCAAGCTGTGGGTCGCGGTTTTCTGCATCGTAAGAAGGACCAGGAGGCGATGACGAGGGTGCAAAGATGGTTGCAACAAAATCAAGATATTCAAAAGGCATTGACGGGAGATCCAACAGAGATATCGGAGGAAGAGAGAGCAAGGGCAGTTGAAGAATTTGCGAAAACCATTGAATGCCTCGTGCCCCCGGAACTAACAAGAGGTGCGAGCAGAGCTGCCGGTATGGGAGTTTCTTTTGTTGCGGTGACGAAAAAATTATCAGTGCGAGAGCAATCAAGACGGGATGTGGGGGCCGAGCATCCGTACAAAGCAGCAAGTTTCTCCACGCTTAAGAAGGCATTTAACAACACCCAAGAAGAAGAAGCAACACCTGAGACTGCTGGGCAAGAATCGAAGAAGAAACCATCCATCCGCTCGCGTCAAGAGCAGATGAATGCTGCTGCAACAAGTATCGAAAAAATTGCTAGGGGGTACTTAGTCCGAAAGTCAAATTTTGGAGCAGCTGTTTCCGCACTCAACTGGCTCAAGGAATACAAACTTCTGGATGAACTAGAAGCAACAAAGAAACGTTTATCTCATGATCAAAGCAAACTTGATGGAGCTCTGGATGCAATCACCAAAGTGCAATCGCAATTACATGGCTCTGCTACCAAGATCCAGGCTATTACTCGAGGTTACATTGTCCGCAAGTTTGATATGAACACGATGATGAATGTAATGGAGTGGGTCAGGGCTTGTAAATTGGAGATAGAAGAAGAACAAGCTCCCCAGACCGAAGAGCTAGAGGACACATGGGTATTCCTCGAAAATGCAAATCGATGGATTCGTGAAGCCGAGAAACGACGGTCACAGCAGGTAGATGCAGCTGTTGATGACAAGATCCCAGTTGAAGAACTGGATGTGAATGAGTTGTTATCAACATGGGAATTCGTAAAACGAGACAAGTCGTCAGAATCGTCGCAGGAACCGAATGAGGATCCAACCGACGAGGATCTAAACAGACTACAGACTTGGCTGACGGAAAGTGATTATCCGTATGTTTCCTCGTCTGACGAAGATATGCAACAGCTTTGGGCATTCTTGGGCTCGACCGGAGTAAGTGTAGACAAATTTCGCGGAGAAAACTGGGATGAGGGCCAGAGTGCAGGCATTAGCATTGAGTATATTGACGAAGACCTTTCAAGATTCTACGGGATGGTGCCTTCAATAAAGGCCTTGATCGCGTACTGGAGTTTTACTCGAAAGCATGACATCGAGACTTTGGCTGCTACTCGCCAAGAGCTCGACGAGGAGAAAGGTCCGGAACAGCCTACGGAAGAAACAAGTCCAGTTCAAACTGAAAAAGAATTGAAGCCTGAAAAGTCCGAATCAAAACCAGTTGAAACTGAAAAAGAAGACGAGTCCGAATCAAAACCAGTTGAAACTGAAGAAGACGATTCCGAATCAAAACCAGTTGAAACTGAAAAGAAAGACGAGTCCGAATCAAAACCAGTTGAAGTTGAAAATGAAGAAACTAAAACTGTTACCGACACAGCCTCCGACAGCGAGGGTAGCGTCGAGCCGCCAAAGCAGCCTATGGTAAAACCGAAGAGGAGAACTGCTACTAATATTGATGGCATGATGTCATCCTTGAAATGGCTCAAGAAGAAGGGGCTTGACCTAAATCGAATTAGTGGTGGAACAAGTATTGCCAGGGCAAAGGCACCTGCAGCATCAGGCACTCTTGCCAAATTGCAGCAGATGCAAGGCAAGGGCGCAAGTAGTTCCAAGATACCAGATGCGGGTCCGAAAATGTCGAGTGCACTGAACTGGCTCGAGAAGAAGGGATTAGACATTAGTGAAAATGTTTCGAAGCAGCTGGCTGCAGATCCAACCCCCGAGGAGATGACTGCAGTCGTGACGAGGATGGAAAACAAGAAGGGTACCAAAATCTTGAAGGCGCCGACTGCTGAAGAGATGAAACAGACTATGAATTGGTGGAAGATGCAAGAGTCAGTTAAAAAGCTGCAGAAGAAGAAGAAGAAGAAGAAAGCAAAAAGCAAAAAGGCAGAGACGGCGAATCGGAAACAAGAAGCCATGGACGATATTACACTCAAACCGCCGGCCCTCGCTTCAACAGACAGCATGCAATATGCTTTAGCCTTTCTCCAAAAAACTGGAAAGGCAAACGGAGCCACAAACTCAAACAGCGGGATCGAGAAAACTTTTGAATTGATGAAGAAGCAGGTTGAAGTAAAGAGGGAATCAGAGATAGCATCAAGCCCTGAAAAAAAGCCGGCAGAAACAAATCCTTCATCTAACACAACGAAGGAGCCTTTAGAAAGTCATTTTTATGAGGCAGACGCATTAGAGTGGTTGAATACAGGAGATGCTGATATACAAGAAGCTGCATACTTCCAAAAGCTGGACAAAACTCTGCCTGGGAAAGAGACGCAAACAAATCAGCAGAGAGCCAAGGAGATTGCAAAAGCAATGAAATGGGTTGACAAACAGGGCTTCTTCGACGCCGAGGAGGAGGAAGAGAAGACCAACACCATTAGCGAGGGAGCTGAGTCGATCAGTGGCAGCGATGACGACGAACCACCAAAGCCCCTTGCACCGCCCAAGGCTGTACAGAAAAAGGTTGATGCAAAGTCATCTAAGAAAAGCAAAAAAGAGGAAGTGCCCAAAACTTCAAAAAGCAAAGGGTCGCGATCAAGGTCCAAATCAAAGAAGGAATCGAAACCACGGTCGCGCTCTCCAAAACCAAAGGAATCAAGATCAAGGTCCCCATCAAGATCGAGGTCCGCATCTAGATCAATCTCTCCAGCACGGGCTGCAACGAAAAAGAAGAAGAAAAGTAAAGATGGGAAGTCTTCAAAGAATGCAGCATTGCCGAGTGTGAAGTCGATGCTCTCTCCAAGAAAGAAGAAAAAGACTTTGATGGCAATGAAAACAGGAGAACAGAATCCGGAGAGAGACTATGAACTCGCAGTCGTTTGGCTGACTTCTCGCGACGAAACAATGGAAGATGCGAAGTATTTCAAAAAGCTCGATGGCATGGTTCCCCAGAATCCTGATCATTCAACAGAGGAAAGAGCGAGGGAACTTGTAAAGGCTTTGAATTGGGTGCGGCGAACTTCGGAAAAGAACAAGAAAAAACAATCAGATGATGTGCCTAAACCAGCGAAAGTGAAAAAGCCCGCCAAAATCATGAAGTCTCCGAAGGGTCAATCTTCGAAGAAAAAGGTGAAGCTAATAAGGAAGGAGGACGACAAAGACAAGCCCATGCTAAATTTGAAAGACCTTGTTAAGGTGCAGAAGACGAGAAAGGCTGAAAGTGGCGACGTCGTCAAGACGTCTGAATCAACGCCAGAACAAGATTACGAAAACGCTCTCAATTTCATAAGAATCAAGGAAGAAGGCGGGGACGTTATGGGATGCGAAGATGCCAACTATTTCAAGAAGTTAGACAATATGCTTCCGAAGAAAGGGACTTCAGAGGAGCGCGCCAAAGAGATGGTCAAGATGATTGGCTGGTTAAGAAAGAAGGGGAAAGCGTAGCAAGACAGTAAAAGTAGAAGTAGTCATTCAACAAGCAAAAGCAAAGACTCCAGTAAGGTTCATTTGTTCAACCTAGTAATTGTCGTGAACGCAATCTACTGGCTACTTGTGTGAGCAATTTCCCGTGTTCTAGCTGAAACACCATGACCATCCGGTGCATTGGATGTAGATGGCATATATAATCGTATCAAACTCGATGGTACAAGAAATGAACCAAATTTGTAGATCAACTTCAATCTAAGTTTGAATCGTCTAATCCGTGTTGGAGGACCTCCTCTGTTTATTTTTTCATCACAGCTTGGAGAAAGGCAGCATGTTTGAAAATGAAGGATTTTCTTTGTTTGCAGAAGCTGCATGGGCCTCCGGAACATCATCTGTCATCAGTGCTAGTGAATTATGCATAGCTACATGCTCGAGTCCTTCCGCCACGCTATGGTCACGAGAATACATCAAGGACTTCTTCGTACCGTGCACAGCCACAGGCGAACTTGCTGCGATTTTGGTGGCAAGTTCAATGGCACCAGCCAATGGATTGGGGCAAATTCGACTGATAAATCCAATGGAAAGAGCCTCTTGAGAGCTGAAGAACTCTCCAGTGTAACAAAGTTCTCGGACCCGAGAGTCATTGCCTGTAATCTTGGGAAGTCTTTGAAGAGTTCCAATGTCTGCCGCCAGGCCAATTTTCACCTCCCGCACTGAAAAAGTTGTCTCCGGAGCTGCAAGTCTAACGTCGCAACAACAAGCTATATCAACACCAGCACCAATGCAATTTCCATGTATGGCAGCAATCACTGGCACGGGACATTTCTCGACGGCTGTGAAACAGTCTTGCATCTGTTTCACCTTTGGCAGAAACGAGAGGCCTCTTCTAGCTACGTCCGCATCGCTATCGTTGAAGGAAAAGAAACCTGGATCTGTAATATCAATTCCCGCAGAAAAATCCTTTCCAATTCCAGAAAGTACGATGCATCGACATGCCCCATCTTGCGCAACGCTCGTGAAAACATCACCAATCTCTTGCCAGCCCTCTGTGTTGATTGCGTTCCTTTTCCTTGGTCGATCCAGTTGGACAACGACTACGCCGGGTCTTGGCTCTGAAAGCTTCAGAAACTTGAATTGACTATCGAGGCGGTGTGGCTCCATTACTGGTGGATGGATATCAGTACTACAGTACCGGTATTATTGTATTAGTAGTTGGTCGAACGAATGAATGATGATGACGACGATAGTTTTAGTTCAACATTCGAATAGTCCGACTAAAAGCCTTGTAAGATGAAAATAAGAACACTTTAGTTCTGACACCATATTTGAAGCAGTCCTTCCATGCGAGAACTCTTTCTTCCCACATGAAGTCTTTGTTTCTATACAATCTTACCGCCAACGAGGAGCGCCTCGTGGCGGAGATCAGACAAGCGATGGAGTGGAAGGAGAGCGTTAATATTTGCTCGACCAATGGTATGGAAGTGAGCCTCATCGTCCGGAATGTTCTGTCAGAATTACTGGTGAGAATTTCGGAGGTTGGAAATCGCTTTATGACACTATCCTTGGGAGGATCAAAGTTCGGCTGTAATCTGAATCATGTTGTACAACTGGCAAATGAACTCGGAATTTTGAAGAAGATTTGCTTTGATGATGTGAATTTTATTCCTTCGATTGTTCACGGGATGTGTCTGAACCCCAACCTCCTAGAAATATCTCTCTGCATAGCTTCGCCGAACTGGAGGAAATCGGCGCTGATATCCTTTTGCAAAGCTCTGACCAACCCCCAATCAAGATTGGAAATTTTGCGTGTGAGAACTTGGACTCATGTTGATTGCTTCACGCGAAATCAATTGGACATCCCACAAGTTACACAATGGGATGAAGGTCTCGATCCTATACTGCAAGCTCTGGTTGGAAAAAATTCTATTCATTATTTGGAAGTGCAAGTCCATGATTTGTTCTCCACAGAACAGAAGTCAATCCTGAACCAATGCCTGTGTCATGAGGATTGCCAGATTGCTACACTGGATCTACGGGTTCAAAGATCAACGACCAAAGATCCTTCCAACGCTAATGCTTTGAGTTGGATCTTTCCAGGCATGAAAAAAAACACCAGATTGAGGCATATTCATTTTTGTGGCTGGAAACTGACAGCTGGTCACTCGAAAGAAATCATCAATGCACTTCAAAGTTGTCGCCACATAGAAGGATTCAAATTCGATCGAAGTCAACTGGAAAGCAATCCAAGCGCTTTCATTACTGCACTACTCAAACTTGATTTCCTCAAGAGCATATCATCCTATAGCAACGGCTGGAAACTTTCCCCTCCACGGCGGTATGATGAATTTGATATAAGTGCACTCTTGCCCGCCATAACGGGGAACAATTCACTCGAAGCGTTATATTTGAGAGACATGAACGTCTCGATAGAATCGATCAACGAGCTACTCCGAATCATTGGAGAGCATTGCCCGCATTTAAACACGCTGGAGCTAATCAATATGTCAAAACTATCGACGTCAGGCGAGGACAGATTCCTGGAACCACTTCGATGCCCATATATTGAAAAGGTGCACCTGGTCGGTCTACCTCCATTTGCATCAAAACGACGGCGTGGAGCACAGTATGAAGACCGAACTGCTTGGTTTCGGCGAGCACTGGTGGAATGCCCACGACTGTATAGTTTTGGTCCTGGAGAAAACTATGGATTGTCTCGGTTTTTGGTGGACATTGACACCAATCTACTACATAGTGCCGACTTTCATAAATATGGTCAATTGGTGGTTGGCAAATCGAATCCTCCCTCATTATGGACACACGTTCTCCACAAGATCCAATGCGAACTAGACGATCCGAAACGAATTTCAAGCGTAATCTTTGCGCTGCTTGCAAAGGGATGCATACAATCTTTTATACAAAAAACTGATGACTATTGTTGTCTACGGTAGAAATAAAACACACCATTCTTCTTCTTGTTTTCTTCATTATATGATGTGCACTATCCTTCGTCTCTGCTTTCATCCTATGTGGTTGGGTTGCATCTGGCTCAGCTGCGCCTACAGGATGTATGGCAAGCGCCCATATCCAATATTACTTCAACTCTATATTTACTTCCATCCGAAGCGCCATAATCTTTCAGCTGTTTGTCCTTATCCTGAATCGGCTTAAGTGTTCTGGGAGATTTGACAATGATCATGAGCTTCCATTTCCCATCAGGTGTAGTCTCAACTTCAGCAACTTGGTTGTACAATTCTTCAACTGTCGTTTCAATGCTCACATTCTCAACTACGTTGAAGTCTCCTTTGAGTGTCTTTATCTCCAACGTACAGCTCATGCTTTCTTGATGAAAAGATAGAATACTACTGTACGTACCGGTAGTATGAAGACGACAATGAGACGAGCTTGATTAAACTGATCAAAAAGGAGGTAAATTCAGGGGAACACTAATGTAACTTCTCCCCCGCCCCCGAATCCGCACAATTTTTCGAATTCAGTATCGTAGACATCATCATCCCAAAGTACCGATCACGACATCGCTTGTCTGCAGGCACAGGTATATTTTTACCATCTTCATGGTCCATCTGCAGATTGACAGGAGCAATGGCGAGATCGCCTCAAAAGCGAACCTGTCGCCTTTTATTGAGTAGAAAATGCGTATACTTGCTTTCTGCATTGTATGGAATATCTCTACTGGTGTCGTTCCTCATTCACCATTCTCTCAATAGTTTTACACTAGATGTCTTCTTTGATACCTATCGCGACAATGCTTCAAGCTCCTTTGATCCTTATGCTGAGACACTTGCCCTACTGTCACCTCCAGGTATGATCGGAGGGTATCGAAATCAGGCCATTCGATTGGTCTCTCTGGTGCGGTATGCTCAACGGTACAACATAACGCAAATACTTCTCCCCACCTTGCTCTTCAGCACAACATTCCACGGTCAAAGCAACAAACTTTTCATGCCAATACCAATGGACGAAGTCTTCGATATTGATCACTGGAACTCATTTGGATCGAAAATACCAATCCTTGTGCCCTATGTTGAGAATTCAGACTGTTGGACAAACCACTCCAGCGATGCCCCGCTATCAGAGCAAATGATTAATTCTCTTGCATCAGAATACGAGGTGTCTGTTCGAAAAGCCGATGACAACAAGTTCGCATCTCCCATGGCTGGAATGTTGCAGGAAAGGTCTTCGTTCCTGTCTCGAGTTTTAGATATCAATAGGGCTCTTGTAAACGGGGATTTGAGGTTGGCGAAACCTCGAAAGTTGGACCTTACACCCCTTGTCTACAACTGTTCTCGTCCTCATGTCTACGGTGGAGGTCGAGGTGCTGGAAGACTATGGAATGATTATACACATATGGCAAAGTACAATCCATTGAGCGACAACAATACTGAACAAGCTATTCAGAACTCCGAACTTATCAAATTAGTTTCTCATCAGGCTTTGAGACCTTCTCCAAAGTGGAAGTCTATTGCGAATCAATGCGTCCGCTACTTCCAAGGTGGTAGTAGCGACAGGATTGCTCCATATGTTGCTTTGCACGCTCGGGTAGAGGTTACTATGATGAATCACCGCTGTGGAAAGAGCATGGAGAAAAACTTGACTCAAATCTTTTCGATGGTAGATTCGACTGCTGCGGAATACAACAAGAAGCACGAAAATAAGATTCGCGGCATCTTTGTCGCAGTCTCCAGGGATGGTATGCTAGAGCATACGACCAATTCCGAGACATCGCAAATGGCAAAAGAGAACTGGGAAACGTTGGCGCACCGAAGCATTCCCATCCAAACGGAAGATGACTTCAGCACTCAAATACCGTACTTTGAATGCGGAGAACTATGGATGGATCATTGGTATGGCTCGCAAAATGAGGTCTCGAAAGATTACTATGGCTCATTGGTCCCATCAGTGATGAATTTCCACCTCGCAACGGAAGCGACATTTTTTGTGGGGGTTATGGGAAGTAGTTGGAGCATCGATGTGTGGACAACACGATATTACCAAGGAAAGGGTGGCATGAATTTTCAGTACACACCCACTGGAATCAAACCTGTTGGAATCGACGGTCGTCCGCCTTCACACGACAATTGCTGAAGTAGCTTGGGGGTTGTAGATGGCTGGTGAATGACATGAACAACAGTGATTTTGTCGGGGAGACTGACTCAGTTTATTTCGTTATTTCTATACCCATATCTCGATGGTAATAGCGTCGACGTGGGTTGCAAAATTTGACATCCATGAACAATGGTGCCGTTGTTGTTCTATCATCCACATTGCACTGCCACGATTCAGTACTTGGTTGCTATTCTGAATGACAGTGGATGACCGAACTCTCCATTCAATGTATGCAAGAGTCGAAAAGTCGCATCTGAAGAATAGTCCGTGTGGTCATATCGATCATTCAACTCGCTTTTGAGCCGAGCAAATGCTAGCGGCCATAGTGACAGTGGCATGCTTTTGCAACCTCCCAGGCGCGATGACAGCGAATTCCACTTTACAAGGAACTTTATGGACTCAGCGCACCTATACTGCATATACGTGTTCTCAAATCTGATACCCTCCATACTGGTAGCTTGCTGCACGAAACCTCGGAGTACTTCAGCTCCTATTTCATTGAAAGGGTTCTCTGCAATGTCGAGATAGATGAGATCATCCCTCTTCTTCATCGCGTAACACAGTTCTTTGATTTCGATGTTCTCAATATGATTGTCAGCGAGGGCCAGACTATGAAGTGATCGATTTTCAGCAACAGCTTGAAAGAGAGGAATCAGATCCACAAATCGCTGCAAGAGGCCCTCTTCACCAAATCCAATCCAAAGGGAGCTCAAATTGAGATCTTGCAGCTGACAAGATTCGTCACTGAGCCACTCGGATATTGAATTTACAGACTCTTGTTCGAGGCAATTATTTCCTCCTATGTGAAGATTCTGTACAGATGGGATGGATTGTAATTGTTGGGACAACTGAATGATGTCGGCATCTTTTAAATTGCAGAATCCAAGATTCAATGTTTGCAATTTCTCAATTTGTGGCAGACCTTCGACAAGCTTTTCAACTGTTTCGTCACCAATAAAGCAGCAAGATTTTAACGATAGCAGTTTGATGGAATTCGATTCACTGTTACCAATGTGTTCAAAAAGGCTGCTCGTCGAAACTCGATCCATTTGCCACCCTTCCAGTCTAAGCTCTTTCAATCCATCGAAAGAGAAGATAGTCTGTAAAATTTCTTCCAAACCGTGTCCTCGATGAGCAGAACTGTAGCTTATCAAATTCAGCGATTTGACATTCTTCAAAACGCCGAATAGCAAACAAAGACTTTCCCAGGAAATTGGCTTTGCAAAAAAGTCACTTGTGTTGTTCATTCCATTCATCGTAAACGACTCCCAAGTTCGATCATCAAACGATAGTAAATCAAGCAACGCGTCGTATTGAAGAGTATCGTTGCAACCAGTGTAAGGAATGTCAATGCTCTGTATATATTGTCTGGTTTTGGCTGCCTCTAATCGTGTGAGATTTCGATTTCTCGCATCAGTTCTATACTCGTCATCAAGTTGTGTTAGGTCTTCCAGTCGAAGCGCGAAAACTTTGTTGATTTTGGCATCTGGGGATGGCCAGTCTTCAAGTCTGAAACTCAGATCTTCGGCCTGTATTGAATAGCCATTGTCGGCATACCACAAGTCTCTTTCCGCCATTTTTTCTTTCCAAATATGGATTTCTGTGGAGGGAAATCCTTTTCATGTGAATCCATCTTTATTTTTGTCCACTTCCGTTTTAGCGCGCCAAAATGTACTTATATAACGTAAATTTGGACTCACGTTATTTGTCGAAATAACGGAAAATCACAGTGGGATTCGGCATTTAGCATTTTTGGTGAAACACTCTATCACTCCGTCATGAATCCAACACCACTATTGAAAAAGACCCCGCCCGTTGATCATCATCGACCTGGCAAACGGACCTATCGACGCAGGACTGTATCCAGCAGCAAGGCTCCATCTGTCGTTCGGAGACATGGTCGTGATGCACGAAACCAAACTTCAACTGATGATGATATCATTGTTCGGCTCCCAATCAAGTCAATTGTACCTTTGAGCTGGATTCTATCATCTGCTACTCAAATCTTGGTGGACCATCTTTTATTTTCCCGCGGTGTAATTCCACTGAGCGTACCGCAACTGAGAGACAACAAGCAGGGAGAGGTTCTAAAGTCACGATCCCAGCGACGAAAGGTTGCCCAATGCCGAACTCGACTAGAATCCTGGCACCTCGAGTGGTCTCAAATCGATCGCCGCATTCTCGAAAATTGCTCATGCATATTGATATCTTTGGGACCATCCTTTCTACGTTCGAAAGAGTTCTACATTCTAAATGTTGCAGAAGAACGGAAGATTCTTGAACGCCATCCAGCATTGAAACTACCACCAGTTCATGCTCTTGCGAGACGTCTTCTTCCAAGGATAGTCGAATCTGACACCGATCTTCCTTGTCGATCAGCTCCGTCATTTCAGATCTCCGTGAGCTTATTCGTCAAGGCTGAAGCATTGGAGAGAGCTTCGAACGATGAATCAATTGAAATGTCAAATCTGTTCATACGCCGCCCTGGATACATGTTGCCAACAGCGACAACAACGAAAGCCAACCAGCGAGTAACGTACATCAACATTTTGAATGCAGATAGGAACGACGAAACCGAAGTGAAGATATCGGAGTCCATCGGTGTTGCAGATGGTGCTCATTGGGTATCACTGAGAAGCTCAATCAAAGGCTTTCGCTTGTCGGGATAAATTGATTTCGAGTACCAAACATTGATGGCCAATTGAATCGGTCCCGTGACGAGGAATTGGTGGCTACAAGCAACAGTGATTGGAAGGAACAATGAAAGTATAGGGTCCGTCTGCTGAGGTAAAAACTTACAGTACTCGGTCGATGTTGAGTTCATCATGCTTTATCTGCAGTACCCATAGACCATAAATTGAATACAATACAGCAGGGTCTCCCTTGGATACCTAAGGTTTGGATATTTCGGGACTGAGGCAATGATTCGACCTACATCAAGAACCTACATCAAGAACCATGAGGCCAAAACGGGTCATAAAAGAGGTAAGTTTGTTGAAAAATTTGGAATTGTGTTGCATTGTTGGCCTAATTTCCCCAAACTTCTGTATTCTAACACATATTTGTCGTCCATGGGTACATCAAACAAGGTTTGGTGGCTTGGAATGGGAGATTTCAAGGTAGAAGTAATTGAACTGCACCTACTTGACCTTGGTGATCAATTCGGCAAGCAATCTAGAAGTGGCCAAGACTCTCTCCCAGTCCCCGTATAGGTATCCAGACACGGTAGGACCCCGATAAAAGTTATCAATATACATACATATATCGACTTTGGGTGTTGCTTTGCAATGCTGCGGCAGAAATGAGATTCCCGACTCTGGTTTCCATCCCTTCCCAACATTTCATGTGACTGGATTGAATGTTTCGAAATTCCATGTATTCTAGGCCGAAGGTTGCAACTCAAAGTGCGTACACCTCTAGTGTATGTATAGTAAGCAAATAGCATATGTTCAAATAACAAGATTTGTAATCTAAACAGTCTTATCGTACAAGATGAAGATGGGCTCTTTCAGAATTTCGGTCGGTGGTGTAGTCGATTGAGTCACTACCATATCTGACTGACTCATATCGATCGATCGATGCTTTTGTACCACAGGCACAGCAGGGTACGAATTTGTTACTCCATGCAGTCCACAATTGATCATAGCTGTCCTCGGACGATGTTGAGTTCATCATGCTTTATTTGGAGTACGATACTTGGTACCCATAAACCGTGAAATGATTACAATAGATCCCGTGATGTGAGCGCTACAATTCTATGTTGAGTTCATCATGCTTTATTTGGAGTACGATACTTGGTACCCATAAACCGTGAAATGATTACAATAGATCCCGTGATGTGAGCGCTACAATTCTATTCATAAAAGCAAAGAGGGAAACTGGAAAAGCAAGAATGCAACATAATAAATTTCGTAAGCGGAAAAAGCAAAAGAATACAACACCTGGGATTCCAACGTGGTCCCCCACCGTAGTACTAACCAGGCCCGAACATGCTTAACTTCGCTGAGCGGACGGGAAGCGGTGCTGTCATGTTGGTATGGTCGTATCCGTCGACACATCTAGATTGTTGTTTACATAAATATGTTTTGAAGAATGTATTGAGAATCTTTGGCGATCATGTGGTGGACGACTCGATTAGAAAGCACAGCATTTTTCGCCTCCTTGTTGTAAACCATGGCAGGGTCAGCTTTAAGGCGACGCCGTGGGACAAAAAAAGCATCAGGGGGTCATGGACTTCTCAAGACAATCCTCATTGGAATGCTCCTAATCGGTGTCGGCTTGGCGGCTGGATTGTTGGCAGGGTTTTTCTATTATTCGCCCCCTGATGAAAATGGCAGGAAAGTCACACTTTCACCAAAAGTTTTAATGGATCAAGCGAAGCATCTTCGTCACAAGATTAATAATCAACTTCACCACTCGGGACACGATACTCATGTTGATGAAGAAAAACAGAAAAGGAGAAAAGCAATGAATATTGCTCTCGGCGCACCCGCTTCAGGAGTTACTGAGGACGCCAAGGAACGAAAGCAAAAGTTCATGGCTTACACTCCAACGGTTGGAGGCAAAGGAGCCTTTCCGCACTATCCTGATAATGGGGCTCTTGTAGCGGAAGATCACGACTTTTCGAGCTTTGAAGCTCCAGGTGGACACCGCTTTGAGGAATACAAATGGGGTGATTCACCGTATGACTACAGACAAGGAGAGTCAGATGATCTGGCACGTTCTCGACGAGTTCATGTTCGCAACGCCATGAAGCATGCATGGGAGAACTATGAGAGATATGCTTTTGGGCAGGATGAGATTAAGCCAATTTCTCTACGTGGCACAAGTACATGGGGAAACCTAGGAATTACGCTTGTCGACTCATTGGATACTCTGTGGTTGATGGGCATGAAAGAAGAATTCAATCGCGCCCGTGACTGGGTCAAGAACAACTTGAACCATAACCAATCTGCAGATGTCAGTGTCTTTGAAACAACTATTCGTTCTCTTGGCGGCTTGTTGGCAGCTTTCGATTTGTCACAAGATCAAGTGTTTTTGGACCAAGCCAAGGATTTAGGCGGACGATTGTTCAAGAGTTTCAAGAATCCCACGGGTATCCCATGGGGGCGAGTCAACTTGATATCTGGTAAAACACAAAATTTGGGTTGGGCACCGGCTGATGCCATCACTGCCGAATGTGGAACACTGCAGGTCGAATTCCGATTACTTGCCCGATGGTCGGGCAATACAGAATACAAAACAAAGTCAGAAGAAGTATTCCATGTTCTTCATGACTTGAATCCCCCAAACGGACTGTATCCCTACTTTGTTGGGAACATGGTTGGTGCTCCAGAATTCACAAACCAGAAGCTGACCTTTGGAGCAATGGCAGATTCATTCTACGAGTACATGCTAAAGATCTGGCTACAAGGAGGAAAAACTGAACAATTTTTCAGAGACATGTATGATGAGTCCATGCAAGGAATGTTCGATCTTCTGTTGTCTGTTTCATCGCCTTCTGATTTGGTGTTCATTGCTGACAAGGATAACAACAGGATGGATACGAAACAGGATCACCTTGTTTGTTTCATGGGTGGGTTGCTAGCATTGGGGGCCTACACAGACCCCGAAGGCCTAGACTCTGAGAGAGCCCAACGAGATTTAAAAACTGCAAAGGTAAGCGATATGCACTCATTCTGAATCATTGGAGTTTTGTTCCTCATGGACTCCTCGCTCTTTTCCGGTGGTAGGCTTTGACGTACACTTGTTATCAAACATATGCCCGTATGGCTACTGGAATTTCGCCTGAGTTTGTTCAATTTTATGAAGGAAAGGACTTTGAGGCCGGAAGGAACGGTCATCACTACCTTCTGAGACCAGAAACTGTTGAATCGTTCTTTGTTCTCTACCACTTGACCGGTGATCCAGTGTACAGAGAGTGGGGATGGGAAGTCTTCCAAGCAATTGAAAAATATTGCAAGGTGAACGGTGGTTATGGTGGTCTCCGAGATGTACGATCTACGAAACCTCAAGTTGACGACAAGATGGAGTCTTTCTTCTTGGCAGAAACTCTTAAGTACATCTACCTTCTATTCGATCCGGATACTGAACTCGACCTTTTGAACAAGCATGTATTCAATACCGAAGCGCACCCTATGCGGATATTCCCACAAATGGACAAAGACGGTGTTTGAGACCTACTATAGACTTTAGCTATACTTTAGAGCAGGTACACGTATGTGGTACATACCACATATCATATTATATACCGGTACCAGGTACACAACTGTTGAACCCGAAGCCCTTTTTGTGCGCATTGTGTGCGATTCTACAAGCTTTTTCCACTGTCGTACCAATAATTTAAAAAAAATTCAAAACACATGTGTGGGCCACCACGATGTCACTTGTAGCAACAGGCCGAATAGATGCAAAAAGGAGCTTGAGTCGGTCAATCGCTCAGCAAAATCGATCATACTTTTTCGTACCTCTGACTTGGGTGGAATTTCGTGAACGATTTGAAAGATGGATCAAGCCGACTGACCCTCGCGTTGTTAGTGTCCAAGTCTTCTCACGGAAAATTCTGCAACAAGAAAACCAAAAGTACGAGAGGATATCAAAGACACCGATTCTTAGAGATAAGGGAAAATGGGGCAACTGGTTCAAGAACCGAAACAAGAAAATGGGTTATTACACGCCAGCGCTTCCACTTCCGAACCCAAAGGGAACCCGAATGGAGAGGCTAGCAGAACGATACCAAGGATGGAAATCAAGGCGGAAAGATGATTACGCTGGATGGAAAGCTCGACGAAGACAGGATTACGAAGGCTGGAAAACAAACAGGAAAGAACGCTTTGAAAATTGGAAATCCCGCCGATTGTTGAAGACGAAAGAGATTGTCGTGAAAGAGTACTGTCAACCAGATTGGTTCGATGATCTAGGCCGTCCATTGACATCTCGGGACTCAACTGGACGTTTCGTAAATCCTTGGCAATCTCAAACTACGAACGGGGTACACTCACTTGGAACACTGCTCACTTGGCGATATATAAGACTAAGGCGACTCTTCAAACAGTATGTTTGGCAATATGAAAATGGAATGGGAAATACAGTAAATGCAATGCCACAACTACGACCACAACAACCAATGCCACCACTTCCACCATTGGATAGGAACGACACCTCAAAAGTGCAGCTTACTTGGATTGGTCATGCAACGTGCTATGTGCAATTGCATGGGGTCACCATTCTGACCGACCCCATTTTCAGTCACCGTGCTGGACCAGCACAATGGGCACCTTTCGGCCCTTGCCGAGAAGTTGCCGCGTCCCACTCTTACGACGAGCTGATGACCCACACTGGTGCGAGAGGGATCGATATCTGTTGCATTACGCATGATCATTATGACCATCTGGACTACGACTCCATTCAAAAATTGAAGGGTAACGTCGAAACATGGATCGTTCCACTTGGAATCAAGGAATGGTTGATTGTAAATGGTGACATTTCACCGGACTCAATCGTTGAAATGGAATGGTGGGACCAGATCCATCTCGATTTTCGCGACAGTCCAGTGCGCGTTCTCGATGGCCCAAAGGAGGTCGATGATAGCAATGGCAAGCCGATGACAATTACGTGTTGCCCTGCATCTCATTGGGGGAGCCGAAACATGTCAGACAGAAATACAAGATTGTGGTGCTCTTTTGCCTTCGAGTCGAATGATCAACGCGTATTCTTGAGTGGAGACTCCGGATATCCAACCTTCCCCCTCTTCCGACAAATTGCAGATACTCTTGGTCCTTTCGATCTCTCAACGATTCCAATCGGAGCCTATGAACCCGCCGTCATGAACAAGGATTCTCATGCAAATCCATACGAAGCGGTTCGAATTCACAAGGACTTGCGATCACACAGATCCGTTGCGATACACTGGGGTACCTTTCCTTTGAGCGAAGAAGAGTTGTATGAACCTCCAATGCAACTTAAACTAGCACTTGAAAAAGAGAAGGTTGATGAGAATGACTTCATCGCTATTCGTCATGGTTCTTCTGTTCAAGTTTGATATGTGCTTGACGTAAAATATCAGTGTCTGTGTGCGCACCAGCTATTGTAATTCTCTGATGTCACTTACTTTGAAGATAAATTAACAGAAACGTTTTGCTTATACATGTTTAAGATATTAGGTTCTACGGACAGAGTGACTAGAAATCCTACTTTTGACGGGCTTCAGCTGCTTCAAGTTCGCTCTTTGCCTCAGACTCGCACTCCAATGCCAAAACAAGGATGTCTTCGGTCAGTTGGGCGTCGTCGCATTGATCTTGGATCATTTCCATAATTTCGGCCATGGCCTTTTGGTAGTTCACACGGATCTCTGCTTCGGCATCGTAATAACCTTGGCGCATTCGAAGATCTTCATTCAACTTCGAGTTTTGCTTCTTGTACTTCTCAAGGTTTTGCATCAGCTTCGAGTTGTTCCTGTTGTTGTTCTTCGATTGCTCGTTCAATGCCTCGAAAGATGCACCAGCGTAGGCGTTGGCCTCTAGAAGACGCTTATTGTTCTCCTGCATCGTATCGAAGTCCTTGCGGAGTTGAGTAGTGGAGTTACGCAACTTCTTGTTCTCCTTTCGAAGATAAGCGATAATCTCAGTACTGTCAGTAAGCTTCTTTTTCTCTTTGTCAGAAAGAGTTGGGATACTAGCGATCTTGGCTTCTTCCTTGGCGATCTCCTCAAGAACGGCATCACGCTCCTCTTCAGCCTTGACGGCTTCAGCTTCGAGGCTTTCAAGCTCTCTCTCCCATTTCTTTTCCTTCTTGTCGAGCTCTTTTTCTTGCTCCTTGATTCCCTTTTTGAACTTCTTGATCTTCTTCTCCTTGTCCTTCTCAAACTTCTCCTTAGCTTCCTTCTCCTTCTTCTTGCGCTTTTCGAAAGCTTCGCGCTCCTTCCTTTCGAGCTCCTCTTGCTCTTCTTTTTCTCTGCGTTCACGCTCTTCACGTTCCTTCTTCTCCTTGGCTTCTCTGGCTTCACGAGCAGCCTTGGCCTTTGCTTCAGCCTTTTCACGAGCCTTGCGTTCCATCTCTTGTTTCTTCTTCTTCTCGAGACCAGCCTTCTTGTCTTCCTCGTTTTGCTTGATCTTGGCGGAGACATCCTTGTACCATTTCTGGATCTTAGCAATTCCCTTTCGCCTCTTGGTCTCAGCCATTTGTGTCAGGCGACGAATCAACCAGCCACGGATGTAGCGTTGGATGTGAAGTGATTGGGATCCCATTTCCTTGGTACGATTGGCCTCAAGGAACTCGAGGGCACCCATGCGGAAGTAAGAACGAGTCTTTCCGCAGACGAAGGCTTTGACGGCCTTTCCATCCTCAATTTCTTCACGAGGCTTCAATGCACTAGCTAGCAACGCTTCGCAGTCGCACTTCAGCTTTTCTTCGGCCTTCATTTCTGCGGTGGCCTTTGTAGGATAAGCGCCTCTGTCCCACATGCTTGAGAACTTGAAACGGACAGTCTTATTTTCGAGGCGATTTGGGAAAGCGGAACGAGAGAGCGTCACTGCGGCAACGACTCCGGCACATCGAAGCTGTTCAATAGTACTGACGTGTTGCATGATACTGGGCTTCTTGAATGTGTTGGGCTTGATGCATCGAATGTATCTCGAGTTGGTCTTCTTAAGCATCGTCATGAGCTTCAACAATTGAGACTTGTATTTGGTCCACACAGTGGCAGAAACAAGGTTGGACTTGGCGCGCGAAGGTCCTTTCTTCGAGGGAGCTGGAGCAGCAGCTTCCGCCAAATTGGAGCACTTCTCGTTGTTCAAGTGCTTGCTGAGAATTTCGTTGGTAGACTTGAGGGCGCAATCAATCAAATCGGAGGGAAGAGAATCTTGGTTACTGCTAACAAAGCCATCAGAATCGTACATGACCTTTCCGGCGTAGTGGTGAATACCGAACTCCTTTCTGTTCATCTTCGAGACAATCAAACATGGGGACTTCTTGTTGGCAGCAAGGGCCTTTTGGACGAAGGCCTGGTCTGTACCCTTGGGACGGACACATTCCTCATTAAGCATGGCATTGAGACCAGCCTTTCCTTCGATCAAATCCAACACATCGGTGTTATCATCGTACTTGATCTCATCAAGTGGAATACCTTCGAACTCATACTCTTCTTGCACAGAGCGGAAAATATCCTCAGTGAACTTGGCTTGAAGCTTCTCATTACAGTAGTTGATACAGAGTTGTTCGAAACGATTGCGGACGAAAGATTCGAAACCAAAGATATCAAGAAGTCCAATGATACCGAAACCAGACTTGCCACCACCTTCGTAGTTATTCTCGGCACAAGTGGCATCGTTGATGGCACGCACAAGCCACAAGAAGGTTTTGGAGTAAATTTCCTTTCCAAATGCGTCAGCGGTATCCCTTGCGACATCGGCATTAAGTGGCACCTTGTAGCTCTCATTACGTGTCTTCATTGTACGTTCAGTAAGACAGTCAATAAGATCTTGCTCAGTGACACCCATCAACTTGGCAAGTTTGCCGAATTCGGTTTTGTCCTTCACGACCGATCGGTCATCATCAGCGGGATCCTTCATGAAAGAAAGGTTTCCCAATTGGAGAACGATAGAGATGGCACGCAACAAAGTCATCAAATCGTCTCCATCGACACCAATACCCTTGAGCACCTTAACCGTATTTTGGTAGTGCTCGGCATCGGTCATTCCTTCGATCTTCTCACATGGAGAGGTACCAACATATTGGAAGTCCTCGTTGGTCTTTCCACTAAGACCTTCGGACCAGATCTCCTTCTTGGAAGCCTCATCTGCAGCGATGACTTGGTAGAAAACGTGGTATGTTCTCTCCATAGGGTCGTGGGTGGTGACACGATTCTTCTCCAACAAGTAGACATCGCACTTACTTCCAGCAAGTTTGCACTTCATCTTAGACTTGTCAACAAATGAACTCTTTTCACCTTGATCGAATTGAAGTTGCGTGTACTTTCCGAAACGAGAAGAGTTATCGTTACGTCTTGTCTTGGCATTTCCGAATGCTTCAAGCAGAGGATTCGACTCCAAAACTCTGTCCACAACTGGATCACTGAACTTTTCATCAGACGCTTCAGTCTTTCCTCTTTGGACACTAGCAATGTGATTCATAGCAATCTTCACAGTCTCGGTCTTTCCGGCACCAGATTCACCAGAGACAAGAATGGATTGATCACCTCCGCCGAAGGCAAGTCCCTTGTAACATAGCGAAGAAACCTCGTAGACGTGGGGATCGACAAGCTTACGGGCGTCACCTTCGTGATCTTCCCATACAAGGGTATTGGCATATTGGGCACGGATCTTTTCTGTGTAAATGTGTGTGAACCACTGGAAAGGGTTGACAGCAATAATGATATCACCCGTTCGTGTGTAAGGGTGGTCGTCCAAGTGACGTTGCTTGAGGTTGTAAAGAATGGCAGCCTATAGTACGAACAAACGAACAAAGCATGGAAGATCAGCAAAACAATCAAAAAATATTTCGCACACCTGATATCTTTTGTCTTGTCTACATACCTCGTGAAGAAATGGAAGCTCAACCATATCGGCGAAGCACAAAGCATTTCCACTTTCGTCAACATTTTGCATAGGAAGGACTCCCTTGTTGTAATCAGAAAGATCTACTTCGGCTTCAACCCACTTCGATGCAGATTTTCCACCATCACAGACGGTGCTCTGTTCATCTGGATAGATTGGAATTTCAACATCAGCAGTTTTTCCGTTGCTATTATTGAGCTTGGCAGGAATCCAGGCTGCTTCTGGATCCTTCAAAAAGACGGCGGCTGCTTTCCCCATTTTGATAGACAAGGGACTTCAAACCAGTATGAAGTGTTTTGTGCTCTCTCGAAGATCCAGAGACGATGACTTGCAGAATCCTGTAGCTTTGAACGGTTGGTTTCAGTACTGTAAACACGTAGAGGATGAAAGATCTTGCCAAACAAATGTCCAAGCGAGTATTCGTAGTGACCTGTGACCCAAATGACCGACATTATTTATTCGACAAGTTAGACTGCACAGAGGGACTTTCTGAATTTTTAGATCACTCCAGGAAGAATCAATCATACCCCAGAAGGATCCAGCACTACTGCATGATGCACTAACTATTTTACTAAAATCTTCTACATGTTACTCCTAGCCCTTCTCTCTAAACGACTTGCACGGAAATCGCACTTTTGATATCTTCACTGTTTACTGGAACTGAAAACATTCCAAAATTATGTTTGATAGTTGCTTCATGAGCTTCCATGCTCGTTGCAGCAGTGCAGTCCATGAGGGTGTAGACTTTGTATCCTTTTTCATAGGCGCTTCGCATTGTGGACTGAACTAATGATTAGTCTTCCTCGCTTAAAAAATATTAATCAAGCAGCTTGTTCTGCTTAATAGTAGTGGTCTCGACTTCTTACCTCAACGCAACAGTTGGTTAGAAATCCTCCAAGAACAATGTTCTTTGTACCTCGTTGGCGAAGGAGAAAATCAAGGTTGGTTGTCTCAAATCCACAGAGACCAGACTTTCCCTTGACGACAAGATCTCCAGGTTGGGGCATCATTGCATCTACAAAACAACTGCCCCATTCGCCATTGGTAAAGGCCTCTCCTTCCTTGACTCCAGCAAGAATACCGTAAGGAGTTTCGGCAATCTCACGATGTCCTTTTTCAAAATTGATTGGCAGGTGAACCACTATGCATCCTGTCGTTCGAGCGTAATCTGCCAGCCTGGAAGAGTTTTCAAGCACTGTCACCAACGGGAAACCGTAAGCTAGAATTGCTAAAGCAAGCTCATAGCCTGATATATAGATATAGATATTCGCTCACGTACTACCTGTTTTCTCCATGACGTCCAGTACAGCATCGTGGAGCTTTCCTCCTTCGGTCGTGAATTCATTCTGATATTCAATGAAAACAAATGCTGTGCAACTTGGATCCAACGAAAAATCAGCCATCTTCATCGACGTAGCAGTCCCTCTTCTGGCATTTGGAGTAAGAAAGGCAGAAGCCGACAAGAACAGAGAGAAGATTAAGCAGATTTTTCGGATCATATGTGGGTTCTGATTTGCTCTTGGCTTTATTTTGTCATGGTTGTTCAACTTGTTTTGGCGGTCGGAGAAATCGAATTTTCTCAGCTTATCGCACGTACGAGAACGGACAGCAGATTGCTTCTGAGACTCTGATTGGCCGAATTCGAAATTCTTCTCATCATTCCCATCCTGCTGCGTTGGCGGATGATTCGAAAAAGTGAAGTGCAACGTTTCATTTCCTTCCATAAAGGCTTGGTGTAAGTATCAGTTCACTGGCAACCCGATTGTCAAGATGACGAAATCGATGAAGTTGGTGTGCTGCATGTTGCTTCTGCTCAGTGTTGTGGACTATGCACGAGCATTTTCTGCACCACCTTTAGAGGCAGGAAGAACAATTCGACAGAATAATGTCAACAGGCAACGTGGCAGGAGCCCATTCGATATGGTGACGATAGAAGCGCCAACCAAAGAAGACATCGAACGCGAGACGAGAAGACGACAGGGTGGTGATGATGATTCAATTGGCGACAAAGAAGAGAATTTTGAAGATGAATTACGTACAAAGGGACCCTTGGAGTGGTTGGAAGATGCCGAAGCGTCGAGAGAAATGGACGATCCCTACCACATTTTGCTGCTGGGACAGACTTTTGAAAAGCCTAAAATTACTGTTCCATACGTTTCCAATACTCTACAATATGTCTTGGAGATGCCAGAGGACGAAGCCACTGAATTGAGTCAATTTTCGTTTGAAAATGGCATGTCCTGTCTTGGTACCTGGCCAAGAGAAGAGTGCCTTACTTTAGGAAGGCAGCTGCAAGTCAGAGACATTGTTTGCCGAGTCGTTCCATTCTGTGAGGGTGGACAGCGCGGCTGGCAAGCAAAAGATGCCGATGAAGCTGGGTATTTTAACGCCAGAGATATGCAATAGACTTCCAGAATTGTGCGGTTTCGTACACGTGCACGTACCAGTAGTCTAGCAAAGTAGAAGGCAAAAGTCCATGATCATAATATATAGAATCTTTCTAAAATAGATCGACATGTTTAGAAAAGGGATTGGAAGCTTATATTTCTAACCCTACCTGGTACCTATTCTAGTTTGTGAATATCCCAACAGCTCGATCATGAAGTTAATACACGCCATATGCACGGAAGAGAATAATTCGCTGGGGAAAAAAGCAATGTACCTCTCTCCACAAAAATGGATACGACGGCATAGTTGATGGATTTTGCACCCGTGCCTGTTACAAATCAGTACACATCATAATAACTTGAGAACTGCACACAGTATTGAAGTTTGTTGATTTTCCAACTTCTCTGTTCTGCAGCCAGTTTCAATTTGAAACCTCATCATGGCAAAGGCAATTTAGTTCTACTGTCTTCTTCGAATAGAACTGTCTTCTTCGAAGCAAAGAAGTCGCCACTGATTCTGCACATGCAGATGAGGAAGGCGAAATACTGCACAGGTTCATGGTACTGGACAGGTACAGTACCGCTTTGTTTCTACACATTGAACGTACACGTACCACCGGTACGGTACAGGCGCTTCTTCGAAATTGAAATGATTAGTTCGACTAACGGTCATTGAACAAGGTCACAGACATGAGTTGATCGTACGATGAATTCTCTACCATACGTACACACAGTACTACTTCTACTTCTATGCAAAAGACCGGTCATACTGTATCTTCTTGGAGATAGTTGCAATCTTTTCACCTGGATACAACATCCAAACCAAAGCAACAATGGGTGGTGATCAAGAATCATATGTCTTCATCCGGGATCCGGAGTACGCATGGATCCCAGCCATCAAGACTGGCAATGACGACAAAAAGGCTTTCGTGAAGGTTCCAAAATATCGTGATGAACAATCGATTCTTTGTGACGGTGGATCAGGTGCCAAGGAATGGGAAGAAGATAGCGTTCCCTTGAAGGACTACAACAAGGGCGTTCTTCCTTTGCAAAACGTTGACGGAGCGGGTCACTTGAAGCCTTTCCCTGATATGTGTCAGCTCACATTTTTGCACGAGGTATGCACCCAGATCTTTCTGATTTTTTGTTTGAGAGAGCTTCTTTTCTAACAGATGATTCTTCATCTTTTCAGGCTGGTATCTTGTACAACTTGAAATACCGTCACGGAAAGGGATTGCCTTACACTCGTACTGGAGATATTATTATTGCCGTCAACCCTTTCCAATGGTTCACTGATATCTACACCGAAAAGGTCCGAAATCGTTATTCTCGTATCTTGGTTTGGGAATACGATCCTGATGCTGGTGGTGGTGATCCTCGTGATGACGTGGATCCTCACGTCTACGAGACTTCCTCTCTGTGTTACACTGGACTTGCCTTTGGGGGTAAGGATCAGTCTATCCTTGTCTCTGGTGAATCTGGTGCTGGAAAGACCGAGACTGTGAAGATTGCCATGAATCACATTGCTAGTTGTCAGCAAGGACCTAATGCTGGTAGCATGGAAACCTCTCCCATCCTTGAGCGTGTTGTCCGATCCAACCCTCTCCTTGAGGCCTTCGGAAACGCCAAGACTGTCCGTAACGATAACTCCTCTCGTTTCGGAAAATACATTCAGCTTCAGTTTGATATGGGTACCAAGGCTGAGCAAGAATTCCGTTCTCGTGACAAGGCCACTTGTACACTTGCCGGATCCAAGTGTGAAGCCTACTTGTTGGAGAAGAATCGTATTTCTGAGCACGGACCTGGTGAACGTACCTACCATATCTTCTACCAAATCATTGCTGCAAAGGATAAGACCACCTACTGGAGCAAACTTGCTGGAACTACCAACGAACAATTCATGTTTGTTGGTGAAGCTTGCACCACCACCATCGAGGGCATGTCTGATGCCGATCACTTTGCCAACACAGTAACAACGCTTGGTGAGGTTGGTGTTGTTGATGATCAACTCATGACCCTGATGCAAGCGATTATCATGGTGCTTCAAATGGGAAACATCACTTTCGAGCCGAAGGCAGGAGATGATGATAAGTCCGAGGTTTCCAGCAAGAAGGAATTTGCCGATCTCTGTGAGCTTATGTGCATCGATCAAAATATCCTTGAAGTCTGTTTCACAGAGAGAACCATGAAAACCCGTAACGAAACATACAAGGTCCCATTGAACCCCAAGGTCGCCCGTGAAGCCACCGAGTCTTTTGCCAAGGAAATTTACAGTCGTGCTTTCTTGTGGCTTGTGCGTTGTATTAATGATGCCACTGCCGCCGAATTGAACTACAAGTCGGGATCCATGAAGGATTTCGGCATCATTGGTCTTCTTGATATCTTCGGTTTCGAGTCATTTGTCCGCAACCGTTTCGAGCAACTTTGTATCAACTACTGTAACGAGAAGCTTCAAGCCAAGTTCACAGAGGACATTTTTCGCTCTGTGCAACTGGAATACGAGAAGGAGGGTATTCCTCTTGATGAGATCTCTTACGATGATAACACCGATGTGTTGGATTTGATCGAAGGAAAGACTGGTCTTCTTGCTATGTTGAATGAAGAATGTGTCCGTCCTAAGGGAGAAGATCAAGCCTTCGTCACCAAGGCTCTTGCTGCGAACAAGAAGTCCCCTTGTTTGTTTGCAAACAAGACCAACAGACGTGGATTCGGTATTCACCATTACGCTGGAAAGGTGCTTTACGATGCTGAAGGATTCGTCAGTGCCAACCAAGAGACACTTCCCGCCGACTTGTCTGAAGCCGCTTCTCTCTCTTCGAACGAAATTCTTGCGAAGCACATGACCAACGACTCGTGTACTAACTTCGACAACAAGAAGGCTGCAGCCGCTGAACCTTCGCGTGGTGCACCAAGAAGAGCCAAGTCTAATCTTGTTTCGCCAACCGTGTGGGCGAAATACAAGGGTCAACTTGCATCGCTGATGGCAATGTTGAAAACAACGAACTCTCGTTACATCCGTTGTATCAAACCAAACAAGCCCAAGAAGCCCGTTCTTATGCAACATGTCACTACCATTGAACAGCTCCGTTGTGCCGGTGTTGTCGCTGCTGTCACACTTTCTCGGTCTGCTTTCCCTAACCGCATGGACAACAGTGTTGTTCGATTCAAGTTCTGGCAGATGTGGGACAAGGAGAAGTTCCCATCTAAGGGAACTAAGGATATGGATCAACCAGTCAAGCTTCAGCATGATTGTCAGGCTTTATTGGCTTGTGCACTTGCACCACTTGCTGAGAATGATCCAAAGACAGGCAAACCAGTCACTATTTTCTGTGTTGGAAAGACAAGGTCTTACTTCAAATTCGGAGCCTTGGAATTCCTTGAATCTCACCGCTCTGCTGGACTTGATGTTCATGCCATCCAAATGCAGCGTGTTGCCCGTACTTTCTTGGCCCGCAAGAAGCTTGTCGGTAGTGCCAAGGCCAGAAAGGAGGGTGTATTCATCATCCAGAGATTCTGTCGTTGTGTCAAGGCTAAGAAGGAGGCCAAGAAAGAGGTCGAGAAGATGAAGATTGTTCAAGCAAAGCGACTCGAAAAGCAGGCCAAGGAAGCCGAAGAAAAGGCTTTCGAACAGCAATTGAAGGCCGAAATCGAGGATCGCGAGTATTCTGCCAAAAAGGAATACAACAAGTACGATCAACGTTTGGACGAAGTCGCAGGGCAAATCAAGGAGGCTGAAGGTCGCTTCAAGGAACGCAAGGATGAGGCTGTTGAACGTGTTGAATCGGCCAAGACTGAGGCTCAAGAACTTCGCGACAAACTCGAGAATGAGATCAAACCAGCAGCAAGAGAACCAGCTAAGCAAGCTGCTGCCCAAAAGACCAAGCTCGAAGAGAGTGGAAAATTGATTGCGTTCTTGCAAAAGGAGAACAAGAAGTTGAAGAGCGCTAACGACAAGGCCAAGAAGGAGATGAAGAAGGTCAAGGAGACCAACGAGAAGCTTGTTGCATCCAACGAATCGGCTGGTCAATCTTTCGAAATGTTGAATGATCAATCGAAGAAGATGTCTAACAACACTTCCGGCGTCAACAAGCAAATCGAAAAATACAAGAAAGATAACGCCTCACTCCGAGAGGACTTGAAGAAGAAGCAAGAATTCTACAACGCAGAAGCGCAAATTCGATTGCAATACCAGAAGACTTTGGCACAAATCTTGGATGTCTTCCAAGACAATTGCAAAGATGCTGACCTTGTGGAGGACGTTGTCTGTGTTGCTCTTGAGTGCGAGTCTGAGGCAAAGGCACTCTTGGCTGCCGCCGAAGCTGCTGCCCCTGGCATGTAAATGTATTAGGCAGTAAACTGTTGCCAACATTATGGCACCCATTAATCGTATATGGTAAACAAAATAAAACAATTTATTGGGAAATATATAATAGCGAGGAGCATTATCCTAGTTGTGAAATATATTAGCGAGGAGCATTATCCTAGTTGTGTTACGGTATGCATAAGAATATACTCGCCTTGTTTCCAAACAAGCTGACGGTCCTTTAATTCAAGTTATTGATTGAAGGTCTCGGTCCCGGGTGGTAAAGGTCAAAGTGTGAAAGTGAACAGTGTTATGTTTTAATTCCGTCTGTGATCCGTCGGGGACATAAGTCATCGTCAATCTGTCAAAATCATCGTACAGTATCCAAATCAAGTCATCGAATGAATCATCGTCGTCTTGTTGCCATCGATCATCCGAACTCTATTTCACCGACGCTAGACTAACATAGGAACCATGAACGCAGCCAGAATTACAGCCATGCGCATGGCAGCTCCAGCTGCTGCCATCACCGGAGCATCCTTGTATTCCATTCAAGATGCCCACGCCAAGGAAGCTGTTGAACTCGATAAGGTTAGGGCTTCCATTGTGAATCTTGTCGATGCCAACGCGGAAAAACGCGGAGACGGCACCTCGTTGGCTGGAACGTTTATTCGACTTGCCTGGCATGCATGCGGTACCTATGACAAGAAGGACGGTAGCGGAGGATCCAACGGTGCTCGTATGAGATTCAAGCCTGAAGCCAGCTATGGAAACAACGCTGGATTGGACATGGCCCGATCTGTTTTAGAACCCATCAAAAAGGAGTTCCCAGACCTCTCCTATGCTGATTTGTACACATATGCTGGTGTTGTTGCTGTAGAAGAAGCTGGAGGACCCAAGATTCCATTCTCTCTTGGAAGAGTCGATGAACTAGATGGGGGCAGGTCGGACATCAACGATCGTTTACCCAACGCTCACATGGGCAGCTTCAAAAACGTGACTGAACACATTCGTTTCGTCTTCAGTCGAATGGGTTTCACTGACCAAGAAATGGTTGCGCTACTTGGTGCTCATGCTATGGGACGCTGTAAGTTGTCATTTTGGTTGCCGTGTCAGTAGAATCTCTTCAGGAAGGCTCAGCCCCACACGTTATCTTCAGGCCACACTGATCGAAGCGGGTTCTGGGGACCGTGGACCAACGCAGAAACTACGTTCTCCAATGAATACTTCCGTCTCTTGTTGGAAGAAAGATGGAGCCCAAAAACTACCCACGAGGGAAAGCCATGGGAAGGTCCTGATCAGTTTGAAGACAGCACTGGAAAGCTAATGATGCTGCAATCAGATATGGCTCTTATCGCTGACCCAGCCTTGAAAAAGTGGGTCGAGATCTACGCCAAAGACGAAGATCGTTTTTTCAAGGTTTGTATCAAGAATCTCCAAGATTTCGTTTCGCTATATATATTTTACTTGTTTCTGTTTCTGACCATATCGTTTTTCAATTTACAGGATTTCGCCACCGCTTTCTCCAAACTCTTGCATCTCGGAGCCCCCGTCTCCCCAATCGCGAAGCCTTGGTACCAATTCTGGTAAAGCAACCATCAACCAGCCGTCCCGAGTCTAGTCTGAAAGCATTTCAGCTGTCTTGATCGTGAGAGACAGATTCGCCAGGAGAAAGTAAATTAAAATGTTGCAAATATTTATGAACTGATGGTTTTATTTGTTATTCAGTACATGAAAACAGGGTTGTCCTTTGTCATAACCCGTTTGTCGATAGCAAGTTGTTTTCTCACTGCCTTGGTCAAGTGGAACATCCTTTGATGAGTTATTCCATCATACATCTTCAAGGAATCTGCCCCACCCTTGATGTTCTTCTCGATCAAAGAGTCAACTATACTTATTGGAAGAATTGGAGAATCTTTGGATTCTTCTTTTGGTGGACTGAACGCCATGACGAAACCCCAATCTGATCCAAAGCTAGGAATACTTTGTGTAAATGGAAGTACGACATCAAAGACTTCACTCAGTGTGTTGCGAATAGGCCCAAAACAAGTTGTATCCCTGTCTCCAGCGTCGACATGTGGTGGTGGCACTGCATCCGCGATTCCAGCCTGCGTCACGAAAACTCCGTTTGACGGCATGCGGGAAGCAACATGTTGATAAAGTTCTCTGGTGTAAAGCATGATACCAGGGCCAGCTTCAATTGGATCAGAAATGTCCATAATAACAATGTCAAAAGTCTCCTTTGTATCAAGCAAGTATGCATAGGCATCACCAATCGTCAACTCAAGACGTGGATCTGACTTGACTGCCTCCCCACCCCACTCGGGCAAGTATTTCACACAAACATCTACAACAGCGCCATCGAGATCCACCATCACAACACGTTCAACCCCTGGGTGACGCAATACCTCTCTTGCCGTTGCAAGCTCACCACCTCCGCCAATAAAGACAGTTTTCGGTGCTTTTCCTGTTCTATGCACGTATGTACAAATGGCAGGGTGGACTAGGGTTTCGTGATAAGCAAACTCGTCAAACTACTCAATAGAAACAATGAGATGAGTGAAACAAATTTTGACTGTTCGTCTATCCAAAACCTTCACTCACCTGTGCACTCTGGGTTTTCCCATCCGTCACAAGTGTCCGACCGAAGTAGGAATCAATGACATCGATTTGCTGGAACTCTGATTTGGATGAATGGAGGATACTGTTCAAAGGCATTTCCAGCACGAGGCCAGGAGCAATATCTTCTCGGAAGTTAAATCCTGCTTTCGCTCGCTGATCTTCGATAGTTTGTTCAGTGGCAGGCATTATTGTGGCTTTTTGGACAGCGCTTAGATTCGTAAAAGTAAAGATTTTCGACAAATGTAGAGCTCTCATACGAAGGGTCGATGTAGTTTATGTTCCACAAACATCACATCAAACATGTGAAGAATCTGTGGGGAGGTCGATTTATTGTCCGTACGTCAACAGATGAATTCATTCGTAGATTTCCAGACATCTGAAAACCTTCCGGTACCAGGTACTAGGCATCACAGAAAGAGTACTAAATGTATCATCGCTCCCAACTGGTTCTAACATCTCAAAGATGATCATGAGCATTCGATTCTATAAAGTTCAATTCCTCCAAGCAGTAGAAGAAGACATTTACAAGGCAATAAGGAAAGAAATACAAAGAAGACGATAATTTGTTTTTGGAACTTGTGTACGAGTAGTGTAGTTTTTGTTTCAAAGAAAACCAGTGGAGACGACTTTTCCATAGCCAAGATATTCGAAACTTTGTAATTCTATAATACTTGTTATTGGTAAATTATCCTCTTGGTAGTATCTAAGACGAAGGAAAGCTTTCTTGAAAGGCTTCAAGAGTAGATTGCCAGATAGCATGGCGCTCGCTAGATGCTTCCTTCATGCTACTCGCAATTGACTTGATGCTGGCGTTCCATTGAATCCGTCTTTGAACAGCAATGCGATTAATTTCGGACTTCAATCTAGCACCAATTTCGTCGGCTTCACCCACCGCGCCAAGAGCGAATTGATCACCCTGCACCGCAGATTGCTCCAAGTGGGACAGATGTCCAAATTGTCCCGATGCTTGCAATTGACGTTGCTGTTGGGCCAAGTACATGGCTCTGGAGTCGGCTCGACCGCGTTCCTTGGACCTGCGTTGAAGTGCCGTTTTGCGATCTTGCATCGCCCAGCGTTCGTAGCGCACCGTCTTGTACTGCTCCATGAATGGTTCCAGCGCGGCCGAAAGCTCCAACGCTAGTCGTTTGGTACGACGGCCATTGCGCAAGAGGCCATTCGAGAGAACATCGCACATCTTCAAGTCGTCAGAAATCTTAGGAACTTTGGACAGTTCCATACCCACTGCACCAGAAGCATCACCTTGTTCGCGAAGAATGGCAGCCGTCCCTTCTAGTTTAGGAACTGCCGTTACCACAGCACCCATGCGCAAGTTTTCCGAACTGCACATGCCCAGCAATTCCGCATTGTCTTCCCACTCGTGAGCATTGATCGAAGCAGAAGTAGTATCAGCAACCTTCATGGACATGCCGGCTCCCATGGCTCCCAATCGCGTAAACGCATTGTTGGAAACTTCAGACCAAGCAGTTCCAATGTCATCTTGCAGTCCCAAGAACAAGCGCAGTTCTTGTGATTGTCCTGCCACTGGGTGGACGGCCAAAGAATTGAGGTAAGACTCCATTTCGTTCGCACGTTGCATGGCAAATTCCGCCGACTGTTGGGTGGTGGCCTCTTCCAAAGCACGAGTGGCGTGCTTTTCTGGACGAGGGGGCAAAATGCATCCCAAACACGATTGTCGAAGTCGATCTTCCAATGCCACAATGTGGCGGAAACGACGGCGAACTAACCAAGTACCTTGATTGTTGGACAACGAGCTCGTCACTTGGTAGGACCAATAGGGCGGACTACTCAACAAAAAGTTCTGAGTCTGAATCAACATGGGTTCCGAGACAACAATCTTAGTGTAAAGCGATGTAACATCATCCGGTTTGGAAAGAACCATCTTTCGCACTTGACCCGCACCCGGCATGGCATTGTGCATGCCTGCCGTCGTGATTCCAAGTTGACTCTGGGCCATTTGTTGTTGCTGCTGCTGCTGTTGCTGAGGTTGTTGCTGAGTCCCATAGTAGTAGTTGTTGCCTTGGGGTTGCCCTTGGTTGACTTGTAGTGTAGGTACCGCGGCACCAACGGCAACGTTTGAAGGAGGTCCACCATTTACCATGCTTCCTGCCATGGGTGAAGCATGATCGCGATAAAAGCCTCCATCGTCCTGTGGTGTTTGAGCGTTCAATGTCATACTTTGTATTTGACTATTCAATTGTTGAGGTTGCTGCTGTTGAGGAGGGATGACAGTGCTCTGCATCATAGCAGACTGCTGCTGTTGTGGCGGTTGCTGCTGCATTGGTGGTTGTTGATATTGTCCCATTGGATGATTCTGCGTAGCATACGAGGCGCTCATTTGCTGTTGTTGCTGCAGTTGCATTTGCCTCTGTTGTTGTTGTTGTTGCTTCATTTGCATTTGTTGCTGCTGCTGTTTTTGTTGTTGCTGCCGCAATTGCTCCTCTTGCTCCCGTCGACGACGCTCTTCTTCCTCTTTTTGTAGTTGAATTTGTTTTTGACGTTCCTCTTCTTCACGCTGTTGTTCCAACCGCTTTTGTTCAGCTTCTTCACGAATTCTGAGTTCTTCTGCTTCCTTTTGGGCTTGTTCTTCATCTACAGCATCAAACAATCCACCACCATCTCCATCACTGGAGTCTGCTATTCCGAGCAATCCGCTTTGAGCCAGCAGTGATGGAGCTGGTGCTGGTGCAGCTGGTGGTGGCTGAGGAGCGACGGGTGCCATTCCATTCTTAGACATAGATCCACCATTCACCACAGGTGAAGGAACGGCTCCAGGTGGTGATGTCAGTGGGGGCAGAGAAGCTCCATTTGGCGGAGGTTGCTGTCCACCAACAGCGAAAGGAGGAGCTAGAGCAGCATCCTGATCGTCTTCCACGGGGATATCTCCAAACAAATCATGTTCTTGCTCGGTCTTCTCGCCATTGAAATCGGCTTCTCCCGTCAAGGATGCCAATAACGAGTTCTTATCCATCGTTCCTACTAGGTACCTTGAAACACGCTTAGTTCTCTGATGCCCTATGAAGCTTGCTTACGGATGGACTTGGATGGCAATCAAGGCACTCGAGCTGAAGATTCAAGGTTGACTCTTGCGAAAAATCGGATCCAGTTCGTGCCAGAAGTCATATTTTTGTCGAAGCGCAGCGAAGCAAATGTAGCCGTTGGAATACCAAGACTGACTGACTGACCTCCATTGATCCCAAAATTACTCTCCCCCATTTCTCCCCCAATATAGATGCCCAAGGCCCAAGGCCAAAGCCTCAAAGCTCCAATTACGATATCGTACAGTATGAATACATTATTGGCTGATGAGACATGGAACATAAATTAGCTAGTAGGTTCACATATATGCTTGTTCCATGCCATTGAGTGCAGTGCTGTGTATAGCATAGTAGATTGATACTACAGTACTATTAATTTCAAACCAATGATCTCAAGGAAGTCCTGTCATTGGTGCAACAACATTGGACCTGAACCGGTAAAACAGTTCGCCAACCAAGGTATAAAACTGTAACATATTAATATCATTGTCTATTGTTTCTGTAGGTACTGTAAGTTGTAGTTTTGTAACATCGAGGAACATATATTTCCCTGTTGAAAATCCAAAGCTTGCTTCCGTGTGCATTCCAGAGGGACTTTCTTTGCAACTCCCGCGCTAGCTGGAAGATGACCGCAAACCTTCCGTGAAACCGCTCCAAAAGACAGAGAAATATAGCAGTGACACAACGATAGAAAACCAAAAGATGATGTGAAAGAGCACTTGTTCGGTAGGATTCAACATATACAGACCGGTCCACAGATTGAACCGGTACATCCAAACACCGATTGGGCCATCGTAACTACAAAGATTGTCGGAGTTTGTGTTGGTCAAGTTTCTCTTTTTTCGGGGCGCCGCACGGGAAGGTGGGTTGGTAGTCGTCGTCGAAGAAGAAGACTTTGGTGATGACGGATGGGATGATTTCGACTTGTTCTTCTTTCTGGCCATGGTTGACTAGTTCTTGATGGACTATTGGAATGTATGAAGGGGTAGCGTGTGCCCTATATGTCCAAATCAAAGATTTCACCTTGCGATGCTGTGCCTTTTAGATTGCTCTTCTCCTTGAGGTTAGCGTCTGTTTTGACTGAGTAAGTGCAGCCAGATTAATGCAGACTTCATTCAGCATTGACAAACGAATCGACTTGGTCAGAATGAATCATCCTACAGTATGACGCGACGGACAGGAACTTGTAATTATGACCCGCTTTTCCCCGTACGAGTACCGTATCATTAGGTATGTATTGTACGGCGTAAGTTGCGCGAAGTGAGTAAAAGGGTCTCTTTCTCGGCAGTACCAGGTAGTGGAGGCCAGTATGGAAGAACTGCCGTGTCTCGGTAGAATTAAAATCCAATTCCACTACCATACAAACAATAACAAGCTGGTCTTCACCTGCCGAGGTTGGAGAGAAACAGATTTGAAATTGGACAGAGTTATTTTCACTCCAGCTGCTTGAGTTGAAACTGTAATTGGAGCTGAATAGGATTGGATCAGATCAAGTATCCAACAACACCAGTATCACATCATCATTTCCAAAAAGGTTGCAATTTCAAATTGTAGTCAAACTGCATTAATACAGAACTGTAGGCAATCATGGATCTCGCGTTCTCTCCAAAGACGAAGAAGAAGCTTTCCTTCATGATGGAATCCTTATCGGAAGTTTCCGGACAAAACAAATCAGAATGGGAGGAGGGATTGGCGGTGATTCAAGACATTTTGCAACCTGGATCAGCCGCACATGATGCGCTCACACCGCAACAACGAAAAGGCTTGGAAAATGTTCGAGGAATCTTGTTGGGAACTGGAGGAGAGGATGATGGGAAATACCATCTTCCTTCGGAACTTCGTCGGAGCGCCAATGGAGACTCCGCGATTGATGCTTATCTTCTGACTCAGTTTGCTGGGATGACACATACCTCCGCGAAGCAAAAGTTCAAGAGTGTGGTCAACGCGAATCTTTTCATCGCTGGTCTAAGGAACTTGACTGGAGGTGATTCCTCAGAAACGAAGTTTAAGAAGAATCTCATGTGGACTTATCTGCCACCTGAATGGGAGGATATGGAAGTGGACACTCGGCGGCAGGTTTCAGAAATGCTTTCCAAGGAGTCCCTTGATGACTGGGGATTTGATATATTTAAACTCGATGAACTGACAAATGGCAACGCTCTGCTCTTTATTGGTTACGGGATCTTGTCATCCCCTTACTCTCAACACGCCATGCAACAAAGCGTATTAGGTGAAGACGCTCCAGAGGTGGACGTGTCCAAAATAAAAGGGTACAAATTCCTGGAAGAGCTGAACATATCAGCAATAACAATGGTAAATTTTCTGAGAGCAATCCAAAAGGACTATGTCAACGAAAACCCGTACCACAACAGTATCCATGCTGCAGATGTCACCCAATCTGTGCACAGTTTACTACAGATGGGAGGGGAGAGGTTTTCCAATGGTGAAATCCAAGTCTTTTCCATTCTATTGGCAGCCGTAATTCACGACGTCGGCCATCCTGGAAAGAACAACAATTTCCAAATTCACTCCAAATCCGAATTTGCCCTGCAGTACAACGATCAAAGTATTTTAGAGAACATGCACTTGTCCAAGGCATTCACAAGGGTGCTTGGAAACGGGGGCAACACAGCTGTCGATATATTCAAGAAGATGAAACCAAAGCAGTATACTAGTGTCAGATCGATGATGATTGAGGCTGTTCTCCACACGGATATGACCAAACACTTTGCATCCGTCAACTTGTTGAAAGGTTTGATGCTTTCAAACCCAACCGAGGAACTCATTGGTACTGATCATTCTTGGACAATTTTACACTTCCTACTACACTTGGCCGATATTTCAAATCCCGCCAAGCCTGGACCTATGTTCGAACTCTGGACCGACAGATGTCTGGATGAGTTTTTTAGGCAAGGTGATGAAGAAAGGAAAATGGGCTTGCCGATTAGCCCATTATGTGACCGTGAAAGCACGGATAGAGCGGAAAGTCAAATTGGTTTCATCCAATATGTTGTTATGCCCGCTTTCAAGGTCATGAGCAAATGTATACCGAAGGTGGAAGAAAAGATTCTCCCAATCATTGAAGACAACTTGGACTTTTGGATATTGGAAGCAAAGCGAGTCAAGACACAGGGTGAGGAGGAAGACGACCCAAAGAGTTTCGAAAAGCTTCCAGCAAAAATTCCAGTTGCCACAGCAGAAGAAGAAAATCCAGGAACAGAAGATGAGGAGGAGATTTAGCACTGCATTAACAAAGCGACTAGTATTTATAATTGTAATAAGATAACTGAGGTTCTTGCTATTGATAATATCCCTGCTAACTGGTCGACAAACCGCTTCTTTACCTCGGCGCAGAAGGATACAGCACTCCTCCTAAAGCACAGTACACAACGTCAGGTGGTGCAAATCCATTGAAAGTAGTCCCTACATCACAGAATCCAGTGTTCCCAAAGACTAACCAATCGTCTCTGCAAAGTTTAGGAAGTTTCCCCACACAAACTTTGTCGATCCCATCACAAGTGGGGCCCCAAACAGTCGCTTCCAAATCGTGAGAGGAGTTTAGAAGTTCATCTCCGTCATCCGCCTTTGCTTTTAGCGGAACTGGGACTGTGCTTTTGGAGTGATTCGATAATGATCCATAGCACCCATCGTCAATGTAGTAATGTATTTTGCTTGCTTGGTTTTGCTTCACTCCGATGATGCGAGTACATATTGCCCCTGCATCTTTCACCAAGATGTGACTTATATCTAAAGTGCACAAGCTGAGCCATTCGGAATTCTCCGAGAGCCAATCAGCCAGAATTGGGTCTATTGAATCTGGTGCTGTCAAGTGCAGTTGTGGATTACCCATCCCAAGCTCGTCACGGCAATAAACCAGAACATCTGAGAGGAGCGCGAGACTATTCGACAACGTTGTCTTGCGTTCCAGAAGGTCCAAGCTGATCCCAACTAACCTATGAGAAGTGCTCGATGCAGCTGCGTGTGTTGTCGATAAGGCATCCTTCCATTCGTCTGATAGACCGTCAACTTTCATAATAAAACAAAGTGCAGGTAGCTGTTTTTGCCGCCTTTGTGACATGCGCGTGATGGCTGATACCAGTCGGCGAAGCTCATCATGTCCATCGACGATCAGAGGTGTGGATGAAGCAACACTCATGGAAACATCGAGAATTAGACGCCGGTAATATGAATTCGTTTTTCCTGTGCAGCTAGGATCGTCCCAAAGTCGAATGTCATTGCAATTTTTCCTGCAAGTTTCCATATCGAAATTTGTTCCAACCCTCAAGTCCATCCCCAGCCGTCCCAAGACGGCAAGCAGCTTGGCGCTCGCATTATGCTTTGTACTATATATCAGTCTCACTTTTGGCAATCGTTTCCGACAACTAACATGAGTTTGCGTGATTGCAGCAAGATCGAGGAGTAGGAAGACACGAGACCGAGATTCTGACATGTTGTGGATTGCTCTTTGAAAATCGTAGTCCGATGGCAGCAGACTCAGTTGAAACTGCTCCATTTGGTCTTTAAGCGCATGCTCTTGTAAAATGTTCATCACTGAAGGAAGGGTTCGTCGTCTTATTGAATTCTTGTCTATATTTCTCTCCTTAGACTGCCGTGGCTGAATAAATGATCTGACGGCATCATCCCATGTTTTCCTTATAGCAAAGCATAAGGTTAATGGCTCAGATTTCTGGGGTGTCGTCCTACGAATCGACCTTGTTGAGATACCATCTTGTTGCTTCCTTCTGTTTGCCCATTTTTCTGCCAGCCTTTCTCTGGCATCGCTTCGGGTTGAAGATGTCAGTTCGCTGTGATCCATTTTCTTTTACTGTCATTCATTTTTATTGTCAGCCAACGGTAGCGTTCATTTTTCTTTTCTTCATTTCTCCGTTGCTTCCTATGAGACTAAATAAGCACCCCAACGGCCACTTCGGATTCTGAGTCTTGCAATGATGAGCGAAGTTGATCTCAGACTTGCACTTCACTCTTGCCAACAAAAACAACCACGATAGTATTCAACCATGGGAAATAAAGTGTCACTCGAAGATGAAATGATCAACTTGCGAATAGTGAGCAAACAGATGCAACGGTCTTCCAAGAAATGTGAAAAGAACGAAAAAGCAGCATTGGAAAAACTGAAGAAGGTAGGCATTTCATATGTGTCCGGAAGTGTTGCCTTTTGCCGCGGCTGGATTCTATTTCACTTGCCATCACCTGTTTCTTGATGCACCTTGCGTTTTCCTCATTCTTTTCAATTGTTTTAGGCCATTCAACAAGGAAACCATGAGGGTGCTCGGATTTACGGACAAGACGCGATTCGTGAAAAAAATCAGGCTTTGAACCATTTACGGATGTCGAGTAGGATTGACGCGTGTAGTTCGAGGATTGAAACAGCGGTGCGCATGAATCAAGTGACAGATGGAATGAAAGGGGTTGTCAAGGGCATGGACAAGGGCTTGTCTGCTATGAATATAGAAAAGATTTCGAAACTCATGGACAAATTCGAACAGCAATTCGAAGACTTGGATGTCAAGACTCAATACATGGAGGGTACTATGAATGCTACGACAGCAACATCGACACCCGCTGAACAAGTAGATGATTTGATATCTCAAGTGGCCGATGCGAACAATTTGGAATTGGGGGAAGCCTTCTCAGAGGCAGGGCCTGTCGGAAAGAAGACTCCAGCTCTTGCAGCAAAGCCAAACGCGGAAGCCGACGATTTGGAAACTCGACTTGCCAATCTGAAGAGCTGAGCGCTTTTTTGAAATCATCTACGTACAGCAGAGATTCTTTTTGTCGCTCCAGTTCCAAATTTGGATGTTGGCTTTCTAGCTGCTCATAACATAGGATCGTCCCATTGCGTTTTGACAGTCACTTAGTGTTATTATTGTTTCTATATGATGTGCTTTGTGAGTTGGAGTAAAAGGTAGTACACGCAGTAACTTTCTTCTTCCACAAGAAGCAAAGTTATCGTACTGTACCATTTGAGTTTCTTTCTGTCTGCCGCTTCCTTCCACGCGTTCGATATAAAGTCGACTTGTAAGACCATGCGTCACAAGTTGAGCGTGTCAAACGGAAAGGAAAAGATCATTTGGATGAATCAAATCCATCTAACATCCACCATGTTCAACTGCAACGAGATGAATGGAAACAACATTGGGAAAGCCAAAAAAACAAAATATACGCTCCTATTGCTTACCTTAACACTACTCCAGCTCAGTTGTAATGAAGCTTTCCCTATTTGTTTAAACAACCTCAGGCTGAAGAAGGTCTCCCTTTCTGTTTCGATGAAAGAACACTTGGAAATTGCTGACGAGACGTACAGAGCAAATTTACAAATTGCTGAGTTTGCGAACAAATCTTCGCGAAGAAATTTTGCACCGGCTATGGAGGCGATTCATTTGCTCCGATCACTAGAGCACCCTGACACTGTGGGCTACAATTCCGTGCTTAAAGCGTTATCTAGGACGTCGAGCCCCTACAACAAAGATGCTGTAATACAAGCGGTCGTCTTGCTGGAGGAAATGGAGAGTCTCAATAGGGAACAGAGTGACTCGAAAGATGAATGGTACATACGTCTAAGCGAAAACTCTTTGGACGACGAAGAAGTATCAATGGGCGCACCGAGAGTAAGAATAAAACCGAATTGCAGAACATACTCCACAGTAATGGATGTGTTTGCACGACAGAACAATCCAAGCTCAGCTGAACGGGCCCATGAATTGCTCGAGAAGCTCAAAGACAAATATGAGGAAACCGGTGATATTGCATATCTTCCGAGTACTATCACATACAATACCGTAATTAATGGTTGGGCGAAAGCCGGAGCGGGTGAACGGGGTGCATTCATTTGTGAAAATCTTTTGAGTGAAATGGGAGACCTCGCTGATGTGATAAGTTTTAATAACGTGCTCCATGCATGGGCTAGATCCGACGTTCCCGATGCTGGCGAGCGCGCTGAGAGAATACTTCGATCAATGAACACTGTGAGACCGAACTCTAGAAGTAAGTGAGCCCTGCTGGATTCTCCACCTGCCAAGCTTTGTTACTAATAACGATGAATCTCAAGCGTATAACACTGTAATACATGCTTGGAGTCGATCGACGGCCGACGACGCGACAAGGCATGCACACAGTCTGCTTCGAGAGATGGACGAGCTTGCGAAGGACGAGCCCAGCATGTCGCCTGACTTTTTCTCGTATTCCAGCGTTATTAATGCATTGGCTTTGGCTAAATCAGAGCCTCTCAAAGCCCACTCATCCTTCCTGTTGATTCAGCGAATGAACAAACTGGCGAAGGAAAACCAAAGGCTGCGTCCAAATCTTATAGTCTACAACACCGCTCTGAACGCTTGTGCAACCTCCTGCCCGATTCAAGTACAGAACAAAGTGGAGGAGGATGGTCGAGGAGAACGACTGCCCAGTCTGCCATTAATAGTACGGACGTTGTATGATCAATTGACACAGGATATCCACCTCACACCTGATCATGTAACATATGGTACGGTTCTAAAGGCGATTGCAAATTTATTCCTAGATGAACCAGATCAAGTTGATTTTGGAAAAAGAGTATTTCGAAGTGCCTGCGCAAGTGGACAAGTCAGCGTAGGAGTTGTCCATCAACTGCGTCAGGCAGTCCCTTCCTACGTCTTTCGTGAATTGGTTCCTGAAGCGTGCATTTCATCCGATGAAACTATTGTCAACAAATTTCCAGAGCAGTGGGTGTGCAACTTGCGTGAAAGTACTCGTCAGAGAAAAATAAGAAGCGATGGTGTGAAATAAAGTCAATAGACTATGGTTCTCGAGGATGTTATGTGCTCTCGTTAGTTGGAGTCTTTTCGCACATTTCTGCTCCAGCCAGGTGGAAAGTCCTCCAGAGTGTATTGTCGGTAAACCAACGGAGATGTGTTGAATGGGATGCCAAGCAAGGAAGTTGCAAGCTTTGATGGTGTGCCCGCAAGCAATCTTCTCAGTGCTTCTGAAGAGACAAGTCCAGAGCGCTTGCATTGTTCAAACGCGAAGGTGAGCCCTTTCGTTCTGATATCCCCTTCAGGCAATAAATTGTTGCAGCATTTGAACCAAAAGGCATATGTGAAGCTGTCTGGTTGAATGATTTCTGAGCTTCGGATCTCGTTGTATGTCTTTGCGGCAATCTTGAATGCTCGAAGTTTTTCGTCATGCGATCCCACACAATTTGCTGCACAGTTGATAACGTAATTGAATGGATAGGTAGTTGGACACAAGCTGTCATCCAAAGTCTCTGCGTATGTCGCCACTAGTTTCTCCAGAAGATCCCTAGCTATACGAACATTCTCCGGAGTTGGATTAGTGGATAATGCGCGTATCGTCACTGTGTATGAAAACAAGTTTGGCATTATGCCTTTGTCACCAGTCCCCCGGTACAAATCGTTTGCCTCCTCGAATAACTCTAAGCCTATCTCTGCCGCATGCGGGTCAGATGACTTTGAACAGCATTCAATTACCGAAGTGTAGGTGATAATATCCGGGGTGTACGAATCCAAAGCCTGTAGCTGTCGGAGTAAATTGTAGGCTTTATGGGCATCAGGATTCCTGCATTTTGCCAGCGCATTAATCACCACATTGTAATGGCGACTTGTAGGCAAAATACCGGAAGCTTCTTGCATTCTGAACAAGACTTTTTCAGCTTCTTCCACAGCATCCTTTCGATTGCTTTGAACCCAAGCCTGTGAAGTTCAAAGAGTCCTTCTGGATGAGACAAATGAAACACCAGCTATACGTCAAAATTACATTACTGACCTTGAGAAGAGTGTTATATGTGAACCCATCTGGCTTCATCACTGGATGTTCTTTTGAGTTTGCTTCCATGTAATCAATTATTTTGATCATTTTGTCAAGAGATTTCGACCTGTCTCTATGACGAATATATGCATGGAGTACACCGTTGAACGTAACCACATCGGGATATATATCCTCGCAAGTCTTTCCAAGGTCGCTCGCTAGCCACAACACTTCTTCAGATTTATCTATCCGACGACATCGAGACCATGCAGCAATAACACCATTGATTGCTATCAGTTCAGGCCTTGTAGACTCACCATACCCACTTGCTTCGTATTCATCAATCATTTGAAGCAGAAGAGAATTTGCTTTCTCTGCATTTTCTTCACCGTTTTGCTTCGCCAACGCTAAAATAGCGTTCGAATATTGCTGCGCACCAACATTTACACCTCGGAGTTGCTTCATTTTGGAAAATATTCTCTCCGACGACTCCGCTGCGGACGAGGAAGAACATTTCGACCAAGCTTCTAGTAACAATTCGTACCCTCTAAAAACGGTATCTTCGTCTGGGGACAACTTCATCATTTCATCAAAGTAGTGCTGTGCCCTCTTGACACACTCACCAGAATCACGGTTTTCTTGTTGCCAAGCCCATGCATGAACCAAATGAGCTAATGTTTCACTTGTGATGTCGATTCCTGTCTCTTGCATTTTTACTACCACAGCTTCTGCTTTTTGAGCATACATCCTATCCCCACGTGGCGTAGAGCAGGCTGCGTAAGCTTTCAAAGCAAAGTTGCAGGTTTTTGTAGAAACGGTTCCATTTTTATCATCCCAAAGCTTCTTCAATAGTGGTTCAACCTCGTCAGCTGCACAAACTACTGCCGAATCGCTCGCGCGTCTCCATCTTAATCTCCCTCTATTCGACAAACCCTCGAGTGCTATTTGAAAGGATTCTTCTGTGGCAACTCCAATCTCCACCATGTGTTCCAACATTGAAACCACTCTCTCAACTCCATCAATGTCACTAGTGAGTAGGTTTGGTCGTTTCTTCCTTTCAATTGGCAGTGAGGATGCGTGATCTGCTGGTGACATATTTTGTCGTGAGTCCAAAACTCGCAACATGTCTCGATGAAACCGTGACGCTGGATCCTGTAGATTGGAGTTGGTGGCAAGCTGACAAACAGAAAGTTCTCCATGAATATGCTGGTTGCTGTTCAGTGGATTCACCAACAACGACGCTGATGGTGAGCACATTGATATCAGAAATGTCGTTTGACAGAGTTTCCGCCATTGATTGATGGATTGATATCTAGATGATTGTTTCATCGTTGTATTATTTTAGCAAGATGATGGTTTGCATGCATGGCTTCTTGGTTCGAAGAAAACGCAAAAAACAAACCTGAATCATCGACGGCCAGGCGCTCCTTTTTTTAAGAGCGTACACGTACGGTATGACGGACCAACCATGACATTTTTTGGTGGTCCGTTCTGTGAAATCTGACGTACCAATTTATATCAAATCCGAATATTCTCAATAATCCACTCTGTAGTTAAGCTGGGCTGTCGGGTCTAACTAATCGTAAATGATGTAAAAAATTCGTCCTACGACATCATTCCCTAAGTAATTTGCTGGATTAATGTCAAGATACGGTGGCTACTGATTTTGTGCCAATCTTCTGTCGAACTCTTGGCAAATGTTAACGTGAAAATGTACTAATATTCAAGTGGAGGCTGACTCTCCTTGTACGAAAATTTTGTACGCAACAATGACAGTACTTCTGGATTTATTCAAGAGTTGATGACAACCACCCACCCTTCACAATTTCTCCGTTTGCGCTTGAAAACACTTTTGTCCCACACCCCCGCGAGGTCCAAACGACCCAAAAATCCATGGAATTGGGAATCCAATTTGAGCAATAAGTGCCTGTTGTCCTAAAATGTAAGTAAAAATCTCGTACCGGCAATGTGCCTCCAAAAAAGGCCTCGACTTCGATTCCCCTTGCGGAGCTCGGACAGGCACCGGAGGATGATGATGATTCTGTCTTGATGGATTCCGCTCTGTTGGCATGACCCATGACGATGACACGGATATGGGCGCATGAAAGTAAAAAAAATCGGACCATGGAATCTGCAACCGAACCATACGCAATGATGAATGAAGCAGATCATCTTTCAGTGCAGTCAAGTAAGCGGAATGCCACCAATCGACGCTTGTTTTTTGTTGGATTGAGTCATCGACAACGAGAGCCAGCGCGCCATGATTGATGGGCATCACAGGCAGCAATGTGAAAAACCGAAAACCTCTTTCTGCTCAAGGCAGCCCCCCACCGATGCCTTCAATCCGCTGCTGCACTTGATGGCTGTCAATTCCGTGGGGAATGCATCACACTTGCAGTGTTGTTGGTGTCAGATGATTTTGCACGGATTTCGAGTGGAAAAGAACTCCGTCTGTGCTTCGACTCCCTGGCGGAACTCTACGAATCGTATTTTACAAAATGACTTTGGAAACACCAAGTCTCACCTTTTTTCCTTCCACTTCAGCTTTGTACCTTTTCAACAAGACTGGGCCTAGACACTGCTACAAACGCAGTTGACCATGACTGCTGACAATTACACAGGTTCTTGCCCGCCAGCAACGGATGCAACTTCTGTCCGTCGCATTCGAAAGCGTCCTTTGTCGCGACTGGTATCACAAGACAAACTCGGCAGCGCTGATTCAATCATGTTTCCTGAGAGTCCAAGATGTGTTGATGGGATGGCTCGTCGCGTTTCACAAATCACAGAGGATGAGCCCATGGCTTATTGCACCTCCGTTGAAAGACCATTGAATAACCCTGCTCTGCTTGAAACTCACATTACTTCACTGAGATTAGAAGCTGACTTGTATCCCATGAGATTGATTCTTGCCAGGTTGATCTCCCACCCGCAACACAACAAGAAAGGCCTATTCAACAATCCTGTAGATGCCGAAGCCCTTGGGCTTGTTGATTATAACAAAATCATCGCTGAGCCAATGGATCTCGGAACAGTGAAACGCAGACTTCATGGCCTGTCCTATAAGTCCAGAAGCGAGGTGGCTCGAGAAATTCGATTGGTCTTCACAAACGCTATGACGTACAACCCGCCTCCCAATATAGTACACAAATGTGCCAAGGAGCTCTTGGCTCAATTCGATGAGTATTATTTGGGTTTGCCAGCATGCGTTGTAGGCAAAGTGGTCGAAAACCATAAGCCGACCAGTCAACCACCAAGTGTGCCCCCATCAGCTCCTCTCAAGAGACGAAGATCCAGTAGCATGTCTTTGGCATTCATGGGGCCGCACTCTTGCGATTCTTGCGTGGGAAAGATTTGTCCACTGTGCAAACAAGGGTGTCTTAAACAAGAGCCGACGTTACTTGTCTGCCAAGGCAGGCACTGCGGAGGGGCAAAGATTCGAAAGGGTTCAATATATTATCTTACTCCGGACGGCTGTCGGCAGTACTGTGAGCGATGCTTCACAAGCCTCCCTCCTGTTTTATCGCAGCCTTCCGCGAGCGATTCTCCTCTGTACAAGCAATCACTCTTGAAGCGGAAGAACAATGAGGAGATTGTTGAAGACTGGGTCGATTGCATAACATGTGGCGTTTCAGTTCACATCGTTTGTGCAATGCATAACTCCTCCGCTGATTCACCCAAGTCCTTCACTTGCCCAACCTGTCGTGTACCCGATGAATCGTGCTCGAAGGATAAGTCATCAAGTGGAGGTAGATTACAAGATGCTTACACATTCGTCAGTGGATCAGAGATGCCAGTCCCCCTCTCAGATGTTGCAAGTGGAAAAGTGGAACTTTCCTCTGAATCTCTGCAAGAATGTGCAATTTCTTCGTTCATCCAAGAGAAAGTCCGTGACTGTGTCCAAGGAATACCAAATGCAGGCAAGACTGTGAATATTCGAATTATATCCGACACTGATCGACATTTCAAGGTTCCCGAAGTCATCCGAAAGCACTTTCGCATGGTGACAGAAGCAGATGAAGTCGTGGCACCACCTGTCAATGTATCCTATCGGCAAAAAGCCATTACAATGTTTCAGAAAATTGATGGTTTGGATGTGTGTGTCTTCTGCATGTATGTACAAGAATATGATGGGAACGATGAATATGACTCTGACGTGGGGGGTAAAGTCAAGGCCGGTCATGCGAAGAGAGTCTATATTGCGTACATTGATTCTGTGGAATACTTTCGACCTCGTGAATGCAGAACACAAGTCTACCAAGAAATCCTTGTGTCTTACCTTGCGACTGCTCGCAAGCGTGGATACGAAACTGCCCAAATTTGGGCTTGCCCACCGTCCCGCGGCAATTCGTTTGTATTTTGGAATCATCCAGCTTCGCAAAGGACACCGACTTTGGAACGCCTTGTATCCTGGTACCACAATGCGTTGGGTCAATCGGTGGATTGTGGAGTTGTTACCGATGTAAAGAGTCTCTATGAAACTGACTTCGAGGAAATGTTGATGAAAGGCGGCAATAGGACACCGTGTGGCCGTGTTTTGTGCCCGCCCCTCTTCGAAGGCGACTACTGGATTGAAGAAGCTGTTCGTCTTCACGACGCCAGCATCTCTAGAAACATGAAGATACGATCACCCACTGAAGTCTGCGTCTGGCATGTTACGCCATTGAAAGCAGAAGAGTTGGACCCATGCCCGTCCATTCAAATGGCCACGCTTGTCAAGGATCGAGTCATGACGCACCCATCATCAGTTCCATTTCGAAGACCAGTCAATGCTGCCGCGCTGAAACTCGTCAAATATCATGATGTTGTGAAAGAGCCCATGGACCTTGGTACCATCTATTCGCGATGTGTTGTTGGCGAATATCGAGTTCTCAGTGAAGTTGTCCAAGATGTCCGTCTAATGGTGACCAATGCCATGAAATTCAACCCTGCTGGGCACTTTGTTTGCGTCAAAGCGTCGGAAGTGCTTGATCTATTTTTCCAAGAGCTCTCGTCCCTTGTGAAGATATGGAGTGCCATAGACGACACTGACGCTCGATCCTGGGAATCATACGCGAACATGAGCATGAGCCTCGATGTGGTGCTGGAAATGCCTCAGCATCAAAACCCCAAGAATTCGAGCATCTTGATCGAAGACGATCGCTCGTCCGATGGATCACGATCAACAGTGTCAACGTCCTCAGCGCAATCATCTTCTCCCAGTACGACAGAGCAGGCCGCAGTCTCAATGAAAAATCCTGGTACTCCTGCCCTTCCTCCTCCTGCGAAAATCGTCCCTCCCAAAAGAGGCCGTGGAAGGAAGCCACTTCCGAGTAAGAAATGTGAACTCTTGGAAGATAGTTCCGAGGCAATCAAGCAGAGGATGGTTGGTACTGATCTTTGGCTTGTTCACAAAAACGTTCCGACACCACCAAAACGGGCGGGAGGCAAGAAGTCACGCAAGAGGCGTCGCAACTCGATTGACTCCGCAGAAGATGATACGCTCCCCAAGAAGCGACAGCAATCGTGGCTTGGAGAAGATGTCGCTGAGTCTGTCCGTACTCGCAGAACCACCCTTTTCACATGCTCCCTTGTTCCAAAGGCAACAATGACTGAAAAAGAGGCCAAAAAGCTTCAAGCCTTTGAAGAATACACTCGTTCGTTCAACACGGAACAAGAAACGCTTCCCAAGAAATCTTCTCCTATTGCAGAATCACGACATGCATTCCTCGAGCTTTCCCAACTCCGTCGGTTGGAATTTAATACTCTCAGGAGAGCAAAATATAGCACTGCCATGTTGATTTACCACATCAAAAATGAAGATGCTTCTGGTATTGTTCCAGTTTGTACATCTTGCAACAAGCACATTGAGAACGTGATGTGGCACAAAGTGAAGGTAGGTACAGAGAGACCAATTGGTACCAAGGTCATTCGCGCAACTCAGCCAACGAAGAGCAAATGGGTTGCGGGGGAGCTCTGTGTTGAATGCCATCGACAAGGAACTGAAGCAGAACAGGAAGAATACATTCCCATCCCTGTTTCTCTAAAGGTGAAATAATCCTTATCCAAATCCAATATGAGAGAATTATCAATAGATCTTCTATTAGTATTTCTTTCTCTATAATTATAAAAATTTTGTAACCTTTCAGTATTTTGCATCATCCTGGCCATGATTCATGGTCCACTGATCGGATTTCGTGTTCCAACTCCATAATCGTTTCTCCATTAGACATGTCAACGATATCCTTCATTCGAAACTGCCTCCATTTTCGGGCCTTGTCCAGAGTATCTGCGTCATCCGTGAAGCGAGGATTCACCCAAACTAGGCCGGCAAGCTCTGCATTTCTGTAGCAAACATCAAAGTCAGTTCCTGACTCGCCTACATAAAATGCGATGTGATGCCCGTCATATGGAGGGAGTGTGGATGTAGTCTCTTTGAAAAGCAGAGACTGGTCGGCCTTTCCAGCATTGTCCACTTTGCCAAAAGCAATAATGGCTATCTTTGACCCCCCTCCAACGTCAACAACTGTTGTTGTAGCGTCAAACACGGACTCGTAAAACTGAAGTGCGGCTTGTGAGCGAGCATGGACGGAAAAACTCCAAAATGGTCTAGAAACACAGTAGAAAGCAACTCACCACAGCAATCTTTTCTGCACTATTGGGAGGACACTCAAATTCGACATAGTCAATTCCCCGACACTCAGACTCTTTTTGCCCATATTTCTCCGCATATGATCCCCATTTTTCAGTATCCTGTGGGCCAATAATAGGCTGCACCTTATCTTCGTTGACAGACTCGCCAGTTCTGCACCAGAACACATTGTCATATTGATCCACAAGCTTGACATATTCTCGTTGGCTCCTGGGGTCGACTCCGATTTCGTAGCTCTTTACAGCGTCCGAATCTACAACCCTGGACTTTAAAGCATCCAAAGAATCATATCGTAGCCCAATGTTTCCCGGTATTCTCTGAGCCACATCGCCGTACGGCAAATGGAACTGAGATGCGCCAGCATTTGCCCAGATTGTTCTCTTTTGGGCATCAGGTTCTAAATTTGAAGCTTTTCTAGGATCAAGACCACAACCCAGGACATCGAAGTAGAATGGAAGAATGTACTCATGACTAGGCACATTTAGATTGACATGTTCCAACAACGTCATCGTCGATACATCAACGACATTTCGTGTAGCCTTCATGGAAGTGGCTGGAGATCCCATTGTTTCCGAATGCGCTAAAAAAGCATGGGCACATAGGCTGTTTAGAAATATGCAAATCAAAAGACTGGTCGATTTGATCTCCATCGCACAGTACCGGTACTGTATTTCTTCTGTCTTTCTTCACTGAAGGAGGATGTTGTGACAAATGTAATAAATAGCAAGGACAAGGTGATATGATTTTGTGCACGCGCGGTTGGAGGACGGTCGATATCTTCACGCGCATATCCGCGCATCAATGATGATTCGTGCATCTTGAACTTTATTAGAGCAACTCCACGTCACATACGTGGCCCAATTTTGCCTTTGGCAAGCGACAACCCTCACCCCTCACCAACCTTTTATCTTCAACATTTGCAGGGCCGATGACATCAAGGAATTCAAAACAGGATTGACGAAACAAGAGGATCGAGCAACAACACATTTGACACATTACATATTTACATCACCGCAATTTACTTGAGTTCTCTATGTTTCGTGTTTGATTGATCTGAGTGAGTCGGTGACGAATAGCACAGCTGAGAAAAGCCGGTGTCAACTTTGACAAAACAGAAGCGAAGCGAACAATCAATATGATACTGGTGAAGACAAGATCATCTCGGCTTTTTCTTGTCTCTTTACATCTCCTGGGAGTATCAACCCATTTCCCGTCGACATGGAGGGACACTGGGATTCTTGGTGTCAACACACAGTCCATTCTTTTGGAAGTTTCTGATCCCTTGTCAGTATTAAATGATGAACAAAGATCGCAGAATCAACCATTCTGGCTTCAGGATTCAATAGATCAGACTTGTCTCGGACCAATGGGGGTCTTCTCAGAATGTGGCGATGCGACCTTTTGGTTCGTTATTCCCAAACGGCGTCGCCAGTCTAGCCGACTGAATTGGTTTAGGTTGGCAGAAGAAGAGCTGGGATACGACAGGGATTCAAGTCCAGATGGATACGCCCTGCAGCCAGCAGATAGCTATAGTCATCTACTCCTTGCTACAGTTAATATGTCTGAGCCGTTGATGAATCACGTTTCGGAAGATATAGCCAACAAAGAATGTCTGACGAGGAGTCGAAAGGACAACACTCTGATTCTTGCTCCCTGCATACAAGAAAGATCGTGGTCTTGGCAATTCAATGATAACGGAATATTATATTTTGAGAAAAAGAAAAAGAGCAAGAATCGTGGAACGCCAAAGGGAAAACGACTCCTTGGTAAGCAAAAAATATTGGAGTGCGTTGGGAAAAATTCAACTGATGCAGTAATATTCCCCTGCAACGGGAGAGCATCTAGCACTTCAAAGAACGGTACAAGGGCTGTTAAAATTGTTGTCGTTCAACAAGTTAAAGCCTTGTCAAGTGGTTCCAGGTCTTTTGGAATGAACGGTGTTAGTGACGACGAAATACCTGCAGAACACACTGTTGTGGACGATGTGAATGAAACGGACGTGACGCCCCCCATACATTATCCTCCATCCTATGTTGATATTGCTCATATCCATGCATCAGGTGCAGCAGTCCACGCTCAATTGAACGCCGGTGCTTCACGGTTGGCGTCGCTCTCCCGTCCAAAGGAACCCGCTACCGAAGCAACACAAGAACGTTTTCCGCTGCAATTCCTTGTCGATACAAACCCAATCCTCCTTGCCAACACGGAATCGTCGGCGCAAAGCCGGCAAAGAACCGACAGAATAAAGATTGAAATGAAGATCCCGAATGCAGGCACCACGCTACCTAAGATGCAAATGAACCCATACGTTGCAAATTCCAAGGACAACCTCTGGACGGATCCAAAAACCGGGCTGGTCTATCACACTGATCTTTGCAACTATCTTGGATACAATCGAAAAGAAGCTGGTCGGCATACGCTGACTGGTGTTGGGCAGTATATGAAAACTGCTTTCAATATCAAGGTGAGAACTATGACTCATACAAATTCGTGATCTGCTCTCCTTCGTTCATTGCTGACCCTCTTCTTCTGTCTCCTTCCCGAAAGGTATATGGCGTAGCTCTCTACGTGTCAAAACGAGACGTGCTTGCTGATCCGGCGATGGTACCCTTTGCCGGCCTCACATCGGAAGAACTACGGGAGAGTGATGATTTTTATTCAACCCTTCGACACATGATATCCCAACCTGATTCAAACGGCTTCGATAGAACGCTATTCATAAAGACAAATATGCAGCTTGGTCTGGATACGATGCAAAATAGTCTACAAGCTGATTGGAAGCTCCTCACGTCGGAGGCCAAAGATACTCTAATCGGGTGTAGTATGAAACCACGGCCCGCATCAGATAGAATGCTGTCAATAATCGAGTCGGCGGACAACCCAAGCAAGTGCTCTTGCGCCCAAAATGCCCCTGAATCGTATGCTGCTGATCCATCTTGTTGTGCAAGAGGGACCGAGTTGGTGTTTACATGGGTCAAAGATGGGCATTTGGAGGTAAGTAACATTGTTTGGTATATGTTTGTAGAGAAGCGCTCATGTAGATGATAACTCACTCCTTGGACGCATAGATTCGTTTGAATGGTGATCTGATGGATAGATTCCATAGACCCGATATTGCTGCTGGAATATTCTTCGAATACCTACGGCTCGATGACCCCATGTCACACGATTTCCTTGACCATGTACCCGATGGCTTTCCATCTTTGCTCGCTCCTTTGTCGCAAGTCAGAGGTGTGGGCACCCCACGTCTCAAGAAACCAGCTTCGAACTTCAAGAGGACGCAGGCAAGTCACAAAGTTGCCAAGCTTTTTGGGGGTATCGGAGATGCAATTGCATCACAAGCTTCGCATATTGCTGGACTTGTACATAATGGGGCACACGAACTGACAAACAATGCCGTAAATACAATGCGATCGGTTGGGGGTGCAGCTCGTAACTTAGGCGACGAAATGGACCGACGTCGTGACTTGATTGGCAAGCACCTTTCCGGTTTTGCATCTTCGTTTTATTCCCGTGGGCAAAAAGCACTTGTTCCATCACTTCCAAAATCCATCGGCAACATGAGCAACGTGATGATACCAAATGAAGTACTACTAGAAGAAGAAGAAGACAACGGCAGCAGTGGAATCCTCAGAAACTTGATTCTATTTCTCACAAAGACGCCGACTTCGACAGAATTGGATGAAATCGCTCCTATGATGCGGGTAACCTCGAATTCGTCACAGCAATACTTCACTGGTATGGTTCATTTCTATTTGCTTCTTCTTCTGATTGTCAGCTTTCCCGCTAACTTGACGACGAAGACGAAATTGGTAGTAGTCCGAAAGCCAGTTCAGCAATTTGAAACTGCAGTTCATGAATACAAAGGGAAAAACAGCCATGGACTGAAGATGGGAAACCATTATAATCGATAGAACGTTAACTTTTGAAACATTAAAAACGACTTTATTCATCCTAGGACTATAAAATGCAGAATTGAAAAATGGTATGTCTATCGAGTCGATCCATTTCCACTACTCAAAATTAAACTGCCGCAGTATTTGTTTGATATCTTCCACTCGGAATGGCTTGGATATGAAACCTACGCCCCCTGCTGCCTTGGCTTTGTTCTTGAATTCATCCAAAGCATGTGCAGTAACGAAGACTACCTTTGCATTTTTGTCTCTTTCAATGATGAGATTGCAGGCCTCGATACCATCCATCACTGGCATTTGCATATCCATAAAAATTATGTCAAAAGCAGTAGTTTCTGATATATTGACAGCCTTCAGACCGTCGTCAACAATTGTAACATCCATGACACCAACTCGATTCAGAACTCTCGTCAGAACCTTTTGGTTAATTTTGTTGTCTTCAGCATAGAGCACCTTCAGACTTCCACTATTTTCATTCGTATTCTCTTTGAGTATTTTCGATGCATTACTGCTCCCTTGACGGCTATTTTTGGTGCCAGCTATAGTGTTGGTCTTCTTGTCGCCACTTTGAACGGGAATCTCTGCAGCAGCTGGGGAGTTGTCATTAATGAGCCTCGGACCATTTTGTTTCGTTTTTGACACATTCTGTGAGATGAAATCTAGCAGTATACAAGGAAAGACCCCGCGTATTGACTTCACATGTGCATCTTTTGTGCTCTCAACATCATACTTTGGTCCAAACGTCATCGTCGTACAATCATGGTCTCCCAAATTTCCTTTGACCAGATTTAGCAACTGATCGTCGTACAAATTTTCGTTTACCAATAGAGCAAAGTGACAATCTCGATTTCCGGTTTTCAAATGGTTTGATTGCTCAAGAAGTTGTTCCAAGTTTGCAAAGGAAACCGCCCGTGAGCCGAAATAATCCATAACTTGGTCTCCAAATGGATTGGGTTCATCGATTAGTGGATATGAAGTGAACGAGTAGTCGTAGATCTCCGCTGGTTGAATAAGAATAATGACCACATTTTTCATGTTCTCTTGTATTGCTTTCTTGTCTACAAAAACACCGTCGAACGGTAACTCTACAACAAACTCCGTAAATTTCCCTGCTTCAGAATCCAAAGAGATTCTACCACCAAGTCGTTTCACGAGCTGCGAAGTGATGCTCAACCCGAGACCTGTTCCACCGTAAACAGTTGCTGTGTGCTTGCTTGCCTGCGAAAAGGGCTGGAAAATCGTCTCGAAGTCCTTTTTTTCAATCCCCTTTCCATAATCTTTCACGGAGAATCGAAGTAGATCACAAGTTTCTAGATCAACGATGGCTGAATCCCTGCAATCCCGCTTGACGCCCCCTTTGTGATTTCGAGTTATTAGTTCCACACTGAGATCGATTACACTGTTCCTCTTAGAGAATTTGCCAGAATTACCCAAGAGATTGAAAAGAACCTGCTGCAACCTTCGTGAGTCAGTCTCAGTATGTCTTGGCAAGTCAGGTGAAAAGTGGCACCGCAGTCTAATATTCTTTTCTTGGATCTTCTGCGAAATCGAATGCGCGACCCCAGCGAGGCTCTCTTGCAGATCAATACGACCAATGTCCACCTCGAAACTACCAGACTCAAGCTTTGCATAATCAAGGACATCGTCGACAACTGCCCGTAACAATTCTGCACTGGTGTATATCATTTGAATAGATTCGGCATGCGGAGGATCAACTTTCGCATGGGTTTCCTCTAGAAGAATGGAAGACATCCCAACAATACAGTTGAGTGGTGTTCGAATTTCGTGCGACATGCAAGCAAAGTGTTCGAGTTGTCTTGCCGACTGTTTCTGGATTTGCTTGTTAGCTTCCTCCAAACTTTCATTTGCCATAGCTAGCTCCGCCGTTCTGTCATTGATTTGTTGTTCCATGGAGTCGATTAGACCCCTGTGAAGCTTGTCAAGGTGATTGGTCAACTTAACTTCGGATGCGCTATGCTCGCCGAGAAGAACGGCATCTCTTTGACAACTGTGTAGTGGCAAGTCTCCCATCGACAGATCCATATTGGATAGCTCAGTCAGATTTTTGACGTTGGGGAGGAGAGAAAGCATTATCTGATGAGGTGACTCTGAAACTTCAATGATTGTCCCTTTCAGGTTTGCTTTGTTCCGTGATGAGTTTGTCAGAACAGATTCAAAGAAAAGTGTTTTGTCTCTCATCTTTTCAAGCACCGACCAATCCCATTTCCCGTACATCGGAACTGGCCCTGTGCACATGAGAACATCACTGACGATTCGGCCGATGAAGTTAAAGGGCGGTTCAGTCTCGTCTAAACTTCGAAATAGATGAGGCAGACTGTTCCCAACCTGAAGAATACGAAAGTCGGAATCAAGGACAACATGATAGGGGAAGACTTCCTTGACAACATCAGGAGAAAGGGAGATTCCTGGTGGACCGGTAGCTGGAGCAGGTGGAATAGGTTGATTTGTGTGCCCATTCGTCACCACTGAAATTTCCATAAGAGGAGGAGCATCAAATTGTGTCTGCTTTGGTGCCTTCGACGTCTCCGGTGGAGCGAAGTCTTCATTCGGCCTGGATAAGAAGCGTTGCAGCCTGTATGTTTCCGAAGTCACACGTTTCTCGCTTGAGTCTCTTGACTTGTCCACTTTCCCACTTGGAACGTGAGGAGGCTTCCTGTCGTTTGTAGGAAAACGAGGAAGCGAATTTCTTGGGGAGTCGGCTGGATCTTCTTTCAGCTCTTGGGAAAAGGTTACTTCGTTCTCCTCTTCTTCCGTCATTTCAACGATCATTTTGGATTGACACAGCTTCCAGAACTTCTTTGCTTGGTCTGCACGGTTGAATGCCGAGGCATGGACGGAATCGGACAATTTCGGCGGAACCTTTTTTGTAGCTTCAAGGTCAACGAGCTGACGAAGTAGAGAGTCCCCGCCCCTCTCTTGAGTTTTCCGGCGCCAAGATTTCTTTTTTTCTAGCACTTTAGCTTCACCTTTACCGGGCAAGTTCGAAAGATGCAAGAATCTATGCTTTTTCTTTGCGACTTCAGGGCTCGGTAAGCTTCCAGACGAACCCATTCCCGCCCATTCCCTATTTAAAAAGTCGTCCTCAAGGTCGGATAATGATTTGTGTAAACTTTTCCCCATCATCAAGAGACTATCGTTGAGCTGAGCAGAGAATAATTGCGTTCGTTTTTTTGTTTTCTGGGGAAGAGACCATGGCGCATTCTTTTGACCAGACAAATTATGGATATCCTGTTGGCCCGATGAATTCTGGAGATTCACTGCACTGTTCGATTTCTGTCTGGGTCTGTTGTGGGACAATAGTTGATTATTCGTCAAGTCTTTTGCAGACGATGACCCATTGTTTCTAAGGTCCTTTGCAGATAAAACTGATCGCTCCAACCCATTTTTCAACAACGAGAGATTACCAGTACTCATGTGAGCAAGGCTCATATGACGTGCTGGCATGTTCAGAGTCGGAGAAGGAGGTACTTGTGAACTGTTCACGTCGGAATCAGTTCCAAGAGTCGACATGGAGGTTTGTCGATCCGTAGGTAGTAGCCCCAACCCCCCCTTGCCATTCACCGCCGCCTTTCGGACGCATACCAATCGAAGCTCAATTAGATCATCCGTGTCGAGAGAAGACTGTAGAAGGTCTCTCGTGCTAAGCGAGGACAGCTCGTTTGTCGTGTATACCTTACGAGCCGAATCCAACGCAGAATCCCAAACATGCATTTGCACCTCCAGGATTCCTTTCTTGACGTCGCGCACTACTTCCGAAGTCCACTTTCGAACATTGGCGCGCTTCACACCTTGATTGTTGTATATTGCATTATCGACGGTCAAATCTTCTCTAACATCTACAATCAAATCTTTGTGTCGTTTGGATATCTGGTTCACGACTCGGACTCTCATAGTCTCCTTGTTTCTTTGTTGTGAATCATCTAGACTCGCAGCGTAGTGTCTATGGTTAGAATCATCCAGACTCGCAGAATAGGCAGACCTCGTCTCCCGTTTCTCTTGTGTCAACAGATCTAGCTCTGCAAGACTCTTGGACTTCACCGATGCTACCTCCTCTGCTATTGACCCAACTGTTGACGTAGATTGTGACCGCCGAATGGAAGAAAGTAGTTGATCGTCAGGAGCTTCTTCCAGTAGCGATGGTCCTGCTTGGCTTGAAGAATTATTGCCAGCAGCAACGTTTATATCGTAGCAGCGCAAAACAAGTTTGATGACACCCGCTGGTTCTGCTGCAATCTCAAGCAGTTGCTTTGTACTTGTGGTTTTCAAGTCGTCTATCGAAAAGGAATGGTATGGTTCTTGGATGGATTCATCCCAAAGTAGGCATCTGATTTCGGAAGTCTTGGACTTGACAGCTTTGGCAATTTCCGCTCCCCATTTTCGAACATTAGCTTTCTTGACATCTTTGTGGTTGTAAATGGCATCGAAAAGATTCAGTTTTTGGTTCACCGTGACCAGTAGATACTTGGACCTGCCCGATCTCTCGTTTTCTATTCTGACACGGACCGTACCACTAATCTTGCCAGACGACTCAACGGAAGGTTGCGAAGTTTCTATTGATTCGTCAGAGGTCGTGGGTTTGAGAATGCCCTTTTTCAAATCATCGGCGGTCATTCGAATTCGCAAATGATTCGCACCACCAGTCGACATGGGAGACAGCGATACGTCAAATTCTTTCGGTCGCAACGTGCGGTGCAGTGGATGTGGATCTGTTTTGGTAGCTGTATTTGTGGTGTTTGTTGTGGTTTCCATTGCTTGGTCCCCTGGTGTCTGTTGACAGCGAAGAAGGAGGTTGACCACGTTGCTCGTTCTGGAAACACCATTAGAGAATTTGAGTAATTCCCTCGTGTTGGTCGTCTTCATTTGGTCAATGGAGAAGGATTCGACTGCCATTAACGATTGCTCGTCGACAACCTCGATAAATATTTCCACAGCGCCTGTTTTGATTCCCCTCATCAAGTCTGAATTCCATTTCCGCACATGATTTGTCTTGAGCTCATGACGATCGTAGATGGCATCAAATATAGTCATTTCGTCGGAAGCATCAACCATCAATTGGAACCACCTTCCAGACGTTTCGTTGGTAATTCGAACGGGGAATGTCGTCATTTTAAAAATGTTGTATTTTGGTTGCTGTTTATAAAATTGACAGTTAAAATGGACTCTGATCCTTCATGTGGGTGTGGGTGTGTTTGTGTGTGTGTGAGTGATTGAGTGAGTGAGAGAGAGAGAATGTGAGATTTTAGATTGCTGCTCTAATCCCTTTTACTGCCTGATTTTTCGCGTGTGTGTGCCGAACGAGTTTCGTTGAGCTCTTCGCTTCGGTGGCGGCAGAATGAATGTGCGTGGGCTTGTACCACCTCAATGGCGCAACTATTCCGATCAGAAATGCGGCCTTAATTAATTTCAAGATCACCGGGTGGATTGTATTACTCCGAAATATGATTCATACTTATGGTACACAATATCTCTGAGTTAATTGGAAAAATTGGAAAATCCCGAAAAATCTATCACCTCCACACCATTTTCCAGAAACCTCCATACACGCACACACACACCACCGACTGCTCTAAAACGACACCATAAGATGTTTGGCTGGATCAATGATTGCGTAGAATGCCTGGTCTTAACCCAACATGGCCCGGAGGCATGGCACAAGATCAAAGAGAAGGCTAATTGCAATACTCCAGATGGTGGTTTCCTCCGTTACAAATACTACCATGACAAGGAGACCGTCGACCTCGTGGTGGCGGCATCGGAAGTCCTCGGCGCCAGCGTCGATGATGTCTTATACGCATTCGGTGACTTTTTCATCTTTTATGTACGAGACAACGGATATTCCTCTGTTCTCGAATGCCTTGGTGGAAATCTCAGAGATTGGTTATCCAACCTGAACTCGCTTCATGATCAACTGCAAGCGGCCTATCCAGAAGGCTTTGTCGCTCCCGTATTCTGGAGCGAAGATGACGACGAGGAGGAAGGTGCTATCCTTGTTCACTACCATTCACGCCGTGGAAGTCTATTGGTCCCTCTCGTTGTTGGACTCATTAAGCGGGTAGCGACAGACTATTTTGATATCGACATAAAAATGGACCAGCTGCAGCTACAGGATGCAGATGGTGCCAAGAATACTTCTTGGAGAGTGACCACTGTCGATCCAGAAATGGTTCACAAAATCCGTGGCAAAAAGAGGCTAGGGGATAAACATAATAACAATGGAGGCGGACCTAGTGATGATCAAACCTTCAGTACCGCGCAATCCACCAATTACAATGCCACATTCAAGGAAGGAAATCGACAAGCATCCTACTTACGAGTGGAAGAATTCGTCAAGCGATCCTTTTACAATGACAATTCCGAACTATTTCATGCTTTGACTGTGGAACACTACCTCTATCTTGTGGACTATTGGAAACAAACGAAAATAAATGACAAATGGTGCTTTGAAATCTGGAGCATTCAGGATGGGGATCCCAAGTCATGGGCGGCTCTGGCCGATTTGCCACCCAAACTGAACCCCAAAACCATAGAATCCGTGCACTTTGGTGGGAAAACACCGAAAACGGGAGCCTTTCCTCCTACCGAAGATGGTACACTTCAGAGCTTTCCACCCAAGCTCCGAGTCAATAACGTTTCCAGTGGTAAATTCATTGATTTGACAGTGCCAGTCTCGGAAACGGCTACTCTGGAAGAAGCATTCTACACCAATCCCCAGGTGGATGAAGCAAAAGTGAAGGAATTTCCCCCGGAAATTGAAGAGGAAATTAAGAATAACGAAGTTGAGATTCAGTGCGTGATCTGGGATGAACGGAAAAAGGAATCCTTTCACACCTTTGTTTTGAGTGACCTAAGCACAACAACGACCAAGCAACTCTTCGACTTGGTTCCTGTATCGTTTGATCCAATTGTGATCAATGTTCAAACTGCCAAAGTGTTGACTGTGGATGATGATGAAGAAGATATATGATTTGACTGTGGATGAGGATGATAACGACGATAGTACTATATGACGATAAATCTACAGTATATATGATGAGGAATCAGCATGTAGTCCTACTGTATTCTAGGCTCCGAATTTTGCGAGAGGCCATTCCAGTTCTATTTGCTTTTTATATAAAATGACAAAGAGTTGTCAATTCATCGCAAGGAAACAATTTAAAATAAAGTAACCACAAACATTCCATTTCACATTGACGTAACCGACTAGAAATATTTTTTTTGCTAAGTCAACTATTTGAACCCTATTTCGACTGAGCAGCTTCCAAGGCTTCGGCACACGCGGCTTGGCAATCCATATCGGTTTCGTCGGCCAATTGCTTTTCCAACGCAGGGATGATTTGCGATTCGATGACTGCCCTTTGATCCGCGTCATCGGCAGTCACAACCTTTGCCAGTCCTTGAGCTGCAACCATTCGAACGTTTGCAACCTTGTCCTCCATTCCCTTCAAAATATGGGTGACACAGTCCATCCATAGACTGCCACCGCTTCCTGGGTTTTCTTGCACGGCCTTCGCGGTTTCTGCATGAGCCTGCAATATGGTAATTCTGATCAAATATGACCCAGTTTCGGCATTACTGTAAATCCTCACGTGCTGAGGCATAATTTGTTGGCTCATCCATTCTTGGCCAGCAACCTTGACAAGGACGGACATTCCTTCCACGCAGGCAACACGGACACATGCTACTGGATCCAGCAGCAACACCAGCCATGCAGGCTCCATCAACACATTTGCAAAAAAGTCAAGTCCCCGTGCTTCTGCCAAGTGAGGCAAGAGCTTAGCTACCCCTCTTCTCACTCTCCAGTTGGTAGCTTTTGACATGTTGAGGATCGATGAAACAACCCCATTCATACCGTGTAGCAAATGTGAAAGCTTGTGGAGGTTTCCAAGTACTTGTAGTTGCACTTCTTGGAATTCATCTTGCAAGAAACCCTCGATGAGAGGTCCAAATGATTGAACGATGAGAGTGTCCTCCAAGGTTCCTCCTTCACTTGATTCCATAATGGCCAAAGCGCATTTGCTTCGAACTTCCATCACAACATCATCGGCCAAGGCAGGAAGCAAAGGCAAGAGATGGTTGACGAAAAGATCGCTTCCCCCCCAGTGAACCATTGTTGCGAAGTGCCCAACAGCCGCGGCACGAACTTCGGCTTCTACATCTGCCAAAAGCGAGACAAAGCACGCCATAACAAGGGATTGGTCATTGATAAACTTCGGCTTCCCCTGAAAGCCTAGAGACTGAGCGACCTTGCCAAACACTTTTGACAGATGGTGACGGACACGCCTACAAATGGAAAGAAAGATGCGTGTGTAAGTCATTTGCATTCTGAGGCAAAGTAAAGTAAAGTAAAGTAAAGTCGTACAGTATCATACTGAACAATACTGTACAATATAATGTAGTTGCTGAAACTTACCAACTCAAATCGGTGGAAGCGTCCTTCAGCAAAGGCAAAATAAATTCCTTGGTCCATTCGGGAACATCGCAGTAGACATCTCCAACATCAGACATGGAGGCAAGAGCAAGCATTCGGACAGAATCTTGTTCGTCCCGTGCAAGTTGTTGCATGACGGGGATGAGCTCGTTTGCTTTGTCCTTGTTTCCAAGAGCTTTCAACATTTTGCCTAGGTGTTCAGCAGCCGCTCGTCTAACCATTGGTGTTTCATCGACACAAAGCTCTTTGTACAGGTATGGTAGATCTGCGTGGTCGCTGACGGTGTACAATGCTGGGAGCATACCAGCGGCGGAAACTTTAGCAGTGAACCAATCGGCTCCCACCAGTCGCTTTGACATGCTAACGAGTGAAGAAACAATAGAAGGGTCCAAGGGAAGTACCTTTTCCAAACTTTCACATAAATGATTCATAAGTGCAATAGCTTGATTCCGCACAACAGTCTCTTCGATTGATCCAAGGCGTTCTACAATTGGTACCAACTCCAGAATTTCCTTAGCGTCGCTTAGCAAGGCAGGCACAAAGGTCTCCATTTGCTTGGCCATCAACAAAAGAAGCTCGTCTTCGATGGGAGGCTGCGCCAAAGCAATTGTCTTCAAGTAAGGCAAAAGCTCGCTTTGCATCTTAGCCGAGCCCAAAGCGAATGCCACAACAGGCAAACGTTTCATTGCATCAACTTTTGCTTCTGTATTTCCGTTGTCCATTTGCTCTTTGTAAAGATCGAAAGGTCCCATTCCAGAAAGCTCATCAACTCCAGTAGCGAGACTTCTAGCCAGAGTGATGGAAGGAGGCGGAGAGACTCCAGTGGGTGCTATTGTTTGCGACATGATTTAACAAACCAAAATGATATTATGATAGATACAGATATGACTGACAGCTGAATGTAAACACCAAATTTAATCTGATGCAGCTAAAGTCAAAGTTGCAGTGGATGTGCTGTATGATGAAGCAGATCAGACCTGTTGCAAGGGCGGGTAACTTGTTGCGTTCGTTTGGGTTGTATTGGTACACAACCTCACGATGACCGTGGCTCTTGCAGAGGGGGTTGGCAGGAACCGAAACCAAATTTCGGTTTTGCCGATACCGAGAACTCCATGGTAGCTTTCTACGCAGACCACGGGCAAGGTCATGGAAGTGCTTGCCTTGTGCGAAATACTGCCTTTAGACGTATCGCGGGCAGACCTGGTGACCCAATCTCAGAGCTTACGAGGGACTAAATCTGCTCGCATGGTCCATCAGTCTGAACCAGCCATTCCAAATGGAAAATGCATCATCCCCCATTTTCAGTTGGGTTCCACAGAAAACTCAACTTGATATTAGTAGTAGTGAGGTCAACAATTAATTACCCAACAGATTGTTAGATTAGCCTGTACGACGGAAAAAATAAAGAGACCATCAGTGTTGAATCAATCAGTAACATGGCCAGCAACGAGGACCAAACGACGGAATCCAAATCCCAGCAGAAAAATCACAAGAAATACCGCCGAGACAAACCATGGGACAATGAGAATATTGATCACTGGAAGATCGATCATTGGAACGACAAGGAAGATAAACTTCCAGGAGGAAGATTGTTAGAAGAGTCATCTTTTGCTACGCTGTTTCCAAAGTACCGAGAAAACTATCTTCGTCAAGTCTGGCCAGTTATTACAAAGGCCTTGGATTCTTTGAAGATTGCTTGTGAATTGGATTTGGTCGAAGGTAGTATGACAGTCCGAACAACCTCTGCTACGACAGATCCCTTTATCATTCTTAAGGCTCGAGATTTACTCAAATTGATTGCCCGTAGTATTCCAGTGGTCCAAGCACTGAAAATTCTCAAAGATGAATGGGTCTGTGACATTGTCAAGATTGGAGGAATTGTTCGAAATAAGGAACGCTTCGTCAAACGACGACAACGATTGCTAGGTCAGGAAGGATCCACACTAAAGGCTTTGGAGTTGGTCACTGGATGTTTCATTCTCGTTCAGGGGAACACAGTGTCCATCATGTCCGAATCGCACAAGGGGCTGAAACAAGCTCGTCAGGTTGTCGTCGATTGCATGAACAACATTCACCCAATTTACCACATTAAGCGGCTCATGATCATGAAGGAGCTGGCAAAAGATGAAAAATTAAAAGACGAAGACTGGGAGAGATTCTTGCCCAAGTTTGCCAAGAAGAACGTCCAACGTAAGAAGGTTTCCAAGAAGAAGGAACCAAAGGTTTACACACCCTTCCCTCCAGCGCAAACACCCAGAAAGGTGGATTTGCAATTGGATACTGGTGAATACTTTGCTTCGGAGGAGCAACGAAAGACTCAAAAATTGATGGTCCGGAAGGAAGCGGCCAAGCAAAAGTCACTAGAGAAACGAAAGATTAGGGAAACGGAAGATGAGAAAGTGCCGGCCAAGAAAACCAAGAAGGCCAAGGCAGAAAAGTCAACCACTGACAATGTTGACGTGGGACGATTGCAAGAGAATATCAAGAAACGAAAGAGCGATACTGGTGGCAAGAGCAGCATGTCCGATTTTGTGCAAGGGTGAAGCTCTCTGGTCGTTGTTGGATACCGGTAGCTCTAGACGATAGTAGACTGGTATTGGAAGTGACTGGTCAGTATAGAAAACAGTTCACAGCAACTAGATTCAGACTGAAAATTCTAATTATAACAGATAGTCTTTAAGGATCGCTTTTGGATGACTTGAATCTTTTCTCGACATCATAAGGATCTATCATTGCGTGAACATGTCGCATAGCGCATTCGCTGAAGGCAGACTTGTCCAGGGAGTTCGATCCATCAGCAGGAACACCTGCAGTGGCTGGAGGTGATCGACCATACCCACCTTCAAGCACTGAGACGACACGCCCCTGGCAGCAAATGTCGGCAATCTCCAGGATCTTGCGAGTCGTCCAGGCATAATCTTCTGGCTCAAGATCCATTCCCATCTTTTCCTTTCCACCAAATTCGTGCTTCGCATTTCCAACATCACCTTTACACGCATCGAAACCAGCACTGATCAGAATGATGTCTGGATTAAATGCTCGTAGTGCTGGAAGCAAACGATTCTGGATTGCTTTTCGGTAGGCGTGGCGCCCTGCATTCGTACTCGGGCCAGCTGATGTTGGTGTTGAAGGAACGGAGCCCGATCCTCTGGTCTCTGTTTCCCCATCACTGGCTTTTGGAACAGCATCGTTGGCTCTTGGTGTTCCATTCTCAGACGAGTCTCCATCATCAGAATATCGTTTGGTCCTAGTTCTGGTTCTCGTGCTATGGGAAACCGATGCATTCGCCTGCTTTTCTTTCCATAAAGGCGTGATTGGCACGTTAATGATGTTTAGGGCAATATCATCTTCCTCACCTGTTCCGGGGTAGAACTTGTATTGAAAAGACTTGGATTCTCGTTTTCTCTTCTTTTCATCATTGTCATACAAGTGGATTGAGAAAAAGAAGAGTTTGCTCGGGTCATGATATTTGCGCACAATTTCTTCAGTTCCATTGCCATGGTGAGTATCTATATCAACAATTGCACAACGTTCACAAAGCAGCCTTTCGTCGGATATCGCATGCATTGCCCCAGCAGCAACGCTATTGAAAATACAGAATCCACACGACTCGCCACCATCAAGGAGCCCATTAATACCGGCATGATGGCCTGGAGGACGAACAACGCAAAACGCATTTCGAGTTCTCCCGACCAGAACACTAAGCGAATGTTCGCATGAGTAATTCGTCTAAGAAAAGGTGAACATCATTTTATCTTCACGTACCAATCAACTGCATGTTGGACAGCACCCGCAGCTCGCCGAGCAGCACGAAGTGACCCAACACTAAAGGATGTGTCGGAATGCTGTTTCACATTGGATTCAGAAACCTTGACAATTGATCTTTGAACCTACAACAGTGTTAGATGCATCAAGAACAAAAGAAAGAGTATGGCAAAGCATTCCACATACCATAGGAGTAAAGGGAACAACTGTAGGTGCACTCCTCGAAGCGTCGGCTTCGTTCTCCTCTTTGTGCTTTTTCTCCAGCTCCTTACTGAGATCGTTTACAAAACTCAAGTAATCCGCACTGTGTATCCGTCTCAGCAAATCGAGGCTTGCACGATCGAAATCTTGCGAGACTGTGATCTCGTGTGTGTGTATCGCTTGCATTTTTGGGTCTGTCCCAAGAATCTTTTCCATGATACTTATGACACGTCCTGGGGCTTCCCAATCACTCGACGACTTTGGATGATGTTCTAAGCATTCCGGATGGTTTAAGACAAGGGTTCTGGACTGCACTGACAAACGCAGAAGATGCTCTCGCGCTCGTTTCCTTTCGTCGGCAGCTTCCTTTAGTACATGTCTCTGTTCTTTACTCAACCTTTTTCGGGCTTCCGCGATTTTCTTCAATTCAATAACTGAGTTGTCACCTTGGTCGAAAAAACCATCAGCCGCTATATCAAGTGGTCTTTTGAATTCTTTATTCCAAACCGATGGTTTGGCGCCATTTTCCAACAATATCGACACCACGGGCATTCCAACTCGTCCTGCTCTCATTGCCCAATGAAGTGCAGTTTCGCCCTTTTTATTCGTCGCATCTTTGGGACAGTTTTTAAGTAGCAAAAGTTCTGCAGTACCTACATCACCCGCTCTGGCGGCCCAGTGAAGGGGAGAATTACCTTCTTCGTCGCAAACAGAAGAATCAGCACCAGCGGCAATCAAAGCGCGAACAAGGTCGGTTGCTATCGATGAATTCTGAAGATCAGTCATACAGAGAGCACAAGCTGAATGCATGGGACAAAATCCTTTTTCATCTTGCTTCTGAAAATCCTTGGTTCTAGAAGTCAATTCGCTTTGGACAACCGCAAGATCCATCTCACAAACAGCTTTGTGAAGAGGGCTACGACCATATGCACCACTCGGACCACATATTGGATGAAGGCTGTTGCTTGCTGCAAATATACCCATTGTAGGAGCTTGTGGCATCTGCAAAGACTCAGGTACACCTATTGGGGCCTTCTTTTTCTCCTCACTGAAATTGGGAGAGAATTAGTGTGAGAACAGAAAGAGTGATGTTGAATAAAACTGTCGAACATACCTCATCAAGGCCTTCAGATCTCCCTCCCATGGCGTCTGTGGAGAATCGCCTCCTCTTCGACGTTTCTGTTCATCATATGAAACACCCAAGGAGTCGGGATTCACAATCTGCAAGGACAAACCGGTCGGCTTTCTTTGTTGTTCTGTATCCGCGTTGTTGACCGACACGGGTGCAGGTACCTGCATTTTGGTGTCATCCGTTGGCGGTGGAGTAGCAGCTCCATCTTCGCTCATTGGTGCCAGCATTGGCTTGCCCTGAACTGCTGCAACACCAGCTAACATTCTAGCAGCCGCAATTTCAGCAAGTTTCCGCTTCCCGGAAGCTGCTGGAGATGGCTCTGGAAATCGCCCACGTTTCATTGCAACGTCATGTTCCGGTGCTGTAATCTTGATTGCAAATGAGCTAGAAGCAGGTTTGGGCGCCCCATAATTCATACCATCTGAAATAGGTTCCTTTACACCAACAGTAGGGGCATTAAAACTGTTGTATCCGTGCGAGGATATTGGAGCAGGTTGCGCTAGTCCATTCATTGCCGAGGTAGGCTTTGGATTGGCAAATGCTGCTGGAGGTAGGGAACTTGCCGGCAACTGGAAAGCAGGCGGACCATCTGCTCCAGATAAATTTGAAATAACTTGAGCTGCGGATGTAACACTGCCTTGTCTTTGTACCTTTGTAGCACTTGCATTTAGTCGGGGCTTCTTGGGTTGCTTGGGGGTTATCTTTCTGCTGGATTCTGCCGCAATCCCCATATCAACGTGACTGACATGGTCCCCTTTCCCTGATTCTACAACCTTGGCAAGCTTCTGAAAATATTTTTGTGCGTGAGTCCTTGTCTGCACTACGGTTCTCGTCTTTACTTTTGCCGCAACTTTCTTCCATTCCTTGCCATACATTTGCAAGGCACTCAGAAACGCTTCGTGCTCTAGCTTGGTCCATCTTCCTGTGTGCTCTTGCCCAGTTTCTACAACTCTTCCTGGAGTGTTTGGATCAAGCTTTAGCCGTCCAGCGCTTCCACCACCACTCTTTGTCGGTGTTGCTATGGGTCTCTGTTGAGGACTAGACATCGAATCATCGTCCTGCGAGGTTTCTCCTCCGGCACCATTTGTGAGATCTAAGAATTGCGTATGCTTGCTAGCCGCTGCACCGTTTGTCATTTCTTCCATGGTGACAGTGACCTCCTCTGTTGTTCCACTTTTGATTGCGTCTCCTCGTACGAAACTCTTTTCGAGGGTCCGCTGTCACAATAAATTCTGTGATAAGGGGTCTTACTGTAGGGGCTGTAAATAGAGCAATGTGAGAACCATGAGAACCAGGGTAAACCAATGGAGTTTGCAAGATGAAATGTGAATATAGTGGTATAATTGTGTAAACAAAAGAAAATGTAAGTTCCGACAACGGAAATCCCAAACAATGTCATCTGAGCATTTCTGTGAAGCGAAAAGATACTACTGTGCCAACGTGAATCCTACGGGTTGAACATCATTCCATCAACCGAGATTGCAAATTCGATTCACAAATCTCTTCACAACCATATTTCAAATTTCAAACTCCTCTGGCAACCTGTGTACATCTTCTTACTCACAGTATAAATTTGCCCTTCTTTGTTGTTGAGTGTGCAACAACAATTGATGTTGGATGTAAGCACAATACTTCACTTTCGAACAGACCGAATCAAAGATGCCTGTCAGTAAAATGAGGTGTGCGCTTTGCGCGGCCGTACTTGAGCAAGTAGCGCCTACCGGTCGTCATAGTTCTGACAGTGACAGAACTTTTTTTAAAAATTTGTCAATTTCATAGTTGAAGAGAAGAAGGATTTGACGATCAATTGTTGAAAGTATGAACAATGCACGGTGTACGGTGAACGGAGACTAATACCCAGGAAATATACCATTATTTTCACTGATACCATCATGTTGATCCAAATGAGAAGGCCAACGATCTCGTTTTCTTGAATGTAGACTATGAATCTACTGCTTTCTACTAATATCTGTATGATGCTCTTTTGTACAATTGGCTAGTTCTCATTTTATTGTTGTGTGCTGTTGTTTGGGGTGGAAGAAGGTCCGGTTGTAGCAAAGGCTTCAGTTTGAAATTGTGCCGCCGCATCTTCCAATAGCTGACGTTTTTCCCGGTAGAATCGTTCTTCATTTTCTTCACGTAGCTTGAACTCTTCCTGCAAGCGCTTGTCGACTGCAATTTTCTCTTCTTCCAAAATGGCAAGTCGTTTCATAATGTCTGCCACAGGCCCAAGTTCGTCCTCTTTGGACATTATTTGTTCGTTCCAATTTTTATTGAGCTGTGCTTGGAAACGGTTTTGGGCGACACCATCAGGAATTGAAGGCATATCGTATCCTTCAGCTGCCATCTCCTGTTCGGCCATTTCAGATTCCGTACTCCCGCTTTGCAGCCGTTCCATTCGTTCCTTACGGAGTTTTGCGGCGTCATCCTCCATTTGCTCGTTACGAAGCTCCTCGTTTGCCCCAGACAACGATGCCATCATCCGTTCCTCCGATTCCATCATCTCCGCGTCCATGTCTAGGTCGGGAACATTCGGGGTGATGTTGCTATCGACATTCTCCATGGAAAAGGGTTCCTCGTCAACAGCCTTTTTCTTTTTGACTCGTCGTCTGCGGATTTTCTTTTTCGGTGTGCCAGTTTCATTCGGAGCGGAAACTGAAGCTGCTAAGGGCTCTGGCTCTTCCGGTCGCGGTGATTTAGCATTTACCTCAAAGGCCTCGGAATCTGAGTCCACGTTAATGGATCGTCGAAAGCTAAAGGCATCATTCAATTCCCTTTGTGCTTTTCGGATCTCGTCAAGTTGCAATTGACTCTCGAGATTGTTCTCAAGGGTAGCAGTAGCATCTGCCGAAAACGACCTGACATTCTGAACAAATTTTCCAATCTCCTTAGTGACTTTGTACAAGTCAGATGGTCCCAGGACGAAATAACCAACCAATAAGATTGTAAACTTTATAGTATTGTTGGTTTCAAGAACATTCAAATGTCAGAAAACGGGTTGACATTCTCATCTTTTGTCAGTTGTTGCACAATATTTGTTCTTACCAGCTCCGGCGTTCCAATTCCCAGAATGCCACCGTCAGATCCCATGAACATGTCCAGTTGAGTCTCCTTTTTCCTTACTGCCACACCCATCACATTAGGTGCTACAACATGACTAGTTTCCAGCGAATTGCTTGCCAGACGAGGAGCCGAAGGAACAAATGCTTCTGTGCAGTGTGACGCTAGAAGAGCAAGGGCAACAATACCTGACGACATGTACCGCTTTAATTGTTTATTTGCCACCATGTTCTCTGGATTCCGTAACCAGCAGAATAAAGCTTAGGAAGGTTGATACTGTACTGGGTGATGGGCGAAGGGAGATGACGATTGTTTTTTTACGAATGTACAGCTGGAACACCACGGGCGGTGCCAGACCACTTCCAAATGTTGGAAATCTACTGGATATTTCAATTTTGGGGAGATGAAAAGTTCAACGTCAACATTTCACATTCGTTCATTCTTCGTTTCGCATGCAAAAAAGGCTCCTCCACTATCTCATAAAAAAGCAGATGGTGCAACTCCCGAAGAAAGTACCGGTACGTGTTACTAAAAGTGCCCGATTCCCTCTTATGGTTGCTGGTAAAGTCATTCTACCGGTATACGGGTAAATCTACAGTATGCAGCGCTGATGAAACTCCAGGAACTATTTTATGTTCAGCACCAGCTATAATGCTTTCAATAGTCCTAGTTCCTAGTAGCGCTTTCTAGTCAGCAGTACTATTAGTAGTCTTTTGATACCTTGTAGTATTGGCCTGCCTGAATGTCCAAAAGGGCAAGCATGCACAAAACATGGATGTTCTCAAGATGTGGCAGTGGAGGAAAAGACCATCCAACTTGTCAAGTCGTCAGCTGTTTACATCGTCACAGTACAGTAACTATTAATACTGTGAAGTCTATTGCATTTTCTTTTGTATCAATGCCATAAAATCGTCGTACGCACGACCAGGTATTCGGCCAGAAAGTTCGAATAGAGCAATGATGTTAGGTTCTGACCAGGGACCAAATGAAAAATTGAGGAACACACGAAAAAGCTGGTGCCATATGGCTAAAGTGAACCTGCATCTGCCGCGAACAACGCAGTCGTGACCCAAAGAACAAAAGCAATCTGCCGTGTGACGCAGGAATTCCAAGATACGTCTCAATTTTGAGCATTTCCGCATTTTTTTGCACTGCTTTCTCATTCATAATCCTATCATTCTAAAATTGTTACAGTGCTGTAGACAGATGACGATGACATCACAATTCCCATTCGTAGTAGATGTTAATCATCTCTCTGCAGCCCTAGCAGCGGCTGCTGAGCTTGCAAAGGCCGATGACTTTGCCTACAATGCGGACGCGTCTGTGAATTCTTCTGACGTTGAGGCGGTTCGCATCGAGAAACCCATCGTGAGAAAGTACCGTCTACCAACACGGAAACCAAAGTCAACGATATCATCAGACCTGGATCATTCTGATGATGAACGAAAAGAATATCACGAAGATGCCGAACAGCGTATGGCACGAAGTCGGGAGCGAAATCGAGAACATGCGCGCCGAACTCGTCTACGAAAAAAGGCGCAACTTGAAGCGTTGCAATCCAAGGTAAAGGGGTTACAAGCCGAAAGTAACGTCCTCAAGCAGAGCTTGGAAGAATGCAGTATCGCTACTATTCTTGTTGGCCTTGCTTCAGGGGAAAATAATAAGATGGTAGATGAGTTGGTAAACGAGGTTTCAGGAGATGATGAACCAGATGCCATTAGACTTGTTGGAGGAAAACGTAAGCGATTCGTCTCCGACACATCTGAGAAAATTCCTCAAGCCTTGACCATCAAAATAAATGGTCGAACAGCCACGATTGGTGGTGGTCGTACCCACATTAACTGGAAGAGCGGGGTCTACAGTGACGAGCATGGAAGTCAGATTCAACTGTCAAACAAGGATCTCGAAAGTCTGCGGTAAGTCTCTTTCCTGCTCTACGATGTTAATCGATAGATGCCAAATACTAACATATTTTCTCTTTTCCTGACACTAAAGACGAGAACGGAATCGAATGCACGCCAAAATGACTCGCGATCGCAAGAAGAACTTCATTTCATCGATTGAAAAGACAATCGAAAAGCTCGAATCAAGAAATGGTCGAATGAAGAAGATCCTGCAAGAATTCATTCAGCTGCGCTTGGAGCCAAGTGCAGGTGTCACTCCAATGTCGTCACCTGGCTCGGTATCGATCCCTGGTTCGGTGGACGAGATACCCAACTTTAACCTCATTGATGATGGGCCATGTACTCCTCGGAAAAAGCGAATGAGAATTGGCAGCTAAAGTTGTTCCAACAACATACAGGATGTCCCTTGCCTCGGATACCCAAACGAACCCTGACCCCCAAGCAAATTAGTACCCTCTGGAGGGTACTGCTTTGACTGTAAATCCACTCGCCTCAAACAGAATTCCTGAGGCCACGTCTTCTCGTTCCATCAGAAAAATACAGTACAGCATGAAACAGCCTTGAAAGAGGTTTTCAGACATTTGAAAATACTGTGTCTACGTTCTTGCATGGACGTTTTGCACCATCCCATGGAACAGGCATTGCACTGAAAAGGAAAGTTGTTATTCGGAAGAGGGTTACCATGAATATACCTCGACTCGCCGGACCGCCATAGGTGTGAAATAACCCATTTTCAATTTAGAAGATACGACATTATATACACAGCAAACGTCAGTTCCAGATGTTATTGTTTTAGGCATCGGCATATTCCTCTACGTTTTCCAGTTCTTCTGCAAGTTCTAGCCATTTCATTTCTTTTTCTTCGATATCTGAGTTCACCCCGTCAAGCTTTGCTGTAAGGTCCGCCAGAACAGTCCAACCTTCTTCGCTGCTGTTGTCGAGTTCCATTTGGATTTCCACAGCCTCAACTTTCAACTTTTCCATCTTATTCTCTAGATTGTTCATGTCTTTCTTTGCCTTGCGGATGAAGTTGCGGATTCTATTCCGTTCCTCTTTGCTTTGTTTGTAATCCGCATTTGATTGAGTTTTTCCGTTGTCGCTATCAGTATTCTGATTCTGGATTTTTTCATTCTCAAGTTCAACTAGACACGACGCATACTCGCTGAGGCTTCCTTGGAAGTCCTTAACTACACCATCACCTTCAAAGATGAACAAGTGATCTGTAACCTTGTCCGCAAAAGATCGATCGTGACTAACTGTCAAAAGGACTCCTTTGAAAGATAGTAGGAATGTTTCCAACGCTGAAAGAGTATCAAGATCACAGTCCACGGTCGGCTCATCAAGAAGTAAAAAATTCGGTTTCTGAAGAGCAATTCAAACTGAGATGTGATTTACCACTTGCAACAATACAAAGATCTAAAGCACCCCAACTTACGTGGGTAAGTACCTTAAGCAGCTGTAACCTCCGACGTTCGCCTCCAGACAGGAGGACAACGCGTTCATTCCATCGGCTTCTTTGAAATTCAAATTGTTTCAATAGTTTTCGGGCTTCAGCTGGATCCTCAGACAGCGCATTGGATTGGCTTGACTGAACCTGATCCATAACGAATTCCAAGACTGTTTTCTGCTCCATTCCGTCCTCAAATTTGAGTCCTAGCTGATCGTAGACACCCAAAACAACAGTGTCACCGATTTCGATGACACCACTGTCTGGGGTATTCTCACCAGTAAGAAGCTTCACAAATGTGGTCTTGCCTAGGAAAACAAATAAGACGTTTGTCAACACAATACAATTGAAGCAAGCACCTGTAAGACTACCAAACGATTGATTCGATAGTACGTACCGACACCATTTGCACCAGCAAGGCAAATCCTATCTCCTTGACAAAAGTCATACGAAAAATCATCGAGCATAATACGATCACCAAATCTCAAAGACACATTCTTCATCTAGTATTTCGCAAGCGCAATATTGTTAGTTAATTGAGGGAATAAAGAAACAATGGAAAGGGGACGTTTGACTCACCGATAAGATGTTTGTCCCCAAACGACTCTGACCATCATTGCCAAGAGCCAAGTTCGGGTCTATAGCTCGTGGCTTTGTCGCCTTCTCCAGCTTGTAGAAAGCATCAATACGTGCCTTTGATTTGCTCTGCCGAGCTTGAGGTTGACGACGCATCCAGTCCAATTCAACACGGTACTTAGCCTTTGCAGCCTGGACAGCCGCATCCTCCGCTACCAGTCTCGCATTTTTGGCCTCAAGGAAGCTTGCAAACGAACCTTCGTGTTCGTAAAGGGACCCTCGATCTAACTCCAGTACTCGATCACAAACCTCCTCCATGAATGCGCGGTCGTGTGTCACCATCAGTATCGTCATCTTTGTATCAGACTTCAACAAATCTGCTAGCCATTGAACGCCAGCAAGGCTCAAGAAGTTTGTTGGTTCATCGAGCAACAATACATCAGGCTCTTCAACGAGGGCCGCACAAAGCGCCACTCTTTTCCTTTCGCCGCCCGAAAGTTGGTTAAGAGGTTGGTCATACAGGTGATAGACTCTAAGTTTTGTTGCCACTTCATCAGCCTTTGTTAATACACCCCATCCATCACTTTCATCCATGGCTGCTGATGCTTCGGCGAATCCATGATCACTTTCAGGATCTTCTTCTACCTTTCGCATCGCCATTCGATACCTACGAACAACTTCATAAACGTTCTTTGATCTACCATCTGATGAATCGTCTGTACGCTCAATACCCAGCACTGCATCAGAAACTCTCACATCACTGGGCATTGGTGGCTCTTGAGCAACCATGGAAACGCGCGCATCCCTAGCTGGGCTCACTTTTCCTGTATACTTGAAGTCTACTTCATCTGTTTGTCGATCTCTACAACAATCAGCTAGAATCCGAAGAAAGCTTGATTTCCCTGCACCGTTTCGTCCTATCAAAGCAGTTTTTGCACCACGTGGCAAGACATAAGATACGTCCTTCAGTTGCCATGTCTCTCCACCATTGTGTGTGCAACTGAGGTCTTCAATCGAAATAGCTGGTGGAAGCAAAGATGATGTCGCTGATAAGGCCGTTGTGTATGCCTTGTTCTGAGCAATTCTGCTGGCAGGCGAATCTAGATTAGGAAAAAGAAAAGCACCGACCAAACAACATCGAAGAAGTATCACCAAAGCTACAAAGAATCGATTCATCTTGTTTGTGGTGGTTGGTTGGGTGGTATCAAAGAAAATACAGAAATGGAGAAATGGAGCAAAATCGAAAAAGCGATCTACCGGTAGCGAATTGCTTCAAAGCGCAAACTACAGTAGGAAGTAGATATCGCTACTCAAAACAGCTACAAACCTATGTTCAATTGACATATAATTGATAATAACTACTTGAGATTACGCTAACACCACTATACGGCTCCATTGCGCCATCATTGTTAATAAGTTTAGTCGGAATCAGAGTCCGAGTCAGAGTCCGAATCATCAGCCTTTTTCTTTCCACCTGATTTGGCCCCACCTGAAGCCGGCATGGCTCCGCCAATCGCACCTGGAGGTGCAGCTTGACCTGCGTTCTCCAAAGCAGCACGTTCACTCTTGGCTTCGGCTTCACACTCCAAGGCCCAAATAACAACATCCTCAACCAACTGAGCATCTCTGGATTTGTCTTGAACTTGGGCGACAATACGCGCAAGTGTCTTTTGGTAAGCAACACGAGCATGAGCTTCTGCAAGGTAAAATGCTTGGCGATTCTTAAGATCTTCCTTCATCTTGACCAATTGTTTTTTGTATGTATCAACATTCTTGATCAAACGAGCATTGGTTGCATTCAATCCCTTTGCGTGCTCGTTCAGTTGATTGAAAGAGTTGCTGGCAGAAGCATTGGCCTCCATCAATCGTGCGTTATTTTCCTTCAACGACTTGTAATCCCTCTTCATGGTCTCGCACTGTTGTCGCAGCTTCATGTTCTCCTTTCGCAAGTATTCAATAATCTTTCCACTCTCATCGATAAGAGTCTGTTGTTGCGCAGACTTGTTGACCTTCTGAGCTTCAGCACGCAATTGATCCTCTAGCTTCTCCTTGTACTCCTCCATTTCCTGTTCGAATTGGAATTTAGCATCCTCAAGCTCAGCCTTGCGTTTATCTTCAGCTTGTTGGAGCTCATCCTTCATCTTGTCGAGTTGATTTGCAAGATCTTCTTCCTCCTTCTTCTTCAGCAACGCTTGCTTGTATCTAGGGCGTTGGATAGCTCCGCGGAGAAGAGCTTGGATGCGGACTGCGGCCTTTTTCGACTTCTTGCCCAAACGCTTCAGTCTCTTCTTGTCCTTTTTCTGAGTTGCGGTTTTCTTCTTCGATATGGCAGCACGGAACAGACATTGGATGGGAAGAACAGCAGAAGCAAACTTCTCGTACTTCTTGCGGAGGATCATTCTCTTGACAAGGAACATACGGGCAATCTTTTGACATTTGATGGCCCACTTATCCCAAATCAAAGCCAACGAACCTTCAAGCCTTTCAAGACATCCAGCCTTGAAGTAAATCTTTGTTTTACCCATTGCAAAACCCTTGGCGATAGTACCGTCCTTTCTTGTCGTCTCGAATGTCTTCAACAACTGTTCACAGATGTGCTCAATCTCCTCCTGCTTAGATGCATACCCACCCTTCTTCTTGGCCTCGTTAAGCATGTGGTATCGGTTCTTGAACTCATCGTGACTCAACTTGGATGGAAACGCAGAACGAGAAATTGTAACAGCAGCGACCACACCAGCACATCGAAGCTGTTCAAGTGTAGTGATGTGTTGCATGACAAGCTTTCTCTTTACTGTGTTTGGCTTGACGCAACGGATGTATCGAGACTTAGTCGTTTCAAGTCCCGTCATCAAGGAAGTAAGCTGGTTCTTGAACTGTGTCATCACAGTATCGGCGCTAAGGTTACTTCTTGCGCGCTTTGGCCCCTTGTCAGTTGCCTTGGCGCTCGTCGTATTCGTAGAGGAGTTGTTGCTCAGATGCTTCGCCAAGATCTCATTCTTACAGGCTTCGGCTGCCTTCTTGATGTCTCCTGGCAATGTATCGGTGTTACGAGTAACGAAGTCCTGGGCGCGGTAGATAACTGGACCAGCGTAGTGGTGAATTCCGAATTCGAGGGGACCGAAAGTTCTCTTTTGGATCAAACAAGGAACGGTCTTGTTACTTTTGAGTGCTTTGCTCACGAACGCACCGTCGTTACCCTTAGGACGGACACACTCTTCGTTCAGTTGTTTGATAAGACCGAGCTTTCCTTCGATGAGACCCAAAACATCAGAGTTGTCATCATATTTGATATCTGCCAAGTTCAAGCCTTCTTGCTTGTATTCTTCCACAACGGCTGCGAAAATATCCTTGGTGAACTTTTGCTGAAGCTTTTCGTTACAGTAATTGATACACATCTGTTCGAATCCATTGATGGGGAAAGACTCGAATCCGAAAATATCCAAAAGACCGATCAAGCCGTAAGTGAGGTTGGCACCACCTGGGTAATTGTTTTCTGCGCATGTTGCGTCGTTGATTGCTCGCACAAGCCAAAGGAAAACCTTGGCGTAAATCTCTTTGGCAAAGGCATCAGCAGACTCCCTTGCAATATCATGTTTCAAAGGCACCTTGTACTCTTCACCTCTTGTCTTAATCGTACGCTCGGTGAAGGCAAGTTCCATAAGCTTTTCGTCAGAACCAACCAATTCGCAAAAGTCCGTGAATTCTGTTTTCGATGTAATCACAGTCTTTTCGTCATCACTTGGATCAGGGGCAAAATCCAAGTTACCCAATTGGAGACAGGCGGAAATTGAACGCCAAAGGGTCAAAAAGGATTCACCCTTAATACCAACAAGGGCAAGAGCTTCTTTAACCATTGGGAACCATTGAGCATCGGTCATTTTATCGACCAAAACTTCAGGAGCTGGCCCAACGTATCTGAACGACTCTCCGTTCTTTCCAACAAGTCCCTTCCAAATTTCCTTCTTCACATCATCGGCGGAATCAAGAAGCTGATAGAAGGCGTGGTAAGTACGTTCGATATCTTCATTGGTAACAACACGAGACTTTTCCAAGAGGTAAACCTCCGATATTGAACCCGCCATCTCAGCACGTGGGGGGTTGCCATCCTTTCCTGGAATGTGATTGAACTGAAGCATGATGTATTTACCGAAACGAGAAGAGTTATCGTTACGTCTCGTCTTGGCGTTTCCAAAAGCCTCAAGCAAGGGGTTGGAGTCGAGAATACGCTTGACAACAAGAGATTCCTCATCACTCTTGTTGTTTGGATCTTGTTGCACCGTGGCAATGTGGTTCATGCAAATCTTCACGGTTTCAGTCTTTCCAGCTCCAGATTCACCAGAAACAAGAATGGATTGGTTCTCCTTATTCAACGCCAAACCCTTGTAACATAGCGAAGACACCTCGTAGATGTGAGGAGGAAGTCCGATTCTGGGATCACGGTCTGACTTCTCCCACACAATCTTTTTGGCGTAGTGCATACGAACACTGTCTGCATACAATTCCGTCAACCATTGGTATGGATTGACAGCAATCACAATATCAGACACACGAGAGTATGGAAGAGCTTTAACGTGGCGAGCTTTCAGGTTGAACAAAATTGCAGCCTAAAATAAAAGATCGATCCGAAATCAGAGAGATGCAGTGTTAGCACAGTAGAAACAACACTTCAGCAAAATTGTCTCGGATTGAATGACCTCGCAATATCAGACATATATACACACCTCATGCAAATAAGGCAAGTCAACCATATCATCAACTTCCAAGAGGGCCCCATCCTTTCCAGTATTTTGCAGAGGAAGAGTGTGGTTTGGGTAATCCTTGAGCTTAACTACAGCAGACTTGAAACCAACAGCTCCTTTTCCTCCATCACTCATGATGAATTCCTCAGCTTCATATTGTGGAATGGCTACCTTGGCTGTATCCTTGTCTTGGGAAACCAAACGAGCTGGAATCCATGCAAATTCGTCGGAACGAATGTAGACATTATTCGAGGTACCTCCTCCGTCAGCCATCTTTGAGACTTGAAATTAACGATGTACGAAAGTAGAAGTCCCCGATCTAAGTTTGCAAAGCAACCTCACTAATAGTATTGAGAGTTGCGAAGATTGATCACGTTCACTTCCTTCCGAGTCGAGCTGTTTATTTTGCTGTTGTGACCGAGCCCCATGAAGATCCACATTTTCCGCGAGACGTCCGAAGGTGCCAGTACTGGTGTCGCTGTAGAAACTACCATACGTGCCACCGAGAAAAAGGTCATCAACAAAAAACTGCAGGCAGAGTCATTTCAATGTCTCGGACTAGTCGGATTGCTAAAGGATGATTCACTCGACTCAATCTACACCGCACCGTCTGCGCGATTCTGTTTGCTGCATGTTTGGAATAACGCAAGAGGCAAACACAACCTCGTTGTCCTCAAGTTGCTTCTCAACAGTCAGCAGCAAAACTCAAATGGCATCCTTGCAACTCTCAAAGCATGCCCGCCAAATGGGCGTCATCGGTAGACCAGCCATGTTGTACAAGAAAATTGTTCGGTAAGTAAGATCAACTCAAAGGAGTATTGGCGTATGTCCATCTCGATTCGCACTTACATTCTGATTTCTTTCTTCCAACTTTCTTCACTACTGCTTCATACAATACAACCTGTATAGTGAAATTCCCCGAATTTTGATGATCTACGACATTGACATGCCTCTAGAGGACGTACGTGCTTCAATTCGAACAAAGTTCTACGAGCAAAAGGATATCAAGGATGCTCGAATTGCGGAAATGTTGGTGGAAAAGGGTTACATGAGTTTGGAAACCACCATGTTGCAGCACAAACAAAAGGCGCATTTGATGCACTTTCTAGAAGGATACACAGTTCCGATGGAGGCGGAACGCAAGCGTTTGGATGCGGATGCATCGATTGACGATCAATTCGCTCGAAATTAAATCCTCGATTGATGAACGCGCTACTAGGATTGTAGATGCTACTACTGATCGTAGAAGAACAGAATTTATACTTTTCGAATGAGCTTTTTCTTATTCAACTTATTGCGAATTGAGAACAAAATGTTGTTCGAATCTCGTTTCATTCCAAATGCAATCACCGCCCCCTAAGTTTGACTCTTCATTGATAGCTATCAATACAACTGAGACTAATACCAATATGGAATATGTAGACAGTTTATTGTAATGCAATCAATAGGATTGACAACTCTCTCTCTCCCTCCCCTCACCTCACATTGGCGCTAGCGTGACGCAAGTGATCTACAACCTGTGTAATATCAGATACATCAGATAGAACACAAGCAGACTAATAATCAAGATGCAACAAGTTGGGCATCATTGGCAGTACAGTTGCCAAATAGGAGTCATCAAACTGAACAGATTTAGTATGCAAAGATCCAAAGTTTTAGTTGACATTGCCTCTTTGAAAAACATCAGTCCGAAAGATGAGAATTGCCTCTAGTGAGTCTGACAGTGCTCTTCTAATGATGAGATTTTCCAAGTGACAGGTGTTACTAGACATCAGTTTCGTCAATAGGTTTGTTCAATCGCTCTCTTGTCAGAGATCGACCCCCAAAGTCGAGAGTTTCCGGATCGTGCCATCACCAGACAGTGCCCAAAGAATTGACATCATTGGCTACTGTACTGAGATTAGACTCAACTAGGGTCAAATTTTCCAGGCTTTTGTTTCTTTTAATGCATTCCACCAACTTCGGACCAGCACCATGCTCGAATCGACTTCCATCCTCGATTTTAAGTATGTCACTGCGTTAAAGCTTTGCATTTCAAAGTTGAGATATGCAGAGAAATTTTGGTCGTGAAAGCCGTTGCCGTACCAGTGTCTTATAATCGAATACATTTCCATCTTCGGTTGCTTTGCAACTTAAAAAAATCTCATTTCAAAAGTTTCAGAGGCATCGGTCAACATACATCAAACAGTCATTGTTACCTTGTTCAAAATCCGTCAAAATCCTGGCTAGAGCCAGGATCATAGAGCATATATTCTTGCGACGGTATGCATGAGGCCAGTGCTGTAATGTAAAGACACTTTATTGCAATCCTGTTGCTTTCTCCTCTTTTCTTTTCTTTCCTCTTCGTTTTCTTTTCTTTCCTTTTTCTTCCTCTTCCCCCCTTCTTTTTCCCCGGGGGATTTAGTATAAATAGTTGCACCAGCATAGTATAAAAGCCAGGCCGGCCGCGGCCGGCCGCATCAACAGGTGTTGTTCGACTTCTTCGACTTCTCCAGGTTTGCGAATCATCCGTTGAACGTCAGCCATCACATGCACCTGCCGTGTAATCTGCGATCATTTGGATCTAAACAGCCTTTTCCCATATTCGCTAGAGAGAGGATGGCGGCAGTATTGATATGGAACCAAACGCACGGTCAAACTAACGAGATTACGTTTGGTCATTGAAAGCATATCGCACCATCCCAAAGGTTTATTTGGATTTTCTTAACACCATGGTGGCTCAATCTCCTGCAGAGCAGCAGTTTTCTTGGAATGCTTTGATATCAAATTTCGTTGGCAAGCATGATGGATCTGAAGCATCCAAAGCTTCTGAAACGGAAGAGCCCAAACTTGAAATGGAATTGGAAGAGGGGCGTTCTGAATCTAATGAGGGGATGTCATTATCCGAAGCTCGTGATGATGCTGACTGTTCCCAGCCACTGGCGGCATGCACCCCATTCGACGAGCCAACATGTGTCCCATTTGATGAAAGGTCGTGCACTCCAAGAACATCAGCTGAAATGAAGATGGACCTCAACAGTATTCGCGAAGATATAGCGGAGATCGTTAAGGAACATAAGCGCCAAACTGAGAACGGTAGGGAAGCGGGCGAGAGCCAAAAGCAAGAGAAATGTGTTCACTTCTCTTTGGACTGCAACCCTGAAGCCGTTGCTAGTAAAGAAGAGCGAAAGAAACCAGTAATGGACAGGAAAGATGATACACTGGACTACATCTTTAATCTTGTGGAGATTGCTATATGCGGCGACAAGAAGTCAAACATTGACGAAGAGGTCACAAAGAGACCCACAAAGAGAGAGCAAATGCCCGATCCAGTGCAACTCTTGCGAGAAAAGAGCATCTTTCAGACCCTGAACCCTGGAGGTACTTCCAGCAATAGCAAGAAACACAGCAGTCGCCCTTACAAGAGTGGGGAGACTACCAGCGACAAGATTGTTACCGAAGACTCGCCGTCACTGGCGAAGAGCGCAACAAAAGAAAATCCCGAAGCTTCTACTTCGGAAACTTCTGAGACTGCAATGTCAAAGAATGAAGATTCAACGACTGACGATACGACCTTGCAAGTTTCAAAGCCTCAAGTTTCGACAATAGAAGCTCGAGAACTAAGATCCTTGAGACTGAAAGCTGCTTCCACAATCTCAATGCCTGAGGATGCAACGTTGATACCCAATACTTCTAAGCCTGAAGTCCCAACACCAACAGTGTCAACGACCCCGTCTAACAAGATCAGCAAAACCCAAGAAGCTGTTTCAGTATCCACATCAGGTTTCGGAGCATCGACAATTGCCGTTCCACCAACAATCCCTGAGGAGCCATCCAATTCTCAAGAATCTGCTTCTTCGCAAGGGGCAGAGGATGAGGAGACAAAGAAGTTTGTGGAAGAAGTTGCGATGGAAGTGCTTGCTGAGGCACAAGCCTTGGCAGCAGAGGCAGCAGAGGCAGACGCAGTCAATGCAGACACTGATACATCCTTTAGCAACGCACCGCAATCAAGTGTACATGTGGATGCTTCACATGATTCCGTCTCGTTAATTACTGATGTCGACGAATATTCCCATTCCCTACCTCGTATTATCCATCTGTCGAACTCAGAGGCCAATCAGACCAAGCTAGCGAAACCCTCCAACGTCTATTCCCCAAGCATTCGCAAACTGCAGAATAGGAAAAGTGTATCATCAGCATTGGCTGCCTACAATAAGAAGGTGAAGCGAAGCATAAACTTCGGCGGTTCCACACACATTTTGGGAAAGCAAGGACCCACGACTACAACTCTGGCAAGACGAAACAACGCAGACGAACAGGTCATTCAGTTACTTGCGGGCTTGTTATCTATGGGGGAAAGTGGTAACATCAGCGCCCCAGGTACACCGAGAGGCGTAATCTTTTTGGCTTCAGTTGTCTCGTTTTTGTTCTGGCCCGAGGATTTGCCACAGAAGCAACAAATGGCACGAAAAACGAAACCAGCTCCAGTTGAGGAGCCAGCGGAAAAGAAGGAACCCCCTTCCCTACTTTCCCTCGTTGGCGACAAGAAACCCAAGCGTACGTCGTCACCCATGAAAAGGAATCGACCGAGGAGGCCGCAACTTTCAGCTAGGAGAATGAACGCTTCGCAGAAAAAGTCCTTCGACGTGTAAGGATGGCCACCGGAAGAAAGAATGCATAAGCTTGTGTTACATCTTACTAGCTACCAGAAGAAAGAATACATAGGCTTCTGTAATATCTTACTGGCCACCTGAAACCAAAATGCAATTATCATGATCAATATTACCTGATCTCTTTAGTCGTACTAGTCGTAGCTAATAAATGTACGTCCGTCCATCATGCATGCGCAAAATTCCCGGTTTTGTTCTGCCTGCTTGCAGTTGTTGCCAGAACAAAAAATCAATCTTGGACTATCATATTGAAAGGCAAAGTTGAGTCGTTGAACACCGGTGGAGTAATACAGGGACTTACAAAGAAGTGTGTTGGTCAAGCTACAACTCTTTCAGCTTCTCCTCCAACAAAAAGGAAAAAGTCCACGTTTGAAACTGCTCTTGAAAACCAGTCGTGTTGAAGTACGTTTGTTTTCGGAGACAGCCACCCACAATGACAATACACGAATCCCAACAAATAATTGACGAAGATGAGGTAGCCGGTGTTTTTCTCGAGGATATCGGCTCTAGCTCGTCATCTACAGGTCACATAACGCCAGAAAATCCATTGTTCAAAGGAAATGCAGCTCAGAACAAGTCAATGATGGCAACGGCGATAAACACACAACAACAGTTTCCACTGATCCCAAGCGAGATTCATTCGCCTCCAAGGCACGGCACATTACCAGAGAGCTTCCATGGATCACCTGAACCAATACGTCCTGCCGGTTCTTCGAATCCCACAGGTCAAGCTTATCACCTGTTGGGGCAAATATCAGAAAATGAGATTTCACAGGAGAGACCTGATACTGTATCGGATGGAGAGAACGAAAAGGAAGAAGAGGCTACAAAAAAGAAGGCATACTTTGTTCCATGCTATCCAGCGACAAGGCTTGTGTTCTGGATTTCCACAAAGTGTTTTGAGCAGGAAGATTTCGCAGTTGCCACTTGGATGGGGTTTTGGGCATTGCACAATGTCACATGCGCCAATTATGTTCTATCTCCCATGCGAGATGCTGTTGCACTACAAGTTGGTGTGAAGAATATTCCCAAATTGACCTTGGCTTCTAGTGTCTTAGCGTTCCTGTCAAGTGTACCGATTGGATGGTTGTTTGAAGCGCCAGACCCAGGCAGACGGAAACTATGGAAGAAAATGGGTTTGACGCGCGGAGAAACGCAGGGGACGAGTCTGGCGCTATTCTACAGGTTCTTCGCGCTTTCTGTTTTGAGCTATGCCGCTGGGTTTCAAATTATGGACTGGTTGCGAGACGGAAAGCTTTCGTGGTTACCAATCCCTAGCTGGCTGGGAGCAGAGGCATTGGATTCTGAATCAGATCTTGTGACAATCTGGGACTGGATCCCTTTTTTGGTTTCGAAACTGGGGAAAGCCATGTACATAGCTTTCTTCTTGGTTGTTCACTTGATGAAGCTACATTCGATCTCACTTGTATGGGGAGTGACCACAGAAGCTATGGAATATGAAGATGTCGCACGCAAAGGTCAAGAACGGAAATTGGGACCGAGGCCTAAGGTTAAGAGAACACGTTTGCAGAGGCTAGCAATGGTTGGTTTCGGAGGCACACTTGGCGGCATTTGGGGGAGGTAAGTTGCTGTTCAGCTTGACCATGACAACATCGAGAGTACTATCAAACTAATTATTTGCTTGATGGCCGTCTTAGTGTTTTGGCGTCGTCGATGGCAAATACTTTGGGAGTTTCGGGTCTGCTTATCGTCTCCGCATTTTTGTTGGAAATCTCAGCGGAACTTTCAATCGAATTGGGCTTTATCATGAAGAAGCACTGGGAAGAACAGCAGATATTTAGGTCATCGCAGGATCTTGCTAGCCTGGATGCAAGCATGCAGCGGTCAGTTTCACTGGGAAGCATGAAGCGGGTCGCTTCAGGAAATAGTCTGATGAAGAAGGTTTCATCCAAAGATTCAATGAGCCAGTCATCATCGACAAAGTCTCTAAGCGACCTTGACAAAGCTCCACCGAGCCAAGCACCACCAAAAGACGATGGCCAAAATATTGATACGTTTACGCAACGGTTGCTACGAGGCATCACTACCATCTTGAAGTCGCGGCTGTTGATGGCAATTTTCACATATAATGCACTTTTCGCAAGTACTAGCACCTTGCTGAGTTTCCAACGAGCTGAATTGATTGCAAACCGCAAATCAGATACTACCGTCAGCGCAGACACGGCTTTCTTGGCAAACATCAACATCGCTAGTTCTATGGCTGTATTTGTATTTCAAGCAAGCGGGATCGGGGCGGGGATTGCACAAAGACTTGGTTCTCAGGGTACCCTTTCTCTCATGCCTGCAGTGCGATTGGTCGGAATCATTGGTCTCACATGGTGGCACAGGGTGTCCAATGGCCAAGCACCCAACCTAATTTTGTTCTTGATGTTGGACGAATGTACACGTGTCATAAATCTGGCTGTGGCAAAACCTGTGCGGGAGAATCTTTGGAGGGGACTCTCTAATGAGGCACGGTACGAAGCCAAGCCCATTGTCGACACTCTAGCAAATAGGTGGGGAGCAGGAAGTGCTTCCTTCTGTGTATCGGTAGTGAACAAAGCGTTCCTGTGGTTGGGACTTGCAACTCTGGGTGCAGACCCCAGTGTATTTGGACTTACTCCGAACCTCTTCTTATGCCTCCTAGTTGCGGCATGGTGGGCTATGGTGAGCCTTGATTTAGGGCAAGTACGAAAGCGGATCGACATGGAGCTCAAGAAGCATCAGTAGTCATGAAATACTAACCATTTTAAGATAGGCTGAAACAAACCAAACAAGTCTTTATAGCAGTACCGGTAACTCAAAACAATAATGTATTGTACAGTACCTGAGCCGTCTGTCCCCATTCATAGCTTCAAGTATAGTAGTCGAACGAGTCAGTCGTCACAACCTTTCGTGGAATGGACGAATGAATGATGTTGTGATGATGTGTTCAGTGTTCAATTCTCGAAAACAGTTTCATCACATTGATTTGAACCACAATGTTGCAATCCAGTGCGACCTTGGGTAGACGGCTTTTCCCTACAAGGCGGCTCCCCAACCAGCTTTGCAATTCCGTGGAATGTCGGTTTTTGGTATCATCATCAAAGACTGGAAAGAAAGGTGCAATGAAGCGACAAATGGAGAAAACTTCAGCGGACGGTGAACCATCGCAAGCAGCTTCGGAACGCGACGCGACCTCTGCTCAATTCACGAGTGAGAAACAAGTCATGGAATCTTCTACAGGTTACTCTTCAGCTTTTTCGAATCTAAAGGCAGAGTCGCCTAAGTCTCATTCAATGATTGACTTTTCACATGGGCTTGAAGATGATGGGTGGCGATCGAACAAGATTTTGGATAGACTGGATCAGCCGGATCAGCTTTCCTTCGAAAAAGAAGCAATGTTCGATCCAGCGATTCATTTACCATATGCACCACAGGACTGGAAAGGTTATGAGGCTGCTACACCATTGTCTGAGTTTCTATTCCAGCGGATTGGAGTTTCGGGCCAGATCACTACCGCCGAATATATGCGTCACTGCCTCACTAACCCTATGCATGGATACTACACAAGACCGGCGACGACGCTTGAAAAAGAGTTAGATGATGATGACTGGAGTGACAGCGAGGACGATGTTGCCGAACAGTCTACTGATGATTCTACTAAGGATGCCTCAACTATTTTCGGATCAAAGGGTGATTTCGTTACTGCACCTGAAATCTCTCATGTTTTCGGTCACTGTATATGCGTTTGGCTAGTTACGCAGTGGCAGTCGTTGCAAAAGCCTTCGAAGGTCCAACTTGTCGAACTAGGTCCTGGGAGAGGAACACTCATTTCAGACATAGTCCAGCTTGCTACATCTTCAAAATTGTCCGATTTTGGGGAAGCAATTGACTCCATTCACCTTGTCGAAGCGTCTCTTGAATTAAGGCGGCAGCAAAAAGAGGCGCTAGAAAATGCGTTAGGGGAGCTGGTGGACTTCGATTTTGTGAACCCTCCATCTATCAAAGGGGAGGAGGACGAAACGAAAGAAGCAAAGACAGACAAAAATAGCCCAACGAAGAAGTTTTCAATCCGAGTAGAGTGGCATGCCGACTTTTCATCTTTTAGTTTCAAACGAGACAGGGATTTGCCTGTGATGATGGTATTACAAGAGTTCATTGACGCACTCCCCGTGCATGTTTTTCAAATGACTGAGGAGGGATGGAGAGAAAGATTGATTGATGTTGTCTCTGGAGCAGATCCAAAACCAGAAGCGGACAAGTTGCAACCACGGCTACGACAAGTACTGGCACCAAATGTCACTCCCGCAGTAGAACTGTTTCTAGAGTCCGCGAACTATCACAACCAACCGGTTGGAACGGTTGTGGAAGTCTGCCCCGAAGGAATAATGCTTGTCCAAGATATTGCGAAAGTTTTGAATGAAAGTGACGGAGCTGCACTTATCTTTGATTATGGACAAGAGGGTACAGGCGACACATTGAGAGCCTTTTCCAACCATAAACAAGTCCAATTGACTTCGTCTCCAGGACAAGTCGACATAACTGCTGACGTGGATTTTTTTGCTCTCAAGCAAAGCATCAAGGATGGTGAAACACAAGGATTTGGACCTGTCACACAGGGTGAGTTTTTGATGCGAATGGGTGCTGGGGATATGGTTATCAAGAAGATCGAAGAGCCTTCAACGACAGAGGAAGAAGCCGTCGCTTTTTCAGAAGCATTGAAATACCTCGTTATGCCGGAGAACATGGGTGAGCGATTCAAAGTCCTGGCTGTCGGAAAGAAGAAGGAGGGAATTTTCGCACCTCCTGGTATGGAAACATAAGAAGCGAAAGAGATACTCGTAGATCACTAATACAATATATCTTATTATAGATGCAAGAAAAAAATAATATTTTGACATAATGACAAGCTTACTTTTTCCCAACTTTTTCAATCAAAGTATCAACAATAGAAGGATCTGCAAGAGTACTGATGTCACCCAAGCTGTCAGTTTCTCCACAAACAATCTTGCGCAAAATGCGACGCATGATCTTTCCAGATCTTGTCATGGGCAAAGTTGGTGAAACCACAATAAGGTCGGGACTGCAGAATGCTCCAACTTCGTGGCGCACATTCATCTTCAGTTCCGTCAAAAGTTCAGGAGATTCCTCGTATCCTTTTCTCAGCATACAAAATGCTGCAATCGATTGGCCCTTGAGATCGTGCGGTCGTCCAACAACAGCAGCTTGAGCCACAGCTGGGTGGGCAACCAAAGCACTTTCAACCTCGGCAGTTCCAATTCTGTGTCCACTGACATTGATAATGTCGTCAACACGCCCAATAATGAAGTGGTTTCCTTCTTCGTCACGCATCACACTATCCCCTGTAAAGTAGTATCCAGGATATGGCTTCAAATAGACGGTCTTGTATCTTGCGTGATCGCCCAAACAAGTTCTTGCCATTCCTGGCCACGGTTGGCGAACGGCCATGACACCTTCAGCTTTTCCGTTTTCGTCCGGCTCCACAACGTGGCCATCGGCTGGATCCAACACAACAGCATCCTAAATATCATAGAGAATGGTTTGAGGCAACAAATCGCATGCTATTGGGAAAGGAATTTGTCGACTTACAATTCCATAGAATGGCAGAGTACATGATCCTGGCTTCATAGGTGTAACTCCAGGAATATTTGTAACGATGTGTCCTCCAGTCTCCGTTTGCCAGTAGGTATCGACGATGGTGCATTTGGACTTGCCAACAACTTCGTAGTACCATCTCCATGCCTCGGGGTTGATGGGTTCACCGACAGTTCCCAAGACCTTCAAACTACTCAGATCGTATTTCTGCACAGCTTCTTCACCGTACCTCATCAAGAGACGAATGGCAGTTGGTGCAGTGTAGAATTGAGTGATCTTGTGTCGTTGCACCATATCCCAGTATCGGCCTTCATCGGGGTAGACTGGAGTGGATTCAAACATGAAAGTTGTTGCCCCGTTCAGAAGTGGTCCGTAAACAACATAAGAGTGACCAGTGATCCATCCACAATCGGCAACGCATGCGAAAATATCATCGGGGGCCTGTTTCAAATACCGATTTACAAATTTGTCAGCTGATTTGGACCTTTCAACTCTCATCACAACGAACAACCAGTGCCACTTACAAGGTCGAAAGTTGTCTTGGTTGTGTGTGCAGCATACAATGCGTATCCACCAGTGGTGTGAACCAAACCCTATAGAGACAATAGTAAGCAAATTGACAAGAACTGTCAGGAGGGAACGGCTCTACCAAACAAATTTCGCACCTTTGGCAGTCCAGTGGAACCAGAAGTGTATAAGATGAAAAGATTCTCTTCTGCTTCCATAGGCTCTGGTGGGCAGTATGGACGTTGGTCATCAACCAGAATGTCCATACGGACATCGTTAGAGTTCATTTCGTAGGGCGCTTCTGATTCTGGTCCTTCGTAGTTGCGTTCCCAAACAAGCACATGCTTGACAAGGTCTTTGTCCTTGACATGCTCAACGGCAGCATTAACGATATCCTTAAGAGGAATACGCTTGCTACCACGAAGACCATGATCAGCAGTCACAACTACCTCGGAGTTTGCAGCTTGAATACGGCTCCCCAAAGCGTCCGACGAAAATCCTGCAAAAACGACAGAGTGGACAGCTCCAATTCGCGCACAGGCCAACATGGTCATGGCAAGTTCCGGAATCATTGGCATGTAAATTGTAACAACTGTGGACGCAAAGACCCAGTCAATAATCCTTCGAAAATCGAATATACTACAAATTGTCTCTTTTTAAAAACTGACCTTGTCCTTTCTTGACTCCCTTAGCTTTGAGTGCGTTGGCGATTTGGGATACCTTGTTGGTCATTTCACCATAAGTGATCCTTCTGACATCATCAGGTTCATCTCCTTCCCAAATCATAGCAAGTTTTTTTGGATCGTGTCGGTCCAATGCATTGTAGGCAACATTCAATTTCCCCCCACTGAACCAACGAACATCACCATTGGTCAAATCGCCTTGCAAAACTCTATGGGAGTCAAACGGAACCTCCCAATCCAAGACTTCTCTGGCAAGCTTTCCCCAATATTTGGATGGACTCTTGATGGATTGGGCATGTTCTTTCTTGTATTTGTCAAAAGCACTTACGGTCTTGGCCGCGTAAACTGGTTCAATATTAGAATCGGACGTCATCTTGATGGTTCCTTCATTATTCGTTGGAAGATTGGTTGATCCATGCGAAGTGCTAGGAACAAAGCTATTTGCAGTCGCCGGAAGGCTTCCCACGAAGGCGCAGAATAGACCAATTACCCTCATGGTCTACTACAGTACGACTACGTTAGGATGGATGTGTGATGTGTATCTTTTGATCGGCTGTCGTGTGTAGTTTCAAGTGATGATGATGTCACTGATGGGAGGAGTGTTGAATTGTTCAACGCGCGTTGTTGCGCGATGCTTCTTCTTCCGAAAGGAGAACGCAAAAACCGGTGGGTATTGATGATTTTGATGATATTGATGAAAGATAGATAGAAGTACAATAAGAGAGAGAGAGAGAGAGAGTGACCTACCTGGCCCCTAACTGACCTACCTTTCACCATGAACCGCACTCCGCAAGCCCAAGCGCTGAGCGAGTTCGACAAGTTTATATCTGAAGACCTCCCCAGATTCCTCACGTTTGTGGCGAAGGAAGTCATGTTTCCACTTATCACTCTGTTGATATGCTTTGGAGGAGCGGTCAAACTATTTGCGCACACCCAACAACAGCTCTATCCTCCTCCAAAGAGCGTACGACACAAAGAAATTGTAAAGCAATATAGTAACGGGAAGGTCGACGAAGCACTCCAAGAATTTGCCAAACTCGATTACGGTCCATCCTATTTGAGCATGGCATGCCATGAGATCTACGTTGTTGGGACCGAAGCTAGTGTCGCAAAGGGCATTATGATTCTAAAAGAAGCACAGATTCAAAACAAAGGGATTCCCGAAAAGAAAATAAAGGAAATGAGGGCTGATGCCGCAGCGATACTAAGTGGAAATGCTATCATGGTGCGCACCAATGCCAATGTGGCGAAGGAAGAGTATTTGGGTGTTGCCTCTTGGTGAGGTTTGATAATGAGTTTTTTGATCTGAGATAGTGCAAGAAACCATGTGGTTGTAATAGAATATATAAGTTGAATGAAAAAGTGAAAAACATCAAGGTAGAATAGCATGAATTCTGGTGTATACAATTGAATTCTGGTCGAACGATGCAAGTCTATTCGTTTCAGTTCTTTGAGGGTGAATCCACGTGCGTTTCACCCCATAAATATATCGCAATCACCTTATATATTCAAATCAAGGCAGCGTCCGCATCAATTGCGCAATTTAGGCGTATTGGATTCTCATGGTGTTGGTGGCTCCAGCACGGGCACTGTGTCCGTGAACGACGACAACTGGTTCTCCAGCGTTGGCAATTCCACGGGTTCGGAATCCCTCAACGGTTTCGTTGACGACCAAGTCAGTCTCTTCGAGGGACTTCAAAACCTGGGCTTCGCATCCCTTCATGAGACCATAAGCTTGACGGGCCACACGCTCGGAGCTGGTAAGAACAGTGACGTGTCTGCCAGAGCGGAACTTGGCAATTTGTTGAGCGGTGGCTCCAGATTCAGAGCAGACAATGATAGCCTTGGCGTTGATATCAATGGCGGTCTTGACAGCAGACGAGGCAATAGATTCGGAAGTGCTCAAATGTCCGTAACGGTTCAACGACGAGTTTCTGACAGCTTGGTATAGAGAGTCAAAGTTGATTGCAGATTCGGCTTCGCAGCAAGTTTCGGCCATGATCTTGACGGCAGCTTGTGGGTGTTCTCCGTTGGCGGTTTCTCCAGAAAGCATGACGGCATCAGTTCCATCCAAGACAGCATTGGCAACATCAGAACATTCGGCACGGGTGGGACGAGGATTTTGGATCATAGACTCCAACATCTGAGTTGCGGTGACAACAGGCTTTCCAGCAATGTTGGCCTTACGGATCATCATCTTTTGGGCAAGGAAGACCTTCTCGGGAGGGATTTCCATCTGTAACGAAGCAAGAAATAAAATGACGTCAGAAAATGGTCGTAGGTGGAGTATAGTGCAACAGCAAACAGCACCAGTATCCTCATTCGATTCAACTTACACCAAGATCACCACGGGCAACCATGATACCATCAGTGACCTCAAGGATTTCATCGTAGTTCTCAAGTCCCTCTTGGTTCTCGATCTTACAGATGATCTTGATGGCTTGGTTCTCTTCTCCCAAGATTTCACGAATCTTGAGGACATCGCTGGCCTTACGGACAAAACTGGCAGCAATGAAATCAATTCCGTTGGGAATACCCCATTCCTTAATATCGCTGATATCCTTTTCAGTAAGGGTTGGCAAGTCAACAACAACTCCTGGCAAGTTCATGTTCTTTCGCTCTCCGATGGAGCAGGTGTTTTCCACTCTGGTTTGGACCTCTCCGGCAGCATTGTCGCAAGACAAAACTGTCAAAACAAGGGATCCATCAGCAACAAGGATGGATTGACCGGGGGTGACAGAGGTAGGGAGAGATGGGTAAGAGCACGCCAACTTGGTGGAATCTCCCTTAAAGGCATAGTCGGTGGTAAGGGTGAGAGTTTGTCCTTTTGTCAAGTCAATCTTCTTGGCACCGTTGGCAAAGAATCCAGAGCGAATTTCGGGTCCTTTGGTATCCAAAAGAACAGCTGAAAAGAATTCAAATGGTGAGAAATCCTGAAATAAAATCCATTGACGACCACTTATGCGCATAAAAACCTACCAACATGCTTCTTCTTGTTGGAGGATGCCTGACGGAGACGGTCAAGGCAGGCCTTGTGTCCTTCGTGGTCTCCGTGAGAAAAGTTGAATCGGGCAATACTGAGACCCTCATCGATCAAAGTCTCCAACATGGGAACATCCCAGCAGGCAGGTCCAAGAGTACAAATGACCTTGGTTTGGCGATGGCTTGTGTCGGTTTTTGCCATGATCTTACCCAACGTGATGTTGGATCCTCGGAGTTCGGGGCCACTGCTTCCAATTTTAGACATGATGATTGTACTTTAAGGTTGAAGGAAATTGGTTATAGATGCGGTTTGGTGCAAAGGTGTTGCGAAAGCAAAAAATGGATGTTCTTGTTTTGGGAAGGCGAAGACGTGGATACTGCTTCTTCGTAGGCCTCGTAAAACCAACTAGTGGCCAACCCATCACTCCAAAATGCCGCGGGAATTCAAAATTCCGGTGGTTGGCTCGCAAAACAGCAGTAAAAGTAACTGTCGAAGTGGACCAATGAAAACGCATCTTTGGATAAGTCATTACCGGGTATATGTGGTCAACGTACGTTTTTTCGGATGGAACTTGTCTCCCTTCCGAGGGTGAACTGACGTGTGTGCGCGAGTGAATCTCGCGCAATTACAAGATTTGGGAACGTGAAATTGAGAACCAGAAAAAAACTGGAGGGTTCCGATTTCCTGCTGGAGTAAAGCGGCTTGCTGGGCATTGGAAGGGCAACTGCACCAGTTCAGAGCGTCGAGAACATTGACCAACGCTGTTTCTACATCAAACACATTTTGCTGACCTGGAACACGATTGATTTCTGTTGAAAAGGAGGACTTGAGAAGAACTTTGGATGTGCGGTTCATGATGGCGGCTGCTAGTAGTACTTTTGCGGCATACTAATATATGTACAGTAACCTTCCACACGCACAATGGAGCATGATGGAGTGAGACATTCGTTGATTGGACATATCCGACTTCTGGAGATGATATGGTTGGAAATCCCATCTGCTGAACGGAGAAATGCTGATTTATGCAACGACGATGGCGAGAGTGGTGGCAAGTCTCACAGCTACAGTCACAGCTCGAAAATAAGGATCAAATGAAGCTTGAATCGCCAACTGCAGAGTTCATCGTCCACCGCCACACTTAACCTGAGCAATACTTGTAGACAGTGCAACGATACAACTACCAACCACAGGGAGTATCGAGATGATGTAGGAGGTCGTTTCGCTACAGACAATTGTCCAAGAACAGAACACCATCCTCATTCCATTGTTTTTTCTCTGGCATCATACTACTCTCTAAGTGTACTTCTAAGCCATATCACTATACATGTTTATTTGATTTTGCTGCTGAAGCAGACATGATTTCTGAACTTAATGGTGGGCTCAATTGAAAGCAGGAGGTATGCCTGCCTGCACTCTTTGTTGACTGGGGACGAGAGCAGGAGGAGTACGACCACCACCACGCCCAGCAGCCACCCGCCACATCTTTAAAAAATCTGATGCCCGCACCAAGTGATTGATTCAAAATGACTACAGTACATCCTCTGGGAAAATAGTCTAAAATAAGATTTTTCCTTCCAATCGTCTAGTGTTGGTGATTGTATGTAAGCATTTTGTTGAGTCACTGGTCACCTGGTAGAAAAAGCAATAATAAGTGCTCGTAGAGTCGTAAGACTACCGGTAGTACGATCTCCAAGATTAGTCTGTCAGTCGGCAGCTGCTACGTGGAAGCATTTGAACGAGGAAATGGTTGATTGGATTCGACAACTGACAACCGACACCCAACAAACAACGATCCAACAACGAGACACGGTGCAAAGCTCAATCATCAGCATCTAGAATTACCAAACAGTTGAATTATACCAATAGAAATGAAGGTCTTATCAGCGTCTCTATTGCTCCCTCTTCTACTATGCACTCCCTCCACCATCTTTGCACAACAATATGACGATGACTACCAAGAATACCAAGACTATGGTGGTGACTATGGACAAGACACATTATACCACGACTATGCAGAGCGACAAGAAAACAAAGGGTAGGTGAATCTTATGCTACAAGTTTCAAATAATTTATTTGGTTGCTCAGACTAACCGTGCCAATGATTGCTAAACCATTCTCAATTTCTATTGACAGTGTGGGGAATACTGGCGGTGCAGGTATTGGAAAGCTGATCGTCACTGGGGCTGCAACGTGGCTCTTGGGGGCCAAATACCATTCTGGAAAAGTTGCCAAAAAGCTAAAGCGAAAGCACCAAGGCGAACAAAAGAAATTGTATTCACAATATTACAACGATGTTTACAAGCTCAGCGAACAAAATAAACAATTACAACGACAAGTGGAAGAATTGACGGATTTAGTGAAGTCGACCGAGGCAAAGGCAGAACTAGAGGCATTGCAAAGGGATTACGACGAGTTCAAGCAGCCCGATATCGATGGTGATGACAGAATTAGCCGAGCAGAGTTCAACATGTATGTTAAGGACTATCTTAGCAGTTACCCAGGTTTATCAGAAGCCGATTACCCAAAATTTGAAGACTTTGATCACGACGGAGATGGATTTGTCAGTTTCCAAGAGTACTCGCAACAGATGGCCCTACAGGCGCAACAAGCAGAGCTGGAGCAAATGTATTCTGCAGAAAAGCAACAAAAAGCTCAAGCATTAAATGATATGTACAAGTCGGCAACAGGTGGAGGAGGTGGTTTGTATCACTAGAAAATTCCAAATAACACCAAACCGAATTGTAGTATTTTCGAAAGGAAATCAAGAGCTGTAGTTGAATTCATTTATGTCACGATGAATGAATCATTATGATTGCAATAGTTGGTAGTAAGTCTATCTCTGTTGGGTTGGGCGATTTCGCTCTCACAGAAGTGCTCAAACAGAAAGTTTGACGGACCGAAGTAATACTAGTGTCAAACAATTGATGGAGCTATGATCACTCAAGACCATTGAGTAGTAGGTAGTAGTCACGAATAATGAATCAAACAAAATAGAAGACGAAAGGTTTCTTCGGTTTCTTTTTCCCTACAAGAGTTTTCAATTCGGCGCTACAAAAGAATTTGTTGCCAACGAATAGTCGTTGTTACCTCTTTTGGAATACCATCACAAATATCAACGTCAATACTCCATAGTCCATCAAAACAATCTACGAAAGGTATCGACGCATTTTGTATTGTTTGGTCTCTATAGGCATATTTAGTAGTCACCACCGTCACCGCCTTCCCCTCCGAACATATCCATTCCTCCGCCAATCTCGGCTTCTTCTTCCTCTTCTTCTTCCTTCTCTTCAACAGCAGCTGCGCCTCCTCCGGCTGCGGCACCACCGCCGCCACTATTGCAAAAAGAAAAAAAGAAAAACAATTGAGCAAATTTAAAATGTGAAGCAATTCATCAAGAAACCAATAATTGACTCACCCGCCGCCACCACCACCTCCTGGTGGTGGTGTGAAGGATTCAACTCCCTTTGGTGCACCAGTCACTACACTGGCGAACAAGGCAGACATGGCATCTGAAACAGAGTTTCCAGAGGCTGTCGCAACAGCGGAGATCTTCTCCGCCGAAACCTCACCACTACCGATAACAAGGCATGATAGGGAAGCAACAAGCTCTTCCTTTTGTGCGTCGGAAAGATCGGCTATACTCGTTAGCACCATGGTTAGCAATTTTTGTTTCGATTATCAATCCCCACCAATATTCGGACGAGTCATGTCAGTAAGCGGTAAGACAAATAATTTTGAGGGAGTAGTCGAGCGGAGGACTGACGTTGATTGCCAAAAAATCTTTTTTAAAACGCAATATCCCTCATGCTGGGAAAATAGAGGGAAAGTACTACAATAGGTACAGAATACAGTACATATTTAATGCAATGACTGTTGAAGCATAGATGACAAACTTACGAATTACTTTGCCATCGACGAGAGAAGAAAATAACCCCTCTCAAAAGTAGATGGTAGGACCATCCTCACATTCTGAAATTTATTTGGACAGTGCTGGTGTCGACTCCTCGTTGTTTGCTTGGAGGAGGAGAGCTAGAGAGAAGTGTCATGGCTGGGATAAGGAATCAGAAAAGAAGGTCAATCGTTGTAAGTAGTCTGCTTTGATCTTTGCCTTAACCGCTCCCCTCCTTGTGAGATGGATCTTCTGAAATTAGTACTCTACGACCGTATTGAAGGCATCTAGGAGAAGCAGATGAAAGCCAGCAGTATCGAATAGAAGTACCCTTGTGCTGGTTATGCTCGCCACCTTCGCTTTATGTTCTACCGCAGTTTTCATCAAAAATACTAATTTCATCACCACTGTATGCTCTTTCAAAGCTATTGTAGTTTTTTTATCCTATAACGTTGATAGATTCATGAATACTTTTTTATGGTTTATTTACGAGGACACTGCGATTCGTTCACATAGCAAACATACTCAAAGGATGCTCAGCCACTCTGAAATGGGAGATACACGACTTCTCTCGATTTTATGTCCGTGGCACAGCTTTGAAACTACCGGTACAAGAGAGAGCTTAGGCGAACTTCAAGAGAGTAGGAAGGATGGTACTCTCAAAGTCCAACTCAGATCGGTCTGTGCAGTTGATGTGGATACCAACACCGTTCAGGGCGGCCTTGATGGACTCCTTGGAGCCCGAGTAAAGCATCTTGTTTCTGATGGAGGCGGTATCAGGGTTCCAGGTGATGAAAACCAACTTGGAGGTTGGGCGTCCATCTTTCGAATTGAATTCCAAATCTATCAATCCGTAACGGCAATCGTCATCAGGCATGTCTTCGCAGAAGTTTTCGTAAGTGGCACTACGTTCTCCATGCTTCTCGATCATAATAGTCTTCTTGTCAACAATCTTGTAGATGTAGTAACGGTACTTGAATCCTTCGGCTTGGATCTTGAAACCTTCAAAGGTTGTGGCAACATCGTCTGCGCAAACTACACCGGTGGACTGTAAGCGACAACGAAGAATAAAAATTAGTTTCAATTCCAAAAGCAAGCTACAGCCTATACTACATTGTTGCATCTAGGTAAACAATGACATTCTCAATATCCAAAATGGCAAAGACATTGTCGCCGACCATGGGCGCATTTACATTGTCATTTTTTCAGCTAATTTGGAATTCCACATTGACTCAGATGCAACAAAATACGAAATGAGGCCTACAACCTATACAACACATTGTCACCACCCACCATTTTGAATTTGTTATTTGGTTGCTATTCTCGTGTTAGCTTTTATGAGTTTTCAACCAACGTTTTGAATCATTCGAAAAGCCCGACGGACCACTGTGACTTCGAATGATGACTTTGGGGTTCGGGTGCAGGTATGTAGAAGCAGTACTTCAACACGTTCTCGTTCCGTGTTGCGCCTGCCGAGAGGCACGCGAGTTTCACATGGCTGACCGTTAAGGTGCTCAAACAGTCTTGCGTGACTGAAAAGAGCGTTTCGATCACCTCGATCGAAATAATTCGAAAAAGATCCCCTTTCTGATCGAGCTAAATACTGTTATTAGACTACAGAATGTAATATACCGGTACGGTAGCTATATTTTAATACTCCCATCTCCCATCATTATTTGACTTTCAATTCAAGAGTTAGGTTAGAAAGCTACATCATTTCTTCTCTTCTACGTGGAGCACTCTTGATAATATCATCCACACGAAGAATCATCTCAGCCGCCTCCGCAGCACTCGTCAATACCTGCAGCTTACTTCTGTAGGATTCCATAACTCCAAGCTCGTCCATGCTCCCAATGGTACCGTTTGTCATGTTCAATCCATAGTTATTCTTTCCAGCGGCATGCGCAGCACGTAGTTGGGTCACCAACTCAGCGGCGTCGTATCCACCGTTATCAGCCACAATCATTGGCAATTGCAAAAGGGCCTTTGCAAAACTAGCCATGGCAATGGCTTGTTTGCCAGGTGTTTCTTGGGCAGCTTTATCAATGGCATGGGCCATGGCAACTTCTGTACAGCCACCTCCATAGATGCGTCTTGGGTGCTTTAGAGTAGCCATCAAAATACAAAGAGCATCGTGAAGCGAACGCTCCGCCTCGTCTAGGAGATGATTGCTACTTCCTCGCAAGACAATGCTACATGCAGCTCCTGACTTGCAGCCACCAAGTCTCAATATCTTGGATTCACCAATCAAAATCTAGGCACAATAAGAGCGATTGAAGGCATATATAAGTTCGGTAATCTCATCACAATAAACAGAACAAATAAACATGCAAATGACAAAACGTACTTCCTCCAAAAGGTCACATTCTCCAAGAGTGACCTTGTCTGGGTTATCAAATGTACTAACAACTTCTCCTCCTGTGACAGCAGCAAGTCGTTCAATACCATCAAAGTCAGCATGCTCAATGGCCGTGACATTATTTTGTGCAAACAAGGACTCGGGGTAGTTGTAAATCAATTGTCGATTGATGAAAACGTTGCATCCATGGGCCAAGATTTTATCCACTTTCTTCTTCATTTTCAATTTTTCGGCTGTTTCAATCTCTGCAACCTTGTTGAGGGAGTCCACTTGCACACGAGACCCGTATATCTTAATCTTGTCAGTGTCCATGCTGGTATTGGCCAGCAAGATTTTGCAGTTTTCTAATCGCTTGGGTTGTCCAACACCAATGGACTTTTCCAGAAGAAAACCGTCTTCCAAGTAAGAATCTCTCATGGATCCTCCAGGCAATTTGATAATTTGAACGTGATCCAAGTTGCCACTTCCCTTCAACCGTTCCACAGCGGCTACACATAATTCCGCAAAGTGTTTCTTTTCAGCATGCACCAGCTTACTCGACAAAGTAGTGGACGCAATCTTTACCAAATCTTCTCTGGTAATATCATCTGAAGCACAGATTTCCAACGCGGCCTTGGCCTCCTTGGTTGCCAATCTCCAACCAGCACAAATCGTTTGAGGGTGAATCCTTTGTTGCAACAAGAGTTGTTCGGCCTCCCTCAAGAGTTCTCCACACAAGACAGCCACACTGGTCGTTCCGTCTCCCACTTCGTTGTCTTGAACTTTGGACATGTCTACCAAGACTTTGGCTGCCGCATTGTCGAGTGGAATTTTGCTGAGAATGGTGGCTCCATCGTTCGTCACGCTAATGGACTGATCATTGGGATCGACAGATTGCAAAATTTTGTCCATACCCTTGGGTCCGAGTGTGGTCTTGACCAAATCGGCGATTGCCATGGCACCAATCAAGGAAGAAAGGCGAGCGTTTTCACCCTATGGAGTTTAGGAGGGGGGGGAAAGTAAGAGTGAGTGGTGTGTCATTTTTCTGGCTTTCAGTGAATCAATCCGTTTTCACTGTTTGGTGGCAACATACCTTTTCCATCTCGGTTCCCATTGACATATATGCCGACTCCATGATGTATGTTTTATTGTTTTGTAAAATTCAACGACGAGTGTTTGATGGTTGGCTATTGCAATGAATGATACAACAGTCAATGTGACAATAACAGTTTGGTTGAAATGGCGGAGGAAAGGGGAAACCGAATTATTGGCGCCCCCACGTTATTCGACGGCTGCGGACAGCCTCCGAGTTCAGTTCAGTCGTACGGGTCGTCTATCCAGTTTTTCAAAAATGCTCGATTGATGTCTGTTCTACGACTTCACGCTGAATCTGGTAGGTTTGGCTGCAGAAGCACCAGCACGACAAAAATCTTTTTCATTGTACTGTACCTATTCGAAAGACCCGCTTTGGACCACCAATCTATCGGTACAGTATTGAAATGGCGCCACACGCAACACCCACCAAGAATATGAGCAGTAAGACACAAGTTTCCACTCCTTCCAGACCCCGGACGTATTCCAGCGAAAGCCCAAACACACCCCAACGTTCGCGGCTGAACTCTCGGGACATGAGTCAATCTACCCCACAGCGGGCCCGATTGAATTCTCGTGACATTCCAAGATCCTACTCTGGATTGTACGGAGAGGCAGGAGATGATTTGCTGCCTTTTGAACTATCACGCAAAGAACACGTTGATTGGCTGGAGACTGGAGGCATATTGTTATTGTGTTGCTACGTGGGAGGAGTTGCAATTGTGGAAGTTTTGGCTTTGGCAATTTTGGAAACGCTGGAAAACCACACACTTCCGCTTTACTGGAGCTGGACTTTCACCAATGGGGCTCACACCATACTTTCTATTATCTACTTGCATTGGATGAAGGGATCCTTGTTTGATGAACAAGGAGAAATGGCAGCAATGACACTGTGGGAACAACTAGAGGGCCGATTTGGTGCAGCGGCAGCACGAAGAGTTTTGACCGCTATTCCAACATTGCTGTGCTATGCAGCTTGTCAGTTCTCCAATTACGAACGCACTGTCTGTTTGACAAATGTCGCGTTGTGGTTGCTCTGTATCCTTGCAAAGCTGCCATTTATGAACGGGGTTCGGATTCTCGGAATCAACACAACCACTGGCATTGATGATGACTTCAATGGGAAACAAGACTAAGACTCGTGTTTAGTTTGCAACTGATATCACTGGGTTGGTTGGTCCAACTGCTTCATTTTTGGAGAGCAGTTATTTGTATGAAATCCACTGTACTGTACCAACCCAGCCAAGCCCAATTTTGACAATGACCGTATGAAAATATGAAGAAGAAAAAAAGACTATCGCATTGATTGGGTGGGGTTGACCAATCAACGCAACTACACTTAGACAAGAGACTGTACAGTCATATCCAGGTAGTCCAGACTAATGATTTAGCACTATGTTTGGCAAGTATAGCGGTGGAGAAGGAGTCCCAATCTGTGCAGTACTGTACATGTATCTTCTCCGACTTGTGTTTGACTCGTTTGAGTCGGAAATTAGTCGAAAGAAATCTGAAAATCATTTGTGGAGACACAAAAAACATTTTTCCATCATGATCCGAATTTTGAATTTCCTATTGTTGTCAATACTTGTAGTGTCCGCTAGTGCACAATCCTACGATTATCAAGACGGAGGAGGCTATGATGAACAGTATTCACAGGATAGCTTGTATCACGACTACGCCATGAAGCAACAAGAGAAGGATGTCGGTGCAGCGTGAGTGGTGACACGTGGAACTGGGTCAAGGAGATATCCACTGATGTTGGAAAAGATGTGAATGACAAAAGTCACGCAGATCTAACCCCTCGTTTCTTTCATCCTTTTTTTTGGCTCTCGAACATTAACAGACAAGGGGGCTGGGCTAAAGTCGCAGCCGGAACTGCGGCTGGTTGGTTGTTGGGCGGCAAAATCCACTCTTCTCGCAAGGCCAAGAACTTGAATTCCAAGCACAAGGAAGAACAAAAGGCTCTTTACACTCAATACTACAATGATGTTTACACTCTTCAACAACAGAATCAAGAACTGGCTCAAGCTTTGGAGCAAATGGGTGTGAGAGTAAAATAGATAATATATGTTTGTCACTGATGCATGTTATAATGGTGGATGTATCAAACTCTTGAGATATATATATTTGTACAAATGTGCATTCACGGTTTGTCGAAGGCAAAGAGGGCCAATCAAGCTTATAACTCGGGGCCAATGCTTAGAGCACCTTGTCCTTTCAAGTACTTTACGATAGGACTGTTTGGACCGTACTCTCGTTCCGCGATTCGTAGAGGACTTTCGCCATAGCCGCCATGTGTTCGGGCATTGATCTCAGCTCCCTTAGAAACTAGCATTTTCACGACATCTTGGAATCCACCAACCACTGCTTGATGAAGAATTTGATAACCGTTTTCATCACGCTCAACAAGGATTTCACGGTTGCCCTTCTTCAACTTTTCTTCCAGTTCGTCCAACTGCCCCGTTTTGGCAGCTACGTGGGCCTCTGACGGGAGAATCTTTTCGGGTGTTTTCCAGCCTTCGGGGTGGAATGCCAGCCAGTGATCCTCCTCCGGGCTTTCTCCTGCAAAATGACATATTTCAGTTGAGGTCATGCCGAGTGTCCAGGAAGAATTCATTTGATCGATTGTGCACTCACTTTTGATGTATGGGGGTAATCCACCTTCCATTGACGATGATTGGCCACCAAAGCCTTGTTTGGTGTTAGATAAGTATTCTCTATTGGCGTCCTTCCATGCCTTGGGGCTGTCGCTCCAACTGCTTTTCCGTTGATCTTCCTCTTTGACATAAAAGAAGCCACTTTCGTTCTTTCCTATGGTATGCCCCGTTGGTTCAAAATGAATAAAGATCGAGGCGTAGAAATTTCCTTTCAATGGAAAGGGATGACCTGGGCAGACGATGAGTTGTCAGATAACATAATGTCTTTTAGAACGGTTGCTGTCAGCCCTGGCTCTCCTTACCGTGAACTACAGAATGGCTCTCAAAGAGCAGCATCTCTCCTGGTCTTATCGTAACGTTGTGAGCATTTCCTTGATGATCATAAACTTCCTAAGAAACCAATCACGTTAGACTGACTGTATTTGACAACTATGATACATCATGCTGCAATCAAAGGAACCTACCGTTGGCCAGTCTTCCTCCACGTCTTGCGCAACGTTGATGACTGCTGATGCTACCAGTGGTAGCCGATCTACGTGTGGAAGCATGATTGCCCCTTCATGGTATACTCGGATACCATAGAGCGAACAGGGCTGCAGTTCCACCTGAGTCCACTCCTCTAGAACAGCGCTCGCAGCAGCCCAGATGTGTTCCTTAAGTCTGCCACCTGAACCGCGAAGGCCTCTGTCATCAACAGAAACTAAGGTTGTTGGACTGTCCCAATGGTTGACATACGAGTTACCGCTAGCCCAGGCTTCATTCTTGCCTTTATCCTTGTTCTCCTTCCAAAACTGGTCGATCAATTTCTTTAGGTGTGGCGGAGACTGGATCTTTTTAAAGCCGAACTCGGTCAGGTTCACCATCGATTGCGGTTGTCTTCGATTCATGAGTATACGATCATATTCGAATTGATCGCAATTGAACTCCCTTTCATTCGATGGAACGAATTGCTCACGGCATGAATTGATATGGTCCGTGTACATTTGGAGTCTGTTTCCCAAGGGCTGCACAGCCATTGCATCGTACATGGGAGGAGTGTCGAACTTTTCGGGGTATTTATTGTGATCGAGATGTGCATAGTTGGTGGAGACTCGATCTTGTATTGGAAAAGAAACGTCGATTCCGTACGTTTCAAAGTGTGAAGAGTCTTTGGCTATTGTTGGGCCAGCAAGACGAAGGCACAGTAATGCCAATAAGCTAAACTGGATTGTCGTCACCATGATGTTGCTGTAGATTCTGAAGTGAGTCTAATTGATTCTTTTTTTAAATCTGTTCTTTACTAGAGGGTCAAAGTTTTTTATAATGCTTTTCAAGGTCCAAGAATTTTGTGCCAGAAGAGGCGCAATGGATTTCTTTGTGAAGATTGAGCGAAAAAGTGAGAGGAGTTCGGGTTTCGTGAAATCAAAATGTCTTCAATCGACTCCAACGACTCAATGACTTTTTGCATCTTCAATCTTCATCATTCAATTGTCACAACGAAGATGCTCTCCAAAGTTTTCAGTATTCTCCTCCTTGGCATTGTTGTCACAAGAACAACAGCCCAATGTACTACTTGCTTTGATGGAAGCACACCAAATGAAGATCGAGCTGGCTGCCAAGATATAATTGATGTTGTCGCCAATCTAGATGCCGGCTCTTCCGAGTGTCAGGCAAAACAGCTCGAGGCATATCAGAAGGTATGCTGTAACAGTGCTCCAAGCATCTGTACAGTCTGCCCTGATGGTGCAGCTTTCAACGCAGAGACTCTCGTGCCCAACCCAAGAGCAGGACTTTCTGACATTACCTGCGCCGATCTGAATGGAGATCTGAATTTCCTTGATTTCATTTCAACCCCAGGAATTTGTAGTGATACCTTGTTACAGCGAAGCGCTACTTGGTGTGGATGCCCAAACACCAGTCGTCAATGCACCCTTTGTTCAGATGGAAGTACACCTGCTAACTTGGATCGTATTGAAAAGGTGCTTTACAAGTGGGACTGTCGTAAGTCATATTTCGTAGTATGTTTTCGCTTGTTGCTTGAAATGCTAACAATATGATACCCTGGCAGAGTTCTTTGAGTTTGTTTCTTCGTTTTTCTCGTCAGAGGAGTGCCCTAATTTGAGTGCCACCGGCGATATTCTAAGCATTGACGCGGCCGCTTTCTGTGGCTGCCCAAACACATCCCGTCCAACGACGTGCAGTCTTTGTGGAGATGGAGAAATCATCAAAACAGAAACCGATTTAGGCCCTTATACCTGTGGTGAGCTTTCGCTTTCTGTCGGTTACATCAACAACCTTCAAACATGCGTAAAGGAAAAGACTTCGCTTCGTGATGTGAACGGACAAAATTTTGTGGAGATGTGCTGCTTTGACCCGAGCAGTACTGGTTCTGGAGCTAGCGAATCAGCTCGCTATCTTGCTTTTCTGCTTTCTTTCTTGGCTCTGATCTAATAGATCGAGTAGCTAATCGAATTAGGCATCGTGAATAAGTGATAGTTGTTTCTCGGAATCGAGCTTTTATTTCAACGAAATACAAAACTTCATTTGTTCTTCTCTTTATTGTTTAGAAGGAAAGGGAGCACGAGGAAGGGGTTGCTAAGAGCTTGCTTCTACTGTTACTATCAACAGGAGATTTCTGAAGAGTGTACATTTTTAAAAGTGCAATATGCTTTACCAAAGCTATGATGTTTGGTGATGACCCCATTTTTGAAATCCTCTCCCCGAAAGTAGATGTATATCTTTCAGTTCACACTATACTGACGTAAAGTCCCTACCAAAACGATCGCATCTTTTCCTGTTTGAAGTCTTCGCCAAACGATCGTCACAACAACGAAACTTCAACCATGGCCGCCAACACAATTGCAAAGGTCTTTCCTCCCAAGGGCGATCTCGTCTTGGAACAGTACAAGGCAAAGCACAAGGATAGCATTACTGACCCGAATGGTTTCTGGGAAAAGGCAGCTTATGAACACTTGGATTGGTTTGAGCCTTTTGAGGAGGTCTTGGAAGGAAGCTTTGAACATGGCGACGTCCGTTGGTTTTCTGGCGGTCAACTGAACCTTTCCTACAATGCTTTGGATCGTCAAGTCAGAAGTGAGAAGGCCAACGAAATTGCTCTGGTTTGGGAGGGAGATGAGCCAGATGACATTCGAAAGCTCAGTTATGCCGATTTGCTTCGAAAGGTCTGTCAGATCTCTAATGCCTTGACTGCAACTGGGGTCAAGAAGGGCGATGTCGTCACAATCTACATGCCTATGATTCCTGAGCTTGCCATGACGATGTTGGCGTGCTGTCGTATTGGAGCCATCCATTCTGTCGTCTTCGCTGGTTTCTCTGCAGAAGCTCTCGGACAGCGTATCAGTGCTGCTAAATCAAAATTCCTGATCACGGCTGACATCGGAAAACGGGGAGGAAAAAGTATTCCTCTAAAGAAAATTGTCAACGATGCTCTTACAAAGGGGGACTGTGATGAAGTTTGCCAGCATGTCTTTGTTTGGGAAAGATTCCACAAGGGATCGGAATCTGAACCAACCTTTGAAATGGGACCCAAGGATATCAGAATGGATCCTCTCGTGGCGGTCCAACGTCCCTATTGCCCACCTGCCCGTATGGATGCAGAAGACAGTCTTTTCATTTTGTATACTTCTGGATCTACCGGAATGCCAAAGGTATGTCTTCTGAATCATTGAAATATTCTTTGTCGTCGAAATCGTCTTGCTGAAAGGTTCAATCACTCGCCATGAACAGGGACTTTTGCACAGTACCGGTGGGTATGCATTGTATGCCAAGATGACGACACAAATTACTTTCGACTTGCATCCCGGAGATTTGTTTGCCTGTGTCGCAGATTGTGGATGGATTACAGGACATACATACGTCGTGTACGGGCCTTTGCTGAACGGAAGCACTACGTTTATGTTCGAATCAACACCAGTGTACCCCGATGAAGGACGGTACTGGGATATGGTCCAACGCCACAAGATCACGCAATTCTACACTGCACCAACTGCTATTCGTTTGTTGATGCGATATGGAGATTTAGCTCCCCAAAAGTACGACTTGAGCAGCTTGAAGGTACTTGGTACCGTCGGAGAACCAATCAATCCCGAAGCTTGGCGCTGGTATTACGAAGTTGTTGGAAAGTCACAGTGCTCAATCGTTGATACCTATTGGCAAACTGAAACTGGAGGACATGTTATCACAAACCTTCCCGGGGTCACACCAATGAAGCCCGGTTCTTGCACTCTTCCATTCTACGGAATCGATACCGTCGTCCTTGACCCTCACACTGGAAAGGAGCTTACTGAACCAGACGATAGTGGAAATTTTGAGGGTGTCATGGCAATCAAGCAGCCTTGGCCAGGAATGGCCAGAACTTGCCTAGGCGACCACGAACGCTATATGACAGTCTACCTCAAACCATATCCAGGCTACTATTTCACTGGAGATACTGTTTCCCGTGATAGCGAAGGATACCATTTCATTATTGGAAGAATGGATGATGTCATAAATGTGTCTGGTCACAGGATTGGTACTGCCGAGGTTGAAAGTGCTTTGGTTGCTCACCCAGCCGTGGCCCAGGCAGCTGTGGTAGGACAACCGCACGACATTAAGGGACAAGCTATCTGTGCTTTCTGCATGTTGACTGTTGGATATGAAGAATCGCCAGAACTAGTCAAGGAGCTGAGAATGAGTGTTAGAACTGAGATTGGAGCATTCTGCACCCCTGACCTCATTGTTGTCACTCCAAGTTTGCCAATGACTAGATCCGGAAAGATTATGCGTCGCATTCTGCGAAAGATTGTTTGTGGCGAGACTGATAGTCTAGGAGATACAAGCACATTGGCCGATCCGTCTATTGTGCAGACTTTGATAGATAAGGTCACCAGCCTCAAGAAATAGATGTACAGTATGTACGGCGTCCGGTTGTAATACTAAAGAAGTCCAAAGTTCAAAACCATCAAAATGAAAAAAGAGAAGAGAACACATCACCTCTTGTTTTTTCGTGGATATCATACAATACGTCTTACTGATGATTAGACGCACCACTGTTACCATTATATCCATCATGATGTTTTCTATGGCCTCAAGATGCCGTGCTTTCAGTAGCTCGTTCAGAAGACACCAAAGTATATTTCAGTCTTCCACTCACCTTTTGCAAATGTCATCGAACTCAGATCAGAGCGCCGCGTCGAAATCTCGAGCGCCATTTCGAATGCCAAGAGACAGCCCTGATGATTCAAAAGTTGCAGCAAAAGATGTGAATGGTCTCGCTTGGAATCCTTTGGGTCTATTCACAGAACTTGTGGACTGTTTGGAGAATAGTCTGTCACTCATGTCACCTACACCTGTGCAATCGCTCGTCATTCCAGAGTTGCTAAAGGAGGAAAGAGAATCGTTGGCTTTTCTAAGTGCAACTGGTAGTGGAAAAACGTTAGCATATTTGCTACCGTTGTTACAACAGCTGAAGCAGCAAGAAATGTTTGAGGATTTCGAACGCCGTCCTCGCAGACCTCGTCTACTGGTGCTAGTCCCCACTCGCGAGTTAGCGTTGCAAATCACAAGCGTTCTGAAATCACTGTCCCATTCCATCAAGATGAGTTCTCTAGCTTTGGTCGGTGGCCAAGACAAAGGAAATCAAAGAAAGGCACTTGCCAACCGTCCCGTAGATGTCGTCGTTGCCACTCCGGGTAGACTTTTGCAACATTGGAAGGACGAATCTGTGTTCTTGGGAGGGGTTCAGTCAATTGTTCTAGATGAAATGGACACCATGTTGGAGCAAGGATTTCAAAGAGAGCTTAGAGAGATTCTTTATCCGCTACTTTACAACAAAAAGCTTGAGAAAGATAGTACAGCCCCACTCGAACCAAAGAAGAGCCCACCTCAAATTGTTATGACATCTGCTACAATGACACAGTCGATTCAAAAGCTCATTGGAGACAATCCTAAAACGAGCAAACTGTCAGTTACAGCCAAGCGATTACATGGAGGAGGAGAGACATCACAGGACCCCAAACTACAATTTCCACCCATGAAAATCATTTCTGCACCAGGTCTGCACAAGGCAATTCCACGTCTGGACCAAATCTTTGTCGATGTTGGTAATACAGATAAGATTAGTCTGTTGGTGGATGCGGTTGCCTCCCAACGTTCCAAAGCGACAATTATCTTCTGCAATACTGCTTCGTCCGTGCAAGCTGTCCAATATGCCCTTACAGAATCAAGATTGGAGACACTATCGTATCACGGAGAGTTGAACAGTATCGCCCGCTCGGAGAACCTGCAACGCTTCCGCCAGGGAGCATCTGGAAAACCGACGAAAGATGGCAGCGTAGAGCCCAGTATCTTGGTTTGTACAGACTTAGCTGCGAGGGGAATCGATATACCTGAGGTGGACCATGTTGTCATGTTTGACTTTCCTCTTAACGCAATGGACTACTTGCACCGCAGTGGACGAACAGCTCGCGGTGAAGGACGTGGCAAGGTTACGGCTCTCGTCGCCAAGCGCGACAAGGTTCTAGCCATGGCCATTGAGCAAGCAGTTCGACGCGGAGATGCACTTGATGGTCTTTCGTCGCGAAAGTCTGATTACGTTCCTGGCGCTAGGTTTGGTACAAAGAAGAAAACGCCACAAAAAGGAAAACACAGAGGAGCTCCCTCTAAATCAAGCAGAGCCCCCTCTAAATCAAGCGGTAGAAGACGATAGAGACCCGAATCATCCTTGTCTTCTTACTCATGGCTACAACGCATTGATTGATAGAAACAAAAATTTCTCTCGCAAATATTTACACGTACGGTACAACTAATTTTTAAAATAAGAAACATGGTGTGAAAATTATCATATCCAGTAGGCGTACCAACAAGCAATGATCTCTCGTCCTCTTCCGCTTGCCATCCAGAAAAGGAGTCATGTTGAAATCATTATCTTGCTGGCCGCATCGGATTTCAGATGACGTCCACCAGGAAATCAAAAATATCTGTCTTTTGAATGGCCTCACGAATGTCCTCCTTTTGGAGAGTTCTTCGCTTGTGAAGTTGGGAGTAGTTCCAACTTCGAATGCTCAAATCCAGAATAAAGAGTTCGCACGCCTTGGCAAACAAGACAGGAGCTTCAGCAGAAATCATGCGGACGTCTTCGTCAGATTTCATGATTCTCTTGATACGAGCGAGGGGAAGATCATTATGTGTCTTAAAGTCTTGTTCCGTCTGTTGCTTGTAAGTCTGGACCACCTTCAACTGCTCCTTCCAGAATGAATTCAGGCTAGAGTTGAGCTGCGCCAAGAATTGTGGACTAGAGGAGGATGGTGCGGGTGCTTGTGGCACAATGCTAGTTGAACCATCCATGGCCATTGTCGTTGATGACGAGACCATGACTGGATTTGGAATGCTTTTTGACGAATCCATTGCGGATCCACCGATAGCCCGAGCTCTCGAGTCAGACATTGGAGCTGAAGGCGGAGGCTTGGCAGCAGGGGCTGGAGCTGGTGATGATGAAACTTCGTCTCCCTTGAAAATACCGGCAGCGATTTGCGCTTGAGTGTGAGCATGCACCAATGCTTGGGCTTGCAGCTGAATCTGTGTTTGAATTTGCTGGGGGGTCCCTTGTGACTTGCGGGCATTGACTATTGCCTGCGCCTGAATCTGGGATAATGCAGCCACCTGAGCCGAGTTCATTGGTACAAGACCATCACCTCTAGACTTTGCAGCGGCAACGACTGCCTGCGCCTGTGCGGCTGCTTGGACCATGGCTTGGGCTTGTGCCTAGATTCATATAAAACATAGATTTGAGAATGACTCAGAATAAAGAAATCACGATTGAGAATCCCAACACTCCGGATCTAGGATCTACTCACTTGAATCTGCTCTGGGGTAATGTTAGCTTGTTGACCACGAGCAGCAGCAGCTTGGAGCTGCGCTTGGAGTTGGGCCTGAAGCTGTTGTTGGATCTGCTGCTGAAGCTGCGATTGCTGAGGGTTCGCTGTGTTGGGCTTCTTGGCAACAGGGGCAGTGGCTGAGCCATCAGCGCTTCGCTTCACAGTCGATGCTGCTGGCTTGGCATCTGGCTTGGCAGTATTGGAGGGTGGTGCCATGATCAATGTGTTGAAGAGGGGTAGAAAAACTAGGATGGAGATACGAAAGATACTATTGGAAGTCTGAACGACAACCCTTCTCCGTTCGATTGTTTGAGCTGCTGCCAAATGTAACCTGTTGATGCCGCTTCGAAATTCTTGTTCTGACGAGCGATGGACGGACAATATTGCTGACATAGGAAATAAACTATTTCTGTACTTGTACCGATCATTACCACCTACTAAAACTTTCGGGCGGATTTTTTACATACGAAAATCAACCAACCTTGGTCATCCCATCCTTTGTTCTTGTAAGTTGGACCTATCTCCATTACACCTTCGAAGCAAGCAATCACTAATATCGCACCCATTGCCGTAGTCACGCAGCTAAAATATGGTTAAGCACAACAACGTCATCCCCAATCTTCACTTCCACAAGAAGTATTGCGCTTCTTCCCGTGGACCACTCAAGGTCAGGCTTACCTTGAACCAAGCTGGAAAGAAGAAGTCTAGACGTTTGGCGCGTGCCAAGAAGGCTGCTGCCATCGCCCCTGCCCCTCTTCAAAAGTTGCGCCCCATTGTTCACTGCCAAACCCAGAAATACTCTGCAAAGACTCGTCTTGGAAAGGGATTCACTTTGGAGGAATTGAAGACTGCTGGACTATCTGCCAAATACGCTCGATCAGTGGGAATTGCTGTTGACTTCCGCAGAACCAACAAATCCAACGAATCTCTTGAATTGAATGTTGCCCGATTGAATGCCTACAAGGCCAATTTGGTCATCTTGAAGAAGGGAGACGATGCTTCCGCCATGACACAACTCAAGGGAATCATCCAACCAATTGTGAAGCCCGAGGCAGAAATTGAGATGGCTGATGTCACAGCTGAAATGAAGGAATTCAAGGCCTTCACCACACTCCGTGTTGCGCGAAAGGAAACCAAGGTTGCAGGATTCAGACAATCAGTCCTCGACAGAAAGGAAAAGAAGTAAATACTAATACAAAACGAGCATGATATTGTTGTCATCCATGTGTACTGTGTTGTATTAGAAGAGCAATTAAGATGAGAGGGGTTGAGTGCAAGATGACAATACTTTCGTTTTTCTGGAAAACAACCATTTCCTTTTCTATATTTTTCACTCAAAACGATGACTTCTCGAAATTAAATGAAAGTGGATTACCTATTTTATACTGTAGTTAGTCAACTAGAACAGGATTGACATTGGCGATTGGAGAGACCAATCCTAGATACACGACATCAAATACCCCCAAAAGTCTCTTATTGAATAGTTTGAGGCTTTTTCTTGGCCGACGTCACAGCAGCCACCCATTGCCATGCATCTTTAGGTTGCCCCTCCACAATTCTTGTAGTCTTTCGGATGCGATTATCCGCCTTGAGATCAGGAACCACACGGGGCCAAACATCTTTTTTCAAGTAGTTTCGTTTCTTCTTGGGGTATCTTTCCATGACAATGTGGTCACGTACATGCAGGGCAATATGAGACATATCTGGTGAATCCTGCAGGTAGTCATAGGCAAACTGACGGATTTTGCTCACGTCATCGGCCAACTGCTTACGATATGACCGACGCCGAAGAAACATCTGCAGGATGAAGACAACAAGAATCACAATAGAGCTTGGTCCTGGATATTCCATGAAAAGCTCAAACGCCGTCGCGAAGAAAAAATGAAATGCACTAACCATCAAGCCACCAACAGTACCTAAGAAGGAAGTAACGGCACTTGCTGCTAAACAGTGCATCGGTTTCTTGAGATTGTAGTCTGATTTAAGCCCAATATGCAGAACGCCGTTGTTTCGTTGCACGTTGAACTCGTTTTCCACGATACTGACTTCCAGTGGATCATTGGCAATGACCAACGGGTTGGCTAGCTGGATATCCTTGTACGGGAACATGGAATATTCATCTGCCGAAATGTGGCAACCACCTTGCAGTGTCTTTTCTTCCAAGACCACTTGTATAGCAGCAACCTTTTCCTTGCTAAGTGATGTCAAGACACAGCTGTCTTTATTTTCAGAGACTTCATAGTGCTTGCTGATGCACTGGACAAGCTTTCCGAACTTGCATGTACCGCCATCTGGGCACGCCAAACCCCCATTGTCTGCACATGAGTTGATAACGCCGGTTTCTTGATCTACCATCACATTGTCTTTGAAACAGGGTGCTTCCTCAACAAATGCAGTCGAAGCTCCTCCAATTTCCGTGATTGTGTCATCCTGCATTACAACATAGCTGACAATTGCAACGAGAAAAACCCAGAACAGAGTGCTCTTCGAGAAGAATGGTTTGCTTGTCACTTCAAGATACTCTTCGTCAATCACAATAGGGTTTTCATCATGGACCAACTCTTCGACTTCATCTCCATCCACCTCTGGTGGGTTTTCGAAGGCGGCCGGTGGTGGTTGAGTATGGAGTGTAGGTTTGTTCTCCTGTATAGCGGCCATGTTAGCCAATACTTGATGACTGATTTGTGCTTGCAAAGAAGCCATTGGTGGAGGTGGAATTTCATCGTCATCCTCCTCCTCCTCCACATCTTCTGGAGATGGTGGTGCCGCAGCGGCAACAATGGGGTTTGAGCGATGCGAGTAGCTGGGGGGTGATTTTCTGTTGGAATAGGTGGGTTGACTTTGTGCTTGGGGCTTGACTGAGGCCGCTGGTTTGACATCGTCCATCTCCTCGTCGCTAGCAACTGTTTGACGGGTTTGGTTGGTGCGGGGCGGTGACCTTTTTGGCGATTGCTTCACAGGAGACTTTCGGGTAGCTGTCTTGGCTGGCTTTGGTTCTTCAGGAATTGGTTTCCCTTCCTTCTTGGCTTTGCGGGCCTCCACCTTTTGCTTGTCAGCCTTCATGGACTCTTTGGCACGGGCAATTGCAGCTTCTCGTTTCTCACGCTTGGTTAGCTTTCGAGGGGTTTCATCCGCCTCCTCCTCTGAATCCATTTCGGACGCTTTTCTCTTTCCACGAGGCATTTTCATTTATTACCGAGATCGCTAGATTGCAATAGTCAAGAGTTCAGTGAGACGTGACGAGATGCTGTTTCTTCTTGTGCAATCTTCGAAATCTGAATTGTGATGGCTGTTTATGGAACCTTGGTTTGAATTTACCTGTACGTAGACGCGTAGAAATGTACACGCGGAAGCGAGGATGATGTCATTCGACCAACAAAATTGAAACCATTGAACTAAAGTAAAACTTGGGAGAGAAACAACATCAACCAATTGATATTGAAAAAAAAACTTATACTCTGCGATTTACAACAAAAGCGTATTATAATAACTTCTCCTTTTATTTTTTATAGTATTATATTAACTTCAGTGTTGTATGAAAGTACAGATGTGGTTTGGATTGGTGCGATGACAGTATAGTGGTGCTCAATCCAAAAGAGACGCGAGGGAACTTTCCTACCATAAAACTAAACCATAAAGAGCCCCCGACCATTTAAGAAATGGAAACACCTTATTCGGCATCTTCGTCCTCGTCTTGTTGCTTGGTGACAGAGGCGGCATACTGGTCACTGACCTTACACTGGACACCGACAAAGTTAGTGATGTTACCAGAGGCATCGCGAAGGGCAGCAATGAAGAACTGGTTCCAGAAGGTAGTTCCATCAACACGGTAGTTAAGAAGACAGACAGACAAGTCATTTCCTTGTTCAATGGCAGAGCGGATACGTTCAACGGCCTTGGGGTCAGTCTCAGGACCTTGCAAGAAACGGCAGTTACGTCCCAAAATCTGGTCCAGCGAGTATCCAGTAAGATTGAGGAAACCTTGGGAAGCGTAGACAATTGGGTTGTCTGGGAGAGAAGGATCAGTAACTACAAAGTTCTGTTGGGCAGTTTGAAGGGCCTTGATGAAGGAGAAATCGGGATCGTCGAGAACCTTGTTGGCAGCACCTTGGGAACTTGCAATCAAGGCGGCATCAGGAGCTTCACCTCCAGCAGAGCTGTTTAGCAATTGGTCAGCCTTGTCGTTACCCAAGTGCTCGCGAATGGAATCGCGGAGCTTCTCGTTCTCTTCCTTCAAAAGAGCAACAGATTGTTGAAGAGATTCCAACAAAAACTTTTTGCGGATACGAGATCTCTTGGCGTGTTCACGATTACGCTCACTGTCGAGATTAGAGTAGAGGAACAGATCAAAATGAAGAAAAAGTCATGTCAGTCATCCAGAATATCTGGCCAACTCAAATAATTTGGGACTCCAATACTCACCGTCGTTCCACCTTTTGTTGCTCGCTCATCTTGCGGTCTCCAGAACGAGACTTCTTCTTCGCAACGTATTGGACGTGGTGGCTGGCCTGAGGCGCCTTTTGATATGGCACACTAGTGGTTTGTTGGACACCGTCGCCAACAGACCCCATTGTAAGAGAAGGCTTTTCACGTTGGGTCAACTGAGTGGTGTAAAGACCACCTCCTCTGTTGACAGGTACGAACTTGTCACCTTGAGCCCTGGAGGCCATCGTGGTGACAGTCTTCTCACCAGAGGCAAGAGCTTCTTGGTCTTCGCTGAGGAAGACTGTGTCACCATCAGGAGTGAACATGACATCACCAAAAATGTCGTCAAGATTCAAAGTCGAGGGGTTCCCGCGTTGTGCCACAGCGGCTTGTGCGCCCTGAGAGAGGTCTCCAGGAGCAGAAAACATTGGTGGAGGTGGATCGGCCATGGTGATAAAGAGTTGTTGAGTGAGTGGTGGTTGGCACGGGATCGGCAGAATGGGAAAAGGATCTGCAGATGACTCCTCTGGGTTGACACATGTTCTCTTGCTTGCTCCTGTGCCGGTACGTTTCCGTACGTGGGAGATGGCGTTCCATAGGCCCAAAACGAATTAAGGATTCGTCATTTTGCGTGAGATGACTCGCAGAAATGACTCTTCTGTACATAACAACCTCTTTCATATAAATGTCATCCCGGACTGTCCTTATCAGAAAAGAATGAGATGTTAAATGAATTTTACTGAGGGAGGAATGAGAAAGAATGCAAATCTGTACCACTTCCACAGAGACTGAAGGATTGCTTCAAGTTGCAAAGTGAAAGGTTGAAATTTCATGGAAATCTTTCACTCTCAAGGATTTTCATTACACTGTAAAGTATGTGACACTAGCCTCTTTGGAGTGACAGACATTTTCTAAAGCAGAGCCCGAAATTTTACATGGTATATAATGTCTATTATTTAGTACCAAAGCTAGTGTGGTTTCCTGGTTTAGTAGTCTTTTTCTGTCGTGTTTGCATTGTCATCGTCAGGATCACCGTCGATGACTGTGTCAAGAGCCTAAAACTTCCAACAAATGGACCAGAAAACTGTTTTTCTTTGATTTGCTTCCTAGTTGGGTTTGTTGGCTCGTATACTAGTCGTCGCTAGCATCAAAACATGATTTGGCCTCTGAACAAACATCCTTGATGCACTCGGAAAACGCCGTGGCTTCACCCGCTTCCTTGAATTTCAAAGTATAGGTCGAAGATTCACCTGAGCCAGGGGTGGTCAGCCGCAACTGTTTCTCAGAAAGCTTTGTGCAAGCTGCCTCTTTCCACAAGGGAGCATTAAGAATAACTTTGTGGGCCGGACCATTTTTGCTCGACTCTTGTCGTTGTACCATGCGGAACCTGTCCCCATTTTCCGTGGATCGCAATATCTTGAGTGGTCCCGTGCCGACTTCTTGCCAACGATGCTGAGGTCCTTTCGTTTCGTCGCCTTCTTTCTCATCAGTCGACTTGGATGACTCTTGATTCTTATTTTCAAAGTTGGACGATGGTTTGACGGATGGATTTGCGCTTTCTTTGCGCTCTTCGGTGGCTTCATTGGCTTCGATTTGTGCTACCATTTTGAATGACTTGCATCGAGCTTCGTGCATTTTGACTTCATCTTCTTCGCCGGTGGTGAGCTTGACATTGTCGGGCAATGTCACTGCGGCAGATGTTGCCGGTGATGATTCGCTATCCTTGGTAGTGGATGTCTTGGCAAAGCCAAACGAGAATCCGGTAGATCCTGTCGGCTTTCCAAACAAAGAAGTAGTAGGCTTTGATGTATCATCATCCGAACTAGAGGAAGCTTTTGCCTTTGCTCCAAAGCCACCGCCGCTGCTGGATGCACTACCAAAACCAGATTTGCTGCCAAAGGCGGTTCCAAAAGCACCTCCTGCCGAGCTGCCACTGGTACTGGAACCAAATCCTCCAAAGCCCGAAAAGGCAGAGCCACCTCCAAAGACCTTTGTACCAGAATCGCCTGCTTTTGCATCGGAACTAGTCAGTTTGGTAGCTGCAAAGGGGTTGCTACTGTTGGGTTTCGATTCACCATTGGTACCAGGCCGTTTGACTTTGAGAATCTTGCGTTTCGACAATACCTCCTCGGAAGCCTTTTTAAAAGGTTGACTGAGCTTGGCGTCGCCATCATCTGAGTCGTCGTCATCCTCTCCATCGTCCTTGGTAATTTGACGATCAGCCGTGCGCTTCTTCTTGGTCGCATCATCCTCGCCGTCGTGCTTTGCCTGGGCGGCGGGATCTTCCTTTTTCTCTTCTATTCTCTTTTCTTCCTCTGTTTCGCCCATTTTACTCTTGTTTTTTTCTATTCAATCCTATACAGTGGTGTTGTGTGTATTTATACTGTTTCTTGTGTAGAGACGAGAGGAGTTATCCTGCAATTGTTGCTGCGATATGACCGATGCGGTTACTGTTGTCATCAAGTGAAAATGTTGAGACCATGCAAGACGGTACTTGTTTAGTGGCATTTCGAAAAATGAATGATGAAGATGTAAATAGTGTAACCCTATAGTGCAACCGTGTAGTGCAGCCGAAACAGTATTATTCATTTTAAAATTATTATCGTGTTCTTTTTATCCCTATCGATAGACCCTCTAGACAATTTCATCAGACTTTTCAAGTAGTCCTTGGTAATCTGCCGGTAGAACATAACTTTTCTCCGATGGATTCATTCGTTCATTAAAATTGCCAACAACACCCTTGAACCAGGGATTCTTGTAGTGTTTCTTGCCATTGGCCTTTTTCGGGAAAAAATAATGGTACTTTTTGAGGTTGATGTGCTCATTCGTGGAAAGGTTGACCATGGACAGCTGTGTGTGGTACAAGAACATTCCACCGACTGGAAGTAGACACAAGCAAACTTCCACTCCCATCAAGAACAATCCCCAGGGCATGGATTCAGTCTTTGTGTATCGCTTCAAGTAAATGTAAAGAGTGATTGCATGACTGAACAGTGCACTGGTCATGAAGCAAAGGAAGATGTAAAAGTATTTGTAGTTGTAGAGTCCAATAGTATTGTCAACAAATGGGCAGAAATGGTCGAACAGAAGGACGCATTTGCCAGACACTCGATCGTGCTTGGATCTGGGAGGGCGGACAATTTGACACGTATGGCATAATTGCTATTGTGTTGAAAGATTGGAAAATTGTTGGTGAGTTGTAATTTGAGCCAAAACAAGCCAAAACAAGCAACATCAATCAATACTTACCAAATCATTGTTTTGGACAAAAGTTTCGTCGGCAAAGGACTCCAAAGTTTGGGCATACATCTGAGTCCACTTTTCCACAGTCGGCAAAGAAGTATCCACATACCCCGGCTTGGTGGTAACTGCCTTATAGAAAAAGTACCAAGATCCAAAGGTGACAAAAAAGTTCCACATGAGCCATCCACTCAAATCCCACATGATGCCCTTTCCTGGATTATGAAATGGAGCAAAGATGGTGGAGAACATGAAAATGTGAACCACATAGTTGAAAATCATGAAATAATATGGAAACTTGGAAGGTCTGATCGATTCGTCCATGCCAGCTGTGAAGCCCATCCAGTACTTCCAAGTCTTGAGAGAAGTGCATTCCTTGAGGTTGGACAGCAAAGTTTGCTTCAAGAAGTAGGCTCGTGGATCTTCCAATTCTGTCATGGCTTCTCTCAGGACAGCTTCGACCGTCGGACGCTTCTTGTGAATGGCCAAATCCAGTGGAGTTCGTTCATTCTTGTCTTTTTGGAACAAGATGTCCTTCTTTTCAAGGTTTTCCAGAATGTAGTGGACGACCGTCGTGTGACCTCTCAAGGCGGCCAAGTGAATGGGAGTTTGACCGTAGGCATCCTGGGTGGTCCAGTCCAATTTTTGGTAATAAGACAAAAGTCCGCAGACTTGAATGCTTCCCTTGTAAGCCGCCCAGTGCAACGCCGAGTCGCGACTGGTGTCGACCGCCTTGATGTTGGCCCCATTTTGGAGTAGATAGGCCACCACTTCCACTTGGCCGTATTGAGCGGCAATCAAGAGTGGAGTACACCCAGAACTGTCCTTGGCTTCTACATCGGCTCCGCTTTTCAATAAAAGCGCGACATGGGGAATGCTGCCTTCGGTGCAGGCCCAGTGGAGTGGGCGCATGCCAACATTGTCAGAACTGGCGGCATTGAGGACGTCAGTGGCTTTAAGTTCTACGGCCATTTCCACAAGTTTGCGAATGAATCGAGAATCATCCACACGCTTGGAAGCCCAGTGGAGCAAGGTGTGACCTCCGTCGTCGGTTGCTCGTAGAACTTGCAATATCTCGTCTGAACCTCTCTCATTTTTAATCTTTTCTAAAAGCGGTTGGACAGCTTCAAAGCGGCCAAAACGGAGTAGAGTAGAAAGAGACTTCATGATTTCTTCGATGGAAGCTCCGACGATATCGTCGAGGGAAGGAGACATGTCTCCCATTTCGGCAGGAGGAGGCCCCGGGTGATCTGCACAATGCTGACAATCACTGCCATGCTTGTGTCCACCATGGTTGTTTACCAGAGTTCCTCCGGTAAGTGTGATTTCTTCCATTTTGAATGATCGATTAGGTGAAAGGTGTGATAGTAGAGTGTGATGGTGATGTAGCGATGAAAAAGGAAAAGCTCACGACGGAAACGGTTTTGTGTTGTGATGCCTTCTGGTCCTTTGGATGTCGTCAGAGGAAAAAGACCCTAGATTCCACAACCAATGTCTCTCCTTAACTAAGGATTTCTGCATGACGCAAGCAGTATGTGATGTTCTTCATCCCGCCGGTTTTTCGTGTGTGGCACATTATTTCCCGCCACCAAAGAATTGACTTTTCGGTTGATGTGCAGAATTCGAGCAATTTCCAATTGGGGGATTTGTACCTAACTTTCACCACCTAGAGTAGGTTCGTACCGGTGCATCAACACAACAACCAAAGCAACCAAACAAGGCAGTACGATACGGTACCGATGATCCAACGAGCAGCCAAATTGCTTAGCGGGGGAACCGTCACCGCTATGGCTGCATATTTGGCCTATGATTATCAAACATGTCATCCTTTTCGGAAAATGCATGGATACGATGTGGCAGGAGCCTGGATTCGGTTTCACAACACCTTTCGACCAAGCATAACCTACCCATCGATGACTTTACAGGACTTGAACAAGTACAATGGCCATAATGGAAGACCCACCTACTTTTCCTCCGATGGCAGGATATGGGACGTCTCGGATTCCGAAACTTTTCACAGTAGCTATGGTTTCTTTGAAGGGAAAGATGCCACTTTTTGTTTGGCCAAAATGAGCATGGAGAAGAGTGAAATCAATCAGACCAATTGGGACGCATTGGCAGACAAAGAATGGGAGTCTCTGTACTCGTGGACCAAGTATTTTTCGGAAAAGTACATGATAAGGGGTCGATTGAAGGAATACGCGCCTAAACGATGACGCTGTATATGACATCTAATGACAGCACTAGTTGGGCGTTTGGTTCCAGTGTCACAGACAAAAAGTTATAGGTACAATAGTTATATTAATATCAACATTCCATAGTAGGACCTATCATCCCAACCCATGCCATCATTCTTTTAAAACAAATTGGACAACGCCAAGATATTTCGTTCACTCCCTTCTATTCGACCATCTGCAGCGTTCAACACCGAGATGACCTCTTGACCATCTTGCATTGTAATTTCCAAAACTTCTGGAGTCCCACCGACTACCCCTCGAGACATTCCCACATCGACTCGCCAGGCTTTGCCCTGCAAGGCACAATTGATTTCCCGTTGGACGGTATGTCCCATAACCATTCGGTCGCAGTCCAATGCTTTCAAGACGCTATCAATCATGGATTGGGCCTTCGGATTGGCGGGTGGCTGATCGCCTGGGGAAGAATAAGCTCGCATCCAGATAGGAGAGGTGGACCCAATACCGCCGTCCAGGAATTTTGGGGCAGTGTCAATGTAGGCAGCTTGCCGAGCTTCAGCTTCGACCCAAGCTTGCAACACACTGTCGTATTCGCCGTGATTGTTGAATACGACACCACTAGAACCAGTGATCCATTGTCTGGCTTTTCGGTTCATGGATTCGATGCCTCCGAAGTCATCGAGATGATCCTTGGTCAAGCCGGCATGAACACAGACTGTCCTGCCTACCTTCACAGCAACCTTCATATTCGCCAACAGTGGTCTGGAAAGTAGCCCATTTGGTTCAAAGGCAGCCCACCGGGCAGGTTGATTTCCAACGTACTGCTTTCTCCATTCCTTCGTATCCATGGCCCCATCCACTGCTGGAGCCACTTCTTGTTCGTACTCCTCGTCGGACGTGGCATAGGAGAACTGTCCAAAGGCATTCAGTGCTTCGTGATTGCCATACAAGCATATCACTCTTCCTCCCTCTTTTTCTGCTTCTTGTGATAACTTTGCGAGCAAGGAATAACAGGCGAGTTCTTCCGAACCTCTGTCCAAAACATCTCCACATTGGACAAGAATGGTATTCCCTCCCACCCATGTATTGCTCTCACAGAGTCCTGCTATTTTCAAGCTGGATTGCAGGGCTTTTGAGTCCCCATGAATATCCCCAATACAGACAAGCCTTTGCCCTTCTTTTAGTTCGATACAGTCCTCTTCTGTCGGCAGTAAATGATATTCTGGGAAGTCTACGCTCGACGAGAGAGGTTCATGGTCATCGTTTCGTCCTCCGAGAATCGAGTAGTGCAGCGGGCGCAAACCTGACAATTCATTCCTTATGGAAGCAAAATGGTGTATCCTCTCCTGGCTGACCAAGGCATGGATGTGGGCCACTTGCAGTAGGCATCCAAGTGGCAGTAAGGTCCCTAATTTCCAAGGGTTCATCGTTGGAATAAAGGTGTCGCTGATTTTTGCGATGAAAGAATTTTGCCATATGGCAGAAAGTTCGCGGGCGGGGAGGGTGTGGTGCTCTTTTATGGGGAGAACAAAACGGTATCCCCCAAGTAACTAACGAAGATCTAAAGGCGTGAAGAAGTTGAAGACAAGGCGACTTCGGAACCCAAGCGTGAAGGCCATGAAATATTAAAACGAGAGCGAGGAACCAAGAAAAGAACAAGATTCTAATACCAGACCTAGCATTTGTTTCTAATATACCCACCATGTTCAATAATATTATCCATCTGAAATTTCGTCCAGATCTGAATGCGATTCAATGTTGTTGCGTCCGAGAGACTGGTCCAACCATTCCCCTGCAACAATCACCATTCATTCTTGTCATAGTGCAAATGATCTACTCTTTTCTTTGACTAGTGAGATGCTGGGGCTTACCCCCTTTACTCTTGAATTCCGTGACTATGGAATGCAAGGGCTCCTTCCTCCATCCTTTAGGGTAAAGGACTCGACGCAACACTGGCATCACCGGCCCCTGGCGATGTGCTGTTTGCGTCTTTTTCACGAGCGGAGGAAAGGGAGGTTACCGACTTTTCGCTCCTCAAGTTCGGCACTGATACACTTGACGCTTGTTTTCCGTCTGTTGCCGTCGCCGACTTTATGCTGTCGCCATCCTGAGCGCTGGGTAGTCGCTTGGATATGGCATTTATAAGTTGCGCAGTATGGGTGTCATTGACTGCAATACCAGAAGTTCCAGAAAGAATTCCAAAGGTGATGAGCTCCATCTCGAGCACTCCATAGTATTTGTCGATAGTCTTCGGAAAGCTCAAGTTACACCATGCAATGAACATGACATGTGTGGAGAATGGGATCCACCAAAGCAACGGAGCCAGCCATGTCAAGAGGCCCAAGAAAATACAGTGCAATACCCAGTATTGCAGGAACATGAGTTGCGAATTTGCTCCACGAGCATGAGCAGACTTGGCACTTGGAACAATGTATTGGACGTAAGCAACTCCAAACTGTGTTGCAAAGCTGGGCATCATCAACGTAATGGAAGGAATCAAGAGAACACGACTTTCTTCAAGGATGTGTAACAACCAGTCTTTTCTTTCTTCTGACAGTAGGCGAACCATAACAAAGACATCGAGGACTCTTTGTGCCTTGGAGAAGACTAGTTTCTTCCATTTTGCAGCAGAAATTGCCTGCGACACAACCGTATCCAGGTCCAAAATGACCGGATTTAAGTATCGAGTTGTCAGTTTCAAGGGCGTAGCTTGAGCCAAGAAGGCCTCCTCGGTATTGCCGCCCATGAGTGCTTCCATTGTGAAGATCCAAACGAAGAAGAAGAGCTTGAATTCGGCTGATAGACTCTGAAAGAAAGGATGCTTGGCTACAAAGCGACCAAACACTGGAACCATATGACAGAACTGGCCAAAAGCTTGGATGATGGAATACGTGATCCAGTATTGCAGCCAAAACGATGCCGAGTCCGTTCGTCCAGATCCATCTGAAGTCTTCTTGTTCATTCGAGACTTGTTGGTTGATGATACTTTCAATTCAGCCACAGTTTTGCTCTTTGTTGCCTTTCCAGCTGATATCTCACCATCCTTGGCAAGCAGAGTCGTGTTTTCATCGGGACTCTTGTCTTCCTGTCTTCGACCATGTATCAATAGTAGAGTGGAGAAAAATGGATAGCACAAGGACATTGTGGTCGTCGTGTAAGTCTCGTGTACTACCCATTCAAGAGCACGAGGCATCAAAATCTTTGACGCTACGACAATCCCGAGGAAAAAGAGATGCGGTACGGTCATGGCAAGAACAAGAGAAACTTTGGAAAGTCGTTTGACAGCATTTGTGTAGGACTTTTGGATGAAACAAGATGATGAGGAACAACCCGAAAATGGAGGACAATACAATTGAAAACTGAAGGACCTCTCTTACCTTTTTGACCTTCTTCTTCTGATTGGAAAACCATTTTGTGGCTCGAGCCCAATACGTTTGGCGTTTCAACCACTTTCTCAAAAAGTAAATACCGAAAAAGAAGCCCACGATCCCGATTTCCCCCAGAACTTGCTCTTTTGTCAAGCTTCGTTGGAAGTTGTAGAACCATATCGTTCCTGCTTTCGCTTGTGTAGAACCCTTTTGCAAACTGATCAGTCCCTGCTTCAAAAGAACCTCGAACAGGCCACTGAAGATGATGAAAAGTAGCTGCAGAAACGGACGAAAAGTCAAGTCAAGAAACTTGAACGAGGATTGAAAGGCTTGAATTACATCGGTACTAGATTGATGAAAGGATTCAGAATAGTCGTCCCAGAATGGGATATCCAATTGTCCATAAACTTGGACAATATATGGGAAGTTCTCTTTGTTGACCCAAGCAAAGTAAGGGGCAATGATCTCGAATGATTTCATGTCGCTCAGTTTCTTGACAGCAGAGCAATCATGCACTACAAACGTCTGATCTATCCAAGCGTTCCCAAACTCAAACCTTTTCGCACGATGTGGTTTTGAGTTTGAGGGTTCCGTTTGTAATAATCCAAAGTCAAAAATAACGGTCGCCCGTCTGATCCTCACCCGTCTGATGAAATGGGTGTCCAGTAGGAGTAGCGGCAATACCGCACAGGCGCTGTAGCATCAGTAGGAAAATGTACTGTAAAATCCTTTGCCAAATCAGCTGATTGGATCGGCAGGTTGATCATCACAGCAAAGCCATCCCAATCCTGTGTTAACAACTCTTGCTTCACCTTTCTCCTAAGTTAATAACTTACCTTTACTATCACCATGGCTGACAACGAAGATGAGCTCGTCGACTACGATGAAGAGGAGGTACGTCGAGGCAGTTGACAATGCAAGATTGATTCCCAGTTTCGGGTGGAATCATCTACGCATTGGTCCTTCCCGTATATATATCTTTTGCGTATCCCTTCATTCACTTCTCTTACCTATTGCCTTTATTATTTCCAGGAGGCCGCCAACGTCTCTGCGGATAAGTCTGGCGAGGCTAAAGACACGAAAAAGTGAGTGACGATTGAGGAAAATGGAAAATATAGACGTGCTTCCATTAGATGATGATGATGATTTCAAATCAATTGGATCCAATCCATTGGCGAAGCATGTATCAATCTACAAGGCACCTATTTTACGTTTCCAAACAAATTTTGAGCGCTGTGGCCCTACTTTACCTACCTGTGATGCGAGTTGCTAATATCATTTTCCCTCACGACTACGACTCCTTCAGAGGTCATTACGTCGGTATTCATGCTTCTGGATTTAAGGATTTTTTGCTCAAGCCTGAATTGCTTCGAGCTATTGTCGATGCTGGTTTCGAGCATCCTAGTGAAGTTCAGCACGAAACAATCCCCCAGGCTGTTCTAGGTGGAGACATTGTCTGCCAAGCAAAGTCTGGTATGGGAAAAACTGCCGTTTTTACATTGGCTACTTTGCATCAGCTTAGCGTTGAAGACGACAAGGTCGCGTGTCTTGTCCTGTGCCATACCCGTGAATTGGCATTCCAAATTGCCCATGAGTACGAACGTTTCTCGAAATACTTGCCCCAGGTGAAGACTGCTGTTTTCTATGGTGGTGTCAATATTAAGACGAACAGAGAAATCTTGAAGAACGATTGTCCCCATGTTGTTGTTGGAACTCCTGGGCGTATCTTGGGTCTTGCCAGAGACAAGGACTTGAAGTTGGATTCCATCAAGCACTTTGTTCTCGATGAATGTGATCGCGTTTTGGAATCCCTCGAAATGAGACGTGACATTCAAGAAATTTTCAAATTGACCCCCCATGAGAAGCAAGTTATGTTGTTTAGTGCCACCCTTTCCAAGGAGATTAGACCGGTTTGTAAGAAGTTTTGCCAGGATCCAATGGAGATCTTCGTTGACGACGAAACCAAGTTGACTCTGCACGGACTCCAACTTTACTACGCCAAGCTTAGTGAGGCAGAGAAGAACCGCAAGTTGAATGATCTTCTTGATGCTTTGGAATTCAACCAAGTTGTTATCTTCGTTTCGAAGGTCGCCCGGGCTAAGGAATTGAATCGTCTTCTCACTGACTGTAATTTCCCTTCCATCTGTATTCATGGTGGTATGAAACAAGATGAACGTATCAAGCAATACAAGAGCTTCAAGGATTTCAATGCTCGAATCTTGGTCGCCACTGATTTGTTTGGACGCGGTATTGATATTGAACGCGTCAATGTTGTCATCAACTACGATTTCCCTGATGAAAGTGATCAATTCCTTCACCGTGTTGGACGTGCTGGACGTTTCGGAACCAAGGGAATTGCAGTGTCCTTTGTATCCAGTGATCAGGACAAGGAAATTCTGAGCCAAATTCAATCTAGATTCGAGGTGAATATCCCAGAGCTACCTGATGAAATCGATATGTCTACATACGCTGCTGCATAAAGATAATGATATATGCAATACTCAAGGGGGAAGGAGGAAACATCACTAATAATATTGTCTGTCTTTTGGAGAACGAATGTTTGGCTAGCTTTGTTTTGTTTGTCTATTGCTTTTCGTCGGAAACTTTTTTGGATGACAGCGTCTCCATTCCTCCCACATCCAATGGTCATGACTGAAACGGAAAGAATGACCAGACGGCCGCACAACCCTGTTACATGAGAGTAATCATCCCCAAATCCAGTTGCGCAATGGCAAATCCGAATGCAAGAAATGCATCGAAGGGTTCTCTGTTAAAAAAGGGGAAGACAAAACGATGATTTGAAGATGAGATTCCACAATTCCTTCGATCCATTGTATTGCGATTGCAGATACGACTCACTTGTAATCAAGATGAAACTGATTATCTCCCCATTTTACAAATTGCAAAATCATCTTGCCGTCCTCATTGCTCAGCAATTGCATATTCTTCGAAGACGTCACACGCCCGCGACCAGCAGTGTAAAGAGGTTTGGGCTTGCCATCTTTGCCTACTGGCTCCTTCGAAAGAAACTGAGCTCCTCCTTGAATTGAAACCTCAGCTTTTCGAGTAGGTTTTTCGGTCAAAAATTTAAAAACGCCAAGAAATTTGTAGTGGATCTTCAGAACTTCCACGAGGCCGCCGTCACTTTCTGCTCTTTCCAACACATAATAGCCATCCTTTGGCTGAGAAAGGAATCCACGAGTATGCCCTGCCGTGTCCTTGATAAGCCAGCAACGATGCTGAAACTTTGCAGACCGAGAGACGATAGTCGAAACAAGAATATCATGATTGCTATTCGGCTTTGATTCAAGAGTCATGACAACGGTGAGCTGAGATGTTTGCTTCCCAATACGGGAAACCATGGATGGAACCAGATTCCACTCTTTGAGGCGAGGGGTACCTTTTCCCATGATATCAATATCTTGTTTCATTGCAGTCATAATCCTTTGTGATACTTCAAGAATTTTTTCTCTAAAATTGTGTTGTGATCGTTTCAACCAGGTTTGTTCAAGTTTCGTGCGGTTTCCATCGCACCAATATTACGTGCCGCAGATTACGTACGAGATTCCAGTACTTTGTTTAACGATCTTTGTGCCCGTCACTTTTTGGGATGCAAATTACAGTAAATGTGTTTGCAATGCGCAATGAAGACTTGCAAATTAAATAACTTTTAATGTCGAACACGAATTTCCATCAGAAAATTAGATTTCATAACCGTTAGACCACTTCTGAAACTTGTCGTAGGCATTAGTTCCCCAATGATCATACGATTTCCGTATCAAACCAAGTGCCCTTTTTTCAATCTGCTTCTCCGAAACGGTGAGCATCAAGCGTTTCTCGAAGCGTCTAAGTGACTTTCCACCACCATAGCGACTTCCTGAGAAGCAAGGGTAATTGCTTTTGTACATCATGATTTCAACCAATCCAAGTGCAATCTGAGAGTTTGCTCGAGCTGCTTTGAAACCCTCTACGAAAAGCCGTTCAAATTCTTTGTAACATGGATCCTTCAGCCCCCCCAAAACGTCCACATAGTCCTTCGTGAGCTTGAACGGCGCACGTTCCATGCTGAATTCATGGCCAGGCGCCATTCCCATGACAAATCCGAAATCAATGTGCATCAGGCGTCCATGAATATCAATCATAATGTTTCCATTGTGTCGGTCGCCCAAACCGAGCAAGTATGCAATGAGAGAGTACCCTGCCAAACTTTGCATAAAGTTCTTTTGTGCCTCCTTGAATGATTTGCTGTCCGGACTCCCATATGTCTCTTCGAAATATTTTCTCAACCCACCTTCCTTCGGGAATTTGTCAGACTTTTTAAGACCATCTATTGATGTTGCGTCTACAAGTACTTCAATAAGTCCGGTACTGCTTGAGGTACTCAAGATACGGTATGTCTTGAGATACAAGGGAAGATCAGCTTGCGCGAATACAGATTTGTAGTAGTGAATCATTTGCATGATGAAAACTTCTTGCCGAAGATCGTCATTCGACTTTGACATAACACCGACCACTTCGTTGATCTTGTCGTTTGGCTTGCCTTGCGCCTCTTCAAGCATCCGTGCAGACTTGTCTGACCAATTCTCCCCTCCACATACCACATCAGTGGAACGACGCAAACTATCAGTATCGATGTCTCCTTTATCACCTTTAATTTTGTCCGTGAACTCTTCCATCGCTTCTCCTTCGACGATTGGGACAGACTGCAAACCAGCAACTATATTCATTTTGCTTGGACGACGATGCTTTTCCATTCTGCTAGCAATCTTGTTTGGAAGGCGGTGGAACCCGTCGCGGAGAAACTGCTTCAGATTCCTATTCCCCTTGTCAGCAGTATCTGGTTCAGGTCCGTCTTCTGGGATCGTAGAGGAATCTTGCCAGAACTCACTTTCGCTCCCTTTCGTACTGGAATCTCTGTTCTTGGCGCCCTCTTTACCTCCGTTTTCTGGAACCGTTTCGATTACTTCGTCCGCCTTGTCAAACATTCCGTGCAAGTATTCACCAATATCCGACTCGCTCTCCCGTTCCGACAGAAAGTACATAATAACAGGACAACGCTCATTCGTGTTGAAAACGCGTGTGTCCTTGTACAGGCTCCCACTAACTCTTCGCCACGTGTCAGTGGAGTTACAAAGAGGAGAGTATACGCAAGGAGGGATCGTCAGGTGTTTCATCATCCCTGGGGCTAGTTTCTTGCGTTCTGACGGTTCCTTGAAACGCAACTCTTCAGCGATATCTGTAAGCTGACGAATGAAGTCACGCTCGTCACGGAAAAATTCGTATCGACTTCGTTGTTCCGAAGTCATGTCTTTAATTACCCTGTTCTTTTCCTCAGATTCTGCGTGCATGCTGCTGTCCATGTGTCCAAATATTGGACTCGAAGTTGCTTCATCCTTGAGCATCTTCATCCATTTATTCATATCTTCTTCCGACCGCGCCCGCATTGCAAACTCAAATGTTCGGTTGCACACCGAGAACATATTTGGGTATTTCTTTGGATTGTTTTTCACTACCTCGATTACTGCACCCTCAAGAGGCATACTCCTGACCAATCGGCCTTCCTTTGAGTTGTAGCAATTCAACATTCTTTCTTCGATTGCAAAATAACGACTTTTCCATCCTTTCGCCTTGTAACATGCTTGCCGAACTTTACGCTTGTACAGCAGTGTGCCCCCGAATCCTTCTTCTTCATTTGTGTCACCTGTAATTTGGAGAGCGTTGAAGCGTCGATCAGCTTGCTCCATGAGTTGGAACTCCTCCTTGGTGATCTTCCCCTTTTCGTACAAGCGTTGAAGTTCAGAGTTTTGTTTCTTGTAAACCACGCATCGCTCAATATTTGTCAACAGCTTAATACAACGAGAGAAGAATAATGGATTGTAGTTTGGATTTGGGGACCCATCTGGTAACTCGGGTTGGTAATCTTCGATCGCACCTTGAAGAATCCAATTTAGCTGCAGCGCAAAGTGAAGACTTTGCTGCGCAATGACGAGAGAGAACCTTTCCAAAATATTGTCATCCCACTCCGCCTCCAAATGGATAATCATGTGCGCCAACTGGGGCAGATAAAACTCGATGCCGTCAAAGACATGACGCGATCCAGCAAACTTTTGAAAACGAAGCAATGTAAGAGAGAGATGATTCGAAATCAGAACACATGCACAAGCTACAACTACCATACCTTTGCCACAAAGTGCGTCATAAATTTCACGACCTGTGGATCGTCTCTGAATTGCCAAATAATCATAACGACTTTCTCAATGGGCACCTTGTCCCCAGTATCTTTACCAAGCACTTCTGAAATCAATCTGAGAAAGGAGCAAAACAGGATTTAGATTCACAGAATCTTCTAAAATCATCAACGTCGTTGATACGCAAAAGAACAACGAAACGTACTTTGCCCTGAAGGCCTCATGGTCACTCATTATTTCCGGTGGACTTGGATCGTCGAAGTGATCGTCTCTAGGTTGTTCAATGGGGGTAGCTCCTGGTGGATCTTCTCGCTTTGTCGATTTTTCAGGAGATAGGCGGTTTCTGACCCGTTGTGTTTCGTTTTGGAGTCGTTCGAGAACTTCAGATGCAGATGTCTTGGTAGGGTCGCTTTCCATCGACGTCTTGCAGACTTTGATAGAGATGCTTTCCTATAGCCGCAAGCAGTGGTGTGAATTAGATTAGTGCCAATGGCTATAGTACCGTTAGAAAACTTTACGTTCAATCTTCCTAGTTTCCCTCTCCTGCCTGCAATTATCGCTACGTGGCTGTTCGTACGACGCCTACTGTAGTAGAACCATGCGACATGGGACCGTTAGAAACTTTTCGCATTTTGGGAGGAAATCTGCCCATCCACCGATACAGTCCTCCTCTGTAGTATGATGGTATTGTTTCAAATCGTTTTGCTTCCCGTTTAATACAAACACTTTAAATTTCAATGGCTGCACTATACAGTAGACTACTGGGTTTACTTGACGAGACTGATTGCGTGAACCGAGTTCAAAACAGATAGAGAAAGTAAAAAGCTTCAGATAGAACATGGAAAATGTCTATAGTCTATTTTTGTTTTGTTTATTCTAATCAGGCGCAAGTTACATCAATGAATGATTGCTTTTGCCCTGAAATAAGATTCCCCATTGATTGTATATATGTGTCTGATGTGTGTCAACTTCGAGCAATCTGCTGCGAGGTGGCGATGTTTCGATCAAAATAGCATGTCTGAGCCAATGTTGGTTCAGAATTCATGCTTAGTGTTCACTTGCGACAGGACTGTGAATGACTGGACTGTTGTACAGGATTGAGTCCCCGCTGCCAGCAAGTTGTGAATGTCCCAATGGTGTTGATGCGTGATGTGCATGAAGGTGTTGGTTTAGTGGTTGGTGAGCACCTTCCGCGGAGTACGAATAGTCAGCGGGCGCATAGGAGTGAGCGCTGGCATATTGGTAGTAAACATCATAACCAGGGTGGTGAGCACTGGTTTCCCGCGATGCTAGTTCATGTGCAGGAGGATGTGGATAGTGATGATGGTAGGCAGAGTAGTGGTAGTGCTGATAAGCTCTGTGATACGCTTCATCATAGTGAGGATAATAGGGTACTGGTGCTCTTTCCTCATATTTCTCCTGATGATTATGGGCAGGGGAAGAAGGCAATGAAACCGAAGAAATCGGTGTTGGACTGGGAGAAGTAGATGATGCTGCAGTTGTCAGCGAGTCCGTACTAGGATATTGATGCTTTCGTGGAGTTTTCTTCTCTTTTGATTGGCTCCGTGACTTTTCTAGCGAAGCCTTTCGTAATGCATGACCTATTTTGTCCTTTGCTTTCTCAAGCCCAATGTAAAACCAACGCCCTGTATTCTTATTTTGTCGAACTAATCCAACCCCAGTTGGAGAATCCTTGCGGATACGATCAACAATATCAATAATGACATGCCCCTTTTCAGTTTTTGTGCTAGCTTTCATGTACTTTGGGACACACTCTTGAATCAAGTCCCGAAGCATCCGATTGCCAGCTGGAATCGATACGAATATATGTTAGTTAGGAATGACAGGGCCATGAAAAACTGTTTTTGAAACCGTAAGACTTACCATGATGATAGTTCTGTCTCGCCCAGCCGCAAATCACATCACTGTCAGAAGGCACGAATTCCAGCGGGAGCTCGTTTGGATCTTCTTCTTCCATTCTCTCCTCAAACTTCCTCAACACAACCTGCACTGTTTGGTTCTTGCACTTTTGTTGTGGAGGAGCAAACTGTTTTGCTGATTTTGGGAGCGTGGCGGAGTAGGCGAAGTACCAAAACTGACGTGTGAGGTTTTGACGTTGCACTTTTATACTTAGTGAATTTTAACTGTGACGTTACAGCCGACGAATCAAAGTTGGCAATGCCGTGGGGCAGACGGACGGTAGATCGTTGGTGAATCCAATTTTAAAAGCTACTCGCACTACTCTCAGCAAAATACGTTCTCAAGCTTCTTTCTTGGACATTGTTGTGCGCGACACCTATTCAAATCAGACTTATCAACGATGCTGAAGCATGACTCTTTGCGTCCTCCAAAAGTCTTCCTGCCGGATGCCGTTTGTAATTGCATTGGTCCCACCAATTGTTCTACAACTACTCCTCGTAGCCTCATTCGTTGCTGGATTTGATGCAAACAAGGACATTTTCTCTGTGGCAAGCGGAATTGTTCTTGTTATGGCGTCTTTCACTACTGGACAGCCATAGCTAGCCCCGGAGAAGTGCTTCACAAATGCGTGAATCTTCTTCTTGCCATTGAGGGCGACGCCTCTACTACGAGATTCTCTTTCAGCTTCCCGTATCCTACTGACTTCATTTATTGCAAAGAAGACGCGTGCTTGTTTCTGTATCCGAATGGCAGCAAATCTTTCCAGCCTCCTTCTTAGATACTGACGAAAGCAACACTGAATGTAAGTTGCAGACGTAGTTTCCAGAGATTTATGCTGGTTGGTCTTCGCCTTGATCGCAGCAGTAGGCGGAGCTTTTCCCCTCGACGCATTCCCCCTAGCTCTTTCTCCTTGAGAATCGCCCGTTCTTTGTGGGCTGTGATTGGCCATTGATTCCCAGAATGAAAGTATGGAACGAAAGTCGTTCTGAGTGTTTCTCGAAAATTTTGCCTGCAGTTCCCCAGTACTGGTTTTGGTTCTTAGCACTCTTGTTGAGAAATTGTGCTTACTATCTCGAATCGCTGCGCTAGCAAATCGCATAGAGCCAGCATATTGCTTCTCTTGCCATTCCTTGGATCTACTTGATGATGAAAGGGTTTTATTCGGGATTGTGTATGGCATTCCCATTCTTGATAGTCTCTTCTGCCCCTGCAATCCAAGAACAAGATGATGTTGAATCTGTGATTGGATTGGTTGTGTTATAGTGTGCTGCCTGGTTTCCATCTGTTGTAATAATGAACGAGAAATGCATCGTCTCATCTGTGATTGGATTGAAACTGCTGCAATTTGTCGGGTAAAGTCAAAAGAAGTTTGACAAACCTTCGCTTCTTGTATATGAACTCGTGTACTGTTTCGCTCCCCTTTGTCACCATGATATTCATTAACACAGTCAGTTTTGGATGTTTTGAGCTGCTGAGAAGTATGTGACAAAGATGTTAAAGGAGATTGTAGATGCTGGTTTGTCTCGTGTTTCTCTGTTGTACAGTCTTCAATCTTTGGAGAGCATACTTTCCGCAATTTAGATGACAGCTTCTTTGTTTTCCGGCGTACTGATGAAATCTCATCTGATTGAAACTTGAGCGGGGGTTGAAAATTTATAGCTGTGATTTTATTGCTTGTCGCTACAACACTTCTCGCAGCGTCAAATTCCGGCTTATAGGATGTATCAGAATGTAGTCGATTCGAGCGATTATCTATGAACTCCCCCATCAGGATAACCTTGGACTGCTTTGGTGAAACGAAATGATCCTCCTCGTCGTCGCTCAATATACTCATTTCATCGTCCATTGTTGTTGCTGTTACCGGGCTCCAATTGACATCCGATGGAACACTCTTGGACGCGTTGACATCAACTGATAATTTCGTTTCTCGTCCCTCATCCTTACCTCCCAAAATGAAAAAGTCTGCTAGAGCCACTGAGATGAAGGCTGCGGCGCATTCCATTGCGGCAAATTTGTTTTGGTATCTTCGAAATCTGTTGATTGAGATAATTCATTAGTTTGTTCCTCGGCTGACTTTTTATGCGCGACAGTTGCAGTCGAAAAAAATAGCAACTTTTTGCTAACGATGTTTGCATTCGCTAAAATCATCATTAATTAATTGAAAATCGAATGTATTGTATCACCACACGATCAGCCCAGCCAGGAGGTGCCAATACGTGTACCATCATGGACTGCAATAAAAGAATATTAAAAAGTGCATTAGTAAAATGCCTAGTAGTAGCCACATCGTCGAAATATATGATAAAATCAGAAAGTATGACTTTGTTGTTATTACTCGTTTGACTGTTAGTCTTGCCGTTGAAGGTTTTTGGTTTAGTACAATTACATTTACACATGTTTTTAAGATTCGTCAACAAATAGTTCTAGTGGTAGCAAGGGGCGGAGATGGAATAGTGGTGTGGTATTTCTCAAGCATCATCATCATCAGCTTCAAATCCCTGGACTGCAAGGGCGGCCTTAGACAAGTGCTCAATCAAGTTTGCAGCTTCCATTTGCTCCTCAACACTGATAGCTTCGTCACGAAGTGCCTCCTTGCAGTGTTCAATCTTACTCAGGATCTCTTCAAGCTTCTTTGTGGACTTATCACTAATCGAAAAGTCATCAGCTGGTTCGTTGAAGTCAAAGACGTCCCCGTCTTTTGGTGTGTTTGGACGAGACCTTCGTGGAGTTCCCGGTCTGGACTCTGGTTTGGGTGGACCTTCAGATCGGGGGGTTCTAATTGTATAGGCCTCGGCAACGTGTGAGGCTGGCAAACTGCGAATCTTCTTCCAGACAGCGCGGGCAATGTCTGGCGTCATATCTTCAAGAGCTGGTCCGAAATTTGTTTTTACGTAGATTTCGACCGAGTCAATAAGTTCGTCCATATCGATTGGGCCCTTCCCTGATTGGTATTTAGCTCCATACGAACTTTCCATATACATCATTGCGATCATATCAGATCTTTCATCTTGTTCATCGAGAGATGGGTATGAGGATAAATCAATAATCTCATCATTTGAAACATGGCTTTGCTTCCCTGGCATTGGATCGGAACAAACTCTTTGGTTTTTTCTAGTCGCTTGGTTGATGAGATTGATGATAGCGGATTGGTCGTTGAAATCGAAATTCTTCGGAATCGAGATTGTCATCTCGGCTTCGCTTTCATCATAACTCGGTACATTAGCTGGAGGGTCTGCTGTGTATCGGGATGTCGGTGTAGTGATTGATTGAACTGGTGGCATGAAGATAGGCTGGGACGAAAGGCACGAAGCATTTCTTTCATTCATTGGGACCCCATGCATGTCACAGAATACGCAAACATCTTGCAACCCCTTTTCATCGGTCATGAGCGGCATCACACATGCTGGGCAAGAGCTATCCAAAATAGTCCAACCCTCCGTCATCTTCTTGTTCATCTCTTCACTGACTGCTTGTCTCCGAGCCTCAAAATCCGTCCGCATGCTTTGCATGAAAACCGGGTTCGAAGCAACAGATTGGGCTGAGGATACATAAGACGGAGTGGCAACTTGTCTCTGCAGAATGAAGTGCTCGGGGCCAGCCTCTTCCTCTTGAGAATCCATGCTTGATCCACGAGCATATGCTGCATCAGTTCCATCTCCACATCCTCCGCAGACGCAGCACTCTTTCTTGCCATGCTTCACGATAAGAGGACAGTTTTCGCATTCCGTTCCACGGCAGAACTCGGCCAGGATAGTCCAACCAGCCATGACACGTCTAGTCATGACAGTACGACCTTCAAATCGAAGAGTTTCCCAGTGTTCAGCTTCAACATCGGAAGCAGTGGGGAGGAGAGTTGGTTCCTTGTATTCCTCAATCTCTCGCTTGAGGCACTCTTCAGCTTCAGCGACCACTTCTGCTTCAGCAATTGCAATTGTCTGAGCAATCAGGTCCTTGCGTGTTTTCTTAACCTCATCAAGTGCTTGCTTGGCACGTTCCTGTGCCTCCTCGGCTGCTTTTTTCTTAGCCGCCGCTTCCTCTTCGAGATGTGTGATCATATCTGCTTCATCCTCGGCGCGTCTTTCTTCAGTCATACGGCGATATTCCATCTCCTCAACAAGGCGCATCTGCTCCAGCTTCAAGACATCTTCGTCAAGTTGAGCCTTTGCAGTCAGGCGGTTTCTGTGCTGATCCATCAACAAATCTCGTTGCATGACATCGGTGGTGCGAACTGAGCCAACAGTGTATTCCTCTTCTATAGCGATGATACGCTTTGTCTCTTCCATCAAGATCGTTTCTTCTTCTCGGCGCTTTCGCAAAGTAGCCCGGTATTCTTCCTCCAATTGCTGTTGTTGTTCACGCTTGAACATCATATCGCGAACTGATGGGGTATGGGAGCGAACAGACTGTTCAACATCGTCTCTTCCTTCAACTTCTTCGATCATTTCAGGAAAATCTTCTGGCAGCGTCTCAACTTGAATGGGATTCTTAGCCATTCGCTGTTCGTACCGCTCCTGCTCGTTGCGCTTGCGTTCGAGCTTTTCGAGGAGATTGAGCTCACGAACACGGCCTTCATCATACGACCCAACAGTTGGAGTGCTCGAGTTACGGATGTTTCTGTTGATATTTCGTTCAGGATCATCATCGCGGCTGCATTCGACAGAAAATATTGCAAGGTGAGAAAGGTCCAGATAAGATACCATCAACATACTTCGGGTAGACTTACCGAACACTGTATGGAAGCTGAGTCATGTCCGCTTCGTCGCCACTTAGAACTGCAGTAAGATCAATAACTGGTGCATCCGTGCTCTTGGGAGAAGGGTCTCGCTGTTCTGCGTTGGGTCTTCCTGTTGTCAGAATGTTTACTTCATGCTCGTTGGTGACGACATGAGCATTGCAGGAGACACAAACAGGGACATCGTCCATTGGTTCGAAAGGCTTTTCTGGATTTCGGTTTGGAATCAAAACTGGCGCCTTCAGGTGCTTGATGTCAAACCCGTAAGGGTTTCTGTTCATTTTGACCAAAGGAGTGGAACAATGAGGACATGGAGTTTCGTCCAATTCGAATCCCTCCATCAACTTCTCACTTAGAAGATCTTCAAGTCGATCTTCTCCGAGCACCGACTGTTGTTGCTGGGGAATGACGGAATTGTTGATTTCAACCAACATCTTGGATTGTTCTTGTGTTGACTGAGACTCTTTGGTTTATGGCGAAGTGGCAAAAGATGTGTTGATGATGGATTTGGAAATATGACAATGCGCCAATTTTTTTTGCGATTGGTCGCCAACACTGAATCATCATCCTACACGATGAATATGAATATTCTTTGGCGATTACCCCTGAGCATTAAAGACAAATATACCGCTGAAATATCTGTGGCATTTATCCGGTTTCGAAATACTTAGAGGTGAAGTACCCAGGTAGCCGATCTGTCATCAGACATGTCTGAGCATGTGGTCTATCGGAAGGCGGCCAGGCGAAACAATCTATCCAAACACCACCTGTTTTCTCATATTCCATCCAACAACAAACGAGAGAAATCCTTTCGTCATGACGAAGTCTGACTCTGAATTTTGCAGGCTTCCTGTCGATCGACAATGGATCGACAAACTATTGAAGCGTCATCCCAACCCCAATTCCAGGATACACAACAAGGCATTGGTAGTTGCACCAATGGTTGACCAGTCAGACCTAGCTTTCCGAATTCTTTGTCGTCGATATGGTGCAAACCTATGCTTTACCCCGATGATTCACTCGCGACTACTTCTCGAGTCGGAAGCCTATCGTGAAAAATTCATGATAAAGGTTGTGGAAGCCGATCGCCCCCTCATTGCCCAAGTTTGTGGCAGTGATCCTGAAATTGTTCTCAAGGCATCCCGTATTTTGGAACCGTTCGTGGACGGGATCGATATTAACTGCGGATGCCCTCAGGGGATTGCACGCCGTGGAAACTATGGCGCATTTTTATTGGAGAAAGAAGACGTTTTACTGAAATTGGTACGGTATTTGACTCCTCGACTGCGAGTTCCACTGTCTGTAAAGGTTCGACTTTTGCCGAACACCGATCCCGATGACAAGGACTTTGACGTACCGAAAGCATCTCTAGCCTTGTACTCCAAGCTGGTAGAATCTGGAATTCACCTTCTGACAATTCACGGTCGAACTCGGTTGCAAAAAGGTCCTTCGACTGGTCATTCTGATTGGGAGACTATTCGGAAGGCTGTTGACATGTTTGGAAGCAAGATCCCAATTTTCGCCAATGGATCGATCGAAAACTTTTCTGATGTTGAAGAGTGTCTCCAAGTCACAAATGCGGACGGCATCATGTCTAGTGAATCGCTCTTGGAGTTTCCGCCAATCTTTTTTAGAATACCACAGACACCAACTCGAACAGTGGGGCGCATGCAGTTGTGTCGAGAGTATGTAGAACTTGCAAAGCAATATCCTCCGGTAAAAATGGGACAAGGAAGCAAATTCAAAACTATTCGAACACATATTCACCGGTTTTTGCATGCAGATATGCAAGATGACCACCAATTGAGACAAGCTATTGTCGAAGTGAAGAACATGGAGGAATTGGAGGCTGCACTTGATAGTTGCCAAGCGTCTCATGATGCAAAGCGGCATTCAGTCGCAGCTGAAACATTATCGTGGTATGTTCGACACCACCAAAGTGAGGAGAAGGAAGTCGAGCCCCAAGATGGGACAGCAACAAAGGATGAAGACGAAGACATGCAAGGCGCTAGCTGCCAAGTTCTCTTTGGCGGTGATAGAGATGGAGACTATTAGTTTAGTGGCAAATATTATTAAAATAATAGTGCGCAACATATAATAGGTATATATATAAAATACTTTATTGTAGGCTCATTAAAACTGACATCTTAAAATATCACGGGTCATTTTAGGCCAACCTCATCAACATTATCTTGTTCCTTACACACTAATCGTTTTCTTAAACAGGGAGCAAATCATTGATGCACTTGGGTAGCTCCATACTTCCTGCTGTTTGTACATCAGGGACAGGGCGCTTGTATTCCATGAACTGCCTTTCTCTGTCTAGTCTTTGAGGAGTGCAGTATCCCATAACCACATCGTAATCCTCAAAGATGGGGTCAATTGGGAATGGCCAAGTGTGGTATCCCTGGATTCCAAACACATCCTTCAATGGAATCGGCTCCTCGTCACTTTGTGACATGGTGTTTGTTGCCTTTTTCTTGAGTCGATCAATCGTACCAATTCCAGTCATGAGACCGTAGCAAACGTTCATCAACATTGATGACGTAAACAAAAATGCACCGACACAGAGCAGAGTCATGGCGCGAACAAGGTGAACAACAATGGGGTGGAATGTACAGTCCTCATCCGCGCAAAAGAAATAATTCCAACCAAACAAAGACAATGCGAATGCAGCGCATGTCCAAGTGTAAAGCAAAAATAGCAAGAAATGCTTCAAGTTGGAAGCACCGACACAGTTGTTCATCCAAGGACAGTGGTGGTCCATCTTACTGATACAGCGATTGCAGATTCTGCAGTGGTGCGACATGGGTGGCTTGAATGTTTGACATTGCCCACACATAGAGTGGGATTCTTTCATAAGTCGTTGGCGCTCGCTTGGGATTGCAGCCAAAGGAACACTTCCAGGATCAGTCAGAGATGTCTTGGCATGGCACGCCAATGCCATTGCGCACAATACGTTGTATACCATTCCTAATGATACCGGGATACCCTCAGTGATTGTCAACAAAGTGACTGTCACTGCCGAATAAAGCAAAAGTAGCCAGACAAGAGCAGACATGATGGAACCTGCTTGGTCCGAACTGTTGAACCAAATTCCATTCTAAACGATAAAATGATGTTAGTTCCGACTTGGGGCGTGCAAATTTCGAGCTCTTCTAGCTTCAACACTACTTACTGCCTCAGTTGTACCGAAAGAGACGGACCATGGTTCAGAATTGTATGAATCGATGTAGTATTCTCCCCGTTCTCGGATGCGTGGGTAGCTTTGGGGTGGCTTGTTTCCATTAACATCATCGTATGAATAATCATATTCCAAGATTTCTCGCTTAGGGTTGTAGCATTCAATGCAACCCAGAATTCGGTAAAACGGAGGATGAGGAGCTGGTTGAGGCTGAGCCAAGGGTTGAGGCGCCAAGGATCCAGCTTGTGATGCATTGCCTGTATAACCGGTTCTTGCAGACATGTAGGATCGATTTTCGTCCATGTGAGGATGACCGCCTTGAGATCTAGAAGCCATGGTGATACAGATTCGAATATCACTAAGCTGAGAAACAAAGAATGGAAAGCAGCTCTTGGTCTAGCCAGTTCTTGTTGTTGTTCCCCCTCTGGTTGTTCAGCTTTGCGACAAAAGGTTTTCTTCAAATGAATGATGATTGACCACATCGAACAATACCAACGTGCATTTTTGGCACTGCCAGTGTGTCGCTTCTCAGTCCATGTTGGTCAACGACATTTCAAGTACGACAAACTCGCGTAGAGCAGCATTTCTAGCCGTTGCCGCGGGCGCGCGCCACGACGCAGCATTAACTAGTCGCAAATTAAGTCCAATGTGTCGAATATATTAGATCTAATCAAGTACCTACTGACGCAATTGCCACACCCATCAGTTGAAGTGGTGATGATGTCTATTATGTACGCACGAGAAACCATTCTTTAAACACAAGAGAACATCAACAGCGCTCTGCGATTTGCTCTGTTATCTGATTGCTTTCCATTCCATATGAAGATTACCACAATGCTCTTCGTACTCTATGGCCGCCAAGCAGCGGCCTTTTCCACCCGCATGGCTCGCACTGCAGGGGTTGTTTCCAGACCCATGGCGACGGCTGTCGATGGTGAAGCCACACAACATGAAGAATCTATCACCAAGATGCCCGATATGGAAGATATTGTGTCCTTGTGCAAAAGAAGAGGTATCATTTTCCCATCGAGTGAAATCTATAATGGATTTGCCGGATTCTACGATTACGGACCACTTGGTGCAGAGTTGAAAAAAAACATTAAGGAAGCGTGGTGGAAGAATTTCGTTACACAGAGAGAAGATGTCGTTGGAGTAGATTCCAGTATTATTCATAACCCAACAACCTGGAAGTCAAGTGGTGCGTTATGTAGAATTTTTTCTTGAGGTGCACACCACGAGGGTTGAGGAATCCAATATTGTATCCTTTTTTTCAATATAGGTCACTTGGATGGATTCTCAGATCCAATGGTTGATTGCAAGGAAACCAAGCTGAGATTCCGTGCCGATCAAATTTTCTATGCCCCTGTCATTCTGGAAGAAAACGGTGAGAGAGTAGGATATGTGTGTGTCCAAGAAGGTAATGATGAAACGATGGTAAAGGATGCAAAGAAGCAAGCAAAGGCCCTGTTGAAGGAAAAGGACATGAAAGGATCCAAGATCGAAGCATTCGCTTTCAAGGAAGTAGTTGAAGCTACGGAAGAAGAAATGGCCGAAATCCCATCCCCTGCAAGCGGAAAGCCCACTCTTACCATGCCTCGTGACTTCAATCTTATGTTTGAAACTCGTGTTGGTGCCGCGGTGGATTCGGATAACATTGCTTACCTTCGACCAGAGACCGCGCAAGGAATTTTCATCAACTTCAAGAATGTCCTTGGCAGCAGTCGCCAAAAGATTCCTTTCGGCATTGCACAAATCGGAAAGGCCTTCCGAAATGAGATCACGCCTAGAAACTTCATCTTCCGATCGCGTGAATTCGAACAAATGGAAGTCGAGTACTTTATCCCTCCCGGCGATGATGTCTGGCCTGAATTCCATCAGAAGTGGATGGATGATTCCAAGGACTTTCTTCTTTCCCTTGGTCTTCGAGAAGATTTGATGGGATGGGACGTTCATGAAGGTGATGGTCTTGCTCACTACGCTCGTGCGTGTACCGACATTACGTTCAAGTTCCCCTTTGGCGAACAAGAGTTGATGGGTATTGCCGCTCGTGGAAACTACGATCTGACACAGCATACTGAGGGCTCTGGAAAAAGTACGACTTATTTTGGATGATCATATTTGGTTTTGGGCTCTACGACGACTCACAGCTATTTCATTCTTGCAATTTCAGCTTTGGATTACTTTGATGACCAGACAAAGGAAAAGTACATCCCACACTGCATTGAACCTTCGCTGGGAGTTGATCGCCTCGCTTTGGCCATTATTTGCTCAGCCTATGCAGAAGATGAAATTGGTGGAGAAAAGCGAAACTTCTTGAAGTTCAGCCCAAAGATTGCTCCCATCAAGGCCGTTGTCTTGCCATTGCTAAAGAACAAGGAAGCACTTGTGTCAACTGCGCGAGACATCTTTGAGAAGCTTCAGCAACGCTACAATGTCGCTTGGGACGCAACTGGTGCCATTGGTCGTCGTTATCGTCGAGCTGATGAAGTTGGTGTTCCTTTCTGTATTACTGTTGACTTCGAGACCATTGAAGACGATGCTGGAGTAACAATTCGTGACCGCGACAGCACGGAACAAATTCGAGTTCCTTTGGACGAGGTCATCCCATACCTTTCTAAAGCTATTGATGGATACTAAACACCTGAATGATCTCTTGTACAACTAGATTTTATACTTCCACGTTACATCAGATTTGTTCTGAGCTGAGTATTCGGATACCTTTGTTGCCACGCGTAATATATAGATATACGAATGCCATCTCTTTCATGTAAATTTGAGTTATTGTGGTACACGTGCACTGAGGGTTATGGTAATATGTTTACCGAAGTCTCGGCTGGATGAATGGGAAACCTAGACAACTTTCGACACCGCTATGAAATCACATCCAGACACAAAAACAAAACGCCGCCAAGGAGAACGAATGGTTGCAGTTTTTTTTCCTATTACTATTATGCATGAGAGCTTATAGACGGCGTCCACGACGTCCACTCTTTCTACGGGTGCAGTCAGATGGGATGGGAGTAACATCTTCAATTCGTCCGATCTTCAATCCATTTCGTGCAAGCGCTCTCAATGCAGATTGGGCTCCTGGTCCGGGGCTACGGCTTTTGTTTCCTCCAGTTCCGCGAACCTTGATGTGAAGGGCAGTGATGCCAAGCTCTTTGCAGCGTGCAGCAACATCTTGTGCGGCAAGCATAGCAGCGTAAGGACTGGATTCATCACGATCGGCTTTAACCTTCATTCCTCCGGTGACTCGGACAATAGTTTCCCGTCCAGAAAGATCGGTAACGTGCACGAAAGTATCATTGAAAGAAGCAAACAAGTGGGCAACACCGAAGACCTCCTCTCCCTCGATGAGTCGGACTCCTCCAATTTTCTGTTCAGTTTCACTACAGTTACAAAAAAAAGGTACAAATTCATGAGGCGTTGTTGCTGTTTGGTAATATATTTTGTTCGTCCGTGGGTTAAAGACTTACGCCATTGTTCCTATCTCGCTTATTTTGCAGATGTGTTTTCCAGCATCGTTACATCGTCGTGCGAGACGGAATTCCACGGACATGGACAGACATTCAAGTAAAGAGGTATTGATAATATCCGGGTTCTTCCAAAGGACTAATCTAGTTGCTTCAACTTTTGAAATCCAAACTTGGATGAATTATTAATTAAAATTACTTTTGGTGCATGCTGTCAGCAAGATTGGTACCGGTAGTCAAGCTTAATCATGGCAGATACAACAGAGAAACCTTTGAATGATAAAAGAGAGTATCGTCATTTTGTCCTTGGAGATGATTTGGATGTCTTGTTAATATCAGATCCTGAAACCGATAAAGCGAGTGCAGCATGTGATGTGGCCATTGGGCAACTATGCGACACAGTCCCTGGCTTGGCACACTACTTGGAGCATATGTTGTTTATCGGGACCCGCAAATACCCAGATGGTAGGCATTATATCTTATGATGGGAGCAAACTTTTGATGATAAACCAACCAATTCACCCTTTTTTTTGTTGCAGAAAATGCATACGATCAGTATTTGAGTACAAATGGTGGTAGTTCGAATGCCTTTACAGACCTTGAGCATACATGTTATTACTTTGATGTCCAGGCCGACTGTTTAGAAGGCGCGTTTGATAGATTTGCGCAGTGTTTTATCGGACCATTGTTCACACAGTCTGCCATGGAGAGAGAAGTGCAAGCTGTTGATTCAGAATTTGCGAAGAATAATCAACAAGATTCATGGCGTATGCATCAACTGTCAAAGTCAAACATTGTATCGTCAAATCATCCCTATGCAGCGTTTGGAAGCGGAAACAAAGGTAACTTCTTCTTGAATGTCTACATGTTCCAATCTAGGCGCAAGTCTCATTTCTAACGACCTTATGTAGATTCGCTGTGGAAGGATAACATCCGTGACAAGCTGCTGGATTTCTATGAACAGTACTATCGCAAATCCCTGAGCCTTTACAAGCTTGTAGTGCTGGGAAAGGAGTCTTTGGATGATTTGGAGCAAATGGTACACAGGTACTTCGACGAACTTGCCGCCTCCTTTGAGTCTCAGACGAAAGAGAGCACAAAGCCAACTAAGGCCAAGATATTGCAGGAAATATACAAGCCGGTGCAAAATTGGGAACTGCCGAAACAAATGAATGTGGTGCCCGTGGCCCAGATTCATGCGATTGAGCTGCAATTCCCAATGCCTCCCACAAATGATATGTACGGCTACAAGCCGACAAGGTACTTGTCGCACCTTCTAGGTCACGAGGGGAAGGGTAGTTTGCTGAGTTGTCTAAAAACCAAACATTTCGCCCAAGAACTATACGCCGACGATTCGTCAGCAAACTGCACCAACTTTTCGATTTTCACAATTCGACTCGAGCTCACAGAAGTTGGTTTCGCAAATATCAAAGAAGTCATGGCGATTGTTTTTGCCTATATAGATTTGTTGCGAAAAAGTGGACCTCAGAAATGGGTCCAAGACGAGCTGAAAACAGTTGGTGATCTTCAATTTAAATTTTTGAGTAAGCGGAATCCAATGGACTACGTTTGTAGCCTAGCGGGCTGGATGCAGCATTATGACCCGGAACACTACTTGAGTGGCGCATATACACTATTTGATTGGAAGCCCAATGTTGTGGAGGAGTGCGTGAATAGGCTGAACCCCGACAATATGCTGATGATGGTTTCCAGTCCGACGCTGGAGGGTAAAACATCGTCAAAATGCCCCTGGTTTGGAACGAGTTATGAGACCCTAGATCTCGATGCGGAGTTATGGGAGCGGTTGAAGACTGTACAGCATTCGGAGATCCCAGAACTAGCATTGCCAGAGTTCAATGATATGATTGCGACGGACTTTGGAATATTGGAATCGAATCATTTGCCAAAGGACAGACCAGTTTGTATTTTGCAGCATAATGCTGTTCGATTGTGGTACAAACCAGACAATGTTTTCGAAATGCCTAAAGTGAACATGATATTTCAATTTTCATCGCCACAGTGCTCATCGTCAACAGAATTCGGAATCGCACTGAATTTGTACTCGCAAATAGTGCAGGAAAGATGCAATGAGTTCATGTATTTGGCATCAATGGCTGGATTATACAGTGATCTATACGCTTCGCAGTCAGGGCTGGAGCTTCATGTGTCTGGTTACAACCACAAAGCTCATATATTGGTTCAAAGAGTAATCGATCAGTTGGTTGGCTTTGCTGAAATTGAGCCCGATATATTCTCTCGAATTCTAGCTAAATTGAAGCAGCAGTACGAGAGCTTTTTGGTATCACAACCTTACCAACATGCAATGAATGGAGGAGACTTGTGCTTGGAACACATCAAGGCCTCAGTCTTTGAAAAACTTTCTACACTCACAAAAATCGCCTCGACCGAGGTATTGGAAACGGCCAAAAGTTTTTTCAAACACTGCAAAGTGGCAGTCCTTGTTCATGGAAACGTCACAGCAGCTCATACAAAGCAAATTACTACCGATGTCATAAAGAAAGTTAGAGGAGACATGACAGACAACGCAGCCGTCATTCCGAATACTGAACACCGAGTTGTTCAGTTGCCTTCGCAAACTACATGTGTGTACAAGTTTGCGGGATACAATGAAGCAGACACCAATTCTTGCGTACAGATTCTTTTCCAAATGGGCCCTTTGCAGATTGACGAAAACGCTAGTCTTGCCTTCCTCCAGCACTTGATCCGAGAACCCGCGTTCAATCAACTACGCACAGAGGAACAGTTGGGTTACATCGTCCACACATCTGTGAAAACCAGTGGGTATAATATCAAAGGCTTGCTTTTCTTAATTCAATCAGATGGTTTCGATCCTCCTCATGTGGAATCTCGTATTGAGCGCTTTCTTGCGAATTTTCGAGAACGAATTGTCGCCATGGAGTCGGAAGAATTCCAAAACAATGTTGACGCGATGGTTTCAAGCTTTCTCGAGAAGGTATGTTTTTGAATTTGTCATGGCTTTGCCCATTCGAGTGGAAAGTCACTTACGCAATCTCTTTATGTACGCAGAATAAGAATCTCGGTGAAGAGTCTTCGAGATATTGGAATGTCATTCAAAACGAGACGTTTCACTTTACAAGACTTCAAGACATTGCAGAGCACGTGAAGACTATGACAAAACAAAGGATACTGATGTTCTTTGACAAATATGTCGCTTCGAACGCCCCGCATCGCCGTAAGCTTTGTGTCCAAGTCTACGCAAAGCAGCACCAAGAAAGCTTGAAGAAAAGTGAAGATGCAAATATCATTGAAATTGAGAGTCCATCTGACTTCAAACGAGAAATGGGCCTCTATCCTTTACCGAATAAAGTGTCTGTTGATATTGTTGACGTGGATGCCCAGACTAGTTAATGGAAAGAACAGCATTACTATAGCAGACATACTATCGTAAGCCTTCATCACCAATCTCCAGCGAAGTCGTGCTTCTTTTTCTGCTGCTGCTGCTTATTGGAATTGTTCCTAAACCGGTCAATGTCTCTATGGCGTGTTTCGACCGATACCTCATGTTGTATCACGCCTTTATCGTTCGCTCTCAGTTTCTTTCTAACAGCAGTGGCAGCCCATTCGCAGATCACTACACTCCTGTGTTTTCCGGTTTCCGAGCCAATGTATATTGTCATTTCTAAAGGAGACGCGTATCCATGTCCAGCATTTTGAGCTTCGAGAAGGCAACCCCACACTTGGTCAGCCACTGTCGTTCGCGCGTGCTTCTGAATGTCTTTATTTTCTTGTTGTAGAACACGTTTTACAGCTCCCGATAATCCTGTTTTCCACTCCAAATACTTCGGTACGGATTCGAACTGCTCTCGACAATCCATGATAGCCAACGGTTGAGAGTATGACCAGCCCTCTGGCCGTTTCGGTGCGCCATTTTGAAAACCGAATGAACCCAATACAATGTGGATAGGAGCTTTTCCTTTTCGTGCCAAGCGACTGTCCGAGCTACCAGCATCCTCTGCCGTTTCCTCCACTCGTTGCTTTTGCCAATTGGGATCTGCTTGACCAAAGTCTGCCAACAGATCTGACATAGCCTTCAACTGGAATCCCTTGTCCTCTGTTGATTGATCTGGGTCTTCGTCATTCACTGGACCCTCTGGATCGCCAAGATCGCCAACAGGATCGGCAATCCCATTCATTGCCGCCAAAAAAGTCGCAGCAGCAGTGGAGGCAATTGCGACGTTGAGTGTATCTTCTCCGGCATTCTCTGCTTGTTTCATCTCCTCAGATACGACCGATTGAATATTCTTCCCCGCCTCTTCCATAGAGATCGGTTTAAACTGCGGCTTTTTTGGCTTGGACCAGCCACCGAATTGTTTTTTCCCATCATTTCCTGTGGAACTTTTCTTGTTGTTCTTTCGTTTCTCTCGTTGGACTGTTAGTTTTCTCCCTTGAAAGCTTTGCTGGTGAAGTTTTGAAATTGCTTGATTGGCAAATTTTCCGCAGTCAACAAGTGCATGTGGATTTTTGCCGCCCTCGTTGATGGTGATGGACGAGATTGTCAACTCTGGAACCTGGCTTTGCATCCAATCCGTCAGATCCTTTTCCAGTGTTGGAACATTCTTGGGCAACCCTCCAATGTATACACGCTTCACTTTCGCACTGGATAAATTCTTAGAGTCAGAGGTAACTTGAAAGAATTCATCGTTTCCTTGGGCAACATCACCCATGATGTATCTTTCTCTGGACAACTTCGTTGATAATTGGGCACCATTTTCTAAGAAAAAATGTTGGTATCAGATTTGGTTATGAGCCAAAAATAAGTCACGAATTGCAATCCCATCTGTGAAAATGGTTGAACAACAATAACACCAGACATTGATTGTTTGTTGTTTGTTATCGGTGTTACTCTGCACTTGAGTGCCAGCTTCCAAGGTTCGAACAGCAGCAATTGATGACATGTTGGAGATGGAAGAAAACTTTCATCATCGCAATTCGGCCCAAAATGGTTCCATTGAAATGCAGAGCGTGAACGACTTTGGTGACAATGACTCTCAAGAAATCAACCCACTCGTGCCTCTAGGCGAGGAAAATTCCAAAGATCTTGCATTCGACGATGGTCACGGTGGTCCTCCACCAGGAAGCGCAACGTCGTCTCAAGTGGTGATCAACATTGTGATAAGTTTTGTTGGTGCTGGGCTGTTGGGTGTACCGAATGCATTCATGAAGTCTGGCTGGTTGTTGGGATCTGCAGCACTGTTGGTCGTTTCGGCCTTGAATGTATATGCCATGCTACGCCTACCAGCTGTTCAAGTGGCGTTACAAGCCAAATATCCTGCCGAACAATTGCATACTTATGGCGATGTTGGGCGATGTGTCATGGGGAGAACTGGTGAGATTGTCGTTCAGATGTGTTTGGCAATATCTCAGGCAGGTTTTGGAACTGCCTACATTATCTTCATCGCTGCCAATATCAAAAGCATTGCACACGTTTCGAGACTGTATATATGCCTTGGATGTATACCAGGTCTGGTATTGCTGGTTCAATTTCGTGACCTTAAATCGCTGTCACCCTTTTCACTGTGAGTGATTGATGAAAAACTTATCGGAGTTTATGTCTCCACTGAGCTCACGAATAGTCTAACCTGTCCCGATTCTTGTTCATCTTTATATTCATAGGCTAGCAAACACAGCGAACTTTGCCGCTCTCTGCTCAGGTAAGTTTTCATGAGCTACATCATCGGTAAAATGTTTTTCTAGTGGAATACTGACGGACGTGCATCCTCGTTTCAGTTTTATTCCAAGACTACGAATCCTACACACCGCACAACGATACCATTCATGCTATCAAGTGGGATGGCTTGTGGTATGTGATAGCTGTAACAATCTACAGCATGGAGGGTGTTGGGTTGATATTGAGTTTGAAGGGTTCCTCCAAGAATCAGCAGCAATTCCCAAAACTGTTTATTGGTACTATCACCATCATATCATTATTCATGGCATGTAAGTACCCCGTTTCACTATAAGGAAATTGGGTGCCGTTCTGCGAAACTCACGTGGTTGGTTTGATCTGCAGTCTTTGGAGCAGCCGGATACGTTGGCTTTGGAAATGCAACAGACGCTCCCATCACCCTAAATATGGCTTCGAATTGGTCGACAATGTTTGTCAAGCTCGCTCTCTGTCTGGGCTTATATTTGACATTTCCCATCATGATGTTTCCCAGTAAGTGAAGGTTCTCGGTTGGAAGTCGGCCACCTTTTGCTCTAAATGCTAATCTACTCTTTCAGTTTGGAACATCTTTGAAGGATGGAATGAGAAAATTTTCCGCGATTCCACTCTGGGCCGTGTATGCTCGCGATCCTCCGTTGTCTTGATGGCAGCAACTATTGCCTATTCGTTTCCACATTTCGGAAAGTTCTTGGGACTAGTAGGATCTTCCATATGCACCATGTTGGCGTTCATTTTTCCTTGTTACTTTCATCTGGAAGTGCTAGGTTCGGAGTTGTCATGGCTACAATACTCGCTAGATGTAACGATACTGATAGGAGCAGTCCTTTTCGCATTGAAAGGGACATACGAATCGGTGATTGGAATGATGAATGGAGAGGGAGGGGAGGAACTTTAGAAGAGATAAAAGATGATTCTGATTACCACCTATGGCCTTCGGTTAGCCTTCGGATACGGTCGCAAGTCGGCGTTGATGCATCTAATTTACACAACGTACGACCAGCACTTCGGAAAGATAATTTGCTTTGGTACCATGATTCCATCTCGACAAAGTTCTGCTCACAGATCCAGACACGACGGTCCTCTGTCTCATTGGTCGATGATTTTGGCAGCATTAAAGTTGGAATAGTGGCTGGATTGGATTTTAACTCAAGATACGACTTGATAATTCGCTAAGATACCGTTTCTTACGACCTTCTGGGGACGGCCGGGAAGAAAATCTTTCGTACGTACTCTTGATACCGGCAGTACAGTAGTGTACATGTACAGTACCAGCACTCTACTGGACCGGCACGTGTACGGTGCATGCGGTTTCGCGCATATGATACGGTACCGCACTAGACCAATAACAACAACGTCAAACACAAAGCAACAACTGCATTTGTCCAGTATTGCACATCATAGCAACAGCTTGATTGAGGCCCCATGTCGACGACTCCTGAACCAACAAAGGTGAATGGCACAAACCCCGATCCAGCCAACAGTGAGAAAACAGCCGATAGTAGCGAATTTGGAATATTGGGGTCGTTGCCCACTTCCGGCGTGAACGAGAGTAATGGCAACTCCACTGAACCTATGACTGTAGACAAAAAGGAAGACGCAGTCGCCCCCCCTGATAATACCAAGCCAGCTTGTAAACCCGCGATCACAGAAGATCCAAAGCCCCTCATTCAATCCACAAACCTTGACAAAGTGACGCCTGGTACGGATACCAAATCTGCGAGTGGAGCGGCGAACACTGCTCCATTCGATCCTGTTGTCAGCACAAAGGAAGCCAAGACCAACACCCCCGCGAGTACGAAGTCAGTTGTTCAAGCCACAATCACTGAAAAATCTGAACCTCTTCTTGAATCCGCAACCGTGGAAAAAGTCAAGCCTACACTGGTGGAAACCAAGCCAGCGGAGAAGCCTGAGACAATTAAGGCCACTGAAATGGAGAAATCTACGGAGAATAGTAAGGTCACTGAAGTGGATTCTGAATCGAAAAAATCTGCTGAGACAAGCGAGCTGGTGGTGAAGTCTGATGATAAGACCAAAACCCCGGAAGCAGGCGGCGATAAAAGCAAGTCAGATGACAAAGGGGCGCATTCACTTGGAGGAGAAAGCGCAAATCAATTTACTCCTCCCCTTCCGGAGGACTTCTTGAAGAAGGCGCAAGCAAACGTTGATGCTAGCAAACATTATGTTGAGACAAGCAATGTTTCGAAGATTGCGAGCAGGGTCAATTCTCAAATCCCTTCATCAAGGCCACTAGAAAACAAGACTGACGACCTGCTTGTGGCACCGATTATACCAAGACCGAAGAAACGGCCAGCGGCAAAGTCGCTTCTCAAACAACTAGGGCAATCGCACGTCACAAACCCACTGAAAAAAGTGAAATCGGTAAAAGCCAAAACTGAGAAACAACCTCCTGGTCGAGGAAAGTCCCCAGGTCGGGGGCGTGCAACACAGTCTAAATCACCAGCCCAGAAGGGACCATCAGTGACAAAGGCAAAAATGCTGTCGGAAGGACCTCCAACGGAAGACCTGGAAGGTGGATGGCCAGAAGGATGGGTCAAAAGGGTATTCGAGCGAGCAAGTGGTGCTACAAAGGGATCCACCGATAAATACTGGTATTCTCCAATCAATGGGATAAAACTAAGAAGTATCATGGAAGGTAAGATGCTCAAAATATTGTTTGTGCATGTATTATGTTCTATCCTCATGAGCTTTTCTGTACTACTATACCTCAGTTCGGCGGTTTATGAAAGCACTCGAAATGAAAAAGGGGGACGAAATCGAAGCGAAGAAGATAATGAAAACGATCAAATTGTAACGCTTGTGCTGAAGCAATTGATACAGTAGTTTGTGAAGAGCTGACGGATTATAGTTGGAAAGCTATAATAAAAAATGTTTCGTAAAATAGTATGTAGCTGCTAGCTTGAGACTCCTTGATACATGCAAACAATAGATTCCAGCCACATCAACCCATTGCATAAAAGTGGGGATAACATCGGGTCTGTATCCCACTTTGGGAGCGACCAGTTTATTGCTGGAAGAACGAACAGAGCATTTCGAACAAGCTGTAACCGCTCCTGTCTCGTTGTCGACTTTTCATCTTCGGAAGACTCCTCAGATTTACTAGATGGGGGGAATACTCGTAGAGTATCGAGTATTATGTAAGCAAGCCAGAATCTGCACGACCAAGCAGAGGCTCGAGCCGCCAAACGGGAGTCGGATCGGCATGGGAGACAGATGTCTGGGGCTCTCCATTTCAAGTATGCAACATGCTCCAATGGGTAATATCCGATCATTGTCCATGCCATTGCTTTTCCCAGATATCTCGATGACGCCCAGCTGCCGCTTCTGACACCTTCAATTGAGGTCGGAAGGCCAAAGAACCGATTTACGTATCGGGTCCAACATACGTCGTCACTTAACTTTTCAATCGCTGCACGAAAACTTTTGGAATGAAACCTCGCCAGCAAAATGAGGGAGTACTGAACCACCTTCAGAATTTTGTCTTGGTTTCCAGCATTGCTCGTAAATTTGACATAAAATTGCAACAATCGATCGATCTTTTGTGAAAGTGATGGAGCTTTTTCTTGTGACATTTGATTGGAAGACATGGTGCCCGTGTGAATGCGTGCGTTTGTATGTGTTTGACGCTGCTGCGTCGAAGGCTGAACCAGGATTTCCTTTTTACTGTACGTGTTGCGCTTGATTAGAAAGCAGAGAACGATGATGCGAACAGTTTTGTGTTGTGTGTTGTCACCAAATAATATTATTATGTACATGTACCGGTACAGTATCTGACATCATATTTTTTTAATTTGTGATTGAACGGACTGATTTAGCCTCCTTTTACTGGTTGCCAATTCCCACAGGTATCGTACCATTCTTTACAGTACACTCACTACCTTGAAGAAAAATACAAAATCATATATCTAATGAACATTTTACAGCTTAGTTTATGACGGGTACGTGTACACGGATTGCGAAGTCTTCGAAGGTTTGCATCGAGCATCATGCACAAGGAGTATCGGTAACCATAATTTCTGTTGATGTAACTGACACTCATAGTATGTAGAATGCATTACCATCCAGTGTATTCTCCTTGCTCAGCGGTTCGTACAAAAAGCTCTGTTGGGAAAATGTCTGTCAGGAATACTTGCACAACCAAAACCCAAGCTAGCCATGCGATTGAGACAACAATTGCTGATGACCGACAACGGTCAACCCACTGTTTCTCAGCTCGATCACACTCCTGTTGTGTCAGGTCCTCTGGTTCTGAAGGTCGATCATTGTAAATCATGAAATTGGTGAGACCTACGAGATGAAAAAAAAGTCGTATCATCTCAATTATACGTACGATTTCCCTCTTGAGTGAGCAAGGCGCCTGAACTCTTTTTGCTCTTTGTTTTGTAATTCATGGCGTGTACAATCCACAACCATGGAAGCCCAAAACACCCAGCATAGAAGTATTTTTGTGAAATTTCGTCGTCTCGCAGTGAGCTCATTGTCTGTATACGTTGTCGTTGTCGTTTCCAGGAATGTTGTTGTTTGGATTGGAGTCGTCGTTATTATTGTAGAAGTATGGAAACGCGCCGGGGGCGGCGCAAAATACCGGTACCGTTAATTTGTGCAAACGGCTAATGAAAAAGGGGATGACGAATAAAGTTGCTGCCCCCGAAATCACGGCTTCGATCTTCAGCCGATGCTTCAGTAAAAAATAGCCTCGACAGCACTACAAAAATTGAAAATGGGAGACTCAAGACGAACGCAGATCCCGATTGTATGTCCTGGACATACGAGGCCACTGGCCGAGCTGCAGTATCTGTGGAATGAAGAAGAGAAGCGTACATTTCTGCTGAGTGCTTGCCATGACAAGATGCCAATGCTCCGCGATGGTACTTCTGGTGATTGGATAGGAACCTTTCAAGGACACAAGGGTGCTGTGTGGTCTATGCAAATGGACAACTCGGGTAACCTTGCAGCAACCGCATCGGGTGACTATTCAGCTCGTGTTTGGGACGCCATCACTGGAAATTCGTTGCTCGAGTTGCCGCACAAACACATTGTCAAGACTTGTGTCTTTTCACCTGATTCCAAGGTAAGGTTTTTCTAGTTTGGACCCTGATTGGTGCGATATATTTGTCGACTCAGTCGAAACTTGTGGTGTTCAGTTACTAGCTACAGGAGGAAAAGAGGGGTTGGTCAGAATTTACGATCTAGCTGCATGCTTGATGAACAAACCATTGAAAGCAGAAGTTGCGGTAGAGTTGAAGCAAGCTTCTCCGATTAACAAAGTCGTTTGGGTGAACAATACATTGATTCTCTGTGCATGTGCTGATGGTAAGGTTTATTTATGGGACAAGTCATCTCCCCAGGCTCCAGTGCACACCTTCGACACTCAACAAGGAGATGAGATTAGAGACTTGGAACTGTGCACCATTGCCAGTGGAATGCTAGTAATGACTGCCGCTGCGGGTACAAAAGTTTTCTTCTGGGATATGGAATCAAAAAATCTATTGAAAGAGTACACAATGCCAATTCATTTCCGAGAAGAGGGGGGGGCAACCTTACATCCATCTGGGGAGAAATTTGTTGCTGGTGGAAGCGATCTGTGGGTTCGAGTGTTCGACTTTCAAACAGGAGAGCAGCTCGAATGTCATAAAGGGCACCACGGGCCTATTCGCTGTGTGCGGTATGCTCCTGATGGAAAGCTCTATGCAACCGGCTCGGAAGATGGAACCATAAGGCTTTGGAAAACATATCCTACCGCATAATCAGTATCCACAACTCATACTCAATACCGTCACCATATTATGAATAGAAAATGAGAATATATATCATAGTCTGTGCTTCGCACGCATGGAAACCGTGCGACGTGCGACGTTCCGACCCATCACTCTCCTAGTCTTCACCCATCACTAGTCTTTCAACCCATCACGCATCACTTTGTTGGATTCCAAACAAATATCTGCGATGAAGAATCAAAGGAGTAACTTGCTGTTGGCAGCAATTTGTTTAACAATTGAGTCGGCATCAGCCTTCCAGTCGTCACGCCCTGGTAGGGTTGTTCGTGGCAGTGCATCTACGATGTTTGCGGAAGATCCCGATAGTAGTGCTCCCAAAAAGAAAGCCTCGGGGAAGAAGAATGCTACAACGAAAAAGGCTTCTCATGCGGCTGCAGAACCATCGGAAGATAGCCCTTATCTCGGACCCGAAGTTGAAACTCCAGATGCCTTCCAGTTCGATTTGACAGGTGGCCGTCCAGGAGCGATTATTGAAACAGAAGAACAGCTGATGGAGAAAGCGAAGATTTTTGAGGAAATTGAGTCAGGGGAGCGTGATTACCCAGACTGGTTTAACAAGTATGGAACTCTCGAAGAGGAAATATTGGCAGAATACGATATTGATGACCCAGATGCAATCGATGCCAGTACACTTGGAAGTTATGACATCACAGATCTGCAAGCAAAACTCGATTACGAGTGGGATCCAGATGTCGACGAGGATCCAAATATTATCAGGGATACAACTGGATTCCTTGAAGAGACAGAAAAGGACGAGGAGGGAGTTGAGGTGGGTTACGACCCTATGTTTGGACCATCCAATCCAGTTGATACGAGAACCAAGCTTGGTGCAGCCGAGTCATACATGATCAATGAAAAGACAAGGGATCCAAAAATGGTGACTCCTCAATTTTACGAAGGCGATCCAGAAATAGCATTCAACGAGGACTTCGTTAAATTCCGAAAGTCTCTAGAGGTCATCGAAACTTACACAGATGAGTTTCTTCCTGATATGGTAGTGCCTCGTCACGTTGCAACCTGGGTTGGATATCCAGAGAAGTTGAGCTACCCAAAAAAGAAGTACACCAACAACCGTTTCACAAAGGAAGGAGACCTGACAAATTTCGACGCGATGACCCCATTTCGAGCTCGCCAGAGAGCAACCGAACTGGCTCGAGCAAAGAATGCAGAGTGGTTGCCTGATGGCGTCTCACAAGCATGGCATAAAAGTGAGCGCCAAATCTACGAAGACATAGGAACTCTTGTAGGATCATTTCGAAAAGGAGAAATCGATGAAGATGTCAAAGAGCTAATTCAACCTGCATTGAAGGTTCTTGGGTCATGCGCCGAACTTTTGAGCATTGAAAATGAGACTGTCTTCCGATTCCATTATCATGGACTAATGAAAAACAAGCATGGTATGGCTGCATGGACAGAGACTTTGATCCGTGATTGCGGTGTTGAAGTCACGGGTGTAGTCTTCGAGACTGGTTTCAGAAAGCGTGATCCTGCTTACGATGGGGGAGATCCTTACTATGGATTGTCATAAAGCTCCAGCACATTTGTATCTATTCTGTAGCATCGTTTAATCGTTTATGGTAGCAATTGAACACAGATTTTAAAATCACAGTCCGCATGCTTATGATGCACTAGCTTGATCTTTTGAGTTCCACAACCACACCAATGAAGCCCATGATAACACCCAAGATCATCAGTGCAAAAACAAGCTTAACTTCTCGTTTTTCCCCTGGACTTGGCATTTCAATAATCACTTTCCGGTACATCACGGATGGGAACACAAAGACAATCAGCGTGGCAAGGGTACCACCGCCCACGGCGTTGATGCTCCCCAAGTCTTTGCATATTGCGGCAAGAATCGTAACCAGCAAGAGCAAAAATATCGAAATGATATTGATGTTTGTTGATGTTTGTCTTTCCTGTGGTAGCTCTATCACATCCATTAGTCCGTCTCGAAATCCCATGAATGTGATTGGGTAGGTGAACAAAATCGAAAAAGCAATTGCCACTCTACTGATTGTAGCGAGGTTGTCGTTTGTTGAGTAGTTATTGAGTATGCATCCATTGCAATTGGCTCCAAATGTGAGGAATCCCATGGCTGTGATCCATACATAGATTAAAGTCGAAAGCCCAAAGGCATTGCCAACAACGATCCGAAATCGATGCATATTAGCTTCCTTGAGTTCCGCCATGAAGCGGGGGGCATTGTAGTGAGCAACATATGCTTCAAAGCTCATGGCTGCGAAAATCAAAACTGCGCTCGTCCAAGCTCCATTGTAATCACCAAATTGTGGTTGATACTGTATTTCTAGATCATTCAAGAATCTTCCATCGAGAGCAGCATTGTATGAGCCATCGAGGTATCGTACTGTCATGCAGAATGCAAATAGTATAATGCCCGCTGTACCAAGCACACTGAAAGGAGCCAAGGCATCCAAGTTCTTCATCAGACAAAGTGGAAGAATACCGATGACGGTTACCAAAACTAGTGACAGTGTTCTTGTTACATTGATTCCGACAGTATGGAATAGAGACTGGAATGTATCAGCGAGAATCATGGAATAGGCGAGGTTTCCCAAAGCTGGTTTGACCATGTTGACCACAGATACAGTCGAAGCTCCTTCGTTTCCCATCGCTGATCAAAGCATAAGATCAGTCAATCAGATGGTCAGAAGGCGAAAATGATCTGCAAAGCTTACATTGACTTACTGTCTTCCCAAACTTCCCGGAATGTGACGCTGTATGTCAAACTACATGTCTTGGCAATCAGCTGAAAGAAATACCCAAACACAATCCCCATGACCACAAGCAAACAGGTCGCATTGACAACAGCTGACGGTGTATCTGCAAAAGATGCTCTATATGTAGAAAAATGCAAATTCTGATGAGCTATAAGTTGGATTCTAGCAGCGGTGTACACAATCATCAACCTACAGTCCAGCAGGGAGGGCCAAGACCCCAGCCCCGACCAAGTTCTTGATAAGATTCGCAGTGCTCTTGGGTATCGAAGATTGACCTCCCATATCTCGTATCGATACCCTCTCTCCATCATAGGACAGACTGTTTCGGAGGCTTTCCGTGAGTGAACGCGCCATGCCTCCAGCTGAATCACCAAAGGAGGAGCTTTGAGATAGATGCCGTCGGCCGGAGTTTCTTCCGAATGTTTGATATGATGTCGATGTGTCCAAACCCGATTGCTGGTCCATTCCATCATTGACGACAAGTATGCTACTCGACATTCTCCGTAGGATTTGTTTCTAACAGACTATTGCTTGTCTGCTTGTTTTCGGAACTGCAATGCAATGATGTCAATGAAGATTCGGCTTTTTGATTGCGATAAATTGAAAATCCCCCACCCCTTCCCCTTGACTCTGACCCGAAATTGGGAAACCAGCAGCTTTCGTCTGTCATGACTCCGATCAAATGAAACGTGAACCAGAAGATTGAAAATTGAGACCCTCTCTTTGTTGGTTGTACTTGCTTTCGCAACCTATTCCATCCATAATACTACATCATGGCAGAACCAGAAAAGAAGCTATCAAAAAACGAACAAAAGAAGTTGGCCAAGAAGGCCGAAAAGGCCGCCAAGAAAGCAGCCATGGCTGGAGGTGGTAATCCACCTGCAGGAGGTGCTCCTGCTAGAGAGCCAAAGCAACCTGCTCCCGGAGCTCCAGCTCCTGTGGCAGCACCAGCACCAGGACCGACACCAACGCCAACGCCAACGCCAGCGCTAAAGGTTTTAATCTTCAATGGTGACGAAGGCTGCAGTGCCACTCTGAAAGCAGTGTGGGCCGCCACTCATTATTCTGTGGATGTTGGTGTTGCCACAAAGAAAGATCTTCCAGCTGGCTTTTCTGCAGACAAGAAGCCTGCTTTGATTTACGGCAACGATGTTGTTCTCGGAGGAGGTGGCAATGCGATGTGCAAAGCAATTGCTCTTATGGGTGGTGCCGAATACTCCTTTGAAGCTGATGAATGGTGCGAATTTGAGAGAACATCAATGAGGGGGAACGCGATCGGAAATCTAGATAGTTTGGGTGCAGCTCTAGAAGCGTCACCAACTGGTGTTCACATTATTGGAGAAAGTGACTCAATGGCGGATATCTGTATTATCTCGGCACTATCAAAGCACGCAGACAAGCTCAGTAGCTGGCCATCCCATGTTCAGACTTACTACAAAGCTCACATCCCTGCCTTGGAGCGTGTCAAGGCAGCCATGCCAAATTACATCTCTGAACCCCCCGTCGACTTGAATGATCCTCGTATGATCATTGTACTTACTCAGATCTTCTTGGACTCTTTCGAGTCGGTATTCCCCAATTCTACTGTACCAAAGACCCTTGTCAGCAAATGTGCGAATAAGAAGCATGGCGATTTCCAATGTAGCGGAGCCATGCCTGCCTTTGCCAGCCTGAAAAAGTCTGGAGGTCTTCCAGATGGCATCAATAGTCCTCAGCAAGTCGCACAGGCTGTTGTGGCCCACCTTGGAGCTGATCACGCAGTTCTATCGGACTTGTCCACTCAAGGTCCAGGTTTCATTTGCTTCCGCATTGCCACTTCCTATCTCCAACACCAAGTGCAAAACCTTGTCGGCAAGAGTTTACCAAAGCCGAATATCAAGCCACAACAGTGTGTGGTGGACTTTTCCAGTCCTAATATTGCGAAAGAAATGCACGTTGGTCATTTGCGTAGTACCATTATTGGTGAATCTGTTTGTCGTGTCTTGGAATTCGTGGGCCACAAGGTGGAACGTGTGAACCACGTGGGAGATTGGGGGACTCAATTCGGAATGTTGATTCAATATTTGCAAGAAGAGTACCCTGATTTCTCAGAGAACATGCCCAACATCACGGATCTTACCGAGTTCTACAAATGTGCTAAGCAGCGTTTCGATGAAGACCCAGAGTTCAAGAAGACTTCACAGCTAAATGTTGGTAAGCTGCAATCTGGAAATGAAGCTTTCTTGAAAATGTGGAAGATTCTGTGTGACATCTCCAGAAAGGAATTTCAAAAGGTTTACAACCGATTGGATGTGACAACACACGAATTTGGTGAATCCTTTTACAACGATAAGATCCCAGCTGTCATTGAAGAATTTCAGAAGCATGGAATGATTTCTATTGAAGAGGGAGGAGCCAAGTGCGTCTTTGTGAAAGGAGCCAAGATTCCTCTGATGCTCCAAAAGAGTGATAAGGGATATGGATACGATAGTACTGATATGGCAGCATTGAAGTACCGTTTGCAGGCCATCGGTGCTCAGCGCATCATAGTCATTACTGACTTTTCTCAAGGGGATCACTTTGTCATGTGTAACCAAGCAGCGCATGATATCGGTTGGGTGAACGCAGGCCAGCGACTACAGCACATTGGTTTTGGTACCGTTCAAGGAGAGGATGGAAAAAGATTCAAGACTCGTTCGGGTGAAACTGTGCGACTTGTGGACTTACTTGACGAAGCTGTCAGCCGTATGGAGAATTCTCTGTTGCAGCGTATCGAGAGTGGCAAAGCTAACATCACTAAGGAGGAAGTCCATGAAGTGGCCGAAGCAATTGGGTATGGTGCAGTCAAGTACTTTGATTTGCGTAGAAATCCCACATCGAACTACAAGTTCTCCTATGATGGTATGCTTGACACAAAGGGGGACACTGCTGTTTACTTGCTTTATGCCCGTGTCCGATTCGAGAGTATCATGGCTAAGGCGAAGGCAGAACACGGCGTTGACGTTGAAGAGTTGATCAAGAATGGAGAGAAGATTGTGCTTGGACACCCATCGGAACGAAACCTTGCACTTCAGCTTCACGCTTTCGGGGATACGATCGGGACTACCCTTGACGATCTCTTCCCATATCATATTTGCGAGTACGTCTACAACTTGTCCATTGCTGGATCTGAGTTTGTTACAAATTGCCGTGTCCTCGGCAGCGAGGAAATGAAAAGCCGATTGCTGCTGTGTCATGTCACAACAATGGCAATGCGACAATGCTTTGATTTACTTGGCATTCGTCATGTCAAGCGTATTTAGGATATCTAATCTATAATCAAGCCGGTTTCTTTATTCAGCACTTCACATTCTATTTTCCAATGCAAAAGTCAGAGAACAGGACGTCCAAGACGTCTTCAACGTCCACAGCTCCAGTAATCCTGCCTAATTCCGAGGCAGCGTATCGGAGTTCTTCTGCTGCCATATCAACTGCAAGGGGGCCTTGTCCACTCAACACTTTGAAGCGCTCCAAAGCGTCAGCAGCCGCTTCTACATGTTGCCGATGCCGGGCTCGAGTGATAACAGCACCTTCGTTTCCAGAGTCATCCTGAGTGCGACTTGTGACTGCCTGTGACAAGGCATCAAGAAAGTCGTCAATCCCTTCTTGCGTCACGCAGGAAATATCGTAGGTGTTTCCAAAACCAGAAGATTCTTCACCCTTCGAATCCTCACCGTCATCCTTGATATCGCATTTGTTCATTACTAGCATACTTGCACTGAGTTTGTTTTCATCCAGAATGGACTTTACAGCGTCCAGTCCGCCTGCCTTGTCTGCTCCACTACTACCATCGACCATTGCGACGACGAGATCTGCATTTTCTGCGACCGATTGTGCGCGCTTGATTCCCTCAATTTCCAAAACGTCATCAGTGTCCTTTCGAACTCCGGCGGTGTCTTGCAAGGTGCACTTTACGCCACCAAGATCCATCGATACTTGGAGCACATCTCGGGTTGTTCCTGCAATCGGTGAGACGATGGCTGCATCTTTTTTTGATAGCAAATTGAATAGACTGGACTTTCCAGCATTTGGTGGTCCAACAATTGCAATCTTGACACCCTCTCGTATCAGCTCTCCTTTCCTTTCGTCACGAAGATGTTCCTTCATTGATTGGCTCAAGGCAATCATATTGTCACCAACAGCACCCCATACATTCCATTGCTCCGAGTCGTCATCCAAAATATCATCCTCTCCCAGGCGTTCGTCATCTCCAAAATCAATGACTGCTTCCGCATGAGCCAATCCAGAGATAAGCCTTCCGCGCCAGTCATCATAGAGTTTGGAGAGGTTCCCATCTAGTTGACTCAGTGCTTGCTTAAGCTGTGCTTGGGTGTCTGCTCCCAAAATATCCGCCAGCGCTTCTACTTGGACTAAATCGAGTTTTCCACGTCCAAAAGCTCTCTGCGTGAATTCGCCGGGCTCTGCAAGGCGACAACCAAGTGTTGGAAGTACATCTAGCATAGCTTGGACAACAGCTCGGCTCCCATGACAATGGAGTTCAACCAGATCTTCTCCTGTGAAAGAGTTTGGTGACTCAAACAAAAGGCATAAGGCTTGATCAAGCATCTGTCCCCGTGCTGGATCATACAGTTTTCTCAGGGCAGCTTGTCGAGGTGGAGGTAGCCTCGATTTTGTCATGGAATCAAAAACATGGTGCGCCTGAGATCCACTGATACGCAGCACTGCCACAGCAGTTGCTTGCTGGCCCGTAAATCCCGATGAGAGAGCAAAAATAGTATCTTCATCGTGGGAATTGGATGGTGCAGAGCTGAACAACCTCGAGGAAGCTCCCAGCGTCCACTGTAGCGAATCAATCGAGCCGCGAGAAGCTCGTTTCGTCAGCGGTCGACACAGTGCGTTGCTTTTATTGAGGAGCAATGAGAATCTCATCAACCACAAGGAAATTGCCCACGCTGATTGTTGCTTTGCTCTCATGGATGGTGGTTGATGGATTTGATAGGATCACGGTACTACTGATATACCGGTACCGGTACACCGTATACCCTCTTGGTGGGACATCAAAATTTGGTGGAGGGGTATGCATCCCTTTCTCACTCCCCAAATATTAAAACTAAAAAAGACCACACTGTCGATGCAAAAAGAAGGCAAAGAAGCGATCCTCAATACCGGTAGGATACTTCAACAAAACGAAGAAGCAGTTTGATTCCAATTTCTCCCACCGTCGCACCTGTCTACTACACGAAAAGAGGTTGAGCTGAAACTATGGCACCATCACTTTCCTTTCTACTCTCCATTTCCCTAATAATACAGGGTCAGGGATTCTCTTCGTCTTCTACAGGAATCATCCAAAAGAACCGTGAGGCGGAGTCTTTTTTACGATCCTCCAACGATGCTGCTTTTTCAGCTTTTGCCGACTCTCTTGAAGAAGAACCAGAAAGCAACAAGGAGCAACCCTGGCAAGAAAAGCTTGAGGATCTGCTTGATCCGCAAACAAACTTGGCTGATGTAAGAGACTGGGAATGCTTGATTCGTGATGCAATAATCTTTTTCTGATAGGACCATTTCTTTGGTATTCCTTAGCGGCAAATCCTGATGTCCGAGCTCTTGAATTCGAATGAAGAAATTAGAGAATCTGTACTCGATGCACTGGCTAGAAGAAAGGTTGGTAATATAGTTGGAGCACATGTGAAATTTAGAGATTCATTCAGTGGACTTGACTTCTGACACCATTTTTTTCTTCCACAGATCGATCCACTTTTGACGCCTACAGGGAAGAGGATACAGGATGGAACAAGGGCCGTTGTTCGTCAACTAGCAAACGACATTCTGCCTCAACTCAGCAAATCTCCACCCAAATTCCCTCCTACACCACAGTCTATGGAGAAGGTCGGGAGCCGTCTACTTAGCGTCGTAACGAGTCAGTTGCAAAAGAACATAGAGGATTTGCAAGAAGATCTCACTGACCCTATCAACCGCATACCTCAACGTCTGTCCCGACAAGCGGAAGACTTTGTGAAAGAAGCAAGAAATGTTTTTTTGGAGAAACCCGAGGGATTGCAAGAGCCATCTTACAACGTCGTTGAAAGCCGTGATCTGTATGACATTCGTGACTATGAAAGCTACAAGGTAGCATCAACACAAATGGAAGAAGGAGAGGATCTTGCATCGACTGGAACGGCTTTCAACTCACTTGCGGCATATCTTTTTGGACTGAATGACGAATCAAGAACAATGGCAATGACGACACCTGTCACAACAACTAGTTCGAATGAAATGAGATTCTTTTTGACCGAAGCCTCCATCCCTCAACCACAACCAGAATCAAGTGTTGAAATTATTGATATCCCTTCTTCGCTTCTGGCAGTTCGCAAGTTCACGGGGTTTGTCACAGAAGGAGAAATAGCACGTCAAAAGGACGCCTTGTTGCAGGCACTGGAAATGGATGGCGTTGAGTTGGATGTAGCGCATGGTGCCGTTGTTCCTCATATCATCTTCCAGTACAACCCCCCATACACACTTCCTATTGTACGCAGAAATGAGATTGCCGTTCCAGTACGACTAGGGGTAGACCTTTCAGGTGGAACAAGTCTGCAACAAGAATGGAGTGTCGATGCAACTGTTGGAGAAGATACTGTGATTGGGGAAGAAAACGTAAAGATGAAAGTTAATTCTAGGACAGAAGCCGTTGCTGAGAAAGACAACGACGAGAATGACGAAGTCTCCGATGATGACACTTCACCAAGTGATTAATGTTAGTAGCCCAAAACTGAACAAGAACATGGACGTTACAAATTGTTTCAACTCAATCGATCATGGTGATGGAAATCAGGAACTGGTATTTAGTTGTTCTGAAATAGCATCTTGATTCTTTAAACGAAACCTACTGGAGGGCACCGAATGAGTATCGATAGCACAGTGTCGAGGATAATCTTCATTGCCATGTCTAATAACAGCAGGAAATTCATGCTGCCGATCGAAGGAGGAATTTGGTAGTGCAAGCTGAAATCGACAGAACTGTAACTAGTCGAGCAGTGGCAATGATGACAGAGGAAAGACAAAGCAATAATCTTCAAGCTATGACTAGTTATAAAAAAATTAAGAGCCGATTAGTATCGTCCTCTTCCACCACCGTAGCTTCTGCCACCGCCGCCGCCACCATATCCTCTGCCGCCGCCGTAACGGTTACCTCGGCCACCACCGCCAGACATGTAGCCTCTACCACGGCCACCACCGCCTCCACCATATCCCCTTCCATAGCCTCGGCCTCCACCGCGACCACCACCACGACCAAATCCCCGGGGTCTAGCCATAGCTTGAAGCTCAGCAGGAATGTCCTGTTCGGCCTTTTGTAACACTTCAACAAGTTTTGTGGCGCACTTTTTGTCCCCTGGAGTAAAGAAAGTGAATGCTTTACCCTTGGCACCGGCTCGACCTGTACGTCCGATGCGATGCACATAGTCTTCTACTGCGTTGACACCGCAAGGCATGTCATAGTTGACAACAACTCCGACGTCCTTTACATCTAGACCTCTTGCTGCTACGTCGGTTGCAATCAACATTCTCAGAGTTCCGTCCTTAAATGCGTTCATAACCTTGGTACGCTCCCATTGCGCCCTATCCCCATGAAGCGAGTCAACGGCGAACCCCTCATTCCACAAGTGGTTCGCGAGGTCGTGGCAACTGATTTTCTTCGCAACGAACACAATAAGTTTTGCGTGTGCTTTGCCACCACCTGCAACACGAGAAGAGTCCTCGTTACTGCTAGCAACCAAATCCTTAAGGATATCTGTAAGCTTGTCCAGCTTCTCATCGTCCCTGCACATGACAATCTCTTGCTTAATATCCTTGTTTGCAACGAGAACATTGACTTCTCCAACATTGATCTGCACAGGATCCTTTAGAAAGTCGAAAGCCAGCCTTTGGATCTCTTTTGGCCAAGTGGCAGAGAAAAGCAATGTTTGTCGTGCTTTTGGAATCTTTTCAATAATGGACCGTATTTGAGGTTCAAATCCCTGAAAATGATTAGAAAAGAAGTTAGGAAAATGTGTGCTTCAACACGAAATGAAATGAGTTTCAATATTTTGCTTACCATATCAAGCATTCTATCAGCCTCATCCAGAACCAAAAACTTGATGGTTGACAAATCTGCTTTCCTCATCTCAAGCAAGTCATTAAGACGACCTGGAGTAGCGATAATACACTCCACGCCGCGTTCCAAAGCCGCGATTTGAGGATACTTAGATGCACCTCCGTAACAGCAGACGCTTCGCACTCCAATGGGACGACCAAATTTCTGTGTCTCCTCCATAATTTGAACGCTCAATTCGCGAGTGGGAGCAAGAACGAGAAGAATAGGCTTGGGGCGCACACCTCGCTGAAAGCCGTTTCCGGACTTATCGTGATGATGGAAAACAGGCATTAGGAAACCACAAGTCTTTCCGGAACCTGTTTTCGCAACTGAAATTAGGTCATTTCCTTGAACTGCAAGGGGCCAAGCCTGAGCTTGGATGATTGACGGACGGGCAAATCCCGCTCTGGAAAGAGATGTTTGAATTTTAGGGGAGAATGGGGCATCACTGAATTCAATGTATGGATTTGGAATCTTGATATCACGGTTTGCACCATGACCGAGAACCGTGAGGGTGTGTTCCTTTCTCCATTCATCGGGAGAAAGTTTTTTCTCTGCCTTTGTAGTGGCTTCATTCTCTTCGGCCGCATCCATTAATCGCGTTCTACGCCTCTTAGCATCATTTTCGTCAAATTCCTTTGAATAAGAACGCAGCCGTTTCATTTCGCCTTTATGTTCTTCAGAATCGAGGGTTTCAGCCTCTCTGCGCTTTCGCTTATGCTTTTTCTTCAGTTCTTCGTATGTAATGCCAAGAGCTTCGGCTTCCTTCTTCATGGCAGCCTTCTTTGCGGTTTTGTCTTCTTTCTTTTCCTCGATCATGATTTCACTTTTACGACAATACGAATGAGTGAGGGAAAGATATAAAAATTTGTTAGAATTGGAGGGAATTTTTGACTGGTGAAATGTGTTTGCTAAGCTCAGAACCAATTAAAATTCACTCGAACTAATCCATCCAAAATTTTAGACTTCTGATCAGATATTTTATAATGCATTGTAGCCACGCTAGAAGATATGAAAAAAGGCAAGAATTGTACTGTTTCTACTCTACTGGCACAATCAAGTCTTTCCCTGGAGGGTTGATTCACACCGGATAACGAGTACTCAAGTTGATTCCACTGCCGATTCTTCTGTCTGAAAGAAAGCGTTGATGTCATCGGCATAAAAGTCTGGTGTAATGGCATTTTCGGGGCTTAAAAGCTTTTCCTCCGATGTCACACCACTGAGGACCAACAAACTCTTCAACCCGTTGTCAGTCCCAAACAAAACATCTGTATCCAAGCGATCACCGACCATACAGATTCGCTTTCTGTCCACGCCATACTTCGATTCCAAATATTCAATCATCAGTGGACTTGGCTTTCCAACTACTGTAGGCTCTTGTCCAGTGCATCCCTGCGAAGCAAGAATCGTAAGAGGAGACAGCAAACGAGACTTGATTCACAGTACATTCCGTACCTTGATAGCGCCAACCATACTGCCATTACCGGCCCACTCTTGAGCGTCAGTCAAATGCGTGACGGCATCCAAATTCGTTGCGATAAACTCTGCGTTTTCTTCGTTGATACAAAGCTGCGCATATTGGATCTTATAATAGTTCACAAACCGATCGAATCCGACAATTACAGCCCCAACGTCTGAGTCTACTTCTAGCTTTCCACCAGGTCCCATGTTTGGTTCTTTTTCGCTATCTGCAGGTCCGCCGATGTATGGAACACCAATTAAGTCCAGCTCCTCACAAATACCAATCTCGCCAATGATATACGCCTTCTTTCCACTTTCCTTGAACTTCGTCTGTTCCAAGTATGCAGCAGCTGCAAATGAACTTGAAAAGATCTCTTCCGCTGGAATATCCAAGCCAAGGCTATCGAACTTTTTCTGCGAGACGACACATTAAAACGCACCCACAAATTCGCTTGAGACACACAATGTCGAAAAGAATATTCATTAGAACATCTCGAAGTTTGAATTTACCTTGTAACCACTAAATAACGAAGGATTACGTGAAGAAAAAATTAGGACGAAGAAAGGCATAGGTGGTCGAGAAAGAGATGAGGAAACTTACGCTCGGCTCTTGGTGCTGTTGTTTGTTACGAAGAACATTTTCTTATTTGCTTTTCTCAATTTATCAAGTGTCTCTGGAATTCCATCAATCAAAGAGTCTCCTCTCCAAATGACGCCATCGCAATCGAAGATGAAAACATCAACGGTATCGAGGAGCTCCTTTTGAGGTTCACTTAATTTCATCACATTGGCGGCGAGAGGCTTTGTTGCATGCGAAAAAGGACGACTGGCTCCAACAGTTCGAAATGCGGCAGCTGCAGACGATTGGCGGACAGTGAACGCTGAGGTATTGGCGAGCAATGTCGCGAGCATAGCGGTGGTACTGGCTGCAAACTTCATGGTAATTACCTCTCTTTCTATTTTGTTGTGTTCAAAGGCTTTCAGTGACGTTGTAAGTTGTGTGATCAAGTACATATATAGTTTCTTGTGGAATAAATTCAAAAGCTGACGTTTTTATTCCCACTAGTCAATCAAAAGTCCGTCACAAAAACATCCTCAATACAGCACGTATAGTCCGATACGATACTTCAAGCAACTAACAAAGATGTCTACTGTTTCTGCGAGATTCATGAATTCGGCTTTTGCCAAGATCCATCGGACTGGTGGTCGTAGATCATTTGCTTCGAGCGAAAACCTAGTCAAGACTTCGTTGAATGAGCTCCACAAAGAGCTCGGTGGAGACATGGTTCCATTTGCAGGGTATGAACTTCCCGTTCTGTACAAGGGGGAGAATGGTGGTGTTATGAAAGAACATTTATGGTGTCGCGATGATGGTAAAGCAGCCCTTTTCGATGGTGAGTCCTGAAAGTCAAATAGAAAACGTAACATCGCCCTGGTGTCTCAGTGTTGTCTATTCTCAGTTAGCCACATGGGTCAAATTCGCTGGCATGGCAAGGATCGCGCTGATTTTTTGGAGAAAATCGTTGTTGGTGACATCAAGGGACTACCAACTGGTAGTGGATGTCTGAGCCTGGTCACCAACGAGAAAGGTGGAATCATTGACGATACAGTAATTACCAATGCTGGAGACTACATCTACATGGTAGTAAATGGAGCGACGAAGTTTGGCGACATGAAGCACTTTGAAGAACAGATGGCTGCATTCGATGGTGATGTTACTATGGAATACTTGGAGGACTCGATGCAGTTGTTGGCCATCCAAGGTCCCGGTGCTGCCGAGGCTCTGAAGAAAATCGTTCCTGGTGATCTAGATCTCTCAAAGATGGCATTTATGACAGGAACAAATACTACACTTGATGGAATCGAAGATTGCCGTGTCACCAGGTGAGTACAATATGCAGTACTAAACTCATGCGATCACATCATCATCTCACTCGCAACCTACGATATCCAGATGTGGTTACACTGGTGAGGACGGTTTCGAAATTGCCATGCCAGCAGAACATGCTGTTTCGATTGCCAGCAAACTTTTGGAGGACCCATCTGTCAATCCGACAGGACTCGGAGCTCGAGATTCCCTTAGACTTGAAGCTGGACTGTGTCTTTATGGCAACGATCTAAATGAAAACATCAATCCAGTTCAGGGTGCTTTGGCATGGACTCTTGGAGGTCCAGGAAGTCGAAGACGAACCGATCAAGGTTTCTTGGGAGCCGAACATTTCTTGACTCCCGAAGGAAAGTTGAGAAAGCAAGAGAACAAGCGTGTCGGAATCAAGGGAATGAAGGCTCCCGCCCGAGAACACGCTGAAATTTACGATGTCACTGGAGAGAACAAGATCGGCGAGGTTTCTTCAGGGACGTACTCTCCTTGCCTCAAGGCTCCAATTGCCATGGGATACGTCTCAGCCTCCAACGCTAAGGTTGGAACAGAAGTTCAGCTCAAGATTCGAAACAAGATGCAGAAAGCGACAATCACAAAGATGCCATTTGTTGAAGCACGCTACTACCGAGTTCCATAAAGTCAAGCATAATTTTAAGATCTAATTTGCTCTTTACAGATTGCTTGTGTTAAAACATTGGAAGTATCTCACCAAAATGATGAGCCGTCTTCTTTATCTTACTGCATGATAATATCTTCACGAATCCGCGTCCGTCCGGTCTCCGTCCAAAGGCTGCCTCCAACCAAAAACCAGAAGAAAACCAAAGCGGACATCACATCACATATATCGTAGTGCGAACTGAGCTATTGGGAGGAGGGACTGTATAGTACGCAGCCAAGAAAAACTTAACTTAGCAGCATGGCAGAACATGTGCAGGAATCCCTCGACCGCATGGTCGCTCCTTTGCGAGACTTGATGGACCGCCAGATTTTTTCAGAAACAGAAATCAAAGCAATCGTCGAACGACGCCGGGAATCCGAGTACTTGTTGCGTCGTGTAGCCGCAAGAAAAGCCGATTTTCTTCGTTACATTCAAGCAGAGCAAGACTTAGAACGACTGCGTCAACTCCGAACGAAGCAACGGAAAAGAGATCATCTTAAGACACAGGTTCCAGACGAGCAATCACAAAAACAACACATTGGCGATGTACACATTGTACAGCATCTGCACTTGCTATTTGTAAGGGCAATCCGAAAATTTCGATCTGATCTATCGCTTCATCTACTACATGCTGATTTTTGTAAGCAAATGAAGTCTTACTCGAGACTTGGCAAGGTCTATTCTGAGGCACTTCAAATATTTCCGCGTCAATCTGGTTTATGGATTGAGGCAGCTTCCAATGAGTTCTTTGGACCCAATCGTAGCATACGGAATGCTAGAATCCTTTTGCAACGTGGTATACGTTTCAGTAAGACGTCTGAAGACATTTGGTGCCAGATGTTCTCTCTCGAAATGCACTATGCCCAAACTCTTAGAGGAAGAAAGCAGATTCTTTTGGGGGCAAAGGTTACCGAGGAAATGGCAGAATTGGCTAGCTACAAGATCGCCGAAGTCGTCTACAAGAATGCCGTGAAGGCAGTTCCAGATTCGATCCCATTTCGCCTAAAACTGTTGGACATTTGTCGAAAATTTCCAGATACTGAACCACTCATGGAGATAATTCAAGAACAGTTGGAAACGGACTTCGGCGAGCAACCGGAGGCATGGATCGCGAGGGCATTGTTTGAGGCTGAAAAAGATTTGAAACTGCACGGGAGTAAGAGTGACAACGAGGAAGATGGGGAGCCAGAACGTCCATCGAAGAAACAAAGGAAGAAAGACGCAGCAGTTGCCATGTTGGAACAGGCTATTGAAGCACTGCCTAATGACAGAATGCACTTGCATGCCTTTGAATTCGCTCGAAAGTACAAAGAAGAATTGGAAGGAAACGGAGACTCTGCTGTTCAGGTGCAAGAGTTCTTGGATCGCCTTGAAAAGCGCATTTCTGGCCACTTGTCTTCGGAACTTGCGATTGAGTATGCCGATTACCTCTTGGAATGCAACAGAATTACGGAAGCTGTGGCAACCCTTGAGGATTTCTGTATGAACAAGAAGCCAGTAGACTCTTCCCCTTGGATTCAGTGGGCTGGATTGTCATCCTCACCGAAAACGGTTCTCTCCAGTGCCACAAAGTGCGTACCAATGTCAAGTGCTTGCGAGTATCTTAAGATCTTGCTCCAGCTCTTTGGCTATCAGCTCAGTACAGAAGAAGACAACTCTATTCTTTTTCAGTCTTTTCAGCGCCTTCTTTTATTGTCACCCAGTACGCAATCACTTTTTCTTGAAGATTTGGGGACATGCCAGGGCTTTGGACTCCAAAGCATCGCAGAAGCCTGCGTAAAATACCTTGAATATGCTGCAAAAATTGGACTACCTGCTGTTCGAAAAGTCTACTCAGCTGTCCTCTTTAAGTCTTCAGTTGAAGTGAACGAGATTAATATGGAACGGCTTCAGAAGTTTGTCGAGCGAAGCGCTACTCTTGAATCAAAAGACAAGACAAGACGCAGGAGAATCTATCACAGAGCCATGGAAATGTTCGAAGGCACAGATTTGGAGCATGCCATACGAAAATTGCGTGAGAGTGACGCTGCTAAATTCTATTAATGCCTCCCACCTTTCTCAGCTTGTAGGTCCTATACTCATCTGTGTTGTGTTAGGCCAGGATAGGAGATAGGAGCGTTAGAGTCAACTATTGTCAAAAGGCCGTACATACAGTACTGTGTTGTACTGTACGGTACGACAATGATTTTTTACCTTCGACTAGGTAGACCACCGCTTATTGTATGATATCGTGCGACCAATGTGCGACACGCAATAAAGTAAACCATCCGCAGATCGGATTTGCCATCCTCCAACGTAATAAAAGCATACCGGTAACAACATAGAAACAACGAGACTAAAATGGCAGAAGAAACTAACCCCTCATCACCAGCAGCAAATCCACCGAACAAATGGAAGCTTCCTGATGGAATTGAGGATCACATTGAAGATGGTGCGTCGATAAGAGTGAAAACTACCAGATAAAAAGCATGTTCTCAATTTTGCACTTTTTATTTTGTCAATAGGATTAATCAAGAGCGCAATTGGTGCAACTGTTGGAGGCGTTTTCGGAATGATATTATTTCGCTCCGGAGGTGGGATGCGCTCTGCTAGCGTTGCTGCGGGAGTTGGTGCCGCCGTTGGATCTACATACGAGCGTTTCATGTCGTCTCAAAAATAGAGCATCCAGGAAAATGTACGAATCCAGGCTCCCCCTTCGATTGCGAATGAACAATTATAACAAGAGGAACAAGAGGATTTTGATACAGCCATCATTAATTTCATTATAATAACTCTTGGACGATGATGCAAAATCTTGCTATTGGACTTTTCCGTTTGTCTCATCCCTGAGCCATCTTCTTCCGCAAGTGTGGGGGGATGTATTTCTTTGGAGCACTTCCAGAACCTCCAGAATTCGTGGTCGTCGATGTTGATACTGTAGCTACTGTCGAGTCATCGGCCACTTGAGATGACTGCTGCTTGACAGGTTCGAGCTTCGGCGAAGCCTCTTCGATCTTGGCCATAGGTCTGACAACCTCCAGTTTGGGTTCTTCCTTCTTCTTCGCTTTCTCTTTTCTTGGTTTATCTGTGGCCTGAACACTTGCGTCTCCACGGAGCTTGCCTGTGTCGGTCTCAATGCCCATTTGAGCGCGCATATCCATCTTAAAGTTCATGATATCGCCACGGTACTGCGTAATAGTTTTGTTGTCACAAATCCAAATCTCCTTTGCGACTTGCGAGATAAGTCTCATGTCGTGGGAAACAAGGACAAGGCCACCTTCGAATTCATTTACTGCCTTTGCCAATGCGTCGATACTTTCCATGTCCAAGTGGTTGGTTGGCTCATCCAACAACAGCTAATAACGAGAGGAATAGAATGAGCTAAAAATAAAAAGCAACTTGAACGAAGCAACTCACGACCCGATAACTTACAATGTGCGGTACGTCTCTTCCTAACTTTGCAAACACAACGCGGGATTTTTGACCATCACTCAACTCGGACATTCTTTGTACTTGCTGTTTTCCGGACACACCGAAGCGACCCAAGTATTTTCTTTGCTCATCTCTCGGGTCTCCTGGATAGGTAGCTTCGAAAAACTCGAGTGGGGTCTTCGTCAAGTCAAGAACATCCACGAAATGCTGCGTGAAACGACCCATCTTCAGATGTCCGTGAGGACGGATATCACCCAAAGTTGAATTGAGCTCTCCAGCCATCAATTTGACAAGAGTTGTTTTTCCAGCCCCTGGTGGATTTAAACTGGTCAGCAAGATGTCATCGAAGTAATGCAAAACAAAGTGTGTGTGTATCTTACCATTCGGTCCAACTAGCGCGACACGAGAATCCAAATCTACACCAAAGTTGACGTTGGAATATAACGGCTCGCAACCAGGGTAACCAAAAGAGACGTCGTGAAATGCTAGAACAGGTGGTGGTAGGTGCCCAGGATCTGGAAACTTGAAATTCAGCGGCTTCTCCTCTTCTGGCTTATCAGTGAGCCCAGCTCGAATCATTTTTGCGAGAACCTGTGTAGCATGCGGGGTCAGCGCCGAGAGAAAGCAATCGTTTTCATGGATACGACCATGTGGCTTACCTTCTCCTTCGATTGGGCCTGCTTCGCATTCTTGGCAGTTCCGTGTCCAAATCGTGCAATATACTCCTTCATGCTCTTGATTTGTTCCTGTTCCCACTTGTACTGTTTCCATTGATTTTCCTCTTTCTCTGTTTTTGTCTTGATGAATTGGTCGTAGTTTCCGTCGTAATACACAAGTTTTCGTCGGTTTGTAAAGTGGACCATGTGAGTACAAACATTGTTCAAAAAGTCCTGGGAATGAGAAACCAGCAAAAGAATGCGGTCCCATCGGCTCAGATAGTCTTCCAACCAGATTACAGCTTCCATATCCAAGTGATTGGTTGGTTCATCGAGAAGCAAACTGCGGAAGAAATGGTCGTGTGAGAAGGATTCCAAAACAAAATATAGGGAGCAGTACTCATCGCTCACCAAACAGGTTGGATAAATAGTGCTCTCGCAAGTGAGACTCTCATTCGCCAACCCCCAGAGAAATCTTTGGTCAATTTAGATTGCATTTGATGCGTGAACCCAAGTCCAGCAAGGATGCTACGCGCTCGGACCTCCGCGGTCGAGCTATCCAAAGCGTCGAGACGATCGTAAACAAGGTTCAGAGCTTCCATAATTTCCTCCTGGATTTCTTCTGCCGTTTTTTCATTCTCCGGATCGCCATCCTCAGGAACTTCTGCAAGCAAAGTATTCAAATCTTCTGCATGTTTCTCGAGCTTGAGTCTTTCTTCGTCTACACTCATCACGGCTTCCAATGCTGTCATCGTGTCTGATGGTTCGATTTCTTCTTTGAGGAAGAAGATATCGATCGAATTGGGAATGGGGATGGCCCTTGCTCCCAAAGCCTTCAAAAGTGTGGATTTTCCGCATCCATTCCTACCAATCAATCTGAAACAGAAAGGGCAAGGGCAATATGAGAACCAAACCATTTCCACCAACCAAAATAGACCAAAATTTTCTGCCTTACCCATATCGATTTCCGTGATTCAAAACCACCTCAGACTCGTCAAGAAGAACTTGTCCCATATGCTGTAAAGTGAAGTTTTGACAATTGATATCCTTTGCGCGAGCATCAACACCTTTTCGACTAGAACTGAAGGTACAGATTGTTCCAGCAGACGCCAATACATCGGCGGCTTCATGGTCGATTCCATCATCCACATTATCCACTTGCGCCATAGCTGCAACATCACTCAAAACTTCCTGCGCCGACTTGACTTCTTCCTTTTCTGGTTCATCGTCGTCCTTCCCCTTGCCTTTAGCCTTGCGCTTCGCTTCACGTTTTGCTTTTGCAAGAGCCTTTTTCTCATCTTTTGACAACTTTTTCTCAAACAATTCCTCATCGCCACCTCCTTTACATAAACTGTAAGCACGAGACCATTCGAAAACAAGCGAATTTCACAAAACTGACTCACCCATCGCAGCATCCTTCACCAAGTCTGTAACAGATATCTCTTTCTCCTCAGTGTTTTGCAGAGCCTTTTCAAAGGCAATTTCAGCCTGCTTTGCTTTCTTTTGGTGCCATTTCGACGCCATGACTGCCTGCTTTTTAGTATCTTTGTGTATCCAAATCGAGTGTTGACTATGATTTACACTAGAGAGGTATTAATACCAATAAAATCGTAAATAATACAAATAAATACGTCATGGGATTGAGAATGTCTGGAAGCCAACCGATACCAGTACCGTACCGTCCGTCCTGCTCCCGATACAGAGGAGATTTATGCAGTAGTAACAAGAGTATAGGTAGTAAAAAAGAGTGACGATACTGTAATTCACAAGATGTGATACCGGCAGACGAAGTTTGGGATAAGGAAGGTTGGAACTGAAAAGGTCTTGCTCGGATAGAAGCCATAGACGCTATGAGTTGTTTCCATTCCACATTGCCAGCATGCTTCCGTCTTCATCTTCCTCTTCTCCAGCCACTACTGCTTTATTTCCTCCATTGTTTGCATTGGTTGCTTTCGTAGCCTCAGTGCTCTTCTTCCTTTTCGTCGACCTTTGCTTTGATCTCGATTTTTTCATTTTGGAAGGTATGTCTTTCATTTTCTTGTAGTCCGCTGGTGATTTCTTTTCACCTTCAATTTTGACTGAAAATACCCTCTTGGTAGCAAAGGCCATCAATATAACACCAGCAATAACTCCTACCGTCACCTTAAATTCCGTTGATAGAAAGCTTTGACGCTGTCTTTGACAACAGATACTTCTATATGAAGATTGTCCGGAGAGGCATTTTTGTTCGTTCTGTGATGCGTCAATCAAGGAAAGCTCCAAATAGACATCGGCACAAGTTTTGCTACTCGAAACGTGAAGGTTAAGATCTGGTGGTGTCCTATGTCTTGCACATAGAGCGCATGAGGTATCGCTGAATAGTGAGCTGCTCATGGTCAGTTCTGGGTTGTAGCTTGTAGTCCTATAGTATTGTGACGAGAACTGTTGTATTCGGGACGCGTGCCTATTTGTGTGAGTTGAGGGTCCACGACCCGGATGTTGATTATTCAAAATATTATATAAGATATATTCAGTGCTGTAAATGATTGAATATATGTCGAAGAAGGCGGTTATCGGCGGAACGATCTGAAATAGCCTTTACTAAGATTTTTTGAACCGCGTGAGCCGGTATACGAGTACCTAAAGTACTACGGTACACGTACTGTACTTGCTCCAACCTTACTGTACAGTAAAAACCTGTTTCCACCATACTGAATTGTACAAGGATATGTTCAATCATCATTTCAAATGATTACAGTACTACAAAATTCACACCATGAAACTACGGAACATGAAAATATCGCCTTTTGCCTCAGATGACCAAAAACTTGGCAAGGTCTAGATCGACAGACCATTGAAATGCTTCAAAGATCTTCTTGCAGGCATAGCCAGCAAATACAGGGACCACAAGATTATCATCTACGTGGAATGGTGGTACACTTACTCCACGTATACGCTTGGGAAGTGTCAACGTCGGAGTAGGAACTGCTAAATCCGCAAATGCACCAGCCAGTCCCAAAGCAAGGGATGCAGCCAAAAGATTCGTTCTTGTGACAGAATGACCAAACCTGGCCAAGGACAAAAGGCGGTAATTCATAGGAACGCAGGCAATGCCACCCCCAAGGAAACCAAGAATTCCTTTGTTGCGTCCAAATCCACCGAGGCCACTAAAGAAAAAACCAAAGAGTGTGAGATGGATTCGGTTCAGGTTACACTACCAACCAACGTAAACGATAGATAGTTAGATTGTATTCCCATCACGCAAGGAACGTACTTTTCAATTCGTGACCAATAGACATGTCGGGTTTGGCGCCCAAAATAGCTTGCCGTGGGGTCAGCAATGGCCAATTGGCAAATCCCAAGAGTGGCACAGCTTGTTGGATACAATGCGGCAGTGACAGTCACCCCCAAAAAGTAGTAGAAGGATCCAGTGAACTTTCCATCCATCTCGTGCTTTCGCAAGGAAGATCCAAGGATCATGTGCAAAACTTCATTCATCCATCCAAAGCCCTTGCGATAACGCAAGAGTTCCATTGTCAAACAACTTGTTGTCAAAGCTGCCATGCCCGGAACGAATTTTGCTTTTGGAATGAAGTGGTTCAAACCAGCAAAGAAAAATCCAAAGCAGGCATGCAAAACTTTCCGTCGCAGATTGGTGGCATTGCGGTTCTATACAAAACAAAACGACATCAGGTTGGATGAGGGCAAGCCTTCGACGAGTACAGCAATTAGGATCATAATTTCATTGGTTCCGCTCACCTTTAGCTTCTTGGCAATTTGCTTGTGTCTCTTCTGCTGCTTCTTCTTTTCTTTCTTTGTGAGTTGCTTTCGTTCTGGGGTGATTTCAGTTTCTGCAATCTCCGTGTCGATGGTTTTGACGACAATGTCAGATGCGGATGTCTTGGCAATGCCAGTGTCAATGTCGGTCTTTGGTTCAGGCGTGGTAGCACTAGTACCTCCAACTGTTGTATAGACTGTGACTCCACCAGGGTATTTCTCAGCCTTAGTACTGCCACCTCTGGAAACTGGATGTATTATTCTCGGGCTGACGTCGTCTGGAACTTTCGGGATTTCATCGCCTCCACGCACTCGAAGATACTCGAGAGATGATTGTCTTGGTTGAATGGAAGGGTGACCGAAAGGACGACGGTGCCATGTTCTCGATTCAACACTAGTCTGCAACAATAGAACCAACAAGATGGCGCACTTTAGGTATGGTGGTTGCATTGTTTCGAAGACTTTCGCCCTTGTAAAAATGAATTCGAAAAACTTTTCACGAAACACGTTGTGATTGTGTGTATTGGAATTCTTGAGTTCAGTGAAGTGTTCCAACTCTGTAGTCAGTCATCTTTGGACTGACAGTCATACGTCACACTTTATGTGGTCCGTACCAGGTACTGTACTCTCTAGATCTCGTTGATGTCACAATAATTACAGAGTGATTACCTACCAGTACCTGGTACACGTACAGTACCTGTACTGTAGCACGGAAAAATATTCCGAATGACATGCATGGGGTCTGATGGGTCATTGTTAAGATTCCAGTCGTCCGAATCAATCAATCACCAAACTTCAAACGGTCAAAAAACAATTTTTGGGGTGCGCAATCAAGATTCAACGCCTTCCGCCAAAGAAAAGAATGAGAATGGTCACACTCAACTCGTGACAGTAGCAACCCGTTCTATTTAAAAGCAAGGACGTAACATACCTATTCCAGTACAATGAGCACTCCACCCAGAAAATGGCTGATGGATCGCATTACTGGCGACTCCAAATACGGTGACAGAGATCGTCCATCTGGGCCCTGTTGTTGGGTACCTCCCATGGTTGGTTGGTGCCCCGGACTGTTGGAAGAAAATGGATGCTGCAAAATGGTTGGACAGATAGGAGCTTACTCTAGCGAAGCTTCGCGATTTTACTTGATGCATTTGGGTTTCATGCTGAACCTCATTTCGATGCTATTGATTGCCTTTGCCTGTTTGGCAATATCCGAGGATTTTGACATCTTGTCCAAGGCATCGTTCGGAAAGTTGACTTTATCAGATGAAGTTGGAGACCTTGCCGCTGGCACTGTTATGCATGTTGGATTACGATCTGTTTCATTATCGAAGGACGATGTTGGAATAGTGGTGATCAATTTTGATCAACTTTGTGAAGTGGATGGATTCGATGCCTTTATGAAACCCACCGACTGCGATTCTTGCCAATCCATGGCTCCAAACTTTGCTATTTCAATCATGCTGGCAGCAGTGCTTGTTCTGCCGACCTTGTTCATCAACGTTTCGCGGTTGTACTCTGGATACGATGCCAATTGCTCCAAATTCTACTCTGGAGTGCTATCCTTGGCATGCATCGGGCTTGCACTCAACACCATGTTCACATACAAATTCCTTTGTGGCGACAAGTTCTACCAAGGAGTCGTGCCATTTGGTGTCGACGGTGACGCCTTTCCACAAAGAGAATCTTTTTATGTCAACTATGACTGGCAATGGGGCTGGGGTATCATCTTCCTGATTGCAGGTGTTGTCCTCAAAATATTCGAATTACTCATTAACTGCTGCATCCCAACGCCATCAATTACCAGAGAAAGAAAAGAACAAGAAACCTACGAGCAAATTCAAGATTGGGATGACTAAGTCCTCCAAGTTTTGTGTTTTGTACCTTTCTATGAAGCCAAACCTTCTTTGTAAATGAGTATTGCTAGTAGTCCTACATTTAATGAAATAACCAATCATTGAAATTATCCATAGCTTTGCAATACAATTCTACTTGACACCCTTTTCTTTCTTTGCTTTTGGGAGCTTTATTGATTCTATCGATTCATTCTGTATGGTTTTCATTCGACCTTTTATATTAATGACAGTTGTCTCGTCCGTTCGATCGTGCAACCTTCCGGCAATCTCTGTAACCATCTTTTTCTTGGGATCTTCGAACCGACAAATCACATCAAATCCCTTGTAAGCCTCAAACATGATTCCCGAGAGTTCATCTTAAATAGAAAACAAAGTCAGCCCTCCCGTCAACATTGTGGTTGCAGAAACGTGCAGCATTCGGCCACGAATATCTTACCTGATGCTCCAGGAGTTGTCACTTCAATCTCATGTGTCTCGGCAATCGCATTTCCAATTTCATTTTCTCCCATTGCAAAGTTGATTGCTCGAGCAAGTTGCGTAATATCGACACCTGATACCGCCTCAGGAATCACCTCTTCATAGTCCTCTTCTCCTTCCTCATCCGATTCTGCAGATTTATCAGGGTTGGAGACATACACCTTTCCACGAACAGTCACAATGACTCGCCCAGCCTTCCATTCAATATCCAAATCTTCTAGACTCTTCATACCACAAGAAGCTCCCGCTTCCTGGATGATTTGCGTTCCAATGTCTTCGTAACCACTTGGGAGTGCTTCTAGAAGTACTGCTGTTGATGGAAAACGACGAGAGCTGTGTTGCAGGCTGAGTCTGTGTAGACCTGGTGCCCAGGCACCAATATACGGACACAAGGCTGCAAATGAGAGAATTAGAGACGCATTTCTCATGTTGGACAGCCTTGCGAGATATTTGTTTTCGTTGTGATATTGTGTCGACCCCTAACCCCAACTCTAACCCCAACTCCCACTTTTTAAAAAACAGTGCCGGTACGCGGTACGTCAGTCCACGTCACACGAGCTACCGGTAGAATTTTTAAAAGCGTACCAGTACCAGTACCATGGTACCAGCGGGAAAATACTGTGGTAATACTTTTGTACAGTCGGATACAGTATAATACCTGCCAGGTATTATACTGCGCTGTCCACTGCCCTCTGGAAATCGTATTTTTGACACCCGAGTTGCAAACCGAAGAGTGCAATTCCATGTACCTGTATCATATTTTTCTGTCAAGCGGAGCCAAAGCGGAGTGGTATCTACGTTTTTAATATCCAGTGAATCTAAGTTTGTGTTATGGTGCTTAAAACTTCCAAGACTGCTGAAATCACAACGATGATAATGCACTATTTCATATAATATATAAAACCTTTTGGAACCATCCTTCGAGTCGATGTAACAAAACATTCATGTTCGTAGGTAGCACACAACACTGCTACAATCGTCAATCGCATTAGGCTTTTTAGACTGCAGCGGTACCATCCTTGGCTCGATCCATTCCCTGTCGACCATGGTGCACCATCATTGGCTGCCCCCCTTGCTGTTGTGGGGGTGCAGATGGTGGTCCGCCAGGAGCATGAGGATGTTGGCCAGAATGTACTTGGCGATGAATTGGCGGTTGTGGCGGAGGTGATGAGCGGGGAGGTCCTTGGTGATGCTGAGATGGCGGAATGACTTGTCCGTGGGGGGAAGGGCCTTGCGCATGAGGATGTTGACCCGGTGGACCAAGAGGAGCTCCTGGTGGTGGGCCCATCATGACACTTGGTGCATGAGGCGGGGGGCCCATGTTGTGCGGAGGTGGACCGTGCATCATGTGAGGTGGTTGGGGATGTCCCGATGGGTGGCCTTGCGCATGGTGGGGCTGGCTAGGATGATGTCCCTGTGGGCCACCGTGTCCTTCGGAGCCATCTTGCATCCCAGCAGAAGCTTGTTGCTGCTGAATTTGCTGCAATTGGTATTGCTGCCATTGCAGCTGCTGAAGCTGAGCCTGAATGAGCTGATTCTGTTGATTGATTTCAGCCGGATTCATATTCATCGGGTTCATCATCATTCCAAAGGGCATTCCTCCGAATGGCATACCCATTGGATTTGGCATGAGCTGTTGCTGTTCCTGAAATTTGGAAGAGCTGTGACTGCTCATGCGAAGGCAGAGGTTTGGTTCGTCTCGCAAGAATAGCTTGTGATAATAAGATCTATGACAAACGCGAAAATAATGTGAGCAAAACAAGGAGTTTTCCTGTCGGATAAGTGATCGGGATGCAAAAAAAGCTTACCCCATTTCAGGACCTCTGGTGACTCGAGTGAAGCCCCATCGATTCAGCTTACGAGTAAACGAAGTAAATTTTGTCGCTTTGAAGTAGTTTGGAAGTGTGTGAGCTGCGAACCTGCTCAAGAGAAAGAAGGGTGAGAGGCCAAAATAGTGAAACATCATGCATCGGTCGTCGGCATGCCAATGACAGAGACTCGTGCGTTGCGATTCATCGTGCGTTGCGATTCATTGATTCTTACCGTTTCTTTTTGTAAATAACTGTGGTTCATTCAAGGAGGAGAAACGAGTTAGAGAAGGGCATCGTGTTGAACACTCGAAATGTTTGAGTAAGACGTACTGAAACTTCTTCCATGTGGAAGCCAGGCAATCGTATCAGATTCCTCTTCGGTGTTTAGAATCTCCATGAGGATCTGAGGGAAAGTCTTCGGTGCCTCATCATCCAAGTCTTTCAGTAGCTTGCTCTCATTTTCGAGCTTGGGTTCGGATGCTGAAAGCTTCTCTTCATCATCAGCTTTGACAGTTTCATCATGCAACTTTTCGGCTTCCATTCCATGGTCATTGTCCGCAGAATCCTGCGTAGGCTCAACTACTGCGGCTGGAGGCTGAGAAATGCCATCGCCATCTTCTTTCTTGATGGTCTCGTGCAACTGAGTCTGTTTGTCCAATGCATCTGTTTCAAATTTAGATGTGGCTTCAGCCTCCTTCTTGGTTTCGTCCATGGTGACGTCTTGTATGACACTCAGCTATGACACTCAGTTGTCTCAGTTGTGCCTTCGCAAAGTCGCTTCTGTCGTAATACGACAGGCCGTCCTTGCGGGCGGTGCAAAATTCGAAATGTCGGTGCCGTGGACAGAAATAGACCCTATTTTTGCTGACGTTGAAGCCAGGATTTCAATTATTCCAAGTGGAGAAAGCTGGGGTAGGAGAAGGCTACGATTGAATCACCAAACTGAACAGAATAAGCAAAATCCGATATCATTCATCAGCTTGCTCGAATCTTAATTGAATAATGAAAATTTCTGGAGCTGCCGTTTTTGCCATCGCCATTGCAAGTGTTGAGGCTTTCTCTCCCGCATCTGTCCAGCAGAGGAATGGTGCAACTGCCTTGTTCTCCACCACTGAAGGGAGCAAACCAAGAACCAAAAAGGAAGGCCGATTGGGCTTTTTCAAATCAGAAAAGTTCCACAGAAAAGGATTCAAGGAAGTGAGAGACAATGTTGAAGACACTATTAACGAACAATACCAATCATCTCTAGTTGACGATCTGAAGTCCAGCAACTATGTTATTGAAAAGGACAACGTCAAAGTTTACTTGGCCAAGGATTTCGGTTTCTGTTGGGGAGTGGAGCGCAGTATTGCTCTTGCGTACGAAGCCGTCAGGCATTACCCAGATAGGAAGTTGCATATCACAAACGAACTAATCCACAACCCCGAAGTAAACGACCGCCTTACCGAAATGAACGTCAACTTGATTGAGAAATTGGGCGAAGGAAAGAAGAACTTTGATGTGGTTGAAGATGGCGATGTTGTCATCCTTCCAGCATTTGGTGCTTCTTACGAAGAGATGGACTTTTTGGACAAGAAGGTAAGTGACTCGTGTGTTTTAATGTAGCCATTGAGTTGAATTGTATAGTGGGACTGACGCCGACCTACATCTTCTTCATTCGTAGAATGTCGAAATTGTTGACACCACCTGCCCTTGGGTTTCCAAGGTTTGGAACACTGTTGATTCCCATCAGCGCAAGGGACTGACATCGATCATTCATGGAAAGTACGGTCATGAAGAAACTGTTGCAACTACCAGTTTCTGCGAGGATTATATTTGTGTGAAGGACATGAAGGAGGCAGAAATGGTTGCCGACTATATGGCTAATGGAGGAGACAGAGAGGAATTTTTGAAGTACTTCAAGAATGCTGTTTCCGAAGGGTTTGATCCTGATAAGATGTTGGAGAAGGTTGGGCTTGCAAATCAAACGACGATGTACAAGAAGGAAACCAAAGCCATCGGACAACTTTTCCAAAAGACCATCATGCAAAAGTTTGGACCAAGCAAGGTTGATGAGCATTATTATGAATTTGACACTATTTGTGATGCAACACAGGTAAGTTACTGTCTGAACTTTGCGTTGGTTGAACCCACGAAGATAGCTGTCTTACACATCATTGCAGGAGCGTCAAGATGCCGTCACAGAGCTTGTGGAGAACGGGAACGATTATGGCTTGGACTTCATCTTGGTTGTTGGAGGCTGGGATTCATCTAACACAGCCCACTTGTTGGAAATTCCACACCACCAGGGCATCAGGTCTTTCCATATCAACCGTGCAGACTGCATCAGTGCTGACAACACGATTACCCATCGCACAGTTGAAGGTGAAATTGTCACAGAGCCTTTCTTGTTGAATTTGGACAAGGATTTGGTACTAGGAGTCACATCTGGCGCATCGACACCTGATGCTGCCGTGCAAGACGCTTTGAGCCAAATCTTTTTGCTCAAGAAGATGCAAGATGCTGCAAAAGAAGGGAGCGCAGTCAAGTCTGATTAGAGCTTTGTAAAATAGATACTAAATACTGATAGTCCATGAAGTAAAATACAGTAGAATTTTGGTTTTAGTAGATCGGTGGATTGATTTCGTATCTTGTTTTGCAGAAAATTCAAAATGAATCGTGTCGATCAATCGTATCGTTTGTCATTCGACCGCAATTTCTGACGTATGTTGCAAGCTGAGATGAGTGAGTCAAGATGCCTGAGGCATCATGTCAAGGATGATCGTACGTCGCCATAAAAAAAGTCCACATAAACAAAATCAAGATGAAGTTCTCTACTACTTGCACCGCTCTGCTATTGGCATCTGCCTCGGCTTTCACTCCTTCCCATAAGCCTTTTTGCTGTACGTTTGCGAGTTGTATGTTCTCGTGGCCACCAACTGTTCGAATCTTACTCTTTTGGCAGCCACTTCTCTAAAAGCACAAACTGGTGTTTCCAGAACTGACTTTTTCGCGCAATTGGCTGGCGTCGCTGTAGTCGCTAGCGCTTTCCCCGGAGCCGCAAACGCTGCTAAGTACGGTGGAATCGGTGCCTCGTCTCCAGGTGTTCTTGACCCGAAGGAAGCTATTGTTGATAGTGAAATCCTTGCCTCATCTGGTGTCCAAGATGCTTTGAAATCTGTGAAGAGCTATGCTGCGTTGGTTGGTGAAATGAAGAAAACCGTGGCAGGGAATGAGCAAGTCAACCTTGGACCAGTCCTTCGTAAGCAATTCGATTTCGGAAAGCTTCGTGCTGACCTTAACACATTGAACACTGCTTTTGATGAAGACACACAAAGAGGAACAGATCGTCTGATCCGAGGAATTCTTCAGGACCTGACAGAAATTGAAACTGCTAATGTCCAAAAGGAAGGAATTGAGAGAAGTCCAAGACGTGTAGCCACTTTGAACGCCAAATTGGACAAGGTTGAAAGCGCTTTCAATCAATACCTAGCTTTTGTCCCATAAACATAGATATATAAGTTTTGCAAACAACGTCGTATCTAGCTCATTTGAACCAGTTTGAATTGTAGAAACACAAAATTCTCAGCGAAGCCATTCACTCAGTATAGTAGTGTTGCAAAATCAAATGTGGTTTGCTCCCAAAGGGAGAAGAATCATTCAAGTTGTCGCATGATGTCGTGAAGGTACTCTTCTCAACTCTAATATTTATGGGGACTCTGTCCATACCCCAATCGATCCCTTGTACCTATAAGTAGTTGAACATTGTGTAGAGGCGTCCCCCAGCTCTCGCATCGCAATGCTATTATTCATTGAAAATCAGCAGAGTACTCATTGTAGCCTGATCTTGTTTCTTGAACCTACAGTTTCTTCAAAATCCATCCAGATAACCTTGTATTGTAAGGTGGCAATGAATTTCAGAGAATTTCATCGAGAATTTGCTAATCAATGTACTGGTAGGGCTAGCTTCAAACTTGCATGATTTTCTAAAAATTGCAGGGATGAATATAGGCTGAGACCTTCGCAGATTCTTCTTGTCGGTGGAAGTAGCACAATCTCCTGTACGAATACACCTAATGCTTTGTCAAAATGAAATAAAACTCATAGATTTTACAAAAATACAGTTCATGATCTATGGCTTCGGGCTTATGAATGGCGTAGTGCGGGAATCAGCACAAGCTTAACCGAGCAATTGCTCTTTTAAGGTGGGAGTCAAGTACTCCGCTACTCGGAGGGTTTCGACAGCAATGTCAATAGTAGCAATTCCAGTGGGTTCTGTTCCATTGGCGCAGAAATCAGCAACCTTCTCCTTGACAGTGATGTAGTCAGGATCTTGAGAGAAGAAGTAAGGCATGGCTCCGGGGTATTCCTTTTGCAACACAGTGACATTGGCATTGTCCTCTTCATCGGGCATTGTGTGGCGGAACTTTTCTTCTCCGTTGACATCGACCTTGGCCCAGGAAACATCACCGCCACAACGATCGGCGGAGACACTGACAGACTTGCCACTCTTGGTGGTGATGGTGAACTTGATTTTGTCAAAATCGGTGAAATCATTTCCAGAGGGTCCCTTCAAAGTTTGGCAAGAAGAGAAATCCTTATCGGCGACGCACTTTTCAATAGTCTCGACCTTGACGTCAAAGAAAGAAACCAACAAGGCAAGCTCGTGGATGGCCATGTTCTTAAGCATACCCTCACGATTACGCTCAAAGCACTCGCCCAAAGATTCAGGAGTGTTTTCATAGGCATTGTTGGAAACGAAGGTGATGTGGGATCCCTCGTGGGCAGCGGCAAATTCACGTGCCTTGGAGACATACTTGCAGACATTCTTGTTGTATCCCATCAACACCGCAACACCGGCGGCATTGGCCTCGTCTCTCATTTTGGAAAGCTCGGTAACGGTTGGAGCACCTGGTTTTTCCAAGTAGATCGTGGAGATCTTGCCTTCAATACATTCAGTCAAGAGTCTTGGGTTGTCGGCAGTTCGGCCAGAAATAAGAGCCAGGCGTTTCTTGCCGTCAGCAATTGGAGGAAGATCCTTGACACTATTAAAAAATTGAACTCCATCCTTTTCTTCGGCTTCCTTTTGGAAAACAGCAAATTCTGGGCCACCTGGTCCGCTGGCACCTGTCATGACGGCAAAGAGAAGAAAAAAGTGTCAGACGACAAAATCTGTTTCTCTAATATTTGATTTGTCGAGAGTCTCCCATCGCTCCACTAATTCATCTATTGCTTCAATAGAAGTAGAGTGCCGGCAAATACAGGGAGTTATCCTCTTCCAAGTCATCTAAACGTTCACTTGAAACGTACCTGCTCCCATGAACCACGGTTCAACGATGAAGCAAAGCTTGGCCGATGGACATTTGTTCTTCAACATTTGAACGGCGTGGTACCATCCCATACCACGCATGGGGGCACCGCATCCAACAAGGACGACTTCGCATTGTTTGTCTCCAGCTTCAGCAACCATTTTTATCTTGTTTTCTGGAATTGGTTGTCGAAAAATTATGATAAGAAGTGCCAAAAGATACAGTATCCGAACCCGATCTTGAAGTACCAAAACTCGTAGATTGCTACGTAAGTTGCTCAATACCGGCAGATTTTTGAGTTCTTCCTGAAATTAGGGGTACGTGGTGGGAAAAAGGGAAGTTTTGCCGGAAAGGAAAAAAGTGCCGGAAATCGACTCCAATCATTTTGACAGTCATCTGAAGAGTACAGCGGAAGGCAGTGACGTAAACCTCACCGACTACATTGCTGGTCTGATGGAACAACAAAATCCTACAATCAGCCTGGGGTCAGAGTAAAAATTAGAAAGAAATAACCCATGCAACTCCTCATCTAAAATAGTTTCAGTTAGCGACAGTCAAGTTTGCCTCAAAATAATAGCTAGGTGGAAAAAAAATCTGATTTCTTCGCTATCTTTGCAAAAAATTACAACCGCTTCAGTGATGTCTTGCACAATACAGTACAGAATACAGCACGGTCCGATGACACGAATGGATGATGAATCCCCCCTCATGAGCTGCTGGTGATGCTTTCACAATCAAAATAAATTCTAGCCTAATTCGAACGACGGCATGCAGCAGCCACAATCGCTGCTTCACCAATAGAGACCAAAATCAATCACCGTCCCTTGGAATCACTGTCCCAGTCCCAAAAAATAACCCGCTTCATCAACGATGTAGTTCTGTCAATGGTCTTGCCAAATTCATTGACAACCCGACGGCTGGCACTCATGGTGCGCTCAGGAAAGTCTTCTTGCGTCGCTTGATACACCGTATGTGCATTGATTTTCATTTGCTTCATTACAGTATTTGCAGAATTCAGAAATCGGATTGGAAAGCGAGGGGCATCTGGATTGGCAGCTTGTGTTTGCGCTGGGACTGGTTTCTTGCGTTCATCGTCCGCAATCGGATCATCGTTGTCATCCTCCGCCAAGGAGGATTGATACAGAATTTCCAATACTCCCAATCGAATAGTAGTAGTTCGATCTAATCCTAATGAGGGACTAGAAACATCACGTACGCTAGACCCTGGTGCACAGTATGGAGCAATCGCTGCAATTGTTTCTTCCTTTGAGCCTTGTGGCCTTAAGACCAACAAATCAACCTCTGTAGAACCGTAGCATCTCCACTTTTCCTGCCTTCCATCCTTTGGTGAAGATTTCCCCTCCTCTTTTTCATTTGAAGGATACACCAATACATTCGAGACGTCTACCAGTTCCAGTGACTGAGCCGCTGCTGTGTTGTTGTCTTGCTGGTCGAAGGTGGGACCTCTGGAAGGTGCCTCGTGCTCACCACTCTTGTGCTCAAAGACACGGATAGCCTCATCCTTGGTGGTCAGGCGCCAATGATCGACATGCTCCAGCTTAGACTGAATGCCTTTGCATACTCCAGCAGAAGAAACGCGGGAGTCAAGACTAAACTTTCCTCGACATGTGTAGCGGAAAATGGAAGGATGATACAAAGGGACTGAGCTATCGGTAGGTACTGTTCGGCGGCGTCGATTGAGGACAGTCGTGGGCTTGGGAGCTCCTGGCTTGCTATTTGGGTCCACCATGACGACTCAAATGTCCATTGTCGGCCATTGTGGCAGTCTCCTTTACGTTGACATGCCAGCAGACAGAAAACGAAAGAAAAGGAACGAATGAATCGAATCGAATCATTGGATTTAATTCTTCTTCTGATGACGGTCGGACGCCCATCTCGTACCGCTATCGTCCCGGGACCGGTACTGTCCGTGGGTCTCCGTAAGGCTCATTCATGTACGGATATCAAATAGTGAACGTTGGGAAGACACCGGCACAAGGAACAATTGTATTAGTACCACATTATAGGTAAGCAAGAAACACATTCTCTATCGGCAATTCACTCTATTGATAACATGATTAGTTTATTTTCCTTTTCCTAGACCTATCTTCTTTAGCTTTCCGAACAGTTTCTTGGATTTTTTCTTCTCTTTTGGTTGATCTTCACCCTCGTCATATTCCTCCTCGCCGACATCGTCCTCGTAAATATCTTGGTTTTGCTGGCCTTGTGAACCTCCGTCGTAGGCATCGTCTTCAGCATATTGTTCCTCTTCACCACCACCTTGATCTGCAGAAACTTCGTGTCTACCTTTATCCTTTTTGGAAAATAGTCCTTTCACCGCCTTTTTGGTACCCTTTCCGGCGCCCTTAACTATCTTCTTTGTACCCTTGCCTGCCAGTTTGGCGATTTTCTTGACACCCTTTTTCTTGCCTTTTTGGTGCTCAAAATAGTTCTCACGAGGCACTACTTGGTAACGATGACGGATGTGAAGAATATCCGCAAATCTCTCTTCGATGTCGATTACCTTGGCAACGCCCTTCCATTCGATATACTGAAAAAGGAAAAGGAATGTGAATACGTCTCATCACGAGGGTGCCTTTCAGATTTCTAAAAAGTACGTACCTTCTTGTGAGCCCGTCTCAGATACCGCGCGCCCTCGTCGATTTTTCCGATGGAGTCAAAGTACATTCCCGCTTTTTCACTAGCCAATGCCTCTAGATGTAGCATACCTTCCTTAGCTGCTGCATGGATGGCTTCATCATAGACTTCTTGAACTTTGATAATCGCAATCTGTCGACCGGCTTCCTTATTCACCAAATATTCAGCATCCAACAACGAGATCATGGCACTTGGATTTGGTGCACCAGCATTGTACCAATCGATCAGTTTGCCTTTCTTCTCTTCAATCTTTGCTTTTAGGTCGTTTCGACCTCTCCCCTTTGTCGTTGGTAATTTCGAAATGAGGAACAAGCTTTCAAAGAAATAGTAATATGATGACCAAATACCATCGGGTGGTCGTTGAATCTTGGACAGACATAGTTGCACCATGTCCGCGTCATTAAAGAGCGAAGCGATGAAGAGTTGCATGAAATAAAAGTAGTCCAATGCGGCTTTGGCGTCTCCTCCACTTTCCAATTCCGCAATGAACTCATCTTCCTCGCTTACATCGTCACCAAAGAAAACAAGTGGGGACTCAGTTTCGCCCATCAAGTTGGTAATGAGTTCTTGTACAATGGTGATGCGCCATTTGTCCGGCATGTCATAGTCGTAGAAAGGTCTTTCAAAAAACATCACGTTTGCTCTTAGACCCTCTAATTCGAAACCGCTCGCAAGGTGATACTGAATGTAGGTCACGATACTGAAATCTGCGTTTTCAAAGTCACCATTATCGACTTGATCATTGTAAATGTTCAAAATAGGCTCCAAGCTTCTTCGGTAATGTCTCCTCCAATGGCAAATGTTCCATTGGAACATCATTGCGGCTTTCCCGCCGTACAGATCCGTTCCTCTACCGAGCTTCTCTGCCACTTGTCCGTAGCGATGACCTTCTTTGATTGCACCAATCGTGACTAGATGGGATCCAAAAAGTGCAAATGCTAATGGATACTGTCTGGAATGCCCAAACCTGAGAGACAGATGCATCATCCTGATCATGGCAAAAAGCTTGTAGTAGTTGGGTTCACACTTGTCACTGATCTCAACCACCAGGGCAAGCAAAAAGTTGATGTCAAGTGCTTTCCCATCCGTCATTTTCGGAGGATTCAATAACTGTCGGTTGTCTCGTTGCGCAACCATTTGCCTTAATTTGCCAACTTCACCATCCACGATTGGTCGTAGATTCTCAGAAGGGAAGTTTTCTCCCATTCTTCCAAGCAAAGCAAGTGCTCTATTCAATGCGTCATTGTACTTGCCCTCTTCCATCAACACTGAAAACATTAGATGCGACGCGTATATTTTGTCCTTCAAGGACGTCGCGTACTTGAAAATATCTTTGCAGAGCTTCTTCGATGCCTCTAGGTCGTTACAGCACACTTTCATTCGGGCAAGATAAAGAAAATTTCTCAGTGTTACATCGTAGAGATGCTTCCACTTTGTTTCATTGTCTATGAGACCCATCGTGATCTCGAGGAATTCTGCTGCTGTTCGGAACGAAGTCCTTGTAATGCAAATTTCGGCGACCTCTTGATTGAGTTTGTATAGCTTCACAATAGCACCCTGGGGTAGAAGGGAAGAGCAGCAATTGAGTTGGTCAATAGCCAGAAACTTGAATCTTGAATCTGGCTTTTCTTTTGCGCTGATCAAATTCAGTTCTTTCGCCATGGCCAAATGCATGCTAGTCTCAGGCGTTTTGGTCTCTTCTGTCATTGCGGTTGAATATGCGCTCGAGCGAACACAATCGTGGGAGAATCGGAAGTAACCTTCACCCCGGTCTTCCACAAATCCTAATTTGCAGGCTTTTGAAAGGAAGTCTTTTAGGTCATCCTCTGTTTGAACGTAGCATTCTTTATCTTGGCGGGTCCAAGCAGCAAGAAGGACCTTATCAAGCTTTTCAAGAGAAAATGTTGTCAAACGCAAAAGTGCAATGGCTTCAAGAACAAATCTGATTTTCTTCGAGCAATTCTCAATGCGATTCTCAATTGCGCCACTGATTGATTTCACGACTTTGTTGCCATCTTCTTTCCACTGTTTCATATGCTTCTTTACGGCCTGTTTGCTCCATTTGAATTCCCCCTTGTCGTAAACTAGAATCGACTCGTCATTTAAGATTCTCAAGATAGCCATCATCCATAATGCGTTACCGCGAGTACACTTATGAAGTGTCTTCGCTAAATCTTCCGTTCGTTGAACAGGCTTCTCCTCATCAATCGTTACTGCGTCCAGCAGCAAGCCGCTCAGTACTTCTTTGGTGGAATCAAGATCGAACGGCTGCAAATTGATGTGGGTTTCTTGAATATCGGTTCCACTTATGGCTGCCTTGTGGGTTGCCAAAGGATGTGCATCGTCAACTGGTTCGTGACAGCCAACGAGCAAGAATCGCTCAAGATTGCAGCTTGTCACTAAACGGTAGATGATTTCCAGGGAATCAAGGTCGGCCCAGTGGATGTTATCAATTATCATAACGATTGGATGATGTGCCAAGATTGCCTTCAGGAAGTCTCGGATGGCAAACGTCAGTCTGTCAAATCGTCGTCGAGAATTGATATCAAACATAATGAGACGACGAGTGTCAATGGGTTCGGCATCAATAAATTTCCGTAGAGCAGGAACAGCACCAATCAGCAACGAAGCCTCACCACCCAGTGCCTCGTCGATACGGGGTTGCCACAACTCTTTCCCCCCATGCTGTTCCAATCTCTCGCACAAGTCTCCCAGGCAGTCGGACAAAGTTTGGAGCGGCAGTGCAGCAACGTGGTTTTCTTCCCCTGTTCCTTGGCAAACTAGGTTCGACTTGGCTTCAAATATTTCGTAGGTAGCCTCTTCGATGAGTGTCGACTTTCCAACACCTGCATCACCACAGATCCAAATAGCTTCACATTGGTGTTCGGTATCCTCTGGACTGATTCTTGCCACAGCCGCTTCCAACTGATCCAACTCTTTGGTCCGACCGTAAAACGGAAAGAGATTCATTTCCAGCATCCTATCCTTTGCATATTTTCCGAATCTATCATTGGAGTATGGCGAGCGATTGCTCTCTTTCGGTTCACCATCATCGGGATCATTCACATCAACTTCGCCTTTTTCTGCTTGGTCTTCGCCGTCTCCCTCCGCTGCGTCCCCATTTTCTGCGTTGTTTCCCTCATCATCAATGAATTGATCTTCGTCACCATTCTCCGACATGGCTGTTTGTTGCAGTCGTTGTGTTGATGATGGTGTATCTTTTATCTTTTTATCTACAGTATGTTAGTATGTTAGTATGTTGGATGGAAGAGTGACGATCAAAGATTTTGGTTTTAGACCTTCGTTCTGTCGGTCATCATTATGACACGAGGAGGACAGAGAACAGACGGTGCCCACGTCATCTTTCCGGCACTTTTCAAAAAGAATTGCAACCCACCCATCAAAAGCCGTCGTCACCTTGTCGTCACACTACTTTCGGTCTCTTATCGCATTGATACTCGTAACAAATGTTCCATTTCCGATCCGCAATCCAAACGGCAATCCGACCCTCTCGACGGCTCTTTCATTCCACTCCTCTAAGCCTAGAAAAGTTGAATGTTGAGGGACTTGCCAAGAAGGTTGACCTCAAAGGTGCCAATGTGTTGGTCCGTGTCGATTTGAACGTCCCTCTGGCCAAGGTGAGTGGCTTATCTTTGCACTGCTATTTTTTTCATTTTTGCTGTGATGCTTTGGTTTTGAGACTCACACTACAATCTCCCATGGCGAGTCAGGATGACATCACAGTCACCGACGATACCCGTTTGCGTGCCGTCGTCCCTACAACCAAATACTTGCTTGACCAAGGAGCCAATGTTATCTTGTGTAGTCACTTTGGCCGTCCCAAGGGAGAAATCATCGAGACTGGAAAGAACGGACGTCTAACTCCTGTTGTCAAGCCTTTGGAAGAGTTGCTAGGCACAAAGGTTACCAAGCTTTCTGACTGTATGGGTGCTGATGTTGAGACTGCCACATCCAAACTTGCCGGGTCTGAAGTTATGTTGCTCGAGAACACCCGTTTCTATGCTGGAGAGACAAAGAATGATGAAGTGCTTAGCGAAGGACTTGGAAAGCTAGCTGACTACTTTGTCATGGATGCATTCGGTACTGCCCACAGAGCACACTCCAGTACTGAAGGGGTGACCAAGCACATGAAGTTGTCTGCTGCTGGATACTTGTTGGATAAGGAGCTTAAATACTTGCAAGGTGCTGTTGATAACCCAGTGAAGCCAATGATGGCGATTGTTGGTGGTGCCAAGGTGTCGACTAAAATTCCTGTTATTGAGAGCCTGTTGGAAAAATGCGACACGATTTTGATCGGAGGAGGGATGATCTTTACCTTCTACAAGGCATTGGGATACGATATTGGTGCCTCGATGGTTGAAGACGATTTGGTTCAAACTGCCGCCGACTTGATGAAAAAGGCAAAAGAAATGGGAGTGAAACTTATTTTGCCTTCCGATGTTGTCTTGGCTGATAAATTCGACAATGGAGCCAACACTGCTGTTGCAAAGGTCACCGAGATCTCTGGTGACTGGATGGGCTTGGATATTGGTCCTGACACCATTGAAGAGTTTAAGAAGGAGATTGATGAGTGCAATACGATTGTCTGGAACGGACCCATGTAAGTTTCCTGACTAAAAGGGCTGTCTGCAGCAGGTCATATGCTAACACTTTGTTTTTGCAACTAGGGGCGTTTTCGAGATGTCCAATTTTGCTGAAGGAACAAATGCGGTCGCCCAAATGCTGGCCGACGCAACAGAGAACCGCGGAGCTACAACTATTGTTGGTGGCGGAGACTCGGTCGCTGCCGTCAACCAAGCTGGCCTGGGTGGCAAGGTTTCGCACATCTCAACAGGGGGTGGTGCCAGTCTTGAACTTTTGGAGGGAAAGACTCTTCCAGGTGTTGCTGCATTGAGTGAAGCATAGGTTAGATAGTGTCTTTAAAAACAATCTTTTTGTCACTTCTTTTCTCTTTTCGCTGAGGAAATTTTCTATTTTTGAAACGATGACTATTTTTGAAAGTAATAACACAACTTCTCCTTTCTACCAGTACGGTATCGGAGGTTGATTTGAAAATATTCATTGCTAAAACGAATCGCACGAGTCAATACACTCCTCACTAGCCGTTATCAACACATGAAACGCGCGCAAAACATGCCAACGTTTTGGCGAGACGAAATGTTAGAAACACCTTGTTCTCGTCACTTTGTTTCACATCTCGATAGCCAAGATGAGAGAAACTTTGGGCGAAGTAGCCCTGAACAGGCAAGACAATGAAAAAGATATCCCTTTCTTCGCCCCAGAATCGGAAGATATCTCTGATGGAGAAGAGTCTGTCCATCCTGCATTGAAAGACGCTGGTATCCTTTGCGAGGGCCAAGAAGCCATGTGGGTAGAGGATGACGTTAGCGAAATTTTCCGCAGGGCATCATCAGACGATAAATATGAGAGCAAAAGAAAGAATACTTTCAAACTGTTCCGCGGCAAGAGGAAAGCTCAAAAGGCCGTTGTACTTCTGCCTCCTCAACCCGTCGACAAGGAAGATGTCGAGAATCAAGAAAACCAGCCGGCTCCAGAAAACAACGACGACCAAGCCCCCAACAACATGAACGAATCTCACAATAGCTTGGACGGAGACGAGCAAAAACTAAGAGAAGAAGAGATGAAGGAAAAGGAAGGAAGCAATGTTGACGAAGACCCCAAGTTTGAAAGTGCAGAAGAAACCAATGAACAAGAACAAGAGGAAGACGTCGAAGACGTGGTCCACGGCTCCATTGATATTCCTGATGAGATTCTTGAGGAAATGCATCTACAGGGTGAAGATGCTGTAGAAAGAGCAAGAAAAGACCTCGATTCAGAAGGTTCCGATTCGAAGTCACAGATCTCTTCCCTCGGATTGACTACCGACTCACTTGGTTTAGAGGAGGAGTATGGTGTCGAGATGAATATTCCTTCGTCTGGAAAAGCTGTTGAAATTGTTGGGACTGGCCCTATGATACTCGAGCCGGAAACCATCATGCAAGCGGACGAAAAGGAAGGAAAAGATTCCAACGGCAAGAAAGCTAAATGGGGTCTGCTGCGAATGTTTAAGAGCAAGCCCAAGCATCAAAAGGTTTCGTCCAATTCTACCGAAGATGTACCCCTTGAAAAGATTGAGGCAGTAGAAAGTGAGACCGAAGGTACTTCTTCGGGTCCAACTCTCAACGAACCAGAAACGTCGGCATCAATACCCGTAGATGATTCGTCCTATCACGAACCAGACCGATATTCTGTGGCCGCTCCAAAAGCTGCTCTTGCTGATGATATGGAAGAATGTGATTCATTCTCTGACGATGAAGAGGAAGCTCCTGATAGCTTTCATCAGTCTGAGGAAGACGAAGACAAGGAAGAAGAAGACGATGACGTCGACGATAGGTACAGGATCGGTCCTCCAAAGAAGTCAAACAGCGAAAGTAATGATGGTGAAAGTGTTGTCTCTGTAGAACAGGAAATGATCCCAAATCGTGCTGAGGATAGAAAACCTGTAATCTCACTGCAAATCGATTGTCACGAAGAGGCCACAGTCGTGAACAACGTCGACCCTTCCGTTGAAAATGCTGATGGACCACCGAGTGTCCATAATTCCCCGGAGCTTCGAGTAGACGAGGTCGACAAGGTGGACGATATTGCGGAGCAGGAAGAAGAAAATTTGACTGCGAACGAAGCGACTATTCGAGATGAGAAGACTACAAAGCGAAAGAGTAAATTTGGAGGGATTTTTGGGCGACGAAAGACAAAAATTGCTGGTAAGAAGACATCCAGAGTACAGAAAGCTTCCAAGGCTTCCAAGGCAGACGAGAGCCTTTCTATGGAAGCTGACGAAATGGTCAAAAATCAGCCACCCAATCCGTCATCCAATCCGTCGAAGACCCCAAAAGAACCGAAACGCGCCGAACGATCTCCAGTTGCCAGCATCAAGGGAGACTCCATGACAGTTATTGCCAATGCAATCAGCAAGGGAGCTCTAATGGCTGTTGAATCCAACCTTGAGACAGAAGGCACCATTAAATCAAGAAGACTTCGGACAAGAGCCGACTCTAGCAAAGATGTCATTGATTTGATCCGAGAAAGAACTCAGAAGTACAATGGTAAGAGGCAAGACCCGCTTGATTCGTCCAACATTGGACTTCGGATGTCGATGTCAAAAGATCCCTCCGGAACAGCTTTGTCTGAGCCAAAAACAGAACAGAAGGAGAGGAAATCACTGATGCATCTAGCTCCAACGCCTCGTGCGAAGAAAACGGTTGACGAAAAGCTGAACGAGGAGCATCCCAGCAGTGAAATCAGTCACCAACAACAGATTACAGAAAGACTTTATGGCAACTCTGAAGGAAAGAGCAATGTGCGACCTGCGACGAAGGTCAGCAACATTGAAGACTTGCTGAAAGGCGTAAGCACCGACCCAACGGTCGACAGCGTGGTCAGTGATGAAAAGGAAACGAATGTAGTTGTGGCAGCGATCTAGAGATGCTTCACAGCATGCGCTAAATTGCTTTCTAAAATAGAAACTACATGCATACTTGATTATACGCTTCCACACACCACCACCACCAAACGGAGTTACGAACGGGCTGATTTTAGTAGGACCCGTGCAGTAGAATAAAAATTATCATCAGTTGATTGAAAGGTATTTTAATCAGTACACGAAACAAACGTGGTAGCCCAATTCCTCCAAATACTGTACATATGCTCCCCATAGACAGAACACTGCAGCAGTATGACGAACCAAGGAGAGCAACAAGATGATACTTCTCAGCAGTTGCAGCTCTTGTAGATAGAATGAACGATTCCGTCGAAGATCCAAATTTGTGAAGTGGTGGCCTACTAGCGTAGCCTGCGCAGTACAGTAGCTTCGCATATCATACATTACAGCACTTACTCTTGTACAGTACCAGCCATACCATACAGTACTGTATGATACCATTTTCTTGTCGAACGATTTGACCCATTCGACTTTGCGAAACTCTGGCGATGGATGAGACGAGCAAGCCTCGCTATGCTCATGTGAACGGCCCAACAACGAACCGAGCCAACCAGGTTCCCTGAAAAGTTCCGTTGTAACAAAGATCAAACAGAAGAACTACAGTAACAAGATGGGTGATGTAGATTTGGGTCTCCTTGATGATGACGACTATATCAAGTCGGTGCTTCGAACGAAAAGACTGGGTATTGCCGAATGCTTTATCTATCGACTACCGTCAGGTTCCAAGTCACCTTATCGGTAAGCATCGGACGTGTCACCTAATGAGACCCTCCTTTTTCCAAGTCTGTCGCTAACACTGTTTTGCCCCGATCAACTTTATAGTGCTGATGGGTGGCCACTGACTAAACCTCTGCAATGTGTTTCGCTTCGAGTTGAGAGGAGAGACAATAGTCTGCTGCTGATCTTTACTTATACACATGATGGCAAAGCAAATGGCGCTTCCAAACTATTCGCGCTTTCTGCAATCAACCTTGTTGATAGTAAGGATAAGGAACTCCCCATGGAACACTACGTCGAATCTGTTCTCGACTCAACTCGCTTCTTTGTCATTCGAGTGACAGATGACAAAGCTGGTCGCGAAGCCCTAGTTGGATTGGGCTTTAGAGATCGACAGGAAGCTAATGATTTCAGATCTGCTCTCAGCAAGTATGAAAGCGAAATTGCTTCAGAGAGGAAATGAGTACAGGTAGTATTGTTGAGAATCAGCTTTGGTACAATGTATATGAACTGTGATTGCATAAGGTTAATAGAAATATTGTTTGGAATTATTGCATTGATCGTCCAGTTATGTTTGTCTCTTCCACACAGATAGATGATGAATTCATTCGTTCTCAGATTTCATTCTGATTCTACAGTACTGTACTCTGGTTCGTCTTAGAACAAAGGACCAAGTCGATCTAATCTAGCTCACCATTCTTGTACTTTGGATTGCATTTTAGGGTAGTCATCCACTTCGGAGTAAAGCTGCTGGGATCCTTTTAATGAAACCTGGATGTGACATGGCTTGGATTACGCCTCGTCTGCTGCTTATCTTCTTGCGCTTGAGATTTCCGTGAGTGGGCTCTACAGTGTCTGGAGAGCATCACCGACTGGAGGCAGAATGGTGGAGGCGACTCACTCGCTCACTCTCTTCAACGTTGAAGTGCCTTTCGTCAGGTCAGAGGAATGCGGGGTCAGCCCTTCCCGTTCACGGTGAAAATGGTGACACTTTTGTTTATAAATTATTCTACCGGTATATATAATCTGCCTCCAACAAAACATGTGGACCACAAATTTCTAAAAACAAGGCAATCCCTTTTCAATGACATCCTATACTCGGTAACCCTTGACAGTTCCTGCAGGGCTCAAGATTCCATAGATTCCGTGGATAGCGATCTTCTCTCTCATTCCAGTTGGCATCATTCCAACGAAAGGGGCAAGCTTTGAGTCAATCCCAACCTTGTAAGAAGTTCTTGGCACGTTCGACAATAGAGCATGCTCTGCAGCTTTTGTTACTTCACTGACATGAGTTCCAGGTTGCAGCGAAGAATACTTGGTGAAATGGTTCGCGAGTTCGCCATATTCATCCTTTGCGACTGTGCTACCTTGTTTGTCTTCACATATTTTCCACATTTTGTCAGTAAGCTCGATCCCTTTTTCGACGAGCATGGTAGGTTTCACTAGATAGATTGAAGAACAAAGCGCAGGGGTTAGAGAGAGGAGAAACGAAATGGATAGTGTTTGAACAAGCAAAAAACTTACCAAATCCAGGATTAATAACCACACATGAAATTTCGTTCCGCGTCATATAGCATTCCGCTCTTAAAGAGTGGACAAACGACTCTGCGGCGAACTTGCTGCTCATGTAAGCGGACAGTAGTGGTGGGCAAGGCGAGCAAGGGCCGCCACCTGTACCAGTAAAAATAATGCGGCCGGGCGTCATTGATCTCTTCTTCATAATGGGCATGAAGTTTTGAACGATTCTAACAAAACCCAGAAAGTTGACTTGCAACTGGCGTTCGTACATCTCAACAGGCATGTAACATGCAGGCCCAAAGAACGGAACCCCATGATACTGCACGATCCCATACAATCCTTTGCTGGAAGTCTCGTTAGTAATCCAAGATTGCACAGTCTTTGCCGCGTCTTTGCAACTCTTATCATCCGTAACATCCAAGGGGACGACTAAGACATGACGCAACTGATCTTTCGTGAGAGTCTTTTCAAAATACTCTTTCGAAGCCTGGGCATTGTAGCATGCGGCGAAAATTTTCTCGAAACTGCCCTTCTTTGAATCGTCATTGGTTTGGGCAAAGTGTACTACTGTGGCTTGTCCCATGCCAGAATCACAACCAGTAACCATAATGCACCCTTGTCGCTTCCTGTAGTTAAAGTTTGCAAACATGGGAATCCACATGATTCCAACCATAGCAACGACTTGCAAAATCAAACCGACCACGCCGCTTGTTGGGACCAACAAAATCCAAAGCTGATGATGGACATAGAGGACGACTAAGCGCCAGAAATGGTTGTCAAACGCGCCTGCCAACGCAAGGCAGACCAACGAAATGGCAAACTGTTTAGGGACCATCTCCTCCGTCATGGTGTCTGTCTTTTGTGCTGGTATCAGCAGGGATCGATGTTTCAATTGTGTTCTGTCGGAGTGATGAAACAATATTTTATGCTGGCTGACGTACGGACCGTATAGCCGACTAATCGCGCACCTACCGGTATTTTGACCTAGTACTTTACTGTTCCAGGTACGTTTGGAATAGGTAGATCGGACAGGTGAAGCTAAGGTCAGGGTACCAGTACCTGCTATCGTAACTACAGTATGGGTCTAACTTGAACCCTGAATATTTCAGGCATTTTGTTTTCCATAGATACAACTATACTGAAGATTTTAATTTAACACTCACAGTATGCTTTCTTCCCTCAACTCATTCGTCTCCGAGATCCATATGTTTGATGGGTGCAAACGTTCGCCGATGAATTGGCGAAATCCCATTTTCTTTGATAGCAGCAACGTGGGCTGCAGTAGGGTAGCCTTTGTGGCGGGAAAGACCGTACATAGGATAGATTCCATCATACGAAATCATCAGCCTATCTCTGGTGACTTTGGCCAAAATCGAGGCGGCAGCAATCGAGAATTCTCTACCATCGCCCTTTACCACACACTCTGCATCGCAAGGCATATCTTTTGGTATTTTGTTGCCATCAATGAGAGCAAAGTACTCTTTGCAGTCGGAACTGGGCGTATCGTCTCCCCCTTTTTGATGGGTATTCGAGGTCACGACGTAACACCCCTCTTCATTAACTGATGCTTCAGACACTTGCCTGATGGTTAGGTCCGAAGCTCCCGTTAGAGCAATAGCAGTCGTCCTCATTGCCTCGAGCGTGGCCTGCAAAATATTAATCTCATCAATCCTCTTTGCATCGATAACACACACGGCCCAGCGAATGTTGGGGAGTGCAATTAAACTCTCATAAAGTTGCTCTCGCGCGTCCTCGGTTCTTACCTTCTTTGAATCAATAATTCCATCTAGAGACACCTGACCTTTGGGATATATGACAGCAGCGGCTACAACTGGACCGCAAAGTGGTCCTCGCCCCGCTTCGTCGATAGACAAAACATGCCGATATTTTTTGAGAGCATCAAATTCAAGTTTTCTTGGTAAACTCATCACATTCGCGACAGGTGATGCTGTTTCTTTAGCCTTTTTGGCCCCTGTCTTGCTTGATGTCCTTTTTCTTTTTGACTTCGGTTTCTCGTTGGCATTTTGGTTGTCGGCTTGGTTGCCAAGTGACTTTGAATTGAAAGCGCGTAGTCTTGGGCTCCTACGCAGTGTCATTTCAACCGAGTATTCAAGCAAATGACTGCGGTGATTTAAATGGAATGCGAATACCCGTAGTGTTGTAACAGAGAGGAAATAGGTTGATTTTGAGAACAAGTTCATTCACAGTACAAATTATTTTGAAGCATAATATTCAATATTGGTATTTTGTGGATCTGGGTGATGCGTGACATGTAACGCTCATTATGTTACGGTACTCGTCAAACGAACGAAAACAAGAGACCAACACAAAGGTGTTCGGCATGGCTGCTTCAGACACCAACCCTGCAAAGCAATCCCGCGGTTTCGCTTCGAAAGCACTGGAATGTGGAGAGCTAGATGACTACCTGTCCGCGTTGCTACTTCCCCAGTTCCTGCAAACCTTCAAGTACATTCCATTCTCGATTCCAAAATCTGATATCAAGAGAATACTGTCGTTTCTCACCTTCTCCCTCTCTGTGAAGAGTGCTGAAAATACACCTGCATGCAAAGCTCTGGGGTTGAAACTTACTACAATAAGAAGTTCACCTACCACTTCTCTACTCGTTTATGCAATTATGAAACTATTGATGCCACATATCAGGCGATTGGTAGAAGAGAAATGTAACGCGTACAGAACAGCATCAACTGCAACTCCAGACGCAAAGAGTTCATCTACTGAAGCCTTGGCGCTGGACCGACAATACAAAGCTTTGAAGACTTGTTTGGGAGTATTTGACAAGACAATCCCTATCCTTCGACTATTCTTGGTACTCAAATGCTGGACAAGAATACGAAATGACGCTTCTGTCATTCCTGACCTTGAAAAGTGGTTGTCTGGCTTCCGATATGAACCAGTTTCCTCGCCTACAATGCCCTTGATTTCGAAAGGCGAATCGATTCATGTGCTGTTTGCGCATCGAAGGTGGGTGCAAAGGTGGCTCCAGACTTGTGTTCCAATCCTGGCGATTCCATTGCTCCGATCCGCCAGCGAGAGCCGAGAGCTGTTGCTGAGCTGGAAGGAGGAACTGCAGTGAGTGAAAATTGCTATGCCTCAAATGTGTTATTGTACCCCTTGCAGTTTCTGACAATTGCGCAGACGCCGCTTCGTACTTCCGCTATGGAATTCCATATCAGCCAACTCGAGCTTCAAGAGGTACGTCCCGTGACCAATGATTCCTTCTCTTTTCTACCTGGTACCTACTTGTAGTAACCACAATGCTCATGATTTCTCCAACAGCCGGTGTCCAATGTGTCACACTGAGACTATAACAATTCCAGTTGAGGCGAATTGTGGTCACGTGTACTGTTACACATGTCTTTGGACACATCTTCGGGAAGAAGATAGGCAGCACTGCAAGGCTTGTTCAAAAGCAATTACATCATGTCACCCATTTCGAATAGACTAGTTTATATATAAATAGGATTTCGTAGAACGTATACAATTGTGGTCAATGTAATTTGGAATAAACGAATCAATCGGAAATAGTCCGCTCCAAAAATATCGTCTCAATTACTTTTCCCAAGCCTTGTGGGCGAGGCAAATGAAACCAGAAAAAGGGAATAGACCCAGCCTTTTCGTACGTCAACTTGCAATTGCATTGCAGGAGAAATTTCACAGCATCATCATGACTCCTTCTTCTTGTCCTTTTTCTTTCGTTTTCTCTTTCTCTGTTCCTCAGTTGAGTTGTCTTGAACAGACGATGATTCGACCTCGTCCTCGTCTCGGGACCGTTTCCTTTTCTTCTTTTTGCCATCACTATCCGCCTTTAGAATGACTTTTGGAGCAGCTTTTCCATCCCATTCAACCTGCTGTTTTGCAGCTTCCTCTTGACTGCGCAGAGTCTTGCTTTTTTCAGTTCGCGTCCATTTCCCTTCCTGGCGGGCACCTTGTCTCATACCAAAGCGAGCACCCCCAGTTGCCTGGAAGAGTTCTTCGTCGGTGAATATTTTCTTTTTCTCTTTGCCCTTCTTCTCCTTCTTTTTGTCCTTCTTGTCCTTCTTCTTGCTCTTTTTCTTCTTGTTACTGGCGAGCTTTGCAAGAACATCCCCAGTACTGGACTTCCACCACTCGCTTCCAATCTTCAGATTCTCATCCACAACAGATTTTCCAAGACCACCTTGTTCATCAGCACGCTTTTGCACCTTGATGTGCGTCGTGATCCCCGATCGCCGCTTTCCCAAACCAGTTCCTTCTGTCCATCCTAACTTTTCCAAGTGACGCCTTGCAAACTTGCTGGTTACACCTTCTGAAGCCGACTCGTTTACCTGACTTGTCAAACGAGAACGCAGCTTTGAGCCTGCAATATCTAAAAAGGAGCTGCGGCTTGCGATGGACTCTTTTGTCATACTTTGTGCTCTTCGTTATTGATGACAATAAGACAAAATTGAAGATGACAATGGGAAATTTGATTGGTACTCGTACCAGGTACCAGTACCTGCAGGCTGACGCGATCAGTGCGATCGACGAGACGCCGACGAGCAAGGGACAGACGTACGAAGATTTCCATGATGGACATCAACAGCTATTTTTTAAAAAATAACACCACTCTTCGAACATCTCGTTCATCTGAATTCGTGCAGATTGCTGCAAAGAAGGAATAATAGCAAAACTCTGAACGAGAATAAACGACCCGGACGCATCTCAATTTTCAGGAGCTTCCAAATGTCTGATTATGACGATGATGAGATGTCTAGTATTTACGAACGCATCTTGAAAGCATATGATGATTCCGAATCTACGATTGACTACACCGTCGTTTCAATCGGGGTGCAAACTTTGGTGCTCATCCTGTTTGTTGAAAGTGTAAAGCATAAATTGGAACATGCCGCAAAAGGACGGCCGTTATTCGGTGAGGTGCTTCATAGTGTCTACAGCGAACTATCGACCCTTGGAGTCGTCGAATTGGTCGTCTACCTCATCCTAAAATATTACAAGGACTACAACAAGGCAAAGAAGTCTGTGTTCGCGGATGTTCATTTTTGCCTCTTTTATGTGGTAAGTGAATTCTGCATGCTTAAACTTTACACTATGTATCACGTAATCACCTAATTTGTGTGGGGAACCTCTAGGCAATCTTCAATGCGTTCCAAACAGTTATCGTCGCGGCAGCAACCATGAGGACAAGTAAAAAACAATGGGTTGACACGGAGAAAATCGACCTCGACCATTATGTTGCCATAAGAGAAGAGTTCGATAAGCTTCGAGAGAAGCTCGATCACAGCCGTGACAGAGATTTCACCGTACAAGGCGTTTTCCGGAACTTGATACAGAGCATAAAAAATCCTGGTCTCCAAGGAAGATACTCTGATCTACTAGTCAGAGTAAATTTCCATTCTTTGCGCGTGCACTTGTTACGCCAGGAGAATTTGCCCCTAACACTGAAAGTTAGTGACTACTTGAAAAGATCAGAAGCTCGCGTCCTAACACGGTTGGTCCACGTTTCTGGAGGGGCGTGGTTGATGCTTACTGGTGGGCTGAATCTAATATATTTTGGAATGGGAATGGTTGCCTATGTATACGAGGATCAAAAATTGATAGGAAACTTCATGACCTCCATTTTCTTCTGTATGTTGTTGATCTTTATTTTCATAACAGTGATTCTCTACTTCAAAATGAGAAGCACATTTCGAACCATCATGTACGTCCAATTACCGATTTTGCTGCCGTTGCTGATGATTCGTAAATCCCGAGTTCATGAGTTCTTTGATCATTCAGGACCACGAAATACGATTTGAAGGGTATGGATGACGAAACCAGGGCGAAAGGAGTTCGGCAACAATTGAACCTCTTTTGGTTTGGCGAGCCAGAGTTTGTTATTACGATTATCCAGTTTATGCAATTCGGATATGCTCTTGCACTGGCCATCGTGCTGATGTACTGGAAGTCCCTGACAACCTTTGAGCCGTATTACTATTTGGTTGCAGTTCTTGCTTGCTACATCATTTTCGTATTTGTCTTGTCGAAAGCGCTTCCTCAGTACACGCTATGCACCTCTCTTGGATATCTGGTTAGTAAGGAGAACTTGACGGAAACAGTAGCGATTCATCGGCTCGAAGATGCTCGGCGTTTGGGACTAAAAATTCTCGCTCAACCAGAGAAGCTTGATGCTGGCACAGTGTCTGTTGCAGGGGATAGTATATCAACTGATCACAAGTCTACCTTGAAAACACCTGACTTCGATGAGATTGTCGCGACCACGCCGGATGACTACGCCATTTCGAACGACAAGACTCATATCTTGGCAGAGCTTGTTCAGTCAGATACAGCATCCTTACGTAACTTGCTTCCTGAGAATTCAAGGAATAGCTTGAGGCAACGTGATCGCCGTCAAACAAGACGGAAAGCAACTTCAGATGGAGTCGCTTTGATGCGGGCGATGGGGAATGTCATTCGAGATGGTACAAATGGAAATCGTCCCGAAGCGACCGAAACACCTGTAGATCCACAGAAAGCTGTTGATGATAGTGAGATCACTCGTCGGGATCGCGCTGAGCGGGCTGCAAATAGGAAGAATAAGAACAAAACAGTTTCTGCTTCTGGATTGATACAGTCCTGGCACATGATAACCAAAGTTGAGGATGAAGAAAGGATGAAGGATTCCATTTCAAATCCAGGACCCGAACTACGCGCAACACGCCGAAGACGACGGAAGCAAGCTAGGCTCAAAGCTAGATCCGAATCTGCCATAGTGCGACAATGGAACGCTCAGACTCTAGCACTGCCCAGTCCTCGCGAATCCAACAAAATCAAAGCCTCGGACGTGATTGAAAATCTTGATCACGTTTTGGCAGGCACTATTCCAGATGTCGAGATTATGAAGAGCTCACGAAATTCTTTGGATGGTGCAACGGACGCTTCTATTGGAGGTTTGAGTGATGTGAAAGTTCATTTAACGGAACCCGGCGAAGAAATTTGTGGGGACACTAGCTCGTCTCATAAATCCTGTTTCCATCAAGTGATTATAATGGTGCGGGACTTCTTTCTTAGCCAACGCTACCGAACATCCAGTCATGTCTTTGGTACTTTGGTTGCATTCTTCGTTGTTGGCGACCGTGTCGAAGTGATGCTTTCGACGACAGGAGCCATAGCACGCAGCGATAACACCTGGGAACTCACGCTTAGGATAGCCTTTTGGATGGAAACAATGTGGTACGGCCTCTTCATCTTAAGTGGCTTTCTGATCCTTTTCCTTTTTCTCCCTATCAATAACAAACAAAACGACCAGCGGGTCGCAATTTCAGCAGCAGTCCTTGACATCTTTGTCTCAAGTGGCTGTCTTGCTCTTCTTTTCTTTGCTGAATTCGAACGATGTTGTGATACTTCTGAATACGATGCCAACTATAGTTGCTGTGATGTCTTTGGATCCAGGACATATGGAGGCCTCGGAGACATCGAGCCCTTGACGTCTCTTATCGCGCTACGCATCTTTCGGTTTGCTGTGGGACGTTTTATTGTTGATCGTCTCAATAAACATGAAGATTCGTTTGTTGATACTGACAACGCCGAGCCAACACTCGAAATAAAGAACACACCAATGAATCAACGCAGCGACTTCATGCATCAAACGGTAGGAACACCAATTCAGATATGGGAAAGGGCGATAATTGAGTATCCCAACATTGTCGAGCAATATGGCCACTTCAGTGCTGAAGTGCTACACTGCATGCTCGGGATTGAAGTTATTGATGACAACACCGCGCGATCATCGACTGGTCTCGAGCGGCAACCCCCGACTGTGGATGCTAAATTGAATGACCTTGTGCCACGTAGTTCAAACGGAACCAATCATAACGACGTCGATGTGATGCCAAAATTGCTGGAGCAAACAACTGATCTGCCTGCTCTTGAAGAGGAAAGCGAACGTAATCTTTTTGATTCGCATCATTCAGTGAACGTAAACCTGAGTACAAATGGGCACGAGGTTGGACAAGATACAGAAGAGCACCACACCGATTTCTATGCACCAACCGCTCCACTAATCCGCAGCATAAGACGCTGTGATCGAAAGATGTTGCCAATCCTGACAGATTTTGCAACAATTGATGTTCTCTTGACTGAGTTTGAATGTGTCTATTATGAAGCGTTTGATGTTGGGAATCTAGAAGCTATGACCAAGAAAGAAAAGAAAGCGCTTTTTGCCCTAAGAAAAACTCGCGGAGGAAAGGGAGTACAACTCCGTGAGATTGCACGATCTTTCGCCCAGCTTGGACGGAGGATTGTGGGGCACCTTAAGCTTTCGGATGTCACTCAGATTCATGTAGAACGCCGTCTCCCGGCTACCGAAAGTGAAGGAGCTAGGGTCGAAAGTGATGGACTAGATGAATTGGAGTCGGAGTGCTGGTCAGATCACCAGCGCGCCCCACAGGGCGCTTCTCGAAGCTTCAGGTGGCAAGGAGTAAAGGAAGATCGACTTCGGCTTGTTTCTGAACACTACTCGTTGCTCCTTCGATTCTATTCCGACTTGGACGATGCAGAGATGTACGTCAACGATTCAACTGTGGAGGATGAAGCAAATGGTCCGTTGCGGAAGAATATTGCATTGCAATGGGCCCAAACAATCGCCTACTCTTGTGGCAAGGAAAAGCTCAACCAAAAATTATCTCATTTCGGTGAAAACAACATTGATGAGCTTTGTGACTTTTTGACAGTTGTCCACAAACACGACCAAAATGAAACGAGCAGACGGCGCAAATCAATATTAGCATAATACAGTGTTCCTTTGAGGCGCTGCTTTATGGCGGAGAGCAGAATCCAACAGGTATGGGAAAAACATGCAGTTCTTTCAAACCTCTAAAGCGCTAGCCCGTGTCTTTTCATTCCTCGTTCTGACAGCGTTTGTATTCTTCTCTAGGAAAATGATATCTTGAATGTCACGCTTCCAGCCACTCAAGCATAGTCCTGACTGCAAAAAAGAATTTTTTTCAATCTAACCACAAAAAATTCCAAGAATTTTTTCGATGAACGACTTGGTCTCTATTACCCTCCACCATAAAAGTCTCCAAGGTCGAATTCTTGGTTTTGTCTCGGTTTCCACCACTTTGGTACTTATAGTGATCATGGAATTGCTGTTGGTGTAGATGTCGGAGATTGTTCGATTTCGTTTGGCTCATAGTAAGTGATCAACAAGACCGTCCCCGCGAGAACAATCAGGCTGAGAGCACTGCACGCCACCAATAACTTGGATGGAATTCCACCACACTCTTTGTGTTCGTCGTCTCTGTTCGTCGCCTGGTTCATTGCTGCAATCTCTGCCCTATGAAGTTCTAGCAACTCGTCAGTTATCTCTGGTAGTATTGATGTTTTCCGCGATGGGTGATTGATTGTATGATTATTCTCGGTCATATTCATGTATGTTTTGTTCGGGGTTGGGTTACGGTACGAGTACCGGTACTGTAGGTTAGGTTGAGTTGCAAAAATTGTGGTGGTCCATTGCGTGTGACAGACAAACGAGAGATTGATTCATTCGACAGCATTTTTGCAGATTTCCCTCCGACGATGGATTATTTATCCGATCCCTCTCTTTGTCATAATAGTCAGTAATCTGCCTGGATGTTTTTCATGTTTTCCAATGCTGTGGATGCATGGTACGAGTACTTCACCTTGATTTTGATATACCAGAATTATTACTCATATCTATATCTAATTAGCAAACTCAAATGATCGTTGATTCAATGTCAGAGAAAGCTCGGCCCTGAAATTTATAGTCTATTTCGCAGTGAAGCCGCCGTCACAAAAGATTGTTTGTCCAGTGATATAATCAGAGGCATGTGAGCATAGGAAGATGGTCAAGCCATGAACATCTTGCATAGTTCCGTTGCGCCCGATGCATGTTTGTGCAGCCAATCTGTTGGCACGCTCATCATCAGCGAATACCTTGGCTGTGAGTTCTGTAGGGAAAAAACCAGGGCCAATGGCATTCACACAAATGCCGTCTTTGCTCCATTCTTCGGCCATGGCTCTTGTCAACTGGCTCACTCCACCTGAAAGAGGATAACTTCAATATGAACACTCTTATCAGAGAAAGAATCAATTCATTAGCGAGTACTCACCTTTGGAGGCACCATAGGGGATGCTATTTGGCATTGCACGTTCAGATTGCAGACTAGCAATGTTAACAATCTTGCCCCAGTTTCTCTCCTTCATGTTCGGAGCCAATTGCCGCGCCAAGAAATATGGAACCTTGAGGTTTAAGTGCAATGTCGTGTCCCAGGACTCAGGAGTGATAGCTTCTTCCGGCTGTCTTAGATTGACTCCCGCGGCATTAATAAGAATATCTGGAGAATGATCCAATGAGAGACAGTAATCAGCCAGCGCGCTCACGCCCTCGTCCGTCATCAAATCAGCTTGAACGTGCGACACATTATCATTTTTAGAGAGTTGACTGATTTCTGACGCCGCTTCCTCGAGCATATCAACACGTCTAGCAGCTAGAATGACTTCGCATCCAACTGTCGCAAGTGCAGTTGCCATGGCTCGTCTGTTTTATGATGAACGAATTAGTAAGTAGAAGAATAGGAGAAAGAAAGCGACGGAGAGATGAAAGAAACACCAAAGCAGCGAAGTCATACCCTAAACCAGAACTAGCTCCTGTTACAAGTGCCACCTTACGCTCCAAATCAAACAGAGCTTTTCCTGTGCGTGCTGCCATCGTTGGTTGGTTCTTTGTTTCAATTTTGGTTTATGCCACAACACACACACTGCGTGCCAAAAATGAAATGCCCCCAAAAGATATTTGGGACCTCAAATGAAAAAGAACCCGGAAGAAGACTTCACTCCGAAAATTGGGATGGCGAGGATGGTTGAAGCAACTACCGGTACAGTATCATAGGAGCGAAATAAATTGTCTGTACTGCAGTATTATGAGTCCTCAATTTCGAAGGTGGATAAAGAGTGGTTGGTACTGTACGTGGTGGTATCTCCAGTTGCTGCTTCTAGAAAACGAGTTCTGACAACGTTCCGCGAGTCGGAGGTACGGAGTGAGGGGGGCAGCATTCATTGCATCGACAGTACAGTATTTGCATCTTTTATCGTCCATCTTCAAGAAATAGAAACGATAGAATTCGTCCAGACACTTGAGATGGGCCCTTTGCTATGACGGTGAACCACTCTGAGTTGCCTCTTGAAAATCATTCCAATCATCTCCAAGTTCATCAAATTCATCATCCGCTCCACCACTAATAGACAAAGGAGTGGTTTGAGCCGCTATACTCTCTGGTTCCGGGCCCGCAAAGCTGCCTTTTTTTGCAGCCAGATCCATATCAGATACATTAGAAATCATATCTTCTTCAGCTGAAGCAAATTTTGGTGGTTTCTTCAACAAGAATGGGCCACCTGAATTCTTTTTCTTACTACTAGCGTTTGCAGATTTTCGTTTGCTTGTTCCTAGATTGACGTGAATCTTCTCTCCTTCTCCCAGCTTTGGGATCTCCTTCACTTTCATGCTCTTCGCTTGTAGCTCTCGTTCGATTGACTTTTGAAACTGCTGCAAGTTTCCTAGCAAGTCGATTGCCACATCGCGCTCGCGAAATCCAAATCCAATCAATGCTGACTTCCCTTGGTTGTTTTGAATGTGGGTTACAAAATATCTGGAACTATTTGTTGGCGTGTTGAAGGTAAGAAACCGGAACTTTCCTTTGTTTGCAGATCGCACCCCAAACGTACCTATCCATAACAGGCTCCACACTACGCGCAGGATTACTTTGACATTTCGCCAATGCGAAAAGCTTCGTATGGCTCTCGGTTGTAAAAAGTAGAAAAAGATCATTGTCGCGCCGCTCCACTTGGAGACCACAAGTTTCTAGTGGGGTGGAAAGGTCCCAGTTCTCAGCTCGGTGTCCACCACTTGTTGCCATCGGTGGTACCCTGTAAACAAAACATTCATCAACATTCATTAATGTCTGGCGAAGTAACGAACCACTCTGTTCACTCATTGCTGTATAAACGATGACGTGCAATTCAATTTTGGTTTTTGTCTTCTTGTGTTTTTTGCGTGTTTTTGATTGATTTATAGTTTGAATGATGCTCTGTTGGTGGAGTAGCTAGTCAAAGTTGAGTGTTGAAGTCGTCTCATGAAGAAACGACTACTGTAGTACTGTGTTGCGAGTGATCACGACTAAGTAAGTACCCAATTCTTCTGTGCAAAATCACACCACCATCGCAGCTCAATCTCAAACTCTCCAAAAAAAAACAGAGCACAATGGGTTATACAGTGGCAATTGTAGGCGGTTCCGGTGCCGTTGGCAAGGAAATAATCCCCTGTTTGGAAAATCGTGGTATCCTGCCGGTCAGTCGACTTAGAATCTTCGGGTCCTCGCGTAGCGCGGGAAGAAAAATTCAAACCAAGTTCGGAGAAATCGAGTTCGAAATCTTCTCTATTGAAGCTGCCAGGGCATGCGATGTAGTGTTCTTGGCTGTCTCTGGTGATTTCTCAAAGGAGAATGCAGAAAAAATTTGCTCAGGGGAAGATGGTGCTATTGTGATTGACAACTCATCCGCCTTTCGATACCAGCCAGAAATTCCTCTCGTTGTCCCCGAGATAAACGGTGAAGAAACTAAGAAGGGAAAGCTTATTGCAAACCCAAATTGTACAACTGCCATTGGTTTGATGGCAATATACCCACTCTTGCAGCATTATGGGGTCAAGCGCATCATCATGAGCACGTATCAAGCAGCCAGTGGCGCGGGACAGCCTGGAATGGATGAGTTGTTGGAAGGCACCAAGAAATATCTTGAGGGGGGAGGTGGGCAGAAGTTGGAGCACGAAGTTTTTGCACACCCATTGCCATTCAACGTCATTCCTCATATAGACAAGGTAGGTCTGCAATCCGTTTATCAACTGCTGTTTTCCTAGATGATCACTGTTAACCGCAATTGAATTTTGAAGTTTCAAGAAAATGGATACACTAAGGAAGAGATGAAAGTTACATGGGAGTGCCGGAAAATCTGCGGTCTCTCTGACGAAATACCTATAAGTTGCACTGCAGTAAGAATCCCAACCCTTCGTGCCCATTCCGAAAGCATCGTAATGGAGACCGAAAAAGCAGTCAATGTCAAAGAAGCCAGATCCATTCTAGAAAAAGCCGATGGTGTCGAAGTTGTCGACGAGCCTGAAAAGTCGCTTTATCCCATGCCATTGACTGCAACAGGGAAATATGACGTAGAAGTTGGGCGCATCCGCAAGTCGATTGCCTTTGGGGACAATGGCTTGGAGTTTTTTGTTTCTGGAGATCAACTTCTTAGAGGTGCAGCCTTGAATGCCGTCTTGATTGCCGAAGAAATGCACAAAAACGGAAGTTTATCTACAGACTCTTCAAATGTCTAAAGTACAAGAGCGTTACAAAAGTTCACATGTCAAAGTATATCTTCTATCTTGTATTCAATAGTAGGGTGGACAGCTTGAAATCCCAATCGGTGCTGAAGAATCTCAATGAGACTTCAATTTTCGAGACTTAATCATAGGGATCACTTGCGCTGGAAGGAGCTTGCCGGAGGAAACCATCGCAGCTAGATTCACAGGCATTGCATTAGGAGGATCCGGTAAAGTGCCAGACGGCCTCTTCGCCTTTGGACTCGATAGTGTTGGTATTGTGTTACCCCAATACTTGTGAAGACTGGATTCCAAATAGTGTATCCAATCGCTTGCCAAGTCTGCACGAACATACTCTAGTGGTGTCTGTCCGCGCTTATCTTCAATCATCAGTTGCATGGGGTCCCTTTCCAAAATTGCATCCACGATTGGACGACAAAACGATGACGCCCAGCAGCAGTGATGCAAGGGCGTGCGGCCAAATCCATCCATCGTTTGCAAATCAGTTCCATGCTGTATGAGGCAATCAAATATGACAAAATTCCCTCGTTTGCAGACCAGGTCCAAAATTGAGTCTCGGAATTGATTGCACGGGTTCGGGCTCAAGCCGCACTTCATCAACTCAGACAATGCCTTCTCGTCTGATGTGTGAACAGCCTTCACGACACGGGTACCGAAAGATGCTAGTTGCAGTGCAGATGGGACGACCTCGTATTCTGCTTCATCTGCCTTGACTCGTCGAAACCCCACGATCCCTGCTTTCTGCAAGAGCTCTTCAAGTTTCTGCTGAGGCGAGGCTCCATTGGAGCATACTCTAGGTCTCTTCCGCTCGGAGCTTTCGTTCCCTGACTTTCTTTTGTTAAAAGACGAAGGCAGCGTTGATGCGAGGACCGTGGGGGGCATCATTGTGGATGGAACGTAGAACTGGGTATCAAAGGAATCTTCAGTTTCATCGTTTTGCGACACTAGCCGGGATGACTCGTCGGAAGGCTTGTCAACCCGGCAAAGCTTTTGCATTCGGGCTTCCTCTTGGTGTTCTTGTTGTCGCAATGTTGCAAAATCACGAACCGATGGATCACTCCCACCCTGTTCCATGTTTGAGATCATGATGTTTTGAATCGTTTCGTTTTGCCGTTGTAGAGCTCCGGCTTGTTGGTGAATGTCAGAAACACTGGATACCGCTGGGTAGTCGGGCACTAATACTCTCTCTCTGATGGGTTGTGTTTTTGGCTAAGATGATGAACATCAAGTTGTTAGTAACTCTGTCGAAGAGGCGTGCGTACCAATCTTGCATGTTTCCTTACCATTTGTAGCTTTTTAGTTGTATGGGATCCGAGATCATCATCAAATACCTTGAACAGATCATCATCCTCGATTTCATCATCATTCCGTGTGAAAGGTTGAACTTTGCAACCCAGCAAGAATCGGTTTGAAATGATCTTGTTTGCTCTTCCCTGACTCGTGTTGCTGGTTGATTCTTTGTTATTTCCCATTGTAAGCAATGTACTAGAGTCGCTACCACCACCGAATGAAGGGTACTGGTCCGCCGCTTGCCAAGATGTGAGCATATTTGACAGGGACGAGACATGCTGTGGCTGTGATGGAACCTGATCACTTTGCTGATTCTGCAAGTCATGAGATGTCTTGTTGGGAAACCCCCCCAGTGGATCATCGAAACTCAGATCGAAAGGAGAAGAAAGTCGGTTGGATGATTGTGACACCGCAATGTTGTTATCTGCGTCTACACCAAGGTTGTTTGGGTTATAGCAAGCTCCATTACTGTTTGTGCGGTTGTTTATGATGATATTGACCTGAAGGTTGTTTGGCTTTTGTATTGATGAAGACTGCGTATGCTGGGAGAGCTGCGAATTCGATAAACCAGAGGGATTAATTTGGTTCCTTGCTGCAAGGCCTGCTGTCATTGATAATCCCTCTTTCCAAGCGTTGCTTTCTGCCATTGTGCTTGTTTCGTTTATCGGTTCAAGGCTATCCACTGTTCCAAAGGATTCAAAGCGCATTGTGTGTGAAGCTGTTTAGTTTTGTGGTTCTGCGTTTTCTGACGAGTCTCTCCTGGTAGCAAAGAAACCACATTCTTCGCACAGAACAACTAGGGTTCGGTCAAAGATTTAAGAAGAATGACGTCGTGAAGAACAAGAACTGTTCTTCTTGCGAAACGCAATCTGACTTTATAGACTAATTTAGTTTTATCATAATTATCTTTTGAAAGCCTTTTCTAGGCCCGAGATTGACAAAAATCAGAAACCACTTTTGCTTTGATTGTTCCAACAACATTACCATTTGAAACTGTTAGTTGAATGTTTCTATGAAGCAGCAAGTATCAAAATACTAAAACGTCACCGAAAGTGCTGAAGGAAGAGTGAATCCAGTGAAACACGTTGCCATCATTGGACCTTGGCAAACCATCAAAGGGATTCTGCCAGATGGAAAACGTTGAATACTTGTGGTATCCCAGGGTAACCAAGATTTGATAGTTGTCGAAAACGAATTACACTGCCTTGCTGTACAAAAACCCGTGCCCCAAAACAACGAAATCAATAAATCAGCAGTTTCAAAATCACACCCAGCAGAGGAAATAATTTTTTTAAATCTCAGGCTTAACCGCGTTTACATCGATCATTCATCAACAGCCAACGATTGCATCATAATGAATACTACACAACACCCGAAGCCATCACTAACAAGCAAGAACACTCGTGTGTGGAGTCGCATCAACTGAAAACGATTTTGATTGTGGCGACTTACTTCTCTCATCTGACAAGGAACATGCATCGACGAGACGGCTGTAACGTTGTCGCTGTCGAAAAATCGATACATCCAACTCTGCCGAAGTAAGACGGCAATCTCCTTGCATAAATGATATTTAGGTTATTGACTGATTCTAAATCTAATCACACTCAAGCAACTTGAGCATGTGGCATTCCCTTGCTGGCCTTGATGGGACCATCCGAGGTCTTACTCATTGCGCCCTTCCATTCACAAACTCCTTCAGAGTTCGTCTTGAGGTCAGGAGCAACAGATTCGAAGATCTTTTTCTTTGCAACTTTATTCTCTGGTTCAGGATCACCACTGATGCCCTCAAATTCTAAACGCTCTCCAATCTTTGCATTGGCTGGAGGTTCCATGGTCTCAACATTTGTGTGGTCAGCATTTGACGCGCATAGCACCATTCCATGTGATGGGAAACCAACAAGCTTCCTGCTCTTCAAGTTGCATAAAACAACCACTCGGCGATTAAGTAGCTCTTCGTCCTTGTAGAAAGGACGCAGTCCAGATGCAATCTGACGGGGCTTTTCCTCGCCTACGTCAATCTCTTCACAGAACAGCTTTTCTGCATCTGGATGAGGCCACACCTTTAGGATCTTGCCAACACGAATATCCAATGCACTAACATCAAACGTCGAAGCTTGTTGTTGTTGCTGCTGCTGCTTCTTTTGGTTCTGCTGAGGCTGCTTTTGTTGTTGCTTTTTGGCTTGCCTTTGTCCTTGATTTCCAGTATTTGCTTGGTTTCCTTTGTTCGCATTGCCTTGCGGAGCTCTAGACTTCTTTGGCATTTCAACCTCTTCTGTTCCGTAGAAGAAAATTGGGGGACTCAGAGCTGGGACTGTAGCCAACTTGTCAGGCAACTTAATGTCGTGCTTCGACAAGCCAGCAGAGACAACCCTCAACCAGCGTTGGACATTCGCGTAGGAACTGAGTTCATCAGCAGTGCACTTTTTCAAGAACAAAGCCGCCATATCAATATCAGCCACGGTCATCGACGCACTTGGTATGAGGAATGCCCTAGTTTCCAAATGGGCATCGACCTGCTTTAAGAGAGAATCGAGGGAAGATTCAGTTTTGGAATGATCGGCAACGCTCATCCAGCTGGTGATGGATGCAATAGCTATGCTGTGCGATGGCGAAGAGTGGACGACCGCAGAATGTCCTCCCAAAAGAGCACTAGGAGATCCATCAAGAGCATTGTGAAGCCCCATCCCACACAAGCAGCGCACGATGGCATTGCGCTGCGCAAGTTTGGTACCGGAGACCAACTCCAAAGAAAGAGTCGCCTTTTTTGACTTGTTGACAGTCAGTTGCAATGGAGATGCTACTTTTACGATCAGTTGGAGCAATGGATCGGCATTGATTTCCTGCACCGAAACGGTGAGAGTTGCTAGGGCGGCTGAAGATGCTACCTTCATGATGGAGCAGGTTTGTGAAAGTGAAGGTTTACTGTGGATACGGACTCAGGACTGACGGAGGACGATGGAAGCAAGAATGGTTCATAGTGCAGGTGGTGCAGCGCAGGTGCATTTTTATTCACTACTGGTACCAGGGGGTACACGTGTACCGTTACCGTATTTTGTATCGCCTGGACGGCGTCCGTATTTGAGCATCTTGCATCCGTACCGGTATACGTGTACCGGTACGGTACCTACCGGTACTCGTAGTTCTGATTGACCCCTACCAGCTTCTCGCTCAGTCCCAATACTTGTACCGCCGGTACGAGGAGTAACGGGGTACCAGGTGCAAATCATGCATGATACAAACAGCCAAATTCAAAGATTTGAGGTTACCAGGTAGTTGTGTTTGAATGAATAAAAGTCACTGTAGGTAGAAGTGCGGTACACGTACCAAGTACTACCAAGTGGTACAGGTACCGGAAGAGTACTCTAACACGTACCCGGTACCCGGTGCCAGGTAGTTCTGATTAAAAAACAATCTTACAGTAGCTCCTCAGTCCCACGATATTCAGCATTCAGCCGGTGCCAGGTGCCAGTACGTACTACCGTACATGTACTGCACCCCTTGTATAACCACTGCACGCAAATACAAAACACACGAGACAAAATCATCCGACCACTTCGATTTGAATTTTTAAAATCTCTAAGAATTTCCAAGTACCACAATGGAACTTTGCAAGATTGGTATTACTGTTTTGCTGAAATGCCATTCTTTTAAAACAATCAACTGCAAAAGAAGAAAAGGAATTAAAGTTTGATCATTGTTTTCAACATGAGCCTACTTTTCGCGACAGGTTGTGTCATTTTCCAAGCGGTTTCTTGAAAAATAACATCCCAAAACTTGGCATCGTACGTACGAATGTACAGTAAGTCGTTTGTACGTTTTAGTCGACCACGTGTGCAAGTACGTTCGGATCTAGAACTACAGAGCGGCGAGAAAACGAGCGTAGTAGTGCGGATCCTGACGTATGTCATCAACATAATAAAAATTCCCTGCACCCACAAATCATTAAAGAAATACTTGACAATGAAGTTCGCAACTGCCTTCCTACTTGCTGCCCCCGCCGTTGCTTTCGCTCCTGGAGCCACCCTTCCACGCTCCTCGTCTCTTCAGATGAGCAGCGAGGCATCCACCGAGTCCAAGGTAAGTTCTTCGGAAATGGATTTGATTCCTTTTTTTCTTTTACTTTACTTTTGCTAACGTTCGTTTCAGGCTTTCGCAAAGTTGCCTGCTTCTGTTAAGCCGGGTGTTGTCACCGGTACGGCCCTTGTCGACCTCCTCAACCACGCCAAGAAGGTTGGTTTCGCCATCCCAGGTGTCAATGTTGTGGGAAGCAACTCGATCAACTCCTGTATCGAGGCTGCCAAGAAGTACGGAGGACCCATTATGGTCACTTTCTCCAAGGGTGGAGGTCAATTCATTGCCGGAAAGGCCGCCGACAACACTGATGATGCTGCTTCTATCGCTGGATGCGTTGCCGCTGCCAAGCACGTCCGCGAAGTTGCTGCATTGTACGACGTCCCAGTTATTCTTCACACAGATCACTGTCAAAAGGCCTGGTTGCCATGGATGGATGGACTTCTTGCTGCCAACCAAGAATACTACAAGACACACGGAGTACCTTTGTTCTCTTCCCACATGCTTGACCTTTCTGAGGAACCCCTAGAGGAGAACATCGCCATTTGCAAGGAGTACATGGAGAAGTTCGCCGCCATTGACATCCTCCTTGAGTTCGAACTCGGTGTCACCGGAGGAGAGGAGGATGGTGTTGATAACACCGATATCGATTCTGCCCGTCTCTACACTCAACCCGAGGAAGTCTTTTACGCCTATGAGCAACTTTCTCAAGTCCCCAACGCTGCCTTCACTTGCGCCGCTTCCTTCGGAAACGTACACGGAGTTTACGCCCCAGGAAACGTCGAGCTCAAGCCCGTCATCCTTCACAAAACCCAAGAATACATCTCAGAGAAGCTTGGCGGTGATGACAAGAAGCCCATGAACTTCGTTTTCCACGGTGGTTCTGGTTCTTCTGTCGAAGATATCCAATATGCCATCGAAGCCGGTGTTATTAAGATGAACATTGATACCGACACCCAATGGGCTTTCTGGGATGGTATCCGTGGATACGAAGAAAAGTACCATGACTACCTCCAAGCTCAAATCGGAAACCCTGAAGGAGATGACAAGCCAAACAAGAAGTACTATGATCCTCGTATGGCACTCCGTGCCGGAGAGGAAGCCATGGCTGTCCGTTTGTGCCAAGCGGCAGAGGACTTGAAGTGCGTTGATGTTCTTAACTAAATAAATACTGTATTTTTTCAATTCAACTTCGAGTCACAAGACTCTGTTCTTCTTTTTCGCCCATAGACTGGTCGCCATCCACGCATTTGTATGCGCTTCGTATTATATTATGCAAATCGATTCCCTATGACTTCCATGCACATAGTGAAAAATGAAAATACATTCTAGTTTTAATAGTGCTGAGCTTAGTCACACTGAACTCGGCAGTTGTATTTTGGGATACCAGCAACGAACCCCAATGTGTATGTAAAATCTCTTCGCACAAGTGGTTCATCGATATCTCCAAGTGCAAATTTTTACTACAGTATTACTCAAAAGACAAAACGCCTATCCCATCCAGGCAGGCTTACGGAATCCCATACCAGGGTAGATGGCAGATGCACCCAATTGTTCTTCGATACGCAAGAGCTGGTTATACTTGGCAGTACGTTCTCCACGGCATGGAGCTCCAGTCTTGATTTGTCCAGTGCAAAGACCAACAGCAAGGTCAGCAATGTAGTTGTCTTCGGTCTCTCCAGAGCGGTGAGAAGTCATGACACCCCATCCGTTTTGCTTGGAAAGCTTGACGGCATCAATGGACTCGGAGATGGAACCGATTTGGTTCACCTTCAAAAGCAGACAGTTGGCGGCCTTGGTATCAACAGCTTCTTGAATCTTGATAGGGTTGGTGACAGTCAAATCGTCACCGACAATTTGGACTTCTTCTCCGACTTCAGCAACAATCTTGCTCCAGTTGGCCCAGTCATCTTGGTCAAAGGGATCCTCGATGGTGACGATGGGGTATTTGTCGATCAACTTCTTGTACAAAGCGATCATCTCGTCTCCAGACAAGACTTGAGATGGATCCTTTTCAGTAGCCTTAAAGTCCAAGTCGTAGGCGTCTTCTCCAGCGACCTTGAATTCAGAACTGGCAACATCCAAACCAACACTGACCTTGTCGAGGTATCCAGCCTTGTCCGCAGCTTCCATGATCATGTCAAGTCCAGATTCGACATCACATGGTGGGGCGAAACCACCTTCATCTCCAATCAAAGTGGCATCTCCTCCGAACTTCGCCTTGATAACGCTCTTGAGGTTGTGGAAGACTTCGCAACCAATTTCCATCGATTCCGAGAAAGTCTCAGCACCAGTTGGGATGACGAAGAATTCTTGGAATGGAAGCTTGTTTCCGGCGTGCTCTCCACCGTTGATCACATTGAAGCATGGAATGGGAAGAGTTTCGGGGATGGGGTTTCCGGCAATCTCGGCATAGTGCTTCCAAAGAGGAATGCCACGAGAAGAAGCACCTGCTTTTCCAATGGCCAAGGAAACTGTCGGCGTAAAGAAACAAAATGATTGAGCAAAGAATCGAAAATACAGATACAGAAAGACCACATAGAACCCTGGCAACTGGTAACTCACTTCCAAGAATAGCGTTGGCTCCTAAGTTGGCCTTGTTGGGGGTTCCATCGGCTTTGAGCATGGCCTCGTCGATTCCGCGTTGGTCGGCAGAATCCATTCCCATGATGGCATCAGCAAGGACTGTGTTGACGTTGGCAACGGCCGTGGCACAGCCCTTTCCCATGTACCGAGAGCCTCCATCACGAAGCTCGTGGGCCTCGTAGATTCCAGTGGAGGCTCCAGATGGCACACTGGCAGTGAAAGTGCCTTGGGCAGTGGTGATATCAACCTCAACAGTTGGATTACCACGAGAGTCAATGATCTCGCGTCCTTTCACGCCGGTGATGGCACTCATCATGCGTTGAGGTGAGGCATTGGTGGATGCCTTTCGGGCAAGGCTGCGGGTAGAAGCTGTCAACATGGTTGGAATTCGCAATGCAAATGTCTCCACGGATTTTATGGATTGTGCATCGGAATTCCAGCAGTGGTTTGGATACGCAATATCATTTGCTGGTAGGTGTTGTACATACGATGAATCTTTTCCTGGTGAACGGAAGGACGACAGACAAAGTTCCGCCGATTTTTTTGATACGGGGTGATAGGATACTTTTTTGTGCACCCCGCTTTTGTCGTCAACCATCAAAATTGGCGCCGACGAGTATCATTTTCTTCGTCACGAGTAAGAAAATGAGTATTTCCAACACTTCCCCTGTACCAACACTTGCTGGAAGCTCCATTGACCTAAACACCATAACCAGAAAGACTGATGAAACCAGCAGACGAACAAAGATTATTTGCACACTTGGTCCTGCTTGCTGGGAAATTCCTCAATTGGAAACTTTGATTGAATCTGGAATGAATGTTGGTAGGTATAAAACTTTCGTTAGAATATTTGAATTTGAACCCTTGAAATTGTGCTAAATGTATATATACACCTGGGTTCCCTTCTAATGTCACGCTGAGCAGCCCGTTTCAACTTTAGCCATGGTGATCACAAGGGACATGCCGCCACATTGGAACGTCTTCGCACTGCCGCCAAGAACAAGCAACGAAACGTTGCAGTTCTTTTAGATACAAAGGGACCAGAGATTCGTACTGGATTATTCAAGGATGGAATGAAGAAGATTGAGTTGGCCAAGGGCGAAAATATTATCTTGACATCGGACTATTCCTTCAAGGGAGATAACAAAAAGCTTGCATGTTCCTATGAAAAACTCGCCGTCTCTGTCAACGCGGGACAGCAAATCTTGGTCGCTGATGGATCCTTGGTGTTGATGGTTCTTTCCACTGACGAAGCGGCTGGTGAAGTTCTCTGTCGTGTCGAAAACAAGGGTACCATCGGTGAACGAAAGAACATGAATCTCCCTGGCGTCGTGGTTGACGTGCCAACGTTCACCAGTAAGGATTGCTCCGATATTGTTGACTTTGGAATCAAGCACAATGTTGACTTTATTGCCGCTAGTTTCGTCCGAAAGGGTTCTGATGTCAAGAATCTCCGTCAACTGCTGTCAGACAATGGGGGCCAACACATCAAGATCATCTGCAAGATCGAGAACCAAGAGGGATTGGAAAATTATGACGAAATTTTGCAAGCAACAGATGGCATTATGGTTGCCCGTGGGGATCTTGGCGTAAGTAATGAACTGAACTCACGACGTCGATCTGTTCATAGTGTTCGTCTTGTTGTCTAAATTATTGACATTGCATGGTTGTAGATGGAAATTCCACCTTCCAAGGTCTTCCTTGCCCAAAAGTTGATGATTCGCAAGGCCAACATTGCTGGAAAGCCAGTTGTTACCGCTACTCAGATGCTTGAATCTATGATCCAAAATCCTCGCCCCACTCGTGCCGAATGTTCCGACGTTGCAAACTCTGTTTATGATGGATCTGACTGTGTGATGCTTTCGGGCGAGACTGCTAATGGGCCATACTTTGAACAAGCCGTGCGAGTTATGGCTCGAACTTGTTGCGAAGCCGAAGCTTCGCTCAACTACAATTCGCTCTTCCAATCCATTCGCAATTCCTCTGTTATTGAACACGGCCATTTGACCTCGGGAGAATCTCTTGCTTCGTCGGCAGTGAAAACTGCGATTGACGTCAACGCTAGGCTTGTTGTAGTTCTAAGTGAGACTGGAACCACAGCGAGATATGTTTGCAAGTTTCGCCCAGGAGCTCACGTCATCTGCTTGACGCCCAACGAATCTGTTGCTCGTCAAACCGGTGGAGTGTTGACTGGGTGCCACTCTTTTGTCGTCGACTCTCTAGAAGATAGTCAAGCGCTTGCCACTGAGGTATCGATCGAAGCAATCAAGGGTGGTATTGCGAAGGAAGGAGACTTGATGGTCGTTGTGGCAGGAAAGACTTTTGGTCACGGAGCCACTGATTCTGTACGTGTGGATGTCATTGAAAAACACCACTGGGATGAGAGTATGGGAGAGTCACAATCGACTGCGCACCAAAGAGGGAGGCCAGACCCCCTGGGTCACTTGCGCACAGGTTTCAGAATGCCTGGTTCTGGGAACTAACCTCATTGTTGCGACATGAGGATCTTTGTTCTACTTCTTCTTGATATGTTGTGTTTTCCAGAAGAATGATGTTCTTCAGTCTAGTCTATCAATGAAAAAAGAAGCTAGCTATAATAAATTGCCATAGAATTAGATTATTTTGAAAGAAGAACTACAGTACACTGCTGCAGTGCTTGGTGCATGGTGGGGTTTGTTGGTATCTTTGCGTTACTGTACCAATTTTTTTCGTTTTTTCGACTTGAACGACTTCTTTGGTCAGACGAAGCAATCCGAAAAGCAGAGAAAGCTATTGATGGGCATGACAGACACATTGGAAACAAAACATTTCGAACGGAAAAGAACTTGCTCTAGTCCAAGAGAGCATCAAGGACAACCGAGACCGAGAGCAACGTTTACAAGCATAATCGCATAATCGTATATACCAAACATGTCATACGATCGTGCCATCACTGTCTTTAGTCCAGATGGACATTTGTTGCAAGTGGAATACTCGATGGAAGCAGTCCGCCGAGGATCCACAGTCGTTGGAGTCCAAGGAAAAGATTGCGTTATTTTGGCTGTGGAGAAGCGTGCCATTGCCAAGTAAGTCGTCTATCAACAATTTGTGCATTGCTTTACCAAGAATGAGTCCTCAGTATTGAACATACAATCCTTGCTGTTCCTCTTGCTTGATTGATCGATCGCAGACTCCAAGATGCCCGTACTATCCGAAAGATTGTGTCTGTTGACGATCGAACTGTCTTGGCATTTGCTGGTTTGACAGCCGATGCTCGTGTTTTGGTGAACAAAGTAAGAGTAGAAGCACAATCATATCGTTTGACTATGGAGGATGCTCCATCGGTTGATTACTTGGCAAGATACCTTGCCAAGATCCAACAGAAATATACTCAACAGGGAGGTGTGAGACCATTCGGTATTGCTACCCTAGTTGCTGGTGTCAACGATGACGACAAAGGCAAGCGTCCTTTTTTGTACCAAACAGATCCAGCAGGAACCCACAGTAGATGGAAGGCACAAGCCATTGGTGGAAGAAATGCCAAGTCACTGCGAGAATTCTTGGAGAAGCAATACCAAGACTTGAATGAAGATGAATTGACAGAAACGAAGTGCGTTCGCTTGGCTGTACAGGCTCTGTTGGAAGTTGTTGATAGTGGCGCAAAAACAATGGAAATTTGTGTGATCCGAGAAGGCGGTATCAAGGAAATGCTGAAGGAGGAAGCCGTCCAAGTTGTTGTCGATGAAATCGAGGCTGAACAGCAGGAAGAAAAGAGGGGTCCATCCGGAAGCGATTAAACATAGACAGTCAAAATTTGATTCTCTGTCTCGTGATTTTGTAAAAAGTACATGCTCTTGCCATCGTGCAGCTATCGATAAATGTTTGTGTTATCATATAGCAATAATGGTCTCTGACCAGTTGAACCATTGCTACAGATGGCACCACACATTTGGTGTGGCTTCAAGTCCCTTGAAAGGCTAGAAGGTATGATCGCATAAACTCTACTCAATTAGAAAAGACTCAATCCTTTTATAAAAGATCAATGTCGATTTATGCTACAAGATTGAAAGACATTACCAGCCACCATCACCATCTAAGTCTCCAACGGCTCGCTGCATGCTAGGGGCATTCCACCCATTGCTGTGGTCCAATTCATATGGTTCGCTAATGATACAGGTGTCTTTGGTGACCTTAGCCAACTGAATTCGGGCAGAGGCTCTGCAATCACGGTAAAACAACACTTTCATGCAGTCTTCAAGGAGGGCACGTGCCTCTCCTTCACTGAGATCCGGACGCCACTTTTCCCGCAAAAGTGGCATAGCCAAATAACCTCCAAATCCAGTAGCAACTAGGTTCTCTTGCAAAGTAGTTCCCAATTTGTCAATCACTCCCAAAAATGGGGCGTCATTTTCAAAACCTGCAACGACGAGATCGTTCCAGAAAGGGTTCATTTTGGATCTCTTTTGGTACATGACGGCACGAAGGTAATTCCAAAGCGACTTCGCTGACAAAGTTCGCTCATCGTATACCGACTCCATTGATTGGGTCGTCTCTGCCAGTGCCAAGGCTTCGACTCGACTGACAATCTCTTGAAAGTCAGAGTATTCTCCCGATGCTCCAAGTAGGACCCTGTCCGCGATACTCACCATGCGAGGAGTATTGAAGGACTTGGCCATGGATCCATAAGATAACAGGGTATCCGCAGCCAACAAGACGCCACCGTCATAGACTAAGCCGACGACAGACGTTCCTGTTGTAATAGGGCGTGTAGTGTGTTTGTTGGCCATCGTTTGTGAGTAAGGAAAAAATAATAATGCTGTCAGAAACCAAATTGGACTTGTCAACCGCAACATTCATTCACAAGCGAAATTGATTAGTTTAGTTTCTTCCAAATCAAGCTCATTCCTCAGTCTTCGGTGCGATTCATCGAAAATAGGTCTATCTAAGCCCTTTTCACATATGTCGGATTAGTCCAGACTTTCTCAACATTTGCACCACCGCCATCAACACGTGGAAACGATGAACCAACAAAAACGAACAAAATAGATACTGTAGACACAAGAACCATCATGATCTTCTGAAGCGCTGCATTGCATCGGTAATACACACTCAAAAACTTCCCAATTCATTTGGAAGAAGGCGAAACAAGCAGCAATTTACGATCCATAGCAGGCAGGACCTACCAATCATCGTAGCAGAGAATTTCATTTTTTATTGATCCATAATCTTGAATGAAACGACATCCACTGCACAAACTCGCAGTGCTAGCTGCAACAGCAGCTTCTTTTACCAATGCCTTTACAACTACATCGTCACACTATTCCAATTCGGTGAAGCTGCCGTTTCTACCAAAAACAGCGCAACATGCTTCGGTGGAAACGACGAATGAAGGTCATCTAGTCAATGGAAAAACAAATGGTGCTCCTTCAGAATTGGAACTAGATACTGACACGGGAAGAACCCTCTCACCGTACAATATACTATATCCGGAACACTTCAGAATAACGTCGAGTGAGATAATGAAGCGGGAATCGACGCTCCATACTTGTTTGCAACTGTTGCGACAAGTATTGACCTTCATTTCTTCTGGAGATGCCACTTTGCCTGAACAAGCACGCGTGCTACGGATAGAGCATGCGATATCCCACAATATTGATCCTTTATGTTGGCTCCAGGCACAAAAGGAGGCTGACGACAAACCGCCCAGTTTGTACTTTGCAACAGCTGAGGGAACCCTTGAAGCGGCTGTATATGGGTCGTCGAAAATATATCGCGGTACCACGTTCGATGATCACTTCTGGGACTTGGTTCAAGAGCTGCCAGAGGAGAGTCATTTCTATGGTGGCCAAAGATTTGATACCGAGACAGATCATAGCCATGTCGCGGACGAATGGGCTAGTTTTTCAAAAGGATTATGGATCCTCCCGGCAATTGAAATACGGAGGACCAAGGAAAGCCCAGCAGACACCATGGCAACAACCACGGTCGCCGTACATCTCTACAAAGATGATGGGGATGACTCGATTGGCTTTTCTTTGGCTGCATCTCGTCTCCTGACGTTATTGACACATGTTTCGGATGCAACAACTCCCGCGAAGGCCCCCACCACGTTGCCACCTGTCCTGTCGAGAGTATCTACTTATGCCAACAGAGATGGGCAGGAAATGTATGAAACGGGTGTATCCGCAGCTCTAGCGGAATTTAGTAAAGACAACAATACTCTGGAAAAGGTTGTCCTTGCACGACGGATGGATTTGTCGTTCAGCCAACACGCAACTGTCGATCCACTTGATATTCTCCGAAAATGGAAATTTGGAAACAAACCGGGTGGGCATATGTTTTGTATAGGCGCAGGTGGAGAAGGAGGTGATTTCTTCGGTTGTACTCCAGAGCGCCTATTTCAGGTACAACATGGTGCTGTGGTATCAGAAGCCCTAGCCGGCACACGCCCGCGTGGTTCAACTCAAGATGCTGACGAGGAGCTAGCGCGACAGTTGTATTCTTCGTCGAAAGACCAAATGGAAAATCGGATCACTGGAAAGTTTATTCGTTCCGCTTTTGAAGAATTGAAGGAGCGAGGATTGGTGACAGTGGGGAAAGCAAACACTTTGGAAGATTCATCAGAAGACTACGAATTCGGTGGTACTTTCTATGTCCGCCGCTTAAGGCACCTACAACACCTTTGTCAGAGATATAGCTGCGATCTCACAGACAATACTAAACCAACGGATGTAATCAAGTTTCTCCTCAAGCAACTGCATCCAACACCAGCAGTTTGTGGATTTCCCCAAAATCAGGCCATTGAGTTTATACGTGAATATGAAAGCTCAAACTTTGATAGGGGGTTCTATAGCGGCCCTGTAGGTTTTGTGAGCAAGCAAAAGACAGATATAGTGGTTGCGATTCGCTCTGGTCTGGCATCGAAAGCTTTAGAGCGACCAAAAATATCGGTCTATGCAGGTGCTGGAATTGTTCCTGGTTCAACGGTTCAAGGTGAATGGTCAGAGACATCATACAAGCTTGCAGTTGTTTCGTCCATTTTCCCTCAGTCTCCAATAACGCTGCAGTCCATCCCGACGCCTAATGCAGCTTGGGCTGCTGCATTTATTGAGGAACTTGTGCGAAATGGTATCACCCAATTTTACATTTGCCCTGGTTCCCGTTCGACACCTCTCGTAGCAGCTATTGCTAAGACAGCGAGGACAAATATTGGAGCGATTAATGCGATGAGCATTCATGATGAGCGCGGAGCAGGGTTTCGAGCTCTAGGGTACGGTCGGGGTTTTGGGCAACCTGCTGCTGTAATTACTTCCAGCGGCACAGCAATTGCAAATTTGTACCCTTCCATTATTGAAGCTGGTATGGATGGCGTGCCATTGCTTGTTATTACTGCTGATCGACCATATGAAAATCGGAACACAGGTGCAAACCAAGCAATCGATCAAGTGAAGGCATTCTCATCGACTTATGTAAGATGGTTTCGTGACATCCTACCTCCAAGTGACGATGTACCAGTTGCCGTTGGGCTTTCTGACGCTTCTCATGGCGTGAACGTAGCAAGAGAACAGAGGGGACCAGTGCATTTGAACATACAGTTTCGAGAAAATCTTGCGCCTGATGCTGGTCCTATTCGGAATGACGACCGCATTGGGTCGATCACAAAATTCGACGGCGTGCGATTCACGGACACACCAGGATTCCAAAGATGGTCATTCGGTGGGGGGGTGTGGACAAAGTCGTTTGGAAACACTGGTGCTGTGGATACAAACCATGTGGCGTATATTGCCAAATTGATCAAGAATTCAAAACGAGGCATCATCGTTGTTGGAAACATTCGCAAATCGACAACTCAATCACACTCCGATGTAGCAGAGACATTCCAAATGATTGATAATCTTGCAAAGATAATTGGATTCCCTATTTTTGCAAGTGCGCAATCTGGTGGTCTACGATTTGAAAGTTCTGCAGTTGTTCCATTTGCCGAGCACTTGCTCAGATGCCCTCTTGTTGGGGAAAATTTACGACCTGACGTTGTAATCCAATTTGGATCGCCGCTGATATCCACAGAGGTCACAAAAGTAATAAAGACGAGCACGGCGGATGACAATTTGCAGCACGTGCTTGTCCACCCCCATCATCCTTCAGAGCGTGTTGACCCAGAGTTTACAGTCTCACAGAAGGTCGATTCTGAAATATTACCCTTCGTCAAGTATTTGTGCAACGTGTTAGCAACAGGACCATTGAGCTCAAGCTCGCTTTCCCCTATCATTGGTCTTGGCCGATCAATTCAAAACGAAATCCGAAGTATTGTCGATACGGCAGCTGCTGACGTTTGGATGAATGAAAACGGAACTGTCACCATGACAGAACCAGAAATCATCCTTTCGCTTTCAGAATTGATTTCAAGGCAAGAGAGGAATGAATATTCCTTATTCTTGTCGAATTCGATGCCCATAAGAGATGCAGAGGCCTTTCTTTATCCTTTGAGCACCCCTTCAAGTAGAACAAAGGGATGGAAAGGTGTTGTTGATATTGCCGTGAACCGTGGTGCAAGTGGTATTGATGGCATCATTTCTTCGGCAGCTGGATTTGCTGATGCGACCAAACGAAAAACGATACTTTTGGTCGGTGATGTAGGTGGCATGGAGAATTCACAAACAAGTTGCGAAGGTGTGAACCCTGACACTTTCTTGCTTCTCATACAACAGGTTGCAGCACTTCATGACATCAACTCTCTTCATGGTTTAAAATCTGGCATCACTGGCAAAGACATTTACTCACAATATGGGAACCATCTCACAACAGTAGTTGTGAACAATGGTGGTGGTGGAATATTCTCTTTCCTTCCATTATCAAAGCATGGCACAGATGTGGGTTTTGAAGAGTTTTTTGCGACCCCTACGACTACTTTCTCTTTCGAAAAAGGGGCTGCGGCTTTCGATCTACCATATCAAAAGGTTAGAAACTTTGATGAGTTGTTCCAGAGCTATTTGGATTCTGAAAAAAAGGAACAGTCGGGCCTAATAGAAGTCGAAGTCGTCGCTCGCGATTCCAATGTCAAAGTTCATGGCAAAATTACCCGTGAGATATCAGATGTCGTGGTTCGAAAACTTGGAGGTCATGCCGCAGACGATTACAGTAAGGAAATCCTGCCCTTGGCGGTTTACAACAATATGCATAGTGAAAAATCGAATCGATCCAGCACAAGCTTCGAGCGCAAGACTATGGTACTTCTGCATGGTTGGATGGGAGATAAGTCTGAATGGGATGGGGTTGTACAATTCTTAATTGAATTGCTGCCGCCAGAGTGGTCAGTCATCTCGATTGATTTGCCTGGTCATGGAGAATCAAGAATGCGGCGCTCAAATCAGTTCCATTCAATCAGGGAAGCATTAGGGTTACGCGAAGAAAGTGATTCCAATTTGGATGTTGACCAAATCGCTCGATCGGTTTTTGTAACATTGAGGAAACACAATATCGACTTCGTTGATGCCATTGCAGGGTATAGCTTGGGGGGTAGAGTGGCACTGGCTATGAAACGGATGGCGATGAACAATTATCATGACGGAGACCTTCCAGACTTCAGTTGCCTTAATGATTCAAGCAGACTTGTTTTGGTATCCGCGTTCCCTGGAGATATTTCTTCTAATGCCACCGAAGTCCCTCTTCATCTCCAAAATGAACATAAGACACGAAAGCATAAAGACGATAGATTGTCGCAAGAAATACAGCAAATGGCAAACAACTTTGAGCTCACACCAAGATCTCCAAGTGATGCCAAGATCCATTGGTCCAAATTTCTTCAACGTTGGTACAGTGCTCCACTTTGGGGCAATTTGAAAAGTAGTGGTGATTTGTACAATGTGATGATCGATAAAAGGGTGTCTTCCCTGTCCAACCGAGCTTTTGATCTGGCAGCTGTACTGGAGCAGTGCTCCCCACCTCTCAATCGACTAGATGATTGGAGAGCGGCTCAAGCAGAGAGGACTCTTTTCATCACGGGTGATTTAGATGAGAAATATAGTAGAATCGGCGACGCTTGGCAGAGCTTGTCTCCAACTCTCAGTCACAAGAAGCTTAAAGACAAAGGCCATGCATTGCTGACAGAAGCTCCTTCAGAAATTGCTGAAGCTATCAACAGTTTCCTCCAAACTGATCCGGGTGAAGAGAATAGCCAGAAAGAGGCTGGCGAAATAGACGACAAAATATCCTCAATACCCCCCTATCCAAAGGACTCCAATAGAATGGACTCAGCAGGAATTGCAGCGACGGCATCAAAGTTTCCCCATTTCCAGATGGAAGAGGTTATAGGGTCGTTGGAATTTGAACCGTTTGCTATCGACCTTGTAGATGGGGGAAAAAAGACGAAAGGGGTTGCGGGAATTGGTTGGGGTGATCGATCCAAAACTGCTGAGAGTAGTATGAAAAGGCGGCATGGGTTCATAATTCAGCTTTCATCAGAGGATGGAACAAAAGTTGGGATAGGCGAGGTTAGCCCACTTGCTGGGCTTCATCCAGAATCGCTTGGAGACACAGAGGACCAGCTTAACGCAATCGCAAGTGAGATTGCTGGTGATAGAGATTACACAATGCCTGGATTTGATCCGGCTCAGATTTTGGCCATGGATGGAGCGCTCGATGAGTTCCTTTATTCCTTTTGCGTTGCTTTAGGAATTGAGCGTCTCTTACTTTCTGTTCGTTCTGGAATTGAAATGGCGCTGATTGCTCTGTCATCACAAATTGTTAGCATGCCAATCCACCAAGCGCTAGTGAAGTTTTCACCATCGGTTTACAAAGTTCGCTCATCCAGCTCATTTCTTCCTTTGAATGGACTTGTCACCAGAGGCACTTTGCCGCTGGCGATATCGGATAAAAATGCAGTTGCGTACGACTCATGGAAATTCAAAATAGGTCACCAGAGTCCTGCAAACGACCTCCGTGCCATTTCTACCGCTCTCCAACTTCCGCCTTCCAATGCAGGGGGGCAAAAACCATTGATAAGAGCCGATGGCAACAGAGGTTTCAACGAAACCGAGGCATTAGAGTTTCTGAGTGCTATTAGGGATATTGGCCTCGACCGTCTCGAGTACATAGAGGAACCGCTGCGGGTTGCCTCAGAAATGTCGTCTTGGAGCCTACGTGAACACACAGGTAGACTCCAAAAGCTCTACGAAGAAACGAGAGTGCCGTTTGCCCTTGACGAGAGTATAGTTGACTTGGCAGAGCTTCACAGCTATGATTTTTCATCTATAATGGAAGACCTCAAAAGGGTTGTCCCAACTCGTAGTGGTTGTGTTGCTCTTATTTTAAAGCCATCACTGCTCGGCCTCGAACTATCTCTACGGCTTGCAAGAGCTGCTAAGATTGAGCTTAACGTTGGGGCAGTATTCACAAGTGCGTTCGAAAATGGAGTCGGTCTTTCTTTCATCGCTTTTCTTGCGTCATTATCTGACCAAACTGGAGGCAGAGAAACCACGAGATTGTTTTCGCATGGGCTTGGAACTTTCGAGATGCTGAGTGCAGATTGTCTGTCCCCTAATTTTGCCTCTTACGTCAATACCAAAGGCCAAGTAAATGTTGCTTCATTGTCAAGGGCATTCTTTGGACTAAGTCTCGATGAAATGGAATCTCTTTCAAGCTCGTCTCTACCGTTACTTCAAGCACAGCTTAGCGATGAGGATGCAGTGACAGCATCATCATTGAACGATGTTCAGTCTTCGGGCAGAATGCTGTCTGATGAATTCGAGGCTTCGACAACCATCAGTAGCGATGGGCGTGAAATCACCGTTGTCGCCTCGCTTCCTCTACCTTTCTCAGCCGAGATTGCAAATGCTAGGTTTACAGACCTTCCGCAGCAGCCTAGGTGGTCCCCTTGGATTAGTTCTGTTGCTTATCTAGACGACGGCGAGACAGAATGGACGCTTCAGGTGCGGGGAATACACTTCCGTTGGAGAGCGACCAGCACACTTTTGGAAGAGCCTTACAAAGGAATACAGTGGGAGTCAGTTAGTGGATTGAAAAATACAGGGTTCGTTGAATTCATTCCAGAGGACGATGCATGCTTGATGAAAGTTACCATTGCCTTTATATCCCCAAGGATACTCTCCTCGCTTTTCAGAGGCACATCAGTTTTCTTCGAAGATTTTTTGAGGAACAAGATTTTTAAATGGTCACTTGAGATGTTTCGCGACGTTGTCAAGGGTGACCTGGCATTGGAAGAAGGCAATATTGATCTAGGTGATGCGCTCTTCAGTTCGGTCGAAGGGAAGGCAAATGCCATCCAAGCCTCCCTCTCCGCACCCTTTGACACTTGATAATCGATAATCGATCCTTGTTGACTGAAGTCGAAGACATCTTTTCTTATTTAAAAAACAACAACAACCATTTAGGACTATTTAAGCTGGTAGGATCGTTTCTAATTTTGCTTTTTAGGTATTGTTGGTTTCTTGCTTTCGTCAAGTGGTACCAGGTACCGGTACTGGTATGCCTGTATGTTGAATGCCAAGAGTGGTTTGTCAATGTCAACCGGACATGAAAAAGACGACTCACTCGACTGACTCACTCATTTTACGTTGAAGTTGGGTGGATGATGTTTGTGATTGCAGCCACCGGAGGTTACACGTTGAAGCGAGGAGGCAATTTTCGTTGATCGTTTTTCTTTAGCAAATCGAATCAGGTGGAGACAAACTTTCCTTGACTGAAAGAGCCCAGAAACGACCAATCTCTCGTCAACAAACACTTAAATACAATGAAGGTCTCCAGCGCAGGTTTGCTGGTTATTCTTGCGCACTGTGCTTCCACACACACTTCTGAAGCATTCTCAATCATCACCACATCAAAGAATCATGCAACCGGTGCTACTGCCTTGAGAAGCACTGCTGAGCCACAAGCAAAGACTGAGTTCAACTTGAATGAATACATCATGGCCATGCAGCCAGATATAACAAAGGCACTAGAAGAAACTTGTGTCAGTCTAGACCCACCCATGACAGATTTGATTTCTGAATCGATGAGGTATTCTCTAATGGCTGGCGGAAAACGTATCCGACCTGTTTTGTGCCTTGCAGCCTGCGAAATGTTCGGAGGAAGCAAGGAAGCAGCCATACCAACTGCAGCAGCTTTAGAAATGATCCACACAATGAGCTTGATTCACGATGATCTGCCGAGTATGGACAATGATGACCTACGAAGAGGAAAACCCACAAATCACGTAAGCCCTCCTGTTTCCATGTGATTTTTCACCGGCATGCAAATTCAATTTTCTCACAGTGCATTGTTTCTTTTCATGCAGGTTGTATACGGCGAGGATATTGCAATTTTGGCCGGAGATGCCATGCTCAGCACAAGTTTCGAAGTGGTTGCAAAGCAAACACCAAGAGACTTGGTAGATGCCGAAAGAATCTTGGATGTAATTGGGCGTTTAGGAAAGTCGGTTGGAGCAAAGGGCCTCGCAGGAGGTCAAGTCATGGACCTTATCTGTGAGGGAAAAGGAAACGATGTCACCATCGATGACCTAAGATGGATTCACACCCACAAAACTGCTGCGCTTTTGGACGTTGCGGTTGCATCGGGGGCGATTTTGGGCGGTGCTACCCCTGAAGAAGTGAAGGCTTGCGAGATTTTTGCTCTCAATATTGGGCTTGCATTCCAAGTTGCTGATGACATTTTGGATGTCACTCAATCAACAGAGGAACTTGGCAAAACCGCTGCCAAAGACCTTGAAGCGGATAAGACTACATACCCAAAGCTCTTGGGACTTGAGGGAGCTCGAGCTGAAGCAGAAAGACTTGTTGTTGTTGCGAAAGAAGCAATGGCACCATTCGGGGATCGTGCAGTCCCGTTGTTGGCACTTGCCGATTACATCATCGATCGAAAGAATTAGGACCTAAACATAGATACGTTTCTTGTACCAATATCTTCAAGACTGGGAATCTCCATTTGAAATAGTTGCTACTCTACTGTGTATATAGGATGTGTACCTGATTTTAAATATTGATACCTACCTATTTATTCAAATAAAGTCGTTCACAATCGAAAGTGAGGTGGATGTCAGGGCTCGGCTTATAGGAATGTAGCGGTGAATGACATTAAATTTTATTTAGTTTCTCTTCTTGACAATGTGCTTCTTAACTGCCTTCTGCTTTGGGAATCGAGAGTATTTCTCTTCACGAGATTCAACTCGTCCGGGAGCCTTGTGGCGGATTCCTAGTGAACTGACAATCTCTACATAGCGCTTCTCATCCTCCCCAGAAAGATAATTCAACAAACGGCGACGCTTGTTTACAAGGGCCACAAGACCTCTGCGGGTCGAGAAGTCTTTTGGGTGCTGCTGAAGATGCTTAGTCAAGTAGGAGATGCGTTCTGTCATTCCCGCGACTTGGTATTCTGGACTTCCAGTATCCTTGTCGTGTCTTCTGTACTTCTCTCGAAGTTCGTTCATTCGTTGCTGCGATGCGGCCCATGCTGGAGGCTCACCATCGTCTTCAATTCCAGCTTCTTCATCGTCTTCATCCAAGTCCCCAACATTAACGATGTAGTCGTCAGCTGGGGGGGAATCAATATCGTTAATTTCTTCGTCATCAAGTGCTGTTTCAGAGAGGGTTGTTCTAGGGTTGTACCGTTGGCTCTCTTGAACCATTTGCGCAATCTGTGTTTAGCAGTAAGCAGAAAGAAACAGTGAGATATGTTATTGATTGATTTCCGTACTTTGTTCTGATCGCAAAAAGTCAGAGACAAGATGTCCCAGCCATCACCAAAGTACCGCGTACACGTGAAAAGCTACATGACAAGGGTGGTGTTTCCTTTGAAGCCCTTCATGGAAACAAAGCTTTTTAAGAAATAGCTGTAGTTCACATGGATTAAGGCTTAAACAATTGTTTTTCAACTCTATCTCTCGTGAGGGCGAAGGGCACTCGTCAACTATGCTCGATTTCCAGTTTTTGCAAAGTCATGCTTCGTTTTTGAAACATAGAAACTTACAGAAGTTGTGGACGGTGATGCAGGTGAGAATGCACTGACTGTCGCGACAGTCGCAAGGAGTAAGAAAGCAGTTCTAGAGACAATCATGTTGATATAAATTGGTTGTTTGGGGTGGAAATGAGACAGCGCTGTTTCAGATCTCGTTGTTGATGAGTGATGGGTTGGCGAGTTGTTTTTTTATGCTTGGAAAAGGTGATGGTGATGGGAGGCTGGAACGGTGGTTGGAAATCCAGAGTTCTCACCACAAAGATTCCTTTTTCTTTCCCCAAAATGAACAGACTTTTTTCTACGAAAATGCTTAGTACAGTTTATACACACTTATCTTATACCTCATGTTCTGGAAAAGAAACGGAATCTTACTCTGATTTCTCTAGGCGTGTCCTGACCAAGAATACGTGCGTCAGCGAAGTCCGCACAGACGCATCTTCTCTCTTCAGTCACCTCGGCAAAACAAATAAGCACGCCAATAAACTATTTCAATATGTGGAAAAAACCAGCATGTTAACAAAACAAACTTCGCAGGAACTCTCTCGGTTGTATTGCGCTACAATAGTACACTTTCGAGAAGGCCCCTGTGGTACCAGGTACATGCACTTGCCTCCTGGTGATGAAAACAAGGATCAGCTCGTTCCATCATTTTAAAAAAAAGCATTGCACTGATAATCCTGCCACAGAACTAAAAAGAGCACTTATGGAATGCTATTATTCATCTCTGCTTTTAAAAAAATAGTAGTCCTAGCTGGTGGTACAAAAGCGATGAGGAGGACGATAATTGTGGATGATCATGGTCGTGCTGGTCTACTAACGCCTCCTCCTTTGACAGTAGCAGTACTGCTTTCGATTCGGAAACAAGCCACGCACTCGCTCGATACGAAGAAAGAAATCGTGGACGAATACAGATTGGTCATTGTACAGTAGAACTACTGTAAATTTCTTCCAGATTTCAAGTTAGTACTAGGAAAAGTTTCTTCTTGAAGGGGGAGCAACCAAGAGGAAGCCAAGAAGTCAAGATATGATGGTAGAGGATCCTGCCAGCTAGTACACCTTCATGCTCACTTGCCATTCGGAAAGAAAAACAGTTTGTTGAATGAAAATATTTATTATGTACTACAGACCACTGACTTCTCTTGCGACTCTCGAGTACTGTAGTTTGAACTACAGACGACTGACTCACTCCTCTTGTGACTTACGAGTACTTGTAGTGTGAAGCGTGTCGCTTTGCTGACTCACATTCCGCGTGGAACTTCGAAATCGTACGCATGACGTGACGCTTTCAAAGTTCAATGAATGTGTCAAATGTTCGTTGTCAAAACAAAAACATTTGAATCCGAAGAAGTACCAGGTACAGCAAGCGTCGACGACCTTGAACGCGATGAATCTATTCACTCTCAGACATGCAGTCATTGTCACTGCTTTCCTATTCGGGATCGCACAATCCTTTGTTCAGCCTATGAGAAATCACAAGTCCCCAACAACCAAGATGGGAGTCTTGCACAAGGAAGCAAAAAGCAGTCCGCCGACAGTTGAAGAGACCACGGAAAAGTATGGCTTGGAAGTAGGCCTAGCACAGTCGTTGAAAGAAAAGGATGGCGAATCTGCAAAATCGTTGCTGAAAAAATATGGAATCGCCTACTTGGCAACATCCATCCCTCTAGCCCTTGTCAGTTTCACCATTTGCTACTTTTTGGTGGACAACGGCGTTGATGTCGCAGCTCTGTTATCTAAAGTTGGTATTGAATCTTCCGGAGCTGCCGATAAGGCAGGTACTTTCGCCATTGCCTATGCAGCACATAAGGCAGCCAGCCCGATCCGCTTTCCTCCAACTGTGATTTTGACTCCAGTTGTTGCGAAACTCATTGGAAAAGAACCAGAAGATGAAGCGGAATTATAGATATGACGCGCTACACTTCCGATTTTTTCAGCAAAAGCTTAGGTGGATTCAGCCCCAAGAATTTGCGGTATTATTTGTTTGCATCGAGACGACCAGATCTAGCACCAAGGGCGAAATTATCTTAATCATTTATAATAATAGTAGGACTTAGAATGATATTTTCTGGAAGCTGCCAATGGATGTTTCAACGGTTGTCCGGTAGAAGTGTACTGCTACTGTACTGATTGCATGACCTGGTTCTGTGCTTCGATGATGTCTCGGATTTTCTGAGACCAATCCACGCGATTGCTCCGTGAACATTCCACCGAATAAAGAATTCAAGTTGTTTTCTTGCTCATCCACTCGAATCAGTCTCACCCATCTTCATTATGCTATCCAGCGATTCGAGCTCATATTGGGGAGTATCGTTGGGTCTTCTTCTGATGGCGACTGCTGAACATATTTCGACAAAGCAATGTGTAGAAAAATTGAATTGATAAAGTTCAAAGTGCTATATAGTACTACCATTGTTGAATAATTCTGAAGCAAGTTTACTTTGGAAACAAGTCAGTTCTGCTTTAGGGCAGATAACTCTGCTTATCGAAATGCATTCATTCCTCCAAGCGATGAGAAAGGATCGTCCTTTTTGGGTGCGTTTCCACCCATAGGTACTCCAAACCCTCCATCATCTGAGTTATGCTGGTTCCTTCCAACACCAAGATTCATCTGTTGCATACTTTGTCCCATGGCATTCATATCGTTATTGCCTACCACATTGATCATTCCACCCATCATCGTCTGGTTACCCTGCTGTGGAAAAGCATTGCTCATATTCATTTGGTTCATGCCATTGTTTGGAGTTTGCATCTGTTTTTGCATCTGCTGTTGTTGCATCATCATCATCATCATCATTTGTTGTTGCTGTTGCATGTTGCCATTCGTCATCATCATTTGAGGATTCGTCATCTGCCCGCCATTCATCATTTGAGACACATTTCCCACCATGCCACCTCCATTCAAATGTTGCTGTTGCGTACCAGGATTCATCATGCCACCTGGGATTCCATGTTGGGGTTGCTGTTGTTGCTGCTGCGGTATCATACCAGCCATCATTCCCATGTTGTTGTTCATCATTCCAGATTGCATTCCAAACCCAGCATTTGTTTGCACCGGGGTATTGAAAAGAGCCATAATCGAGTCGTTTGATGCCATCTGTGGTTGTGCTGCTGCTGGGGCTGGAGTCAAAAATTCGGATCCTGGTTGTTTCGCCCTTTGTTCCTGTCCCTGCTGTGGAGGTGGAGCTAGGGTTGGGGGCTGCGAGGGTGGTGCCGCAACTGCTGCTGGAGCGGGGGTAGGGTTTGTCATATTCGTGATAGGTTGTGTTCCAGTAGGCTGGGGCGCGAATGGATCTGAAGTGAACCCTACAGATGGAGGTCCAGCTGGAGGGGGCGCAGGTGATGTTCCAAAGTCTAGGAGATCCATAACGACTGGTGCTGAAGCGGGTGCCTGGGCAACTTGTGGCTTGGAAGGTCTCGGCACTTCTGCCTGCGATTGTGCAGTTTTCATGCGTGCTTGACGTTGGGCTACTCGTTGACGAGCAATCTCTGATGGGGCACCAGGGCGCGACAATGACGTCGCTCCAGCTGATCGAGGTGCTTGTCCATTGCCTCCCGTCGAACCCGAGTTTCCTGGCATCGAGAATCCAGCTGGATTGAAATACTTTCGCCTTTCATATTTGTCACGAATATAGCGCTCCCTCGTAGGACCAGTCGCATGATTGGAAGGCTTTTCTCGGTCCAAGTTGGCTTCGAAAATGACATTTACTTTCGTATTTCCCCCATTTTCCATTGCCCGAACCTCCCAATCTTTCCCTACGGTACCAGCACAACGATCGAAATAATGGGCGTGAGAATATTATGTTGTCAAACAAAAATTTCAGGATTGGCCAATGAGACAGGAAGGACGAAATAATGACAGCACAGCTTTACTCACAAGAATCAAGATTAACACTTCTGACAAACGTAATGTGGACACCAAGACGTCGGTGAGATCCAGAACATTCTAAACAAACAAACGCTCCAGTCTTTTCCGTTCCTGGTGGTGATCCAGGCGGAGGCGCAATAATGGATGCCCAGGTTGGTTTCTTTTCCGGACAATCGGCACAAACTTGGTTTTCCGACAACGCCATCAAAGCTTTCAGCCGCTTTTTCATTGCCTTTTGATCCGACATGGCGAGATTCTGATGTTTTTATGATGGTCGATGAAAAATCGGGTTGTGGATTGAAGCGAAAAACAAACGAATGGATGAAGATGGTAACAACGAGACTTGGTAACAACGAGACTTCCCCTCACTTCACCGTGGTTTATACAGCACCGTACCGGTTCAGTATTTCGTCATTTCTAGTGACTTCTCACTGTTGTTTGTTCCAGAGTTCACACGCTGGCTCGCCAAGCAATAAAATCGGGAAACGGACAGACGGCTGGTCCGAAACAGGTCTTTTGGGTCTTTTTTTCTTTTCACGACCATGCATGCACAGGAAAGGAGACTCTTACAAAACTCTCGATGTTGCCAAGTCGATAGGTAGTAACTACGAATCCAAACGAGCGCAGGAAAAAATTAATCAATAAAGCATCCCAACTCCCTTCAGCTTCTGAAGAGCCATTTCAATTAGTTGATTGATCTGAAATCGAGTGTCGAAGAACCCGCTCTCAACATCCGAACGTTTTGGGAACATTGATGCACTGGCGAATGAGGAGTTCCTCATCATAGAGCTTGAATCAATACAATACGATGCCACGAACAATACCCAACCGGCGACATGTAGGAAGAGTTTCCAGCATGCCAGAAAGTGTGGTTTCGAAAAGTGTCGGTCGCAGAAAAGGAGGACGATCCCCAGTTCGATCAACTACCCCTCGCCCTACAACTGTGTCAACTACGCCGCAGTCGTCACCCTCTACTTCACAGCGGCGTCGGGTTCCATCACTAGACATACAAGATGAAGAAGAATGTTCTCAAAGGTCTAGCAAGCGATCCACCCGAAGCAAATCCAAAAACGAAGGAAAAAATCGGTCCCATTCTTTAAACAACAGTGCCAATCACCTAAACCACTCATCTAAATCTCCAACTCCTCGAAAGCAGCGGGTCCGCAGTAGCACTCAAGGAACGCCCGATGAAATGCTGAATGCATCTGCCAGCTCTCTCAAGGTTCCAAAGAGCTTTCGGGAAAAGGACTCAAAGGACTCATCAAAACGATCGACTAGAAGTGGCAAAACCCGCAGCGGAAAGAAAAATTCTACGGAGAAAATTTCTACGAGAGCACTCTCTCCTGGGCCTACGGCTATAGTGGCACCCGCAAAAGTACCGCATTCGGTCTCTGGTCGCCGCCGGAGATCCATAGGGAGCAGTACTCTCAACAACGATGGGGCCGCAACTCGATCACCCGGTGCTCTAGTAGTAGGTCGTCCAATGGTAACGAATCACAAGGCGGTGCGTACGGGCCCGAAATCAAATTTGGAATACTCAAATTCGTATAATTCTGGCAAATCCAGTAGTGCGCATGTCAGACATACGCAAAGCCATTCTACCTTGATTTATCACTCGGAGGAATCAGAGGCTTCGGATATTGACTCAGAAACTGAATCAGCGACTGGAGCCTTGCAGAGTATGAGTGTGCAAGATATCGGAGCCTTTCGTGGCACCGAAACTGCACTAGAGATTGATTCCAAATGGCAACAACACATGAGTAGAACGGACAATATTCTATTCTCCGTCTTTCCGCGTCATATTGCCGAGGCTCTTGTGGCTGGCCAAAAGATCGAACCAGAGAATCACGAACTTGTCACTATTTTCTTCTCAGATATTGTGGGCTTTACTGACATTTCTTCCACACTGGATCCATTGAAGATCTCCGATATGCTTGATCGGCTCTACCACTCATTCGACGCCCTTTCTAGTTACCATGACGTGTTCAAAGTAGAGACAATTGGTGATGCTTACATGGCAGTTACCAACCTAGCCAAGAAACAGTCAGATCACTGCAAACGAATCGCTGAATTTTCAATTGATGCGATCCGGGTGGCGCAGAAAACACTTATAGACAAAGACGATCCGGCAAGAGGGTATGTCAACATCCGAGTTGGATTTCATTCTGGTCCTGTGGTTAGCAACGTTGTTGGCTCGAAGAATCCAAGGTACTGGTTCCATTGGAAGTTTGCTTTTTCCTGCTATGTTTTATAAAGGCTAATTCCTGTGTTTTCATTCCCAACTGTGAAGATACTGCCTCTTTGGAGACACAGTGAATACGTAAGTAAGCGGCCGTAATTATCGTTTGAGAACCACTTTCCAATTCATTAACTCACCAACTGCTGAAATCTGTCGACAGTGCTAGTCGGATGGAAAGTAATTCGGCAAAGAATTTGATACATTGCAGTGACGCTTCTGCTCAGCTACTGGAAGAACAAGCTCCGGGGATTCGAATTTATCCCCGAGGAGCAATCAGCATCAAGGGGAAGGGATCTATGAATACCTTTTGGGTTCATAAAGAAGGCGAAAAAGAGACAGTTTCTAGTGCCAAGTCATTTTTCAAAGCGATTCGTGGGAGGATATGATTTTGTTTTGTAACAGGACGAGTTCAATCTATGCTGTGAAGTGTGTACGCGGTCACAAACTTGTTAGATAGGCGGACAAATTTTGAAAGATATCAAGAAGAACATCGACCGGTCACAATCTATTTGCAGTTTGATAAATTGAAGCCATCCCGTTACGGCGAATTTGCTATGAATGCGTACTGCTTCAGCACTACGGTGTTTATTGCATTTATATTCGTTTATAACTCAGAAGTGACAGTTTCTTTCATTCCACTCATTCGACCTCCTGCATCCTCGTACGCGTTATAGCCACTTGCAGCTTCGGCATGATCACTGGAATTGTCCATAATTTCGGCCAAGAGCTCAGCCTCGAACTCAGCAGCTTCGTTTCCAAGTCCCTCTTCACTCAACCAACGCTCTGCATCCAATGCTGCAGCAGCTCCACTCCCTGCTGAAGTAATCGCTTGTCGGTAGACAGCATCGGATACATCTCCAGCCGCAAATATCCCCGCTACAGATGTCTTTGTACTCGGACCAACAGTCTTGACGTATCCGTCGTGTTCGGGATCGAACTCGACGACACCTTGCAAAAAGCCAGTGTTTGGGGTGTGGCCAATCGCGATGAAAACTGCATCACAGCTGATTTCGTCCAACTCCTGTGATTCCACGTTTCGCAAAAGAGCACCAGTCACAACCTTGGCAAGTTCAACGTCCTCGCCCTCATTTTGATCAATGGCCTTCCCAACAATCTTGTCGACAACAGTATTCCATTTGATCTTGATATTAGGATGATTCTTAACGCGGTCTGCTAGGACTTTGGATGCTCTGAAGGAATCGCGGCGGTGAACTACCGTCACCTTCGCAAAACGAGCCAAGTGCATAGCATCTTCAGCAGCTGCATCTCCACCTCCCACGACCACCACATGTTTCCCAGAGTACAAGAATCCGTCACAGGTTGCGCAAGAGCTTACTCCGCCACCACGAAGGTCGTATTCCCCTTCAATCCCGAGCCATCTACTATCGGCACCAGTGGCAACAATAATGGAATGAGTTTCAATAGCTCCAGTGGAATTAGTGAAAACTCGTAGTGGTCGTTGAGAAGCGTCGATTTTCAGAACCATGTCCTCCTCGAAGACGGTTCCAAAGAACGCCGCCTGCTCTCTCATTGCCGAGATAACTGCAGGACCAGTAACATTGTGCAACCCAGGATAGTTTTCAACGTCTACTCCCTTTCCCTGTAGCTGACCGCCCATACTGGGAGCAATGACCAAAGGTTTCAATCCCGCGCGTGCGGCGTACACCGCTGCTGCAAGTCCCGCAGGTCCTCCTCCAACCTAAAGAATAGCCCATTAGAAATATCCTCTGAACTTTTCCGACTCACGGCAACTAGGATGCACTTACAATCGTGACACGCTCAGGGAAGGGACCTGGTACCCAACTATAATGCTGATCCAGTGCTTCTTCGTCTTCGTCAGTCTCATTTTCTACTTGGGCATCTCTTTCTTCGTCCAATCTCTTTTCCAGTTCTTCTCGCAACTGTTCTTTGGTTGCTAGGTGAAGGTTTGGACCTGCACGTGAAGTGGGCTTATCCTTCGACTTTTGGGTTGGTTTCGTATCGTGTGATTCCTTCGATTGTCTTTCTTTGGCGCTGAAGAGAGCAGTTGTTTTGGGTGACTTCTTATATTTCTTTCGCAGCTTTCGCAAGAGGTTGTTGGCTGCACTTCCTTGGCACCGGCTGGACTCCTTGTTCATCTCGACGCATTTGTTGTAAACATTTTCTACGTCGGCCTCTGTCTTTTCTGGATTGACTTCCGAAAAATAAGAGACCAAGTGGTTCAGTTCCAATTCAACGTTCTCGATTTCCGCTTGTCTTATTGCCTTATCCGTCATTTGCCGCAACGGGCCTTCACCAATACCACCCTTGGCCTCATCGGATCTCTTACCCCCAATGAACCACTGAAATGTGGGTAACGATCTAATCTGATAACGCGAGCTCAATTCATACTGGGCGTTTGTGTCCACCTTAACAAACACAGCCTTATCTACATAGTCTGCTGCTACCTTTTTAAATATAGGAGCCATCATGCGACATGGACCGCACCCATCACTGGCATTGAATGGTGATCAATGAGTGAGCAAAACATGATTGACAAGCAAGCAAATGCGATCACACATATCCTTCCTCTAGTACACAGATTGGACAAAGCTCGGTTGCATCCGCGGAGCAAGCTTTACGAGCCAGAACAGTATTGGACAAAGGTGAACGCAATAGAGTCGCAGCTGCAACATGACTTCGTGTTCGCAGCAAAGCATCTCCACGCGACAAGGAGACTGAACCAATGAAGCGGGTCTGAGCCTCTGACAAACGTCTTGGAGAGAACCCATTCCACTGGTGTGAAGGTGACATCAGTCGAAGATACTACTACGGCACAGCTGTAACGAGCTCCGACAATGAAAACGTTTTGTCCAATGCTGAAGAACACATTCACGATCATTCACGAACTTCAACCTACCTATAGAAATCAACAACAACTGGCAGTCCAGTTTCAGTAGCATGTTTATTCAATAAACGATCGAATTCGTGTGCCGAACGGATGCTTCAATTGAAAATAGAAGAACAGTTCAATCAATGAGCTTTCATGTAATTCTTAACGAGCACGAATGAAGCAAGTAACAGCAGGCTCACCTTCGGACGACAGGTCGTGCAACACAAGAATGAAGCAGAGTCGCGAGTAATATCAACAATATTGTTTTTGACATCTTTGATGCACTTTAAAGTTTCTATAGCAATCTGTTTACTTTAATGCATATTTTTTTAATCAAGAATGATGATGAATAATCATGAGGTGTTGGTTGAGTTTTGGAATTCGATGTGCAACGCAAGCATGCTGCCGCGTTTGTCGTATAGGACATCCGATAATATACTATGTGCTGGACATTGGGGGCGGGCTTTGAGGGTTAGTAGGGATGGTTGAACAGGACAAAGAAACAAAGCAAGGCATCCCGGAATTTTGCTCTTTATGATAGAGTCCATCGGTTTGTAGATTTCTGGATACTCAATAGAAAGACAGGACTGAGTATGTCTACTAATCGTCGATCCATAGGTGACGAGGATGATCATTCCACTATCCGGCGACGAGCTCGACATCGAGGCTCTGGTAGCGGAGACAGTGACGATGGCGACGGTGAACCGATGGGGTCTAGCTCACATTCACTGTCGTCGCAAGGAAGGAGACAGACTCGGCGTCCAGGGGAAGCTACATCCGGTGACAATTTAGAACCAGATGGTCGACCGTCATCAACAGCTGGGATTGCTGCCAATGCGCGTTCTCGCGATCGAACCTACAATCCTACCTCTCGGTCAGAAAGGGTTAGTCGAGTTCTAGACGCTGCTACAGATGATGCCTCTGCAAAATCAGGCCGATCTCGAGCATCCGTGTCAACTCCAAACCATGAAGACGAGCTCGAGCGCATTCGTGGAATCCGTGCCAGAAGAATGCGACAAGAACGCCTGGACCGCGGCGACGATGGAAGCAGGTCACCAAGTCGAAATGAGGCTAGACGAATGGAACATAGGATGAGAAGGCGGGAATTACGTGAAGCAAAGGCGAATGGAGAAACATTGTCTTCACCAATTCAACACCGCAGTACACCAGCAATTTCGAGAAGAGAGTTGGAGGATGCGGGTCTGGTTCCGAGAGAAAGTGCTAGGATAGGTGACACGCAATCAAAACCCAACCGCGTAAGATCGCACCGGCTCAAAGACTTGTCCCCTAGTAGACATGACGATGGAGCTTCGATGTCGAGTGCACGGCGAAGGAGGGACAGGAGTGAACGGATGTCATCAGAAGCTAGCGCCGAGTCGCGTTGGGATCGTGTAGAAGACATTGACGCCAGATTAAGGGCTCGAAGGGCGCGTCGCAACGCTTCAGAATCTGTTACGGTGGTATCCAATTTGGACGCAGACGAGGGCCAACCTCGAGAAAGGTTGTCGTTGTCAAACTCACAAGACGCATTGTCGGAAGCATCAGGATACTCAGGAATGTCTGTGGGATCAGGGGATTCAGAATTTACTGGAAGAAGAGGCGAAAGAACACAGCGCCAGCCTACAGCACGTCGGTCACCTCCTCCACGATCCAAAAGTGCGGACGAAGACCTTGTCCAGAATGGAGTTGATCCTAGCTTGTTCGATAGAGGAGCGAGACGAAGAGAAAGGCAGCAATTACGCATGAAAACTGTCGATACAAGGACTACTGGTCTTACGGAGCGATTGAGGGTGCGGAGGGAAGCACGTGCTGCAGAACGAGCCAACTCAGCTTCAACCACACAAGGAAAAACAGAGGAGGGAGAAGAGATGCCATCGGTAGTGACACAATCTGTCGAGCAATCAGTGACGGCTGAAGAGACATCATCAGAGCAGTCGTCAGTCAAGGAGTCGCCACCTGAAAGCTCGAATAGTGAAACGAGCTACCGGGCGCTTTCCCCACCAGCTACTGACCAGAGCGGTCAAGATCATGCGACAAAGTATTCAGCGGAAACATTAATTTCACGTGAAAATCTGGATGAACTGGAACCCAGCACCCTCAGCAATGACAACGACAGCGACTCGAAATGGAGCTTAAAATTGAAGGTGATTACTGCCGAAGATTTACCACCACATATCACTCCCAGTATGCCACTGTGCCCATTTGTGAAGGCTGGTTTCGTTCGTGTGCCCGACGAGCCTTCGGATAGAATTGCAAACGTGGTGATGGAAAAACTAGGGAGAAACAGCATCGACAAACTCAAGTCATCACAGGTTCGGTATACTACGTCGAAGATGCTGAGCAAGCGAGACAGTGGTATGGTTGACTTCTCTCAAGAACTGAGATGGGATGGAATCTCACACCTCAATCAGGTTGCGTTGCTTCTTGAGCTCGCTGCTCACAATGTCGACACTCCACAAAACATAGCGGAATCCCCACCACCCCTTAGCCAATGCGATGCATTTCGGGTAAGGGTACAGAATGAGATGTCACAAGAGAACAATGGATTGAAATCAGGGCGACATATGGATGCAAATGGCGACCCGGTACGTTCACTCAGCCGCAACAAATCTAGCGAATCTAGTGCTCGAGGATTTGGTGCGTTCTGGAATAGGGCAACGAATAAGAAGGTTGCGGAACTACAAGCCGCAGAAGCTGCTGCAGAGATGGCGAAAAAAATAATGGAGCAAGATCAAAAGAAGGCTGCCGACAACACTAAAGCATCTGTGCGTGGTGGAGAGGGAAAAAAGGAAATCCCAATGAAACTAACTACCACACCGCAATCGGACTACCTTGTCGCACTTCGCATTTGTAATGCGGATTTGCACAAAGAAATCACCCCAAAAGAAGACGTTCGAATTGGTTCTTTGGTGTTGCCTTTAAGTAATCTATTCCTTGATAGGCCAGATGATAAACACGAAACAGTGAAACTCGATCAATGGTACAAGTTTGAAAAAGCTACTAACCCTTCTTCTGTATCTTCGAGTGGTTGGAAGAACCCAAGCGTGCGTTTAGAACTTGTCTTTGGGAGCATGGAGGCGATGGATAAAGAAGAAAATGAGTCGAAGGTCGAAGATATTGTTGACGCTGATCCCCCCATGCACCCTCAGAAACGCTTGTCAATGATGAACCCATCTTCGGCTCGAAATAAAGCAGATGAAGTAGTCGTTGAAGATCCAGTTTTGGAGCCAGGCGTCGTCGACTTTGTTTCTGTTGTAGGTTGCCGAGACATCGGCAGTCAAAAGAATGACTCTGGACACAAGGGCTGGGTAGATTCAACCCCCGAGTCTGTAATTCTGGAACAATTCCCACCCAACAACGAATTTCATCAAAAAAATGGCAGGAATGCGTTACTTCCAGAGATGATCCAGTGGTTTTGTTTCCCCGAAGGATGCAAGTTGTGGAGAGGGACTGGGCCTCCATCTCATGAGGACCTAAAATTATCGAGATTTTCAGCTTCCTCACCAGCAAATATTGCATCTTCGTTGTCAACGTTTGATGCATGCTTGGGCTGTACCACGTCGTTTTCTTGGTTTGTAATTGCTTCCAACTCAGACAAGTATGGTTCCAAGTTGGTTAAGACATACAGTGCCGTTATTCGGTTTTTCGCGCCTGCTCCCCTTGGAATTGATCCAACCCAAGAAGACTTTGCGCAGAACTCTTCTAACGTAGCAAAATCAACCGGCGCGGCAAGGCGTCTGTGGGTACCAATTGGGATCTGTTTGACATCCAACCTCCCAATCGTTGGGACCATGGAGGCGATGCTACTCCGAATTTGCGAGGGCTTGGCTCTTGACAGTGGCAATGACCGATACAAGAATATCAAAGAGTCCCTTATGAGCGTGATATTAGACTTTCAAAAGCCAATGGCAGGGGCAGTAAACTCGTCGATACCATTCCTCGCTGGACATAGATTCCTGCTATCAATGCCCACACCAATGGGTTTGCCGGCCCTGCCTCATGGCCGATCTGTGGTTTCTGTTTGTAGGCTCCTTGGCGGAGAGGGTTTGGTATTTTTGCTTGCTGCAGTACTAACAGAATGCAAGATATTGATACATTCCCGAGACACAGCGGACATTGCTATGGTTGCAGAGGTGATAACAGCACTTGTCTATCCGTTCACGTGGTCGCTACCTTACATCCCCATCCTCCCTCTTGGAATGCTGGAGTTTGTCGAAGCCCCTCTATCATTCATATTGGGCATCCCTACCTGTAACTTGCAACTGATCGACCCTTATGCCCTCGAGGATATCGTGGTCATTGATCTCGACAACGGAATTTCACCGTTAGAGTTCTTAGAAAGTGGAAGGAGATCGTCCAAGATTGAGCGAAAGACCCCTACCCCACTCCCCGCAAATGTTGCCACGAACATATCGAAGGCCTGGCATCGACTTCTCAGAGCCGAGGAAGAAGTGGAAGAACAGTTTGGCAATGCCATGTTGGGTGAGCAATCGCTGCCGAGGCTTGAAGGCGAGAGCTTGGCTGAGAGAGAATTTAGGATTTCCGTTGCAATTGAAATTTCAAGCCTGTTTAGGGGATATGATGACTGTGTTGGCCCTGTGTTTAACCGGGACAAGTTTTTGAAGATTGCACCTGCGCTTTTTGAAGAACGACGGTCACGTGGTGTCGGAAATGTCCTTTCTTCTCGAAGTAGGCACTCTTCTCAAAAAAGCATCTCACCTCGGTCGAAACGATTTCTTTCTCTCTTAGTGAACACGCAGAACTTTCAGCAATTGCTGGAATCGTTGGAAACCGATGAATCCTGGTTATTTCATGAAATCATGAAATCTTTTGAAGACATGTCTTCCGATGGCAAAGGCAATTCTAGGTCCGAGAATTCCGTTGTCCGATCGGACAAATTGCTTTCGCAGCTTGGAAAGAAGCTTCAGAAAATCGAAGACAAAGTGCCTACATATTTAGTGGACCAAACAGAAAATGTCGACCGCGGAGCTTTGGGAGACGACGATATTTTTGATCAAGACGATAGCGAGTGGTTCGAGAGTTTCGATAATTTTGGGTTTGATGCAAGTGCCCCCAATGCCGAGGATTCATTTCGTTCAATTGCAGATGGAATGCTCATAGAGATCGATCATCCAAGTGCACCAGAAGGGTCGGGTGATCCGAATGCAATATCTCTAGAGTATCTTCAAAAGCTTGAGGCGACCCCTTGGAAATACAAGCCAATTTTTGAAATGTCAATAGGCGCAGACGGAAGCTACAATGAATCGCACCCTTCAAAACCCAGAGTCAAGCTTCGAGATGCAATTGGAGAGCGGCGTTTTCGCGACTGGAAGATTGCTCGTGATCAAAAAGCAGGCAACGACGTCGATCTTGCATTTTTGCACGACAGTATTCGGGCACCTAAGCAGAGCGTTGCAGTCGATCTAAGGAGTCTTGTATCATCTGCAACTGATGATACCGCCACTATGATTTCTATGTCGTCGTCTTCAAGCTCGCTAAGATCCATTCTTCCACCAGAGCAACAACGAGTTGACGATGCTAAGAATAGGGATTTGATCCGTCGATGCTTGGACAAAGCAAATGTAAGCAATGGCAATTGGTCTGAGTATAACGGTGGTACAGATGAGGATGGATTCAATCCGTTCCTAGAGAACGGTCGTGACTTGATGGAAGAAGCCGAAAAGGCTCTGAGAAATCCTACTGCCCAAAGGTTTCTTCTTTCAATTTTGGCGCAGCGATCACGACTCGAGAACCAACGGGCGCGGACTTTGCGTCACCGCCAGTCATCAGTCGCATCAGCAGCCTCAAGAGTTTCTGAGATTGCTTTTGAATGTCTCGTTCGACTGGTTTGTGCGATGTTGGACTCCTGCATGGAGTACAACGAGTTCGAATTGGCTTATCGGCTACTGACTCATAGCGCAGGGTTCGTGATGGTGACGCAATCTGAGACCTCTGAGGATGAGGACGCAGAGAATGTGGTATCAATGACATCTAGGATCGGATTGCATCCAATTTTTGCTAATATTGGCGTCTGGAGGACTGTGATGTCCCTGCACCTGCGCGATCGCCTAAGCGAGATAAAATCGGAGTCTGTTTCCAGTGATGATGAGAGCGAGGAGGAAGAAGAGGAAGGTGTACTTGAGTACGAGGCTGCTGTTGCTACACTTTACGAAATGGTTGGCTATGAAATTCCTGGAGAAGAGCTCTCCCGATTCGCGATGCATGCGAGTGAGGAAAATGGGTGGTTTTGTGATGACCGCGGTCGACAGCTTCTGATGATCGCGAGACGTATAGCTATCAGGCGAGATCAAGTCGAAGTTGGTGGAGCTGGTGACCAAGACTACATGGACTTGATACGCAAGTCAAAAGACTCGGAACCAGATACTGTCTCGCTTTCAATCGCGGAAGTCGAGACGCGAGAGTGGATGGAGGTTGGTTGGTGTCACCCTGCTGCTCCGTCGTCTGTAATTAGACAAGATGCAACTGCACCCAAGCTGTCCTCCGGGTTCATGAAGCGATCGCCAATAACAGCTGTGGCGTCGTTTGGGTGTTCAGTCATTGCAACTGGAGGATTGGATGGCAGTGTCTTCATGGCACATTCAATACCTGATACGTCAAACATTGGCGAGAGTCCCCCAGCTGTTCGCGGTATTCACCTTGATTGGGGAAGCGCCAGTCGAGCTGGTACTGGGATGTCTTCGGACGGAGTGTACGGTGTTGGAGCGGTTAGCTGCTTGGCGGCGTCGCACGGCAATGGAGAACATTCGACTGTGAGGTCAAACAAGGACTCTACAGATAAGCAGAGCGGGGCAGAAACTTTGTTGGCTTCCATGGAAGGCAGCCGCGTTGTTGCTGGTACTACAGCTGGTGACCTAAGAGTATGGTCTGTCAAAGACATTTATTCTGCAGTTCTTGCTTCTCAGAAAGAGGAAGATAGTGATACCAAATCGATGTTCGGTGGCGGAAATGTTTCCAACAGACTTAGGTTTTCGTTGCGTGGTCGAGCTCTTGCAGGCCATCGTGGTGGAGTGACATGTATTGATGTTCCATCTAACGTTTATCGTCCTGATTCACTGGTGACTGGCGGAGCTGATGGGCTGATTAAGCTATGGTCCCTTCGGGCGCTTGCAACTGGGCGGAGGTCTTCATCTATGACATCGCAACAAGATGCCGACGGTACAGAGGCTCAAAGTCGTGGTGGTGATGCACTGAGCGTCTTCAGCGGACATACTAGTAGAGTCATATGTGTTCTTTCTGCGTGGCACGGTGATCGTCTGTTAAGTGGCGGTGCTGATCGAACTCTTAGGGTTTGGGATCTTGCAAGTGGGAACGGCAAGTGCATAAATAAGCTTGTTGGACATTCTGGTTGGGTGACAATGGTGAAATACTGGGGTCCAAATACAGTTGTATCAGCTTCGACCGACCGCTCTATAGCCTTATGGGACGCCCGACTTCGTGATTCACCACTCTTCCTGCTGCGAAGTCATAGCTCCCCTATATCTGACTTTTTGGTTGGCTCGAGGACTGATCCGATGATGATCAGCGCCGGAACAGACGGAACCATTTCGACTTGGGACTTTAGAAAGCTGTCGGGATCACGTAACATGAAGTTTGGAACCCCCGACAACGATGACTCGCTCAGCTGTCACGTCGTGAGGGTACCTGCTCGTTCTTTGGCCCACGAAATCAATGGTACTGAAAAACTTGCAACAAGTTCCGTAAGGCTTGCAAGAGGCTTTTGCAGCTCCAGATCATCATTTTTGAGCGTCGGATCGGATGCTGTTATCAGGGAATGGGACATTTCTACTGGTCATCAACTGGATAGTTTGACCACTGGTCATGCTGATGCAGTTACGTGCGTTCAATCGTTCGGACAAAGTGACGGAATGACCCCTTCCTCCAGATTGCAGGAAGGGATGATAACAAGTTCATGGGATGGAACCATAAGAATGAAATTTAAGAAAACTTAGTTTCGAGTATACATTATTTGTTTGCATTCAATTACATTGATTCTTCATCATATTGGAAGTGGTATCACTTTCCATCATCGAGTCAGTCAAACGAATCAATCAATGATACCGCAAATTGAAATGAAAATCCTCTGCTTCCACGTGCGTGGTGCACTCTGTAGATACCGTCTGTCGTCACTTCCAATTTTTCAGCACGTACTGCTAGGTAGTCCTACTGGTACCCGGAGGACTGACGGAGGTTGAACTACAGAGTGGTGCGTGTCCCCATACGATCTTCTTGTGCTGTCGGTGTCACAACAAACTACAGTATGAGATTGCAACAAACCATGAGATTGTCAAGTGCCTTTCTTTTTCTAAGCGGCGCTCAGGCATTCATCCCTGGGTTGAATGGAAGAAGCCCTATTCAGAAACTTCAGAGCATGGCCGGAGACGTTGGCATTCCTTGCGAAGACGAATGTGCTCTAGAGAGCTTCCCAAATTTGCCACCTAGCGTTCACCCTGGAGTCCTGAGCGGTCAAGCAATGATGGATCTTTTGGACCATGCCAAGCAAAATGGTGAGTAGACTAGAGCTGCAAGAGTCAATTTTTTGTAAAGATGTACATATACCTTCATAGGTTATCCTGATAACGGTTTTATCCACAAAGTTTATGCTTCTTAACCGCCAAATGAAAGATATCATCGAGACTTCAAATTGGTGAACTGGCCGACTTGAGTTGTCAAGCCCAGGATTCTTAATTTGACCTCGCGTTTCTAACAACCCATCTTTGTCTATTTTCCAATTCAGGCTATGCCATTCCTGCTGTGAACTGCGTCTCTTCCTCTGGTATCAACGCGTGCCTCGAAGCAGCCCGCAAGAACGATGCACCCATCATCATTCAATTCTCTTCTGGAGGTTCCCAATTTTACGGAGGAAAGGGTCTTGACAACAGCAACTACAGAGCTGCCATTGCCGGAGCTGTTTCGGGTGCTTTCCATGTTCGCACCATGGCAGAACAATACGGTGTTCCAGTGATTCTCCACACCGATCACTGCTCCAAGCAGTTGCTTCCATGGGTAGATGGATTGATTGCAGCATCAGAGCGTTATTTCGAAACTCATGGCGAACCCCTCTTCTCGTCTCACATGATTGATCTCTCAGAGGAGCCTATCGAAGAGAACATCGAGATCTGCAAGGATTACTTGAAACGAATGGACAAAGTCGGTCTCTTGTTGGAGATGGAACTTGGAATCACTGGAGGAGAAGAAGACGGTGTTGACAACACTGACAGGCCAGTCGAAGACCTCTACTCTAAACCGGAAGAAATCTATCAGACATATGACGAGCTCAAGTCTGTTAGCGACATGTTCACCGTCGCTGCTGCTTTCGGAAATGTTCATGGTGTGTACAAGCCAGGAAATGTAAAGCTTGAACCCGAAATATTGAATAACGCCCAAGCGTACATTTGCGACAAGCTTGGCGATGCTGCCCCAGAGAATAAGCTTCCTGTCTCGTTCGTATTTCATGGTGGTTCTGGTTCTGACGTTGCCGACATTCAAAGATCGCTTGGTTATGGTGTGATCAAGATGAATATTGATACGGACACTCAGTGGAGCTACTGGGAGGGAATCAAGATATTTGAAAGCAAGTACCATGATTACTTGCAAGGACAAATTGGCAACCCAGAAGGAGAGGACAAGCCTAACAAGAAGTACTATGATGTAAGTATTGAAATGGCACGGTCCGTTTTAACGCTATATATTTCGACTAATCCAACTTCATTCTTCTGTCTTCCTTTTATTCGGCAGCCACGTGAATGCTTGCGTGCTGGGGAAGTGAACACCGTCAAGCGACTGGAGCAATCTTATGCTGATTTGAAGTGCCAAAACATCTTGGGTCTTGGAATGGCGACTGAAGCTAAGAACGTTCTTGGTCCTCGCAGAGGAGGCCTCCCCGTGTGAGATCAGAATTTTAGTTGTGTAAGGTGTTAATGGATACTTGCGAAAAATCTTTTACTATTGTTACAAGAATTTCAATTGAATGAATCGTACCATAATGTATGTACGTAACTGTGAGGGTGTTGTCCAAAAAAATTGGACCTTTTCTGTCCGTTGTACGTAAAATAAACTAGTTCAAGAGCGTCCGTGCAGCAGCATTTCCAAATTAATTTTGATTGGCAACACAAACCTCTCTTTTGGTATCACAATTTCTACTTTCATTCTTTGTCTCAACCTCAAACCATGTCAGCTCGTCAGGCAGGTGCTACATCGTTAGGTATGCAATCCGAGAACTTCGGTTACTCTCGTGTGCGTCTTCGTCGCATCAAGAAGCTACAGTTTGGTGTGGTGAATCCAAACGAGTTGGTAAGTTGGCGTTGTCCCATTTAGGCTGCTCCGCAGAAGCGAGAAAGGTATCGCTGATCCTTGTCTTGTTAGCGTCAATATTCGGTTACACAGGCAATCACAGTGAATGGTCGCAAGATCCCAGCTGGAGTTACGCGATATGAAACTCAAGTTCAAGGACAGCCAGTCTATGGTGGGGCCAATGACCCCCGTTTGGGAAACTTACATGACAAATCCGATCCTGGATACTTTGGACATTTGGAACTCGCTAGGCCAGTTTACCATCAAGGTTTCATTGATATTGTCATGAAGTCTATGAGATGCATTTGTTATCACTGCGGTCGTATTCGTATGGATAGTGACGAGTTTAAATTTCAGAAGTGTACTTCAATCACCAAACGTGCCAGACGATTGGAGGCATTCCACAATTTACTACGCAACAAGAAAAAGTGTGACCATTGTCAGGGAATTCAACCAAAAATTACCAAGGTTGGTTTGCATCTTGAAATAGAACTGCAAGATCAGACAGCGACGCATGGCGCGACTGGTGGCGACTCGAAGCAATTCCTGAGTGGCGAGGCGGTTGTAAAACTGTTTCAAACCATGCGGGAAGAAGACATGAAGATATTGGGTCTTGATGTTACTCATGCTCGCCCTGACTGGCTGCTGTGCCAAGTTTTGCCTGTTCCTCCATTGCATGTCAGACCAAGTGTGGTAGTTGGAGGGCAGGCTGCTTCAGAAGACGACCTCACGCACCAGCTTGTAAACGTTATCAAATCGAACATTGCTCTAAGCAATGCTATTCAGAATGGCGAACCAAATATAATTGTAGAACAATTCGAGCAGGCTCTGCAACACAATGTTGCTGCTTTCATGAACAATGAATTGCGAGGAATGCCACAAGTGACGCAGAGAAGTGGTCGTCCTTTGAAAACCATCCAACAACGCCTCAAGGGGAAAGAAGGACGCATTCGCGGAAATCTCATGGGAAAGCGTGTCGACTTCTCAGGGCGTACAGTCATCACGGCCGATCCAAATCTGGGAATTCATCAGGTTGGTGTTCCTCGTTCTGTGGCCATGAACTTGACGGTGCCAGAAAGGGTAACAGCCTACAACTTGCAACAGCTGAGTCAGTTGGTTGCCAATGGCCCAACACAGCACCCTGGTGCAAAACACATCATTCGCAGTGATGGTACTCGTATCGATCTGCGTTACGTAAAAAATAAATCAGAACTGCTGCTAGCCCATGGTTGGATTGTCGAGAGACACTTACGCGACGACGATGTTGTTCTATTCAACCGGCAGCCAAGTCTACACAAGATGAGTATCATGGGGCACAGAGCGAAAGTTCTTGACTGGTCGACTTTTCGACTGAATCTCAGTTGTACATCACCCTACAACGCTGACTTTGATGGCGACGAAATGAACCTTCATGTGCCTCAGTCCCTTCCTGCTAGAGCTGAGGCAGAATTGATGATGCTTTCTCCCAGAGTAATTGTGAGCGGCCAGTCCAACCGTCCTGTCATGGGAATCGTCCAGGATACCTTGTTAGCAGTGCAGAAAATGACAAAGCGCAATTGCTTCATTTCGAAGGATTTATGTTTTAACATGCTAATGTGGGTAACTCAATGGAACGGAAGAATTCCAATTCCAGCAATCATTAAGCCCCAAGAGTTATGGAGTGGAAAACAGTTGCTGAGTATGATTCTACCGAATGTCAACTTGAAATCCAAAGCCAACAATGGACCCCCAAAGGGACCTGATGGTCGGCCAATGCCTAACGAGTTCAACGCATATGACCATCTCGTAACCATTCAGGAAGGAGAATTACTCGAGGGAACTATTGACAAGAAGACTATTGGGTCAAGTATGGGAGGCCTTATCCACACGTCTTGGTTGGATGCTGGGCACGAAGAGACAGCACGATTTATGAACCAGGTGCAGCAGCTTGTCAATTATTGGGTACTCCAGTATTCTTTCAGCATTGGTGCTTGCGATGCCGTTGCAGATATTGATACAATGCGTGAAATTGAATCAACTATCAACAAGGCGAAGTTGCAAGTGCTTGATCTTGTCCGACAAGGGCAACGTGGTAAAGACGGCGAACTTGAGATTCAACCCGGACGAACCATGATGGAATCATTCGAACAACTTGTAAACAAGGTTCTAAATACTGCAAGAGATCATGCTGGTAAATCCGCCCAGTCTTCATTGGACGAAACGAATTCTGTGAAGGCCATGGTCACTGCTGGGAGTAAAGGTAGTTTTATCAACATTTCCCAGATTATTGCGTGTGTTGGTCAACAGAACGTTGAAGGGAAAAGGATCCCATATGGTTTTAAGAAGAGAACTCTTCCTCATTTCTCTAAGGATGACTTGGGTCCAGAATCTCGTGGGTTTGTGGAGAATAGTTACTTGCGAGGTCTCACACCACAAGAGTTCTTTTTTCACGCCATGGGAGGACGTGAAGGTTTGATTGATACGGCTTGTAAGACCGCCGAAACTGGCTACATCCAACGGCGATTGGTGAAGGCGATGGAAACTGTCATGGCAAGGTATGATGGTACTGTCCGAACATCAGGAGGTCAAATTGTTCAATTTCTCTATGGAGAGGATGGTATGGATGCAGTGTGGATCGAGCGCCAGAGCTTCGACTCCTTGACTTTGGCGAAGCAACAGTTTGAGAAGCGCTTTGTCATCAATACGAGTGATGCTGATTTTGGATATGATGATCAAAACATTCCTTTTCTGGACGTCGATGTTCTAGACGATTGTCGAAGTGACCCTGAGGTCCAACAGTTGTTGGACAAGGAGGCCGAGACATTGCGGGAGGATCAAGCAACTTTGCGTGTTGTCATGGCAAATCGGGAAGCTGGTCGTGAGTCTGACGAGTCTTCATACGCACCAGGAAATGTACGACGTGTCATTCAAAATGCCATTCGGCAGTTCCGAATTGACCGCAGCCAACCTTCCGACTTGCATCCAAAAACGGCCATACAGAAAGTTAATGAGCTCATGGAGCGACTTGTTGTTGTGGTTGGAGACGACCCATTGTCTGTTGAAGCCCAAACGAATGCAACAACACTCTATCGGATTTTGATCAGAAGTCTCTTGTCGAGCAAGAGGGTCTTGAAAGAATTTCGATTGTCTGAAGCGGCCCTGAACTGGGTCATTGGGGAGATCGAAACAAGGTTCAATGTGGCCAAGGTCAACCCTGGTGAAATGACTGGTGTCCTAGCAGCGCAATCTATTGGTGAACCTGCAACGCAAATGACCTTGAATGTAAGCAATATATCAATGGTTGCAACAGTTATGGATATGGCGATATTCTCACATTTTTTGTATTTGATTCCTATAGACTTTCCACTATGCCGGTGTGTCGGCAAAGAATGTGACATTAGGTGTCCCTCGTCTGAAGGAAATCATAAACGTTGCAAAGTCTCCGAAGACCCCTGGATTGACTGTGCATTTACTCGAGGAAGTGAGCGGTGACGAGAAAACTGCCGAACTCGTTGTAACAATGCTAGAATACACTGTCCTCAAGGATATTGTGAAGCGAACAGAGATTTACTACGATCCGAATGTCATGACTACGGTAGTGGCAAAGGATCAAGAATTGGTGAAGGATTTCTACGAATTCGAGCAAAAAACAGAAGATGAAATTCGACGAATGAGTCCTTGGGTTCTGAGAATTGAGCTTGACAAAGACGCAGTTTATGTGAAAAAGATTAAGATGAATGAGATTAGACGGGAGGTTGCCAATGAGTATGGAACAGACCTGAATGTTGAAGTTTCTGATGACAACGCAGAAGATGACCTCGTGGTTCGTATCAGAATAGTCAACGACGTCCCGTACAGTCAGCCGGGAGAAGATGATCCAATGAATTCTACTCAAGATGTTGAAATGGGGCAAGAAGATGATGTCTTCTTGAAGCGACTGGAGAAGTCGCTGCTCAGCAGCCTTAAGCTTCGTGGCGTGGACCATGTCAAGAAAGTTTTCATGCGTGGAGGTGCAAAGCAAACCGTTTGGGACAATGATAAAGGATTCCAAACAAAGGATGAGTGGGTGCTCGAGACTGATGGCACGAACTTGATGGGTGTCCTCGGAGTTGATTTTGTGGATGCGACACGAACAATCAGTAATGACATTGTTGAAGTTTTTGTCACTCTTGGTATTGAGGGTGTTCGCGGTGCCTTGTTAAGCGAGTTGAGAAATGTCATTAGTTTCGATGGATCCTATGTGAATTATCGACACCTTTCCACATTGGTTGACGTGATGACAATGCAGGGTCACCTAATGGCTATCGACAGACATGGAATCAACAGAGTCGAATCTGGTCCACTGCTTCGCTGTTCCTTCGAGGAAACTGTTGATATGCTTATGGACGCAGCTGTCTATGCAGAGGAAGAGGTTCTTAAGGGAGTGACAGAAAATATCATGATGGGACAACTGGCTCGTGTCGGAACCGGAGACATGGATCTACTACTTGATGAAGACAAAGTGGTTAGAGAAGCTGTCGAGGTTGTAGTTGATGATTTCAGTGGTGACAAAGACAACTTGGGAATGATCGGTTCTTCCACTGTCGGGGCTGCTACCCCTTATGCATCGACACCATTCGCTAGCAGTCCTATGGTTGGCGGAGGAGCGGAAGCATCGCCGTTTGTCGATGGCAGTGCTGCTTTCAGTCCTGCAGTTGGTGCGGCTAGTTTCTCACCAGCGTACTCTCCAGCGAGTGGAAGTTATGGCCAAGGGTTTGCAAGTGGAAGCTATGGCCAGGATGATGGATCGTCAAGCCCAGCTTACTCTCCTACGTCTCCTCAGTACTCCCCAACAAGCCCGGCGTACAGCCCTACCTCTCCAGCATATTCTCCGACGTCTCCGGCATATTCACCCACGTCTCCGGCATATTCTCCAACGTCTCCTGCTTACAGTCCTACCTCCCCGGCATACAGCCCAACTTCACCTGCCTACAGTCCCACTTCTCCGGCTTACAGTCCTACCTCCCCGGCTTACAGTCCTACCTCCCCGGCTTACAGCCCAACTTCACCTGCCTACAGTCCTACTTCTCCCGCATACAGTCCTACCTCTCCCGCATACAGCCCAACTTCGCCCGCATACAGTCCTACGTCTCCGGCATACTCCCCGACGTCACCGGCATATTCTCCGACATCTCCGGCATACAGTCCTACCTCTCCTGCATACAGCCCAACTTCACCTGCATACAGCCCAACGTCGCCTGCCTACAGTCCTACTTCTCCCGCTTATAGTCCTACCTCTCCGGCTTACAGTCCTACCTCTCCTGCATACAGCCCAACGGGCCCAACTTCTCCTGAGTCCGACGACAGGTAATCCCTCTGCTACAGTCAGGTGAAGCCAGTCTAAGACAAATGACTCGAGGAAACCAAAAAGAGGCAGTGCATTAAGTGTGAACATTGCACATTGTTGTTCCATCTTTGATGTTATCCGGAACCAGTTGCTGTTACATAGGTTAGACATGCTATTTACATTTTAAATCTTAGTCGTCTATACGCTTATCTTTTTTCCACCGAAAAGTAACAGGAGTCAAATTGACACGTTCGAAATAACAGTCATCGTCGATCAATGTCGAGGGCTTGCAAAATAAAGAGTTGCAACGACATTTTTCCATTTTTCGGATTTCAATTCTTTCTTGGAGTTTTTGTCTTTGAAAAAATAACTGCACAACTAAAATTTAATGACCTCCTCCAACTCCAGCGGCACTTTTGAAAGCCTCGTCCATGACTTCTGAAAGCGTAGGGTGAGTGTGAACCATCATACTCAATTCCTGCACGGTAGTTCCTGCCGCGACAGCGTTTGCACACTCTTGAATCAAGTCAGCAGCATGAAGACCAATGATGTGCACCGCAACAACGTGCCCTGTCTCCTTCTTGAAGAGAACTTTTGCCATTCCATTTCCTTCGCCTTCGGCAAGAGCCTTTGAGTTAGCTCGGAAACTCCCCTGGCTCTTACCTAGAGTCCACCCTTCCTTCCCAGCCATTTCGATTGCTTGCTCTTCAGTTGGTCCAACCATGGAGATCTCGGGGTGTGTGAAGCACGCAGCTGGGATTGCGTTGTGATCAACGATGTGTTCGCGGCCAGCAATGTTCTCAATGGCAGAAATACCTTGGGCAGAAGCTGCATGGGCAAGCATCATTTTTCCATTAGCATCTCCAATGCAGTATACATTGGGAATAACTTCTCCATCTTCATGCTTGGTCAAGACTTGCATCTTTTCATTAACAGCAACAAAACCACGCTGAGTTTCGATTCCCATGTCTTCCAAACCCATATCCTTTGTATTTGGGACCCTTCCGGTTGCAACCATGGCGGCGTCTACCTCAATGGTTTCAACGTGCTCTTTGGTGTTGGCATCGATCATTTTGATGGTTACAGGCTTTTCTCCTGGAATTCCAGGAGTAACTTCGGCGGCGAAGACCCCAGTTCTGTAGTCAATGGGTCTATCACGAATGAGAAGGCGCTCTGCTTGCTTGGCGATCTCCCGGTCGAAAGTTGGCATAATATTGGGCAGAGCTTCGATGAAGGTCACTTCAGATCCCAACGCAGTGTACACATCTGAAAATTCGAGACCAATGTATCCAGAGCCAATGATGGCGACCCACTCTGGAACATATTGAAGCTCAAGTGCGCCATCGGAAGTGTACACAGTCTTCTCGTCAACCTCAACTCCTGGCGGAACAAACGGAATTGATCCTGGGGCAAGAATGATATCCTGAAACATCGCAGAGCAAAGTTAGCAGTGAAGAAATCGCAAGCTTGGCCTTTTGTGCAACATGTTTTGTGGCATAATTTCGTTCATTACCTTTGCGGTATAGATCTTTCCAGTTGAGCTATCTTTAACTTCGTGAGGTTTACCAGTCAACATACCGCGCCCTTCAATGACATCGCAACCCAATCCAACAAGACTATTTTCTAGGTTTCCCTTTACACGGTTCGCGAGATTCTTGGCGTGATCTGCAATGCCTTGACGAGAGAATTTGACTTCTCCTTCGACCTCGATTCCAAGACTCTCGAGGTGATGAGAGTTCTTCATTTCGCGAACTCTACCACTGGCAGCTAGTAGAGCCTTCGACGGAACACATCCACGGTTGACGCAAGTTCCTCCTACATCACCTCCAGCGAAAACTCCGGTGGAAAGGCCTTGAGCCCTGCTGTGAAGAGCCGCTCCATGACCTCCAACGCCACAACCAATGATGGCAACATCAAAATCAAACTCGCCGTCCGCAATGGGAAGAGCAGAGTTGACATGAACGGATGGGATTGTTCGTCCCATGTAATTGGTGGGTGCAAAAGCATTTGCGCAAGCGATGATGAGGAAAGCGGTTGTGAATTTCATGTTCAAGGCAATGAAATAATGAAAAAACGTACAAACGTTTGTGCTTGGTGTGACGTCCCCGATCATTTCGAGTGAGGACATCACAATCTTTTTGATACAACACGTCACTCCTTGTGAGCTTTGGGTTTGCATATCCCCTGAAATCCGAACTGTCAATCAAGCCTCACCCCCACATTTCAACCAAGCGGCCCGCCAAAACCCGCCGGCCACTCTTCATTTTGAGTTTCTGTTTCCAAAACGACCGTTGATGCAACGCGCCAGTCAGACATTTTTGGCGATGAAAACAAAATCCTTTGTTTCAAGTCTCATGCATCAATCCTCACACTGGCTGGTTCATTCATTGTTTCATTCATTGGTCCATTCATTGGTCCATTCATTCCTTACTCCAAAAGAAAGCCCGAACCATTGTCATCATTTTTCGCATCGAATCATCAAAACCCAAGAGCGCCGTTAACTAGCATCGCTCTGGGTTCTCAGCAGGCATGAAACAGAATTCGTTCCGCGAGAGTCCAAGCCCTGCTCATCGCTCTTCCAGCGGGGCAGAAGGGCGTTGGGGTGGCGAGGACGAAATGTTTGTCAAAACATCGTCTCCAAGATCACCTTCCAAAAAACAATCAAGCTCGGCACGAAACTCTCATTCAAGAAACCATACCTGGACTACCAGGGATACTTCGCGGAGCAAACTCTTCGGAATGAGTGATAACCATCGCCAACCACCACAGCAGCTAGCAAACATAAAGCAGCAGTGGAACGCTCAGCGCGATATTCCTTCCGGGGCCGTTCGGAACAACCGTTTCCTACCAAAGCGCGAACCTTCACCACCAACCTCCCCACAGCTAGTGCATCAAAAGAAGCAGTGGGATACTACTGGTATTCCCCGAGGATCTGTGTCGTCAAAAGCTTTCCTGATGAACAATGGTGAAGAATTGCTGGATGAATATCGATTATCATCGCCCAGAAGATCACAGCACTTCGGAGGCCGAAGATCATTAAGTTCTTCGGGTCGTGATGACGCAGAGGCACGGGTATACCCTTTCTCTCCAAGAATTTCGGCATCTGCATCCCCAGTGCATCTGACGAAGAAGCAGCAGACATCGCAAAGCGCCGATCAACAATGGAACCAAAGCTCCCTGTATGGAGGATTCGAGACGTCTAGACCATCACCTAACAGCAACTGTGCATCCCCGCGCAAACAGTTCAGTGATGAACTAGAGATTCAAGAAGGAACCAAATGGAGACAGCATTCCTCGTTGTCCAGGTATCCAGTCATGGATTCATCACAAATGGCCAGGACTACAGAATATTCGTCGTCACAGATGGTACATGGGCAAAGCTCACGCACTTTCGAAAAGAATCCAACCAGCGAGTGGGAAGTCCATTTGCCACACCTTCAAAACCGCGTAGCCCCAACAAATCACACTTCTGAGCCCTTTTCTGGTTGGAAGCCATCTCAGGAAATTCGGAAAGGCACTGTCAAAGACCGTGTAATATCTCCATTAGGAGGAACAAACACTTCCAGTTATTGCGTTTCAAGAGCAGTCCCAAAACTTACCAAACAAGCAATGGCTGAGGAAATGGATGACGATCCCTGGATCATCCCCCCAAAGGCAAAAGCGAATGTTTCGGTTGGAGATTGGGGCCACGCGGTTCAGTCAAAGTCAGATGACTCGGAAGAATGGGAAAATCCAAACACGGACTGGTTGCAACCCAACAGGGCGATTGATACAGCGGATGTGAAGAGTGAATTATTTGAGTCCCGGGAGGAGATTTCCTCGCTTCTCCGTGATAAGGACGTGGTAATGACGGCAGCAAGCAAGAAGAATCTCTTCGATGCTTTTGGTCAGCCACTTCACGACACCAATGATCGGGATATGGATATAGTGATGGCTGCGAAGAGGAAAGGTCAAGGCTCGTCTCGCGTGCATGACATGTTAGGAAGTGACAATGGCTTTTCAGCAGCTTTTCTTGATGAGGACTTTGAAATACAGGCCTTTCCAGACAATCCGTTTGAATCTTCGTTTGCAGACTTGTGCGAACCGAACAAACTGTCAGATCCTGAACCTCCCGCATCTAGTAGTGGCTCCAGCGATGGTTTTGAAGATACCTTCTACGACGCCGAGCCAACATTCGACGACGCTCCAAAAGAGGTGGAGACTTCCTACATTGTGAGGACAGATGCAGCACCAATTACTCAAGTTGGAGAACCAAAGAGAGAGCGTAAAAGCATTTTCAATATATTTGGCAGTGTTAGAAAGGACAAGGATGCAAAGAAGACAAAACCAAGATTCTCATTTGGGTCTACTAACATGGGTAGCAGAAGAACTCCCACAAAAGCTGAAAACGACCACCGGTCCAGACCACCAAGCAAGCAAATGACTGATTATACAACGGAAGAGCAGCAGAAAAAGAGCATGAATATGGGACATCGGGGAGCGGATTCCCATAAAAGTCAATCTTCGAAGGTGAACCAAAAAAGTGTTGTTCAGCATAGAATGGAATCGTTGACTGCCCGAAAGCACCATGTGACTTCGGGCCCGTTTTGTGCCGAAGACAGTCAACAAATTGAAAGCGGAAAGAGATGGGAGGCGCTGGTTCCGTCAACGAGTCCAACTGAGGTACAGGACACTGAGCGAGTCACAATAAATTCGCCAAAAAATACAAGTACTCTCAATCATCCCCTAACATTGCAACAGGATCAGCTTGAACAAATATATGATGGAGAATTGAGCCAGAAGAACCCATTGTGTACTGAAAGGGAATCCACAGTGTCGACTGCCAGCCCTGACCTGCAGGCTCAAATCGAGAGGATAGCAGACGACAGAGACAATCCCAACCGGAAAGTTCAGGTCGTTGCTCAAACTGACTCTACGATTGAGACTTCTCCAATCAATGGATATGAATCTGTGCATCCAGATTTGAATGGCTTGATAACGGGTAGCAGCGAAGACTCAGACAGTGTCGAATCGAGGGGATTGTTGAATACCGGTATGGTGGAAACACAGCGTCCTTCTAAGATTTTACCATCTGGGACAGACAGGAAGAGAAAAACAGAAAAGCTGCGAAGATACGGAGAAGTAAATTCCCGATTCAAAGAATCCATCCTTCATGAGATAAATTCTTCGAAACCTAGTCACTCCCATTCAAGAACGCTGAAAAACAGTCGATACACCAAGGAAGTGCAAGACCGAGGTATTCACTTCGACCCAAAGCCAACAAATGGCTCTCGTCATGCAAAGATCAAGTACAACATTGCAGGGAGTAAAGTCGCAAAGAGACACGATTTAGAAGACGGTCCTTCAACGAATAAAAAGCGCTCAAAAGCTCGAAACTACGCAAGACAAAGGGCTGGATTTATGGTTGGCGATGTCACCCACTCAAACTCGTCCGAAAGTGTAGAATCTGTTACCCTTGCCAGCGTTGGCTCCGATATCAGAGTTTTGCGAACAATCCTTCGGAGACCAAGATGTCCCCCAGTCGCAGAGGTTTCATCTCAGAGCAGAGGGGGGTTTCCAACCTTTGAAGAAGAGATTTTGGACCCAATGCAGCAGGCTGGACTGAAGATGCTTTCTGCAACAATCATACCCATGCAAGCACAAGTTCGTCGTTTCCTTGCAATGAGGCGCGCGTTGACTCGAATGTGGGCATTGATTGTCATTCAAGCTCATACTCGTAGATGGATTGCAGAAAAGCATTACAGAAGCACGTTGCAGTCGGCCATTACAATCCAAGCAATCGTTCGAGGGCACCTTGCAAGAGACGACTTGGATTTCAAGCATGTTTGTGCGATCGAGATTCAGAGAGTTATGAGAGGGTACATGTCGACCATGAAAGTTTACGAAGATATCTACAAGATTACCGTCATTCAAAGCTATGTTCGCATGAAACAAGCCGTGGACACAGCCAGCTGGAAAATGGCTCATATTGTCCAGCTTCAATCTGTGTTCCGTGGGTTTCTGGTTCGTCGTAGACAAGAATATCAGCAGATTTGTGCCATTGCTATCCAAGCAAACTGGAGACGCTTCTACCATCGCTTGAACTATCAGTTCGATTTGCTGGACATTATCATTGCCCAGAGTGTATTGCGGAAGACAATGGCAAAAAAAAAGGTAGAGGGCATACGACGCGGCCGCCTTGACAAGGCAGCAGCTGCGATCCAAAGCAAATGGCGCCAGATCCGATGCACTTTGCTATATGTGCAAGACATGGCAGACATCCTAGTTGTGCAAAGTACATTACGAAGATATCTGGCAAGAAAACGTACCAGATTGATTCGTGATTATTGGGTAATCCCTGCGCAAGCCTATGCCCGTGGGTACCTAGGCCGGAGGGCACTTGAAAAGCACCGAGCAGCTAGAAAGATCCAAAGCGCGTGGAGAGGATTTGTAAGCTATGCTGACTACATGTTTTGCATTGCAGACATTGTGAATGTTCAGAAGGTTGCTCGAGCTTGGTTGGCTAGACGTGAAGCTAACCACGCCCGCGAGCTCAACGCCGCAGCAACTACTATTCAGTCAGCTTGTCGCGTGGTTCTCAGTAAAGCCCAAATGAGTCGCGTAGCTGAGGTAAGGGAGATGGAAAAGCTAAGTAGAGAACTTGCAAAGAGAGAGGCACGAGCCGTCACTTTGATTCAGACTGTAGTTCGAGGGATGCAGACACAGTCAGCGTACATTGCATTCAGGGCGGCTAGAAGAATACAGACATTCTGGAGGTGTAGGAATCTGAGCAATGCGTACAAATATTATCGAGCAGCCATGACAATTCAGGCAAGTTTCAGGGGCATGAAATCACGCAAAGAGACATTGATCTTGAGAGGCGAAATTCTGGCAGCAACCATAATCCAGAGTGCATGGAGAGGCTTCGTATCATACACTGATTACATCTTCACAGTCTCTGATATTATCACAGTACAGAGAGTTTTCCGAGGTCACATGGCACGGAGGACGAAGGATGGTACCAAAGTGCAGCAAGCTCTACAAAAGCGACGACAAAAGATAGCCGCCTCTACAACAATTCAAAAGGGAGTTCGCGGTCTCTTGGACCAACAGCGCTACTGGTACACACTGGGATGCACGATGCAAGTGCAGAGCTGGATGCGTGGAAGACTTGTAGTGTTGCAGTTCCGACGGGAGGAGAAGGCTAGGGTGAAATTGCAGTCATCCGCACGCCGTTTCCTAGCACGACAAGAGTATGTACAAAGGAAGTTCATATTCATGCTTATCCAGACTGCGGAACAAGAACGATCGAAGAAAATTGAAGCACTCGTAATCCAGGAACAGGCACGAAATGAAGTGGACGATAAGAGAAGACACAATGCAGCGCGCATCATTCAAAGATTTTTCATGTCAGTTCGGGAAGAAGTTGATCAACTCGTTCGGGCTGCAAAGCGCCGAAAGAACTGGAGGAAGAAGAAGAGTTCAAGGAGAGAATGCGGAGATGAGAATGGAGCTGATGATCTATTGGAAGGCGCTTGGCTCGATGCCGCGTGCGACAGCAACCTTGAAAATGATCCTTTTCTGGCTCAAACTATTGCAAATATTGGTTCAAAGCTCGAGTCAAGAGGTTCCAACAAAATGATTGGTGTGGATGGTAGCCGTCGATCTGTTGGGAATTGTAGCAATGAGGATTCGAGTAAGAGCCATCAAACATCGAAAAAGAATCTAATACCTCCTTCGAAGTCGAGCACATCAACGCAAAACGAATTTTCAAAGCTCACTGGGTCCCAGACTACATTTTATCGCCTCCCCCTAGCTAGGATGAGAAGGATGGACTCCAGAGAGATGAACGAGGACCTCAAATTGGAAGAAGCGTTCATGGATACAAAGATTTCCAATGCCAGAAAACGAAGAATTGCTAAGAAGCAAACTACAACAGAGTGTAAAAAGTAAAAAGTTTTTTAAAGATCTATTATAATATCTATTATATTGAAATCTGAATAATTCCTTCCTATTAACGGTCCGTCCGCCGCTCAACAGATCATTTTCGTACTAATTTGTCGGCTGATCCAAGATTTTAAACCCCATACAGACCTACAATCAAAATTTTCTGCATACAAATGTTTTAGTTTGGGTCCTTATCTTTGTAAAAAGTAAAAAGTATTTTTTAAAATCTATAATCTATTGATATCTGAATAATTCCTTCCTATTTTTAAAAAATAGGTAATATTTTATAAAAAATATTTGAGATTTTTTCTTATCAGTCCGTCCGTCACTCAGCCCTATTGACTTTCCTTCATTCCGAACGCAGTCGTCGTTTTATTTCAAAACGTTTTAATCAGCCCTCTAAATATTATCTTCACAATGGGGGACTTTTCACAGCGTTTTTCTCGACCCGATGCCGGATCACATACGGTGGAAGGGAATGTATCAGGTCCTCGGGCTGCCATGCTGGAGAAGAAACGGCAAGCCGAACAGGAAAGCTTTGAACTCGAGAAGCAAAAGAGGCAGCGAGCCACACTGCAATCAACGCTTGGTATTGGATCCAAATTTCAACCTGCAAGAATTGGAAGCGTCGAGGAGCAGGCCTTTAAAGCAAAAACGATTGGCTTGGTCTCTGCAAAAGAGTTCAAAGAGGCAGCCAAACAGAAGGAGTCACAAACTGAGCCCGATGGATCATCGTCAAAAGAGGAAGCAAAAGAAGACGCCAAGAGGAAAAAGAAAAAGAAGAAAAAGGAAAAGAAAGTCTCCTCACGACTTAGCTTTATGGATACCGAAGACGAACAAGACGTGGCGTTAAAGGAAGTGGCATCATTGAAAGATCCAACCGTCGATACATCCTTCCTTGCTGATAAGAAGCGTGAAGCACAGGAGCAAGCGAAGAGAAAGGCTTTGGAGCAAGAATGGAAGCTACGGCAGAGCGAAATGAGAAATGAGAAATTGGAGGTGAGTGGTGTCCACTTTTCGTCATACTGTCTCTTAGAGAATGAAAGCCCTCACGCAGCGTCTTTCCACAAGATTACGTATTCGTATTGGGACGGGTCTGGGCATAGACGAAACGTTACAGTTACGAAGGGGGCAACAATCGGTGAATTTCTGGACAGAGTCCGGCGGGATCTCGCAAAGGACTTTCCTCATCTGATGAATATTGCCAGTGATTCTTTGATGTATGTCAAGGAGGATCTGATACTTTCGAATGAGATCTCTTTTGCAGATTTGTTAGCGACGAAGGCAAGAGGGAAATCAGGTCCATTGTTCCATTTTGATGTCCGAGAAGACGTTCGCCTTGGTCCATTGGACCGAAGGATAGAAAAAGACGAATCGCACCCTGGAAAAGTTGTTGAACGCGGCTGGTTTGAACGGAACAAGCACATTTTCCCGGCTTCTCGGTGGGAAGTATACGATCCAGCTAAAGTCTATGGGAAATATACAATTGGTGGCGGAATAGTCAATGCGAAAAATATATGATTGTACTTACCTTTGACAAAAAGTTGAACGACTCATTCAGTATAATATAAATTAGCAGTTGTTCTAAAGTTTGATTGTGAGGACGACTCTTGCGTATCTTTTATGCCTCTTCAAGAACAGGTACCCTCATTCTTTCCGTCAATCTAAGGATAGTGCCTTTAATGTGTTGCGAATTCAGACCTGCTTGATCGTATTGTTCGTTTTGAGTTGCGGCTTCAAAGTATGTATCGGGCATTACCATTGGTCGAAACTTCAGATTTCCAGAATCGATAAGACCATCCAATGCAAGGAAGTGCAATACATGGTCGCCAAATCCTCCAATGCTGCCCTCTTCGATCGTAATCAGAACACCGTGATCATCAGCTAGTTGTCGAACCAAGTCAACATCCAATGGTTTCACAAAGCGCGCATCTGCGACAGTTACGCTAAGATTTTCGTCACTATCTTCTACTTCTTGAGCAGCTACAAGGGCTTCGTCAAGGCGCGTGCCGAGTGAGAGAATAGCAACTCTGTCCTTGCGCTCTTTCCCCCTCGATGTGGATGAATTGTCAATCATCGCATTTGGTCCGCGAATAATCCGTCCTTTTCCAATTTCAATCACATCACCTGTATCAGTAGAAAACATAAAATCAATCATTAGCTCAGACGATGCGGCCTAGAATGCAGTATCAGTTCAGCCCAGGTGCTTACCCTTTGCTGGTACTTTTCCATCCTTCAACTTGTAGCCGAAGTGCGACTGCAGTTTCTCAGCTCCGTACCCGGTTCCACGCGGGTACCTCAATACAGTAGGTCCATCATCGAATGCCGCACAAGTCATCACCATATTTTTCAATTCGATCTCGTCGCTTGGGGACATGATTGTCAAGTTTGGAATGCAACCCAAATAAGCAAGATCATAACAGCCGTGGTGAGTTGGCCCATCATTCCCAACAAAACCAGCTCGATCAAGGATCATCCGAACCGGAAGATTCTGAACTGCAACATCGTGGACAACTTGGTCGTACCCACGCTGCATGAATGTTGAGTAAATACACACGAATGGTTTCAAGCCTTCGCATGCCATTCCAGCTCCCATGCAAACAGCATGCTGCTCTGCGATACCAACATCGAAAGTTCTCTTCGGAAATCGACGCCCGAAAATATCCATTCCAGTTCCACCTGGCATGGCGGCAGTGATTCCAACGATTGCGCGATCTTCAGTTGCAGCATCGATAAGTGAGTTTGCAAAAAGAGAAGTGAAGCTTGGAGCTATAGATTTGCTCTTTACTTGTACCCCAGTGCCGAGGTTGAACTTTCCCACACCATGCATTCTGTCACTTGCTGTCTCTGCTGGTGGGTAGCCATATCCTTTTGTTGTCTTAATATGCAACAAAACTGGTTTGTCGTTTGGGCTGTCTCGCAACTTTTCAAGAATTGGAACCAGGTTGTCGAGATCGTGGCCATCGACTGGTCCAACGTAGTAGAATCCAAGTTCCTCAAACAATGTACCTCCAGAAACAATTCCACGGGCGTACTCGTCAATTCGCTTGTTCACGTCCTGTATACCTTCTGGCAAGAGCTTGTTGAAGCTCTTCGCAAAGGATCGGAAGTCTTGGAACGGTTTTGATACCAACAAGTTCGAAGTGTAGGTGGAAAGTTGCGATGCTGGGACAACACCACCAGCACTAGGTGTACCTGTTGGAAGACTGACTTGACCATTGTCATTCAGAACGACAATCATTCTTGAGTTGAGATATCCAGCACTATTCATGGCTTCATATGCCATGCCGCCTGTGATTGCACCATCTCCAATCACTGCAACGCAGTTGTTTTTTCTTTTGTTTAGCAAAGACTTCCCGATGCTCATTCCTTGTGCCGCAGAGATCGAAGTTGAAGAGTGCCCTGCTCCAAAAGAATCAAATTCACTCTCTTTTCGCTTGCAGAAGCCAGAAATTCCGCCAAGTCGGCGAAGAGTTGACATTCTGTCTCTTCGTCCGGTGAGAATTTTATGCGGATAACATTGATGAGCAACGTCCCAGATGATATCATCTTCTGGCATGTCGAAAACGTAGTGGAGTGCAACGGTCAGTTCGGTCACACCCAACGAAGAACTCAAGTGACCACCAGTCTTGGAAACTGACTCAAGGACCTCCCATCTGAGTTCATGTGCCAACTGAAAAGAGAAAAAGGTGAATGCATGAGACTAATGCAACCAAAAGGACCGAGCAACAAAAATGCCGATGTGTAAAGTACCTGCTTGATTTCACTCATGCTCAATTTCTTCATATCGGAGGGGAACTTCACAGAGTCTAGAATAGGTTTTGATGCGGGCCCAGAATATGGAGGTCCCTGCAAATTTTCTTCCGCCATGCGAAGGAATGTTTTGTCCAACACATTTTGTTGTGTGGCCAAAGGAGCAAATGCCGAAACCTATTGTTTAGAAAAAAGACATGTTAGACAGTTGAACTGACTCTGTACAAAACAAGCCGTGCACTTCACCCAGGAAGCGGAAGTGATTTCTGGATGTTACAGAACAACGTCTCGATGCGTGGATGGAGACGTATCTTTCAATCAGAATAACGATGATGATGACGATTATCCAAATCTCACGCGAGAAGAATTCGGGATAACAATTGTCAAGGGTGCACTCACCGACTGTAATGCAACAAGGGCAACAGTTGCTAAGGAAAAGCGCATTTTCGAATTGGTGTTGGAGTGGGGTTCAATCTGATACATCAATCACAGACGTCGTCTTGAAGAATCGTCAAAAGCGCCAACACAGCCACACGCGTATTTTTCTCAAGTACGATATTACTTCAAGAATCTGACTTGTTCCACGTATGCGTTTGAGGGGAGGGTATTTACTTTCCTCTTTATTTTATTACTTTTGTTACCCCTCCCAAAATGTATGACGTCACATTTTGGAAAAAAGAAATCAGTATACTGTAGCTGATTCTTGTACGAGTTCTTGCCTTACTGGAGCGGCCTGTAACTGGACCTATGCGCGCCGAGTCAGCTTTTCGGGGGTGTCATTCGGACAAACTGATAGGAATAGCATACTGTAGTCTTCAATTGTTTACACAAGTTTGGCTGACTAGCGCGTCTTTCTTTTCAAAACTACTCGGCGTGCGTGCCCTTTCGACATCCAAATGGACTAAAATAGTATTCTCGTCGAAGTCCAACTAGCTATTCTTCGTCGAAATGGACGAATGGATGAAATGGACAAAACAGATTTCAGAGCTCGCAAGAATCTTGCGTGATGTAAAATTTCAAATTTGAATTATCGGGCCGGCAGTGGCAAGCTGGTCTGGTATGACATGCAGCAACGGCAAAAAACGGTACAGTACTGTACAAAACAAGAAACGGTAACAAAATCAAAATGGCAGGTTCAATCTCTCCAGAGCCATATGCCGAAGTTGCCAGAGATGTTTACGGACATGTTGCATACTTTCAGAAATTTGAACGTCAACCACGAATTATACTTACTGTACTTAGATGATTGATAGATTTATGATTCATCCGATCAAGAGGTTTAAAAATAATCTGCACTGCTTCTAATGCGACCATGTTTTGTCGGGTCCAACAATAATAATAATAACTGAGACATTAATCGTTAATATGCTACTCTATGGGCATTCGATTGCCGGTGAAATATTCGGCTGTAAAGGTCAAGTACTGTGAAGCGGTGAGTCAACAACAAGTTTGAACCA